TTGCAAGTACTAATATGTTTTTTGATCTTGCTCCAAGCCGAGCTGTACATATATGCAGGAACATCCATAACTAAGAGACGACTGGTTGGTGACGGTTCCGCTGTATGAATATATTCATTGAATGGTACCTTTCTACACCTATTCTGTCGTTTTCTTACATTATGTAAAGGTAAAATGATAATTCAGGCATCTTAGCTAGCAGTATCGAGCATCTTATTTATGTAGGTCTGAATAGCGCTAACCTTTGCATTCCCACTCATGAGGTAACATATTAACCTTGTCAAGACACGTGTGGCTTTTAACCAATCTTCCTTCAGCCAAAGATTGTACCCTCGTGTGAAACTCAGATGAAAGATATCATCCTTCGAACACCCCTCTCTTTGCACTCTGGAAATACTGTTAGCTGTAAATATTCCCCGGGCGATATGAACATGGAGCCCATGAATCCCTGTCACAAAAACCAAAAACTTCATGATCTTGGAAAGATCTATCGCCACTTTGTTTACCTATGTTAGCAGCAAGCTGCCCTAACATTGCACCAACAGTTTCTCCCAGAAACTCGCTCCAGGTCTGTCCTTCAAGCCACTAGAGACATTAGTTCATGGTCTCATAAAGATAGGGATTTGAACACATAATCCAGTGTACGATAGTATTGGCAAACGTTCAGCTAGCGGTCCGACAGTAACTGCACCTTCTAACCTGGTGCCAAATTGTTTGCCACTTATTACATACTTTAACTTGAACCTTGAAGCGGTGAAACTTTAGAAAAGTTAGCTATTAGTAGAAGAAATCACAACAGAAGACACTCACTGGATCTCAGGTTCTCCACGTTTCAGCCCTTCAAGGTTGACATAGATGGTTTTCATTAGCGCCCTGAGCATCATACCCTGTGATCCTATAAGTGTCCGAACCGCTGTTTCTCAGACACATTCCAGCTTTTTTTCGGCAAGGTTATTGTCTCCCTTTCTTTTATGGCATTCGTAATACCTGTGTCATCCAATTGATCCCCATCGCTTACTTACCATTTCTTCAACTCGGCGAAATATGAAGGGAGGTCGTCAAAAAGGCCGCTAAACTTATGATCATTTTCAGGCCAATTAAGCACGTTGATCTCATCTGCAGTAGTTGCATGCCGAAATATCCAAGGAATTAAAGACTCTACATCCCTATCTTCGATGGTCTATTCGGAAATGACACTGCAAAGGGAGGTAGTGCTGTTTCAAATCCCTCATACCTTGTTGAATAACTATTCCCAAGCATAGGTATTAGCTCATTAAGCTCGACGATTTTCGAAAGAATCGAAGCCGGCATTCTACTCAAGAAGTGCTCTTCGTGACGAATAGTGGGAGACTGCAACACAATTCCACGGGATTTGTTCAAATACCTGTTGAACTAGGAATCAAGTTATCTTCAATGCCTTGATTGCGCAAGAGAAAGCGAGAGCTGACCGAACGGTACTTAAGACCCTTGTGGCATAGCGTAACCAGTGACCGAGAATTGGTCTTGGCGTTGGGTTCGTATACTGAGTACAAAAGGCGAGTGTCCAGCTTCTTTCTTTCTATGTACTCTATATGATATGCTAGCACCTTTTTTTGTAACATAGTAGGTGTATAGCAGATAAATTTAGACGATGTCTTATTGATCGGATGAAATAAAGGTACAAAAAATTCAACCCCTCGAACGCATTCAATAGTAGCTAACGTACTCCGTATTGTGGGCATGATCCACCCCTTAATATGTTTTCTATGCGATGGAGTACCATAAAAGTTGGGTCCAGTTGTTGATGCGAACATTTTGCCCTTCAAGTCTCCAGTGCTAAAAGATCGCTGTATCCTTTTCTATTCATGATGCTTCCATCTTTCCTATGATACGGACTAATCAGAATAAGCTTTTTCCTGTCCAGGGTAGTTTAACTCGACAATAGATTAATGGCAATAAATTAATCAAGTTCTTGGAGATTTAATTTATATCGGTGTCTTGTACGAAACTAATGCCACCATCGCAGGCCTGGGTACATATACAATGATATCTTTGCTTAGCAAATTAATTTTCTCAACCTTGCATCTCGGGACTATCTCGGAAATAAGAATTCAGCCCGCTAAACAGAATTCGTATAACTATAGTTCAAGCAACTAAGTAATACTCCATAGTCGGGTTTCAAGATCTTTGATTTGGTGCGATGGTACTCCTGCTTCCCTTCAGAACACGCTGTTCTTTACGGAGGCTCGGCTTCAGATGTGCACAGTGTACCCGATGCGAGTGAACCATGCAATGCTGTTGACTCTTTATTTGTTTATTTATCTTTCATGGAAATAGTGGTCTGGTTTTCAAACACAAAGGAAGAAGGGATAATTGGCATATTCCGATCCGAACACCGTACGGGTGACTTCATGTTATTATGGTAGCAAAAGAGTAACTTCGGAGACTCAGAGTACTATGCTTAGAAACTAACTAATTGATGAAATAACAACTAATCAACCACGCCGCCAACAGTGGGGATCTTGCGGGGACCTCTCTCTCCCAAAGTCGCACTAATGACAGAATAGTAAAAATCCGCAGTTCCCAGATAGACGAGGTGGTGTCAGCCGTTGCGAATGCATCCCTTAGTCTCTCTCCATTCCAGCACTCAGCACTCAGCAGGCCAAAAAAAAAAAAAAAAAAAAAAAAAAAAAAAAAGTCTTCCAGTTCGCTGGGCTGTACCCCATATTTTCCCTTTCCGGTCGGGTGGACAGGACTATCCGTGATGATTGGCGGAAAGTCAACCTTGTTCGGGTTCCCAGGATGAATTCTTTTCCTAAGGTAGATAGTAAGAAACAATAATGATTATAGTGACCGTGAATCGGCCACTAGTTATTTGTTTTCAAGAAATAGCAGACTGTTATCAGGCAATGATAAATTCCGCTGTCTACCGACCCTGGTCTGCGGAAGAGGTAAGAGCAGCCACATGCGCGCAGCTTTGCTTCTCGAAAAACCTTACATTATTATACCCTGGCACAAGTCGCTGTTAGATCCTTGATTTAAATAGTTAATATTAAGGAATTGTGACCCGTTGCTCTGGCCACTGAATTGCCAGCTTATTGTAATAGGTAGACATGGTCATTGAGAAATATCGCCTTGTGTTACCTGAGTTACCTCCATCTGGGTCTTGTGATACTATGTGGGACCAATTCATTTCCTTTTTCCTTCCGGTGAACCCATGCAATCAATATAGGACTGCCAAATGCTGACCCAGCACACTGCATCAGCCATCATAGTTTGAAATATCTTTTTGCTGATTTTGTTCTTGCCCTTTTCCCCTGGGCAGACATTCTTGTTAGATACTGGATCAGCAAGTTGATCATCTATCTTATATATTCACCTCCTCCCCTTTTTTTTCCTCCCTTGGTGTTTCTCTGTTTCTTGGTGACGGGTGCCGCTTTGGAGACTAAGAAAAAAAAATACTCCGCAGGTTTCCCTAGGTATTGGGCAACCTTGGCGGAGGGCCGAATATGGGAAGTCACGAAAGGGGGCATGTGAGTAGTTAATGGTTTTGATCTGATAGTTTGTTGCCCAACTGTCAACTATTTATAAATTATGGTACCTGATAGCTGTTTCGTGGTTTTTACCTGCTTCTCTATCTAGTTCTTTATTAATTTATTTACTATACTCTTACTCCGTAGAGAGTTAAAATAACTTAGCGCCGTGCATTAGCGAGGCATATTTGTTTGTTACCTGTACCATACTGTATACCAAGCTCTATGACGTATGTAGAGGAACGAGAACAACCAAAAGCCCAGGAACATCAATGTTCATCAGGACTCTGGTTTGGTACATATAGATCTGCCAGGCATCTTTCTTTTGAATATGAGGATGTACCTGGGGAACCGATAATCCAACAATATAGTGCGCAAGTAAGAGAGAACCGTAAACCTGGTGGCAGTGGAGAAAGCGCGATGGGATCATGCGTTGTGATTGTGGTGCATCTGGGAACTGCTCGCGCTCCCCCCCTCTCATTATTGTTATGATTATTACTCACTATACATAGCGGACTATTCTACTTCCCTTCCGGCCTCTTCGATTTTGACCATCCTTTCCTTCTCACCTCCCTCACACACCCTCTCTTTGGCAAGTTCGGACGATTCGTTGGCCGTCATACTTGATTGATCTTTCTCGGATCACCCGTCGGATTCATTCTGCCTAGTCCTTCCCTCCCCCATCCTCCCCTGCCGCCCCTCCTCGACCGGGACGAGGAGGCTTTTTCAGCAGCCGCGGAATAGCGAGAACCCCCCCAGGCCACGGCTACGTCATAGGTTGGACCCCCCCGGAGACGGACCAATTCCACACACCCTTCAGCACAAATCGACGATCTGCTGGGTCAACAGAACCTGCTCCAGTGTTTCTTCTTTCTAGGAAAGGTCAGATCAGTCGAACCTTCTCACTTTGCAGTTGGCACATTCCCTTCTCCTTATCACCACCACCTCCTCCTCCCACAGTCCACTATACACCGCTTTTAGTCACCCTGCCTTGCGACTCCGTTTTTTTTTTTTTTACACTTTTCCCCTCTGTACTCGTTATTGTCGTTCCCTCTTATCTTTCTACCAAAACAACCCCCCCTTTAATTCCTACGTATTTTTCCCCCGACACCCTTTATTTTTGTGAACTTTGTTTCATCCTTTGAACAGGGCATATACGAGCATTCTGTTTTTATATCATATTTTCCTCGTTTTTCCTTTGGGGTCCCGTGCCCTTTAGGATTGCCCCTTTTCTTTTCTTCCATCGTGTTTTCTATAAACTTTTTTTCTCTTTTTCTTTTTTTCCCCCCAAAATATTTTCCCTCTGCACTTTTGTCCCTCCCTTATCATACCTTGGGATCTGTGTGAACGTCCAGCCAACCATTTGATTGCGGACCTTTATGTCCGAGAGATGAGTGCCTCATTTGGTTCCTGTGGAGTTGGATTCGCACAGGAGAATTGAATTCTGACCGGCGGTGGAGGAAGTACAGGATGGGGGAAGTTCACGGCATGAGGACACCACCTCCACTTCCATCGCCGGCCGAGGCCCCTTCGTCTGTCGGCGCTCCTCATTCTCACCATGACTCCTCCCACTCAACCTCTGGCTTGGTTCATAACATGCATGATGGATACTCCGCGGATGAATCGAATGGCAAACGGAAAGCTAACTCTCGCAACTCTCCCCTTCTGCATGAACAGGCTGCGAACCCGTACCACACGTCATCGTCCGCAATTCAGAGTACGGATTCGGGAAAGGGGTTCCAAGAGGACCAGGGACGAAGCTCTCAGACTCTGAAAGAACTCCGGAGGCAGATGGAAGAGCTGCTTGTGTATCAACAAATGCAGAAATCCCAGAACCAGAATCTATCTGCGACTCGAGAGCCTCCTTTGTCACAGGCCGATCCCGTTTCTCCGAATCCCCACGAGTCGTCCTCGCGAAAGAGACGCATCTCTAATGTATCGCCCTCGAAAGGTGCAACGTCATCGACAGGGCCGATATCTTCCGTTTCGCATCCCGACTCGGTCGGTTCGGCTGGCACGATCAAGGCCATGGATTCTCCCACTGCAAACCCCTCGGCGTACCCCTTTCCGGACCTACAATCCCAGCCCGCCATGAAACCTCCGCAAGATCCCTCGTTTGGCCACAATCCTTTCACGCTGACGCTTCCCGCCGAGAAACTCAAGATCAATATGACGCCGCAAAGTATCGGTGACCAACAGCCCGCTTCTATCAAAACACCAACGTCACATAGCTTCTTCCTTCCGCCGCAGCACAAACAAGTGGTTGAAGACTTGGTCTACCCCACACCCAACCTGTATGATCTAACCTTGCGATTAAATTCTGATCCGGGGCTAGATTCATGGTGGGCAAATGTCGTGGATATATTACAAACGCACTACGGGGCGGAAAGAGCTTCACTCGCTGTTCCTGGAGACGCGACTGATCTCGAGAACGTTCCGTGGGGTCAGAAGGCGGTGTTCGGCGGAAGCACACGGGCTGAGCCCAATGAACAAACGTTGCATGGCGAGACGACTCAAACGAAGGACAATACCCCTGAAGACGGCGAGAACTCAGAGAAGAAGGGTGCATTCACTGCGGGAACTAATGCAATTAAAACGAGCTCGGCTATGCGGCCTCCGCTCCTCTCACGGCATTCATTTGGAGGTTTTGGTAAAGAGAGGAAACACTCTACTGGGAATGATTCGGACTCGCCATTTAGTCAAAAATCGAAAGTCGAACACAGGCGCGCACAAACCCCTGCGGAAAAAATACCAACTGTTCATGAAGACCGCGCTACCAGTTTCTCTCACTCCATGGATGCTTCCAATTCTTTGGAAGACGATCGCCGACCAGCTGTTTTCCCCACGCCGAGGCCATTAGAAATCGAAGCGGACCCGCTTATCAAGAGGACGGGTGTCGTGAAGCTGTTTGGGCGTACGGGGCCCGTTGTTCTGACCCGGGAATATTCGCAGAACCTGGCCGGGACAACCACGCAGCCTCCAGCAGGGCAGGTTCAAACGCCGGAAGATACGATTCAGGTCACTCCTACAGAACCTCCCCAGCAACCAGAGGAGCGCGTTAGATCCCTATCCAACCCACCTCGAGCCGGCCCCCAATCAATACCACCGATCGAGCTCTTCGACGAGTATGAGCAAGTGCCTCCCTCGCCCTGGTCCCAGTCGCCCGCACCGTCACCGGCACCTCGCGCGCATGCCGACCAGAATCCCTTCTTTGTTAGCCACGCTGTCGATGAAGGTGCATTTGCAAAACACCCGCCGCCTCACGACTATTCAAATCTTCAGCCGTTGGAAGCTATTGGGGTTGACCTGGCCAAATCTGTGGTCCATATTCCTCTTCTGCATGGGGGACGCTCGAAGCAGGCCTCCTCAGCCACCTTGAGGTTCCCCGTTGCAGTTATCTCGATTATTTCGCCCATAATGCCGTACCCTGCGAATCTACGGCAATCACTGACCTATTTTATGCCTCATCTGACAACTTCGTTTTGTTTGGCACAGCACTACAGTCAGCTGGAGCGGCAATTTGCCTCTCGACTGGAGATCCCACGCTACGGGCATCTCCTTGGTCTCGGTGGTACATTTTCTGACGAGAGCAGCGAGCTAGAACTGGTTGCTGGTCTCAGCGGTCACGTTAATTATACGATTGCAGACGACGGGTCCGTTTCGGCCCACGCAAGCCTTTCAAGTCCCGATGAGCGACCCAATTCAACTAAATTCAGTCCCGCCATATCTGGATTCGGAACGCCTGGTTTGGATCTGAACAGTCTCGCAAACCTCCCCAGCGAATCGCCAGGAATCGCTGCTAAAGTGAACAGCGACGCCATCGACAGTTATTTCAACGTCAAGCAACACAAGAGCTTTCGAGAGGCCATCACTCAACATCGCAACCGACTGTCAAAAGCCAAACAAAGTGCGACATCAACTCCCACATCGCCTGGGAGGTTTCTGGGGAAATATCCCGCAGAAGAGGACGCGAATTCGCAAGACCCAGGCGTACTCTTAGTGTCCCCATCTCAGGACCTCAAAGGACCGTCAGTTTTGTCGCCAACGCAAACGGCTTCTCGCCACCCTTCGGGTAGCTCTTTCTACGCCCAGCTACCGCGCGAGTTGCCTCGTCCCTTCACCGACACTGTAGCGCAACTTATGCTGAATTCCGTTCCCCTTCACCTTTTTCTGGCCAAGCCCCAAAGCGGAGAAGTAATTTGGACAAATTCCAAGTTCGATGCCTACCGAAGGAGCCAGCCGCAGGAACAGAAGCTGCGGGACCCCTGGCAGAATATCCACAGCAGTGAACGCGAGCACGTGTCTCAAGAGTGGGTCAATGCTCTGCGGACGGGCTCACAGTTTACTGAACGGGTCCGTGTTCGACGTTTCAACGACGAGTCCGCCTACCGTTGGTTTATCTTCCGCGCAAACCCCCTACTATCTGCGACGGGTGAGGTGCTGTATTGGATCGGCTCGTTCCTCGACATTCATGAACAACACATTGCTGAGTTGAAAGCAACCCAGGAAAGAGAAAAGTTCGCAATTGACGCCAAGTACCGAGCATTTTCCAATTCAATCCCGCAGGTTGTTTTTGAGGCAACTGAATATCGTGGACTGATATTCGTGAATGAGCAATGGCATTTGTACACCGGTCAAAAGCTGGAGGAGGCGCTCAATTTTGGTTTTGCAAAGCATGTGCATCCCGACGATCTGGAGAAATGCGGCCTGCTCTCACTGTATCTCGCCGAATCTCAGGGCGGAACGGTTCCCCCTGAACCCAGTCAACTCTCTGAGGCCGCGAAAGCTGCCGTCCAGGAAAAATGCCTCACTCGTGGGGTCACTCCCGCACTGGATGAACTGGTGAGGCGCGGGGTTGCTTCTCTACAAAAAGATGAGAATGGACGCGTCTTCTACTCGACCGAAATCCGTCTCCGCTCTAAGGGAGGCGATTTTAGATGGCATCTCGTTCGACTGGTCCGAGTGGAGACCAGCAGTTTCGGCAGTGGAGAGGCTTCATGGTATGGCACATGCACCGACATCAACGATCGCAAGAACCTCGAACGAGAGCTCAACAAGGCAATGCAACAACTGAACAACCAAATGGAGTCAAAGACCAAATTTTTCAGCAATATGTCTCACGAGATTCGAACCCCGCTGAACGGCATCCTTGGCACGATTCCCTTCATCCTCGACACGCAGCTAGACACGGATCAGAGACGCATGCTTGATACCATCCAAAATAGCTCAACTAACTTACGTGAACTGGTTGACAACATTCTTGACGTGTCTCGAGTTGAAGCCGGAAAAATGTCACTTGTCAACTCGTGGTTCCACGTTCGATCGGTGATCGAAGATGTCATCGACACTGTCGCGTCTCGGGCCATCGACAAGGGCCTCGAGATCAATTATCTGATGGACGTCGATGTGCCCCCAATGGTTATTGGAGACAGGTTCCGGATTCGGCAAGTTCTTATTAATCTGGTTGGCAACGCGGTCAAATTTACAGCGCAAGGAGAGATTCACATCTGCTGCTCCGTCTACCATGGCCCTTCTTCCTTGTCAAAGAAAACGGAACTGCTTTTGAACTTCGACGTCGTCGATACAGGCAAAGGTTTCAGCGCGAGAGACGCCGAGCGTTTGATGCAGCGGTTCAGCCAGCTGGGACAGAATGGCTCTCAGCAGCATGCCGGAAGTGGACTTGGGCTGTTCTTATCCAAACAACTTGTGGAGATGCATGGAGGCAGACTGACGCCGACGAGCAAGGAGGGTCAAGGCGCGAAGTTTTCTTTCCATGTCAAAGTGGATGCCCCTCCGCCACCAACACCCGACGAACCTCGTCTTGTGCGACAATCCTCCAATACGTCCGAGATTCTTGGGGCGCAGAAGCCCAATTCCCTCCAGAAAATGCTCTTCTCATCAAAGGACTCCGTCGACTCCAAGATCGACTCCTACGACTTTTCTGCCGCACTCGAATCGCCCCTTTCCCAAGCTCCGAGCAGTTCCGACCCTTCGGCGCGCTTTACGTCGAACGCGTCTGAGCGTTCGTCGATCTCTTCGGCTCTCCCTACTCCTGATCTTCAGGCTGCCATGGATCCATTGTCCAAGATCGATACAATAAAACTTGGCGCCAGCTATGCCGATACCCCAGCGCAAGCATCAGCCAATCCGTTGGCTTCGTCGAGCACAGACACTCTACATCCACTGGTTCAGTCATCCACCTCATCTCAAGAACCTCCCGTTTCTAGCACGCCGGCGCCTACGCAAGCAAAACCCGAGGGTAGGAAATCACAAGACCCGTACTCAATACTCATTCTTTGCCCCATGGACAATACGCGCAAGGCCATCAAGCAGCATATTGAGCAGGTCGTACCACATGAGATTCCATTTTCAATCACGTCCACGCCTGATATCGAGGATTGGCGAGACTTCTTCAACGACGGGTCTAGCTCTAGGCTTACTCACCTGGTCCTCAATCTACCTAATGTGGATGATGTTTTGGATGTCATGAATTATGTTTCCGAGTGCGATCCTGCTTCCGCTCCAGCTCTTGTCTTGACATCCGACTTGTATCAAAAACGACAGATCAACTCGAGGATCAAGGAGCTGTCTTCCAGTGGCAGGCGTGTGTATACCGTGCCTAAACCGGTGAAGCCTTCAGCGTTCTCTGCCATATTCGATCCGGACAACCAACGCGATCTTAGCAAGGACAGGAACCAGGATATGGCCCGCGAAATCAACAACAATTTCAAGACCATGTCCAAGATGGTTAAAGAAGTTATCGGGAACAAAGGCTACCGTGTCCTACTGGTCGAGGATGACGAGACTAACCGCATGGTTCGTTGTTTTCCTTCTGAAATCATTTGCTCAATATTACACATGCTAACTCGTATGGGTCCCGCTAGGTTATGCTCAAGTATCTCGATAAGATCAAAGTCATGGCTGAAACTGCTGGCAATGGCCAAGAGTGTACAGAAATGGTATTTTCTAAAGAGCCTGGTTACTACTCTCTCATCATAGTAAGTGCTCTCCGTCTGCTTCGACACAATCATGCGTCCGGTAGCTTACATCTCTTGTTATCAGTGTGATATCCAAATGCCCATCAAGAATGGTTACGACACTTGTCGCGACATTCGTGCTTGGGAACTGAAGAATCATTACCCTCAAATACCAATAATGGCTTTGTCCGCCAATGCGATGACAGACCAGATTGAAGATGCCGCTCGGGCTGGCTTCAACGACTACGTTACAAAACCCATCAAACACAATGAACTGGGTAAAATGATGATGGGACTCCTTGACCCCAACCGGCCATTGCTTCTCCTTCGAGACCGTCTCAGGGAGGATCACGAGAATGACCATCGCGAAGAGTAAGAGCAGATCGCCAGTCTTTGCAACAGGGCACCCTCAATCGGAGTGCTTTCCTCGATTTCATTTTACATGTTGGCTTCTGGGGTAGAGCCCCCCCTTCCTCTCAACTGCGATGTACACATCCCCGTGGCCTCGATGTTTGTGTCATGATGTACCTGATATTGGTTCGGTTGACTTGTTTCTTTCTCACATTTGGGTTGGGGTATTGGCTGGTTAGAGCCACCGGACGGAAAGGCGCCTTGGGACAAATTTTTTGATTTTTCATGTTCTATTCTTCTTATCTTCCACCATTCATCTGCATGCGACATTCAATTCGGAATGATACCTTTTTTAGCATTACGGGGGTCGGAATTTCAGGCTTTTGTTATTCTTTGGACTATCGACCTTTGTGCGTGGCGTCAGTTCTCGGATTTCTTGAGCAATTCTTTTTTTCTCATCCTCTTTTTTTGTCAACCCCTTTTTTTTTTTTTTTTTTTTCTTGCTCCTTTTACCTCTTCTCACATTATGTGACCTTTTTCCGATACCAGCTTACGAGCATGATATTAAACTTCTGGAATTGTATTTGCAGACAACAGAGCGTTTTTTCATACCCTCGATGTTCATTTTTTATATCTCTTTCCATTTTTCATTATTCTTTTTCTTTATATTTTTTACTTTCTCTTCTTTAGTAGATATTTACCGATTGCTTCATGTTTCTCTTCGCTTCTCTTCCTTATCCCTTTGGGTGTGCTCTCTCGATTTTTCTATTGATTATGACCGTGAATGATGCAGAGGCAGATTCTGTCCAAGACTTTACGAGAGAGTATGCATGTATATAGCGCATGCATGCTATGCTGTATTGCGCTACCGAATCTCAAATAATCTAGTATAGTTAGCTCTTTTTTTAACCAGAGAGATGAAATGAAATGAAATGATACCCGGATTTCAATCCCTTGCTTTCATGTTTAGGTTCATCATCAGTATGTACCGTACAATAAAAATGACCTGATCTACATACAAAGAAAGCATTGGTAGATATGTATCTAAGTAAAGAAATATCTTTTTTAAATTCAACTATCACATTATCATCATCACTACCTACTTCTAGTTATCTACTCCGTACTGCTTAAGCAGTAAATAGTTAATAGATAAATATAACAAGCAAGCAAGAAACTACGGGGGGGAAAAGCAAGGAATTCAAAAGATTCCAAATATTTCAATTTCATAATCGCTTTTTATAAGATCCTAACGCATCCAATCAATCAACCCTAGAGACAGACGGATTAGTGATTTCGATTTCGATAAATATGTTTTGTGTAACTTGTGTCGTGTCCGGATGACAGCGAGTAACAGACAATGCAATTGTGCTGTGCTTTTCTTTTCTCTCCGTTGATTTTCTGGTTAGTTCCGATTATCCGGTCTGGATTACCTCTCTTAGCTCTCGAATTATTATTAATCTAATTTTCTTGGGGCTTTCCTGCTCTAGAGGATATGTTGTGGTAGGGGGCCTTTCGTCAGTCGTGGGACTCGGACTCGTAAGTTGTGGAATGGGGGCTTTTAAGGGATGGGAGGTTCGTGTACCCATCTTCAAGCAGATGGAGGGCAGGGCTACTGTTCACTAAGTTCCAATGTATTGGCTGGAATATGATATTCGTGGATGATGTATTGGGTTTTTGCTGGTTCTACGTTCTTTACGATGATTGCATGATGTTTCGCTTTCGTACTTTTCCTTTTCTTCTTCGTCGTCATCATTTTTTGTTGATGTTAGGTCAAGCTCCTAGATGACTTCAAGACCCAAGGAATGAGAAAGCTGGAGGGAATGTCGAAGGGTTTTTTCTTTTTTTCTTTCTTTTCTTTCCCCCCCTCCCTCACTTCGTCCCACGATATAACGCGAATTGACAAGGTTAGTAGGATCGGCTAGAGGTTAGCATGTTTAGTACTACCGTTGTATCGAGTCCTGAATTACATGCAGCGGCTGAAATGGGCCTGCGGGGTGTATGACATATATCGGACAGAAGAGACAAAACGAGGAATGGCGTTTGCCGTTCTTGATGATCGCATTGGATTAGACCGTTGAAGCCCAACGGCGGCAACTCCTCATCGCCGGACAAGATCTGACTGCGGGGATGCTTTGCATGCCTTTGGTCCCTTATGCTCCCTGCTGGAGCTTTTTCGTCCAACCGTATGGATCGCTGATGTTATGAGGGTCGCCAGGCTGAGGAATTCCAAAAAGTCAGGCAGGAGCATGGATGCTGGCAGCCGTTCCAGCCTTCTCGATCCCATCCGTGGTCATCAACCCACTATGTTCTAGAAAAGCCAAAGAGGAGCGAGGAAGAAGACCGGGGCCTGTCTGACGCCCAATGGGTTGCAAAGCCGCAAGCAAGTACGTAGCGTGTCGGGTCTGGCTCTTAGTGGCGGTGAGGAAAAGGACGAGTGAGCAAACGCAACGAAAAGACCGATAGGCGAATTGCACCCAACCCCACATTGGTTGCATCCACTCTGCATTCGTGGACTTTGGGGGGCGGCCCAGAGTCGTCATTGGAAAGCAAGGGAGCCGAAGAAGAAACGGGAAAAGAAGAAAGAAAAAAAAAGAAAAATGGGAGAATGAAAGAGAAAGCAAGACAGAAGTTTGAAGGCGAGAAGAAGCAAGGGTGACGACACCCCGATGGAATTCCTGGCCCGTTGTGTCGTCCGCTGCATTACACATCTCGCCCTTTCCAACGACAAGCCCTAAACACGGACCCCCGTGTTGGGCGCAGTGATTCATGACTGCGGAGAAACCACCCTCCTGTGGTCCTGATCCTGCGAGAGAGTTCCTAATCATGATGAATGGCCTAGGCTGTACCAAGCTGCCAGGTAACATGTCGGACCAGGTCGATACTGCATGGATGAATGTCGAGCAGCATTTTGCATAAGCCTATCAGCAGTGTATTCGCTAAAAGTAAGAAACTCTCCAGTCAATCAACCCGTAGGATCCGATTCCCTTGCCAGGTGGATTGAAGTCATTTCCGCCAAGAAGACAGACACGGCGACTTGGCTTTTCTTCGTTTCTTTCTTTCTGTCTTTCAAAGGGCGAAAAAAAAAAAAAAGTAAGTATTTCTTTTCTTTTTCTCCTCTCTTTCTTTTTGGTCCGAAAAATAGACAAAAGAAAAATGAGAGTCCTCCGCTTGTTGATGGAGAGTCGAAAACGAGCCATGAAGATCATGTCTTCCTCGAACAAGCCCCCTATGGATCTCCCACCTGTCGAGGGTTGGGTCTCTCTGTGTTACCCAAGAATTCGATCGGGTCAAAGTTGGAAAGTAAAAATGAAGGCGCCATTGTAATGATTCGAGTATGTTTTGGGTCCGATGCCGATCAGGCATATTCCCACGGTATCCGTACTAGTAATACTGAGCGGGAAGAGAGCCGCGACCGAACTGAACTGTAAGGCAAGAATCTTGGGAAGAGGTGAGGCAGCAAAGCCGTCGAGCAATGACGAGACCCGCATTAGGGGCCTTTAGGGGCACGATGTCAGTGGGTGCCGCTGTCACTGGCTGTCAATCAACCAAAATTTGGAGTGGTGATTTCTCATCCCGGCGGACGAGCCCAAGTCTGTCTGCCCTCGTTGAAAACACAGGCACTAAAGCATGTCAGCGTAGGGCTTTTTCTAAATCCCTCTCTTTTTAACGATTTTTTCGCCCTTCATCTGTTCAAGTTTGGCCGCTTTCCTTCTCTTCCTTCCCTAGATAGAGACTTGGCTTTGGGCCTTCTTCTTTTTTTTTTTTTCTCTCTCTCTCTCTTTTTTTTTTTTTTCAATCTTATTTTCTCGCTCTCAAACCTGGTTTCTTTTGGGTTTCAAATCCATGTCCACCGTTGCTCCACAAAGCAGGGCCGGGCTGCCTACCTGCAGGAACTCCCATCTTTCTGTTTTCATGTCCGTGATAGATGACCTGGCCATTCATCACTGCTGAGTGTCCTGCAAGTAACATTGAACCGCGTTTTCAAGGTCCACTTTCACACGTTTCCCCTCGAATTTCGCACGTCGACAGCGTTTAAGGCGTTTGTCTATCGTTCCTAGTCTCGGTGCTCGCATAGCTCCCAATTTTTGATAGTAGACAGCCGCCGATAAGCGGCCCGTAACGACGGTCTGAGGATCCAGCCATTCGGATATTCCTTGTCTGTCTTCTCAATATAATGCGCCACGAAGGTATAACGCCATGCTCGTTACACGGCTCAATTTTTGTTCCAGGGGCTACCGATACCATACCATGCCAATTTGACGATCCGAGGTAGATTTCTGCCGCTGAGATCGGACAAGGCGACCCGCATTAGAGCTTCGGAGACATCGTTAATGGTTTTTCTTGCACATCCTTTTAATTTTCGGGTTTTCAGTCCATGCAATGGTGTCCAACGCCGCTAACATTAGATCCCTGCTGTGGCCGTCTCCCATTTGGCGGATCCTGCGCCCTTGGGGGTCTTTCGAGCTCTCTCGCTGCGAATTCCATATCCTGTGCACTTGAGTTAGCGAGGTGAATTATTGAGATATGGTTTCAGAACTAACAAAAAATATTTCTTTTCCTTCCCTCATTAAATCCCGCGACGATCCCAGACAGCCAATCCTGCACCTCTCCGGTCTCCACTTACCTCATATCGCCGGCAGATCCTTGTTGAAATATACCACCATAAATGACAACACGCTAGGTAAGACCCTCGATCTTAAACGTGAAACCGAGAGAAAGGGGCCACGAAGTGCCCAACACAACGTAGCTGACAGCGGACGGCATTAACACCAATCGCGATAAAGAGTCCTCGTCCTTGGTCGGTTCCGTAGTCACGCCATTCTCTTATCACCCTCGTTCAACGGCCGAATAAGCCTTGGAATCCCATCCTCAACATCCATGTTTTCCCAGCCACCCAGCCTCCCCAGTTTAAGGAGGAATCGGATAAGATCGGCTGGAATAGAAGAGCCATTGAGGACTAAAAAGTGAGCTAGAAGAGGGTGAGAGAAGAGAGGGCAATGTGTCCCACGGATGAAAGGCGACGGAAGCAATGAGACGTGGAAAGTATAGAGAACGATACTGCAAGCCAAGTAGCCCCAATCACCGGCGGGAGAAAAGAAAAGAGAGAAGCATCTTCTCCAGCCTCTCTCCCTCTCATTCTCCTTTTATATTCTCCTGGTGGCCCCCAATTCCCCCAATTCCCCCAATTGCAGCCCAACGGAAAAAGAAGAGAATGGAGGCCGAGTTGCGTGCCCGACAAAGTCGCCACAGGAGCGCGGAAGAAAGTCCGAGTGGAGGGAGGAGGAGGAGGGCTGGACCAGTCTCCAGTCTTCGATTCTCCTCCCTAGAGTTTTCGTCTTCCCACCCAGAGCGGGGTCGGTCCGAGAGAAGGAGCGAATTGGCGGCCAGGTAGGGAAAGATGGGCGGAATCGGGGGGTTGGGATTGGAGAAAGTCCGGAGGAGTGGGAGGGCGAGGCCTGAGGGGGGGGAGGAGGGAGGGCGAGAAAAGTCTCGCAGTGCCCAATGAATCTCGACACTCATTCCCCTCTCGCTTTCGAAGGGGGTCATAGTTCTCATCTTGCCCCATTCCGCCGGATGGATGACTTTCCGTCCAGGCTTATAAAAGCCCTCCTCTGTTCCGTCTTCCTCGTCTTCTCTTTCTCTTCCTCTTTCATCTTTCCTATCTTCATCTTACCTTCTCTGCTTCCATCGTCGTCTTCTTCAAACAGGTCAACCACCCTAGCTTTCCCTTAGTCAACTTGTTATCAAGGCACTGTTCCTTCACGCCTATCTTCTTACCTGCTCCCATCAACGAGCACCGCCAGCCATCGATATGACTACCCAGCACTACCAAGCTCCTGCTTTTCCCATCAATGTTCCCTCCAAGGCCCCGGCACCGGCCGGTCTCTACCCAGTCAGCCGTGTCTCTGGCTCTCCTCCGGATCTCTCGGACACCAGCACTACTGCGGGAAGTCGCACCTCTGCCGGCTTCAGTTACGGCTCCGGAAGTCTCAGCGGCGACTATGAGTCCAGCTCGGCCTCGTACTCGGGGGTTGACGTTGTCGACGTTCTGGGTGACCGCATGCAGAACGCCTTCGATCCAACCCCATTGGACAAAGGGCTGGCAATGCAGGCGCAAACGTGAGGCTTCTCCGCATTATTCACTGGGAAGATATGCTAAAGACATCAAAACAGTTCGGGACAACTGAATGCAAAGCAGCGAGAACTTCTCGAGTTGCAAGCTCTCGCTCAGCGTCGTCTGAAAGGTGTTCGCTCCAACTTCTCCGATGGCATTAAAGTTGCCCGTGAAACCAAACGGGATCTGGAATGGACTCAGAAACGTGTGAAGTAAGTGCAGATGAACATCCACGAAGTCCCCGCCATTTCAGATATAAGGATCGTCGTCGTGATCTCCGCTCCGCCGAGCATGTGCGGAGACCCGCCGCGCTCCGCTGTCCAAGTTGTTCTTGGCAGTATGTATCTGGCTGGTAGATCGAGATAACGACGGATTCATTGGATAACTGTGCCTCTTAATATCCGCCTTGCAATACTGACTGTGTTTGACTTTAGCGCGTTGAAGACGAAAGCCGAAAGCGTGCACCCAGAGGAATACCGACGGGCATCCAAGAAATATACCTATGACGACAACTGAGCTTCGCGCAAGAGGTCAGAAAACGGCCAACCCTCTTTTATATCTCACGTGACATTATGATTTTTGGTGGTAACATTGTCTGGGACGGTTCATATTGGGTAATTTATTTGGAGTTTCACGACGTGTATATTGGGATATGTTTATATCGGTAGCGCTTTGATTTAGATGGAATACACACCATTTTTCTTTTGCCAATTCTTTTGCGAGTCGGGCTGGGAAGTGCAGCTGCCGCCGGCAAAAGCGAGGTTTGGAGTCGTCATTTCACATCACATCACAAGGACAAACCCGGTCATGTGCCAGCCCTATGACCGGGGGCTCGTGTGAGCACGGTCCTCTTGGGCGACGCGGAGAGGTGCTGCTGTTTCAATATGTCCGCCAGCCCTCATCAAGACGCCCTCTATTCTGCACAGCTCCCCCTAACATCCCTGTTCTTCCATATTCAGAGGGAAAGACTGATCACAGCACGAAACCATGGGGAGAGCTCACCATCCCTGTCAGGTCAGATAGCAAATCCCGCTGAAAATTCACAACTCAGTCTATGAGCAAAAAAGCAATCGACGAAAGGCGAATGGACAAAAAGTGGAAAGTAAGTGTTCGGTCGTCCGCTCGACCCGCACTCCGCTGGCGGACATCCTCACGCCGCCTTGTTCCGCTCCGCCCTCCGTTTTCGTCCATTCTGCATGCCGCTTTTGCGCCTGAGCCCAGTTCCGCCTCTCTAAGGCATTGTCTCCCTCGTGGTCAATGTGCGTTGCCGCTGCAGGGACAGGTCCGCTTCTATTGGGCCAGATGGGGACTCTAATGCGCCGCCGGCGGCTGGATTGGCGTAATTAGTCTGCCTCGAGAAGGCACAGTAGCCAATTATGCTGTAGTTTGGCTGTTCTAGTAGGAGAGACTGGGCCAGTGGGGAGAGGACTTGTAGGTCCCGGACGGAGGGAGTGTGGGACATGGGGCTGTGGGGGGCCGATTGGCTGCAGGATCCAGTAGTTAGCAGCTAAAATAGTTATTGTCATCGGCGTGCACCCATTGTGCCTGAGACACGTACCATAAAAGCTTTGTAGATGGATATCAGGACAGTAGAGTAATGCATCAAGTTTGGTGTCTTGTCTGGAGAGATGTTGTTCAACGAATGAATGAAATGGGGAACCGAAAGAAGTGAGGCGGACGCGAATCTCAGATCAGGGAGGAGCATCCCATATTGGCCTCAGGCAGACAGGTATTCTTTCTCTGCCGAGGATCTTCTGGTTATGCCCACCTACTATACTTGACGCTCTTCCCTTGAGTTAGTCTTGTCGGTAGTGGCGAAGCTAACAGTTAGTTGAGTGCCCCTAATACTTACCTAGCAGCCCAGTCAATCGGGCTGACACCTCCCAAATATAGAGGATCAGCACTCAATTCGATCTTATTAGAGCATAATGAAAAGTAGATCCGAATGGAAACCAGGAGCCCTCGGACCGTGTTGGAAGGAATAGAAAACCTGTTGTGATTGCCAACCAAGACTCAGGATGTTGAGCATGAAAGTATGGTTTCAGGGGCAAGTCCGGTTTCTATATTTGGACTCGGGAGAGCTGCGCTATAGTAAACCAGAACTCTACACCCTACGCGTAAAGATAAATATCAGGAACAAGCATTGCTCGGCATGGGGAATTGAAGATAAGAAAGATTTTCACTCCTGCATAAGTCAAAGAACCCATTTAGAAAGGGGGTAAGAAAACATGTTCTAGATGATTGTTTTCTCAGCCCTCATTGCCCGGTCGCCCACAGCCTTGAGGATTCCCGGACCACACAACTAGAATCCACTGTAGCCCATTTTCCCCGGATCGAGTTAACACTTCCTTTGTCATTCATCACATCATCTCATCGTTCAACCATGATAGACCTTCATACACCATTGGTTTTCACACCATAGCCATCGTGAAATCAAAACATCATACAGTCGAGTCGAAACTGCCGAGACCCGGAAGTAACGCTGCGTCACATCTGTTTCAAAATTGGGGTTAGCCGTTGAAAGATATGAAGAGCAAGCAAGGAAGAAGAGAAAACAAAGGATTCGAGAGAAAGAAGAAACAAGGATGGAAGCCACTAACCACCATCGACCACTACACTCAGTCATAATAGGCTTCACATCCTTCCACGGATCTTCCACAAAACTTGGAAGGAAATAAGCCGTGTCTTTGTTGAGGATTTTCACACCGCGGGATAAGTTGTGCAGTTCGTTTTTTCTCAGATGGGTGCCGTTTGGAGCAGTGTAACCTCCAACTTCAGTACGAGGAGCAGACTGGTTACCAACGGATTTCTTCGGCTCACTGACAATCTTTGGAGTAGTTCTGGCACCAGAGATCATTGGGAGATTGGGGTTTGTCGGTTCACTGTTGTTGCGCGGTCGGTTCGAAGATCGAGCCCCAGAACGATAGGTAGTCTGGGATACAGCGATCTTTTTCACCTCATCAAGGGAAGAGGGTCCTTTTCTATTGTTGGGCACGATGACGGGATGGTTGCCGAGGAGTCTGGTGGCTAAAGGTCCTAACGCGTCAGAGATGACTACAACATGGGGACATGGTTGATATGGCACAGAGATAGCAATAGACCCAACTTACTTCTAGTCGCGTTGTTCGGGCTACTTTGGACATTAGGAAATCGATTAGCAGAAAGCTGAACTGCAGCCACAGCTCCATCCTGCTTCTCGTTTCTTCCGCCAAAATTATCACCCAGGGCAACCGCAGCATCAGGCGCGAGGAAGGCATTCTCAACAGCCTGATGCTTCTTGTCCTCTTTGAGACGAATGACCTCGTTTGCCATCTCACGGCGTGTAGCTTGAACCTTCCATTCCTCGAAGAGTGAGGAGGATCGGTTCTTCAGACGTCTGTGAAATGGCTCGTGCACTGTATTGGGCATTGTTTCAAGCTGGGCCAATGCTGTAGAAGAGCCTTCAGAATAACGACAGCCTTGGATGGTCTGAGGACCCCATTCCTCCAGAAGACTGTATTCCTCGGGTGACATTTCCTTCTTGAGGATCTGTTTGGGCTGAGTGTAGTGAGACATGATGATCTTGGGTATCTGCAGGCTATTGCGTAATTGATGGGATATTGTAGAATTGTTTTGATGATAAGTGATGAGGATGGAGGAATGAGAGATGAGGGCAGGGTTGAGAGGGGGGTGGAGAGGGTAAGGGGACGAATCTGTCCAAGACAGAAGTAGGTGAAGGCAAGGTAGAGGTGGAGGATGGAGGATGCCTGTCTTGTGATATGGCAACTGCCCACCCAAACAACACTAAGGTACTCTTGCTACAATATCAATTCACTTAACACCATCCATACCCTGAATGCCCACGAAGACAAAAAAAAAATGAATACAGCTTATATTACCAAACCCCATTAGTCTAAAGATAACCTATCCAACAATGTACAGTGTAAATCACATGAGAGCTCCTTTGCCAACACATATTTTACGTGAACGTCCGCTCCTCCTCAATCGCTCTGTTAATGACACGCACGAAACGTCCAACCTTGTCGGCATCTTGCTTGGCCGTCTCAATTCCCAAAAGAATCTTCTTGATGCCGACACCGATGGTCTTGTCCTCCGCGATGCCTCCAATGCTTCTCAGCGCCTGTTTGATTTCCTCGGGCTCAAAGGCACCCGAGTTTTGCATGATGTGTTCCAGTTCTTGATACGACATCACGTTAGGCACCATGATATCAGAGTTGAAGGAGTTGTAAACATCCAGCTGCTTCAGCACGGCCCTCTCTGTCGAGGTGGCCAGGATCAACAGACGCCGTTCTTTGCTCGGCTGCTTCCGAAGGAAGACCATCAGAGTTTGCAGAACGGTGTTGCTGAATCGAGGACCGATGGGAACCCAGTCGATGATTCTCTCAATATTATCAACCACGACTACACTCGTGCGACTCTTGTAGGCATCATCGAAGACCTTGCTGATGTGCTGGACCTTGGCCATTTCACTGTAACCAACCATGTCCTCGGGGCTGATGAGTTTAATAAACGGGAAGCCCGAGTCAATGGCAATTCGAGCTGCCAGCGCTGTCTTTCCGCTTGCGGTTGGGCCATGCAGCAAGACAGAAAACAGAGGCGTCGATTCGCCAACCTGTTTCACGAAAAGCTCTCCCTCCTTCAGGATTTCATTAATAGCCAGCGAGTAGTGGATGATACCGTACTGGATACGGCTGGAAAGCTCTTCCTCCGAGACACCGAAAGCGGGCTGGACCTCACTGAGGGCATGGTGGAAATCGGCCCGGTTAACCTTCATATTCACGACATCGTCGCTAATGCCAGCCATCGTGCCGACCTTGACATGTCGGGTGAAAGCAAAGGACGATGCGGACTTGACGAGACCTGCAATTTCGGCACCCGAAAAGTTCTTGGTCATGAGAGCCAGCTCAGGCAGATCCACATCCTTATCCATCACATTGTTGTCCCTCATCTTTTGCGTGTGAATCTTGAGGATTTGGCTTCGGCCATGCTCGTCAGGGAGAGAGATCTCCATGTGTACTTCCAGACGGCCAGGTCGCAGCAGCGCCTCATCAATCATATCCTTTCTGTTTGTCATTCCAATAAGCAGAATGTTGTTGAGCTGGTCAACACCATCAAGCTTCGAGAGCAACTGGTTGACTACGCTATCACCCACGCCAGTACCGCCACCTGCGCCACTGCCACGCTGCTTGCAAACGGCATCTAGCTCATCGAAGATGATGATGTGCAGTCCACTTTCTTCGCCCTTCTCCTTGTATTCCTTCTCTGCATCGGCAAACATTTTCCGGATATTCTCTTCCGATTGACCGACGAACTTGTTCAAAACTTCGGGGCCGTTGATGATTTTCGGTTCCCGAGCGTTCAGCATCTTTCCAATCTGCCGGGCAATCAACGTCTTACCCGTTCCTGGCGGGCCGTACAGCAAAAGACCTTTCACGTGCTGAATTCCAAGCTTCTCAACCAGACCCGGGGGGAAGATACGCGAGGCGAAGGCACGACGGAAGATGGTGCTGAATTCGGAGTCGAGACCACCAATTCCCATATTCTCGAACTTGAAATCCGGTGTGATGATAGAGTTGGCCGCCGGGCGACGATTCGACGCCTTGAGGTTGATACCGGTCCGAGCATCTTTGAAGAAAGAGATCTGTGAATGTCTCGTAAGGATACCTCGTGCGAGGGGGTCAGTCTCGGTACGCCCGCCCTCAGAATTGCTTTTCTCGGAGCTCAAATCAACCCGCTGGACGGTCTTGACTGTCAAAAGAAGAGGGATGCTTTTATGATCCATCAAGATCTTCTGACCCGGTGAAAAGATCTGGTTTTCGAAGTTCTTGATCACATAATTGGCAAGTTCATCCTGATCATACGGCGTTTCAATCCTCTTCTTCCCCGCGAACCCGACTTCAATATCCGCGGAGCCCAAGTATGCCTGACCGCCCTGGCTGAAAGGGTCGTAGATCTGCACTTTGACGCTGTCGGTGAACGCGACGCCAGCCCACGTCCGTTGGGGATCCGACATGCTAATATGTCCGGGCGGGAATCCATCGAGTGGGCGCGCGGAGAAGACGTAGAGGTCGTTCACAAGGAGCAAAAGGTCAAGGCCGTCGCGGGAGGGAGGGATGTCCTGTGTCGATACCGCAACCAGGTTGCCGAAGGTGTAGGTGTTATCCGGGCTTTTGGCAGGGCGGAGAGACCAAGCTTTGCCTGATCCTGCGGGGGCTCGAGGAGGCTGCGGGGGCCCTCCATATCCAGGCATGGGCGAGCCGCTTTCATACCGATACTGAGGATGTCCCTGTCCCTGCGGTGGGTTCCCATAACCCTCTCGAGAAGCTCGGGACGCGAACGGGTTGGGCACAGAGGGGCGATTAAACATTTTGATTTATAGGTGAGTATGTTCTCAGTAGACGGTTGGATTAGAGACGGTAGAGCGATGCGAGTGAATGAGGGGAGTAAGCGTAACGCTGAGCAGTAGAAGATGAATGGCGCCGCCGGCAGCTATCAAGTCAAATCAATTCAAAAACACTAGCAAAGGCAGCTTCAAGAGAGATAGAATTTAATATCTGATGATCTGGTAGTAGACTAGATCGACCAGACAGGATTAGAGTATGGAGATATGTGAGATGCAGAGAACGTGGCGGGGAGAGCTGGAGATGAACAGAACAGGCTGGACGGTCGGGAAGGCAACAAGACGTCAGCCACTTCGGACCCGGAGCTCCGGACCCGCCGACCGAAGCTTTCCGGCGCATCTTATCGTGGTCTGGAACCATCTTTCCTTCTCTGATAGCTTTCCCTTTGGAGGTGCTATCTAGCTGGTTTTCAAGATGCCGCTGTTCGTGTCCATCATTTCCCCCCTTTTATACCATAGTTAAATGCGCTAACACCCCCTTTTACAGCCACCTTTTAGGCAAGAAATCATGGAACGTTTACAATCCGGAGAACATCGCCCGCGTGCGGCGGGACGAGGCCCAAGCCAAAGCGCGCGAAGAGGAACAAGAACGACTGATGCAAGAGGAGGACGCTGAGCGACGAATCCAAGTTCTTCGCGGCGAAAAGCCCTCGACTCCTCCACCCCCTCCCCGATTGCCGTCGCCCACCTCCCGGTCGGAAAGGAAGAGCCATACAGATCATATAGGAAGAAGCAGGAAACGACGACGTCTGGCCGGGGAGAATGACACCGATCGCGATATAAGATTTGCACGGGAAGATGCGCAATTTACGCTTGCCAAGCGAGAGGAACTGGCTTCGTCGCGCACCAGCGATGCGCCCCTTGAGGACAGTGCCGGTCACATCAATTTGTTCCCGTCAAATGAGTCGAAGCGGCCTGTCGAGAAGAACGCAGAAGCCGAAAAGGAATCGGCCAATAAACAGAGGAGCTATGAGGACCAGTACACCATGCGGTTCTCCAACGCAGCGGGGTTTCGTCAATCGGTTGGTCAGAAACCGTGGTATTCCTCTTCTGGTACTGATGCTATGGCGCCGGAATCCGTCTCTGGAAAGGATGTGTGGGGGAATGAGGATCCAATGAGAAAAGAAAGGGAAAAATCTCGCATGGATGCCAATGACCCTCTAGCGGCCGTAAGAAAAGGCGTCCGTCAGTTGAAATCCGTCGAACAAGAAAGAAGAAAGTGGAATGAAGAAAGAAGCCGTGAGTTGGAAGCATTGAAAACAGCAGAGAAAGACCGACCCCGGCACCGCAGGAGAAGATCGCGATCAGAAGACAGCCTTGAGGGATTCAGGCTTGATGCATCCCCGGAAAGACGCCGCGAGGATAGGGATCGAAAGTCACATCGGCACCACCGACATGGTCGAGATAGGAGTAGAGATCGGTCACATAAGAGCAGACATCACTCCGACTCCCGCTCTCATCGGCATGGTCGCGATCACCGCCGCAGTCGGAATGAACATCGACATCGCGACAGACTTTGATTGTAATCTCAAGCAATGAGACTCATGACTCAACGGCCAATGATAACTAATTATTTACGAAGATACCCGTATATATTTTGATACTCTTGAAATAGACCGAGCCATCGGGACTATTTCACATTCAATAGCAATTCCAATTCTATCCATGATATATCCCTTTTATTTGAACCCGAACGAGAAACCAACTCACAAGAGTCTAAATAGCAACAGTAACAGAACTTTTCAAATCTAGGCCAGACTCCATTCCTGAGATCCCTTCTCGACATCCTGTACATCCCAGTCGACGGTGATATCCAGGGCCCGCGATTTCTCTGATTTCTTCTGGTACCCAATCTTTCCGGTGATGGTCTGTCCCTTCTTCAAAGGAGTCGCGCGCTTCTTTCCGTGATCAATGAGGCAAATGCCCTGTTGCCAATGAGTTTCGGTCCCATAAGGTCCCGTGGTGAAGGCGACGATGCCCTTCTTCTGCATCTCCGACGGAATAGCATTGTCGGAAATGGTGGATTCTCTGGATGGCATAAAGAACATGTCGAACCAGATAGCGAAACCATCCAGCGCATCGACGTCCTCCGTCAAAGTAACCTTGAAATCCTTCAAGAAGGAGAGTTCGTCGACAGTGATGGTGTGCAGCGGGAGAGGAAGGAAGATGTTAGAGTCGCCAGGGATGGCCGACGGCTGGATGGAGCGAACAAGTGCCTCGTCGTAGATTCCGGTCAGCATGCTGGACATGTTGAAGCCGTAAACGGAGTGCCAGAACGAGATGTGCGACGCGATGAAGTCGGGATCCGCGAAAGGAGCGATACGGAGCGTAGCATGCGACGGGACCATAAGTCCATCAGGAGCGAGATATCGGTCTCTAGCATAGATGACGGAATCAAACATAGCCTCGAAGAGCAGGCAGTATCCCATCCATTCAGACACGATGATGTCAACTTGAGGAACAGGCAACTCAACTTCTTCGATCTTGCCGCGGATTGGTCTGGATTTGAGTCAGTCATTGCATAGGACACTCGGCTCGAAGAGGGAAACGTACGTGATCACATCACCAAATCCATTCTCATAGATGATCTCCTTGGCTCTGTCGATGATATTGGAGTTGTCGACGGAAATGACCTTCTTGGCGCCTGCTTTGGCGCAGAACATGGACAGGATACCGGTTCCGCATCCAACATCTAAGACAACCTTATCCTTGAAGAGGTGCTTGTTGTCGTAAACAAAGTCCCGGTAAGAATCGGTGCGGACGCTGTCCTTCAGCATGGACTCGTGAATTCCTGATTGACATCAACATACGATCGAAATGGACCTTAAAGCGCAGAATTTACCGTTGTAAGAATAAGACACAAAATAATCGGCGTCAATCTCATCAACCTTGCTCTGGGCGCGTTGAGATGGGCCGGGAGCGAGCTTTTCATCCTCCTTCGACAACTGCTCTTCCATGGATTGCTGCACGGCGGATCGGTATTCGGAGAATTGAGTCTGAAGGCGTTCAAGTTCCTCCTGCAGTTCGACCACTTGCCGCTCTGCGTCCGTACCACCAGGGGCGTCCGATGCCTCCTCATCTTCAATGTCGTCCAAACTATACAAGAGAGCGTCGTCCTCGAGAACGGGCTTCAAATAAATGTCGTCGTCGAATTTGTCCGTAGAGGTCACATCCGGGCTGGTGTTTCCCGCCTTCACCTGGGAGCGAATGTAGTTGACCAATTTGATGGTGCCCAAAAAGTCCAGGCCTGATGCCCAATTAAGAGAAGGTTAGCCACGACGCTCCAGGAGATGAGGTTGCCAACAAAGATCGACCGGTCCTAAGCAGCGGAAATCCTCATACGTTATGGTTCGATTCGATTGGCTACACACCGAGGTTCATTTGTACCTTGCGCAGGTCAAAATCGTGCTTTTCTTTGCTCTCCTTCAGCATGGAGTTGACATCGGGATAGACTTTCTCGGAGAAGAGTCCAACCACGGGCTGGGTCTCATCATCGGGTTCGACATCCTCCCATCCATCTTCATTGCTGAGTTCCGAATCTTCGGAGGTTGTCGAGCGAGCGTCGTCGTCCTTGAGAGGGCGCTCCGAGGGGATGGAAGCCGACATCGTGACGATTGCGGGGCAGTTGGGATTGTACGAAACTGACTGAGACACCTGAAACTCCGGGTGGTTGGCCGACAAAGAATAGAATGAAAAAAAGCCTGAATACCCAATTTAATTCACAAAAGAATGAATTAAAAGAGCAAGGGTAGAGCGGGAATAGTGTTGCAGGAGGAGAGGGGCAAGCGGAGGGGTCCCTCTCAGTGTTCTGTCCCAATGTCCCTGTCCAGAAAAAAAAAAAAAAAAAAAAAAGGTTGCCCCGCCCACCTGACGAAGGCGGGCCCAGAACGGCGGTTTATCGGGCCTGAGGCTTCACCCCGCCAACGCAGCGTCACCGCCCGGGCAGTAATCAATCAGTCAATAGAGACACTCCGTCATCCTCACTCGTCTCTCGCTCGCTCCTATCCCTTTTCACCCCTCAATCCCTCCTTCTTCCATCCTTAGCAGGGGTCAATTGCTCTCTTCTCTTTGTTTTGCATGATCCGGTCCTAATCCCTCCTCCACCCCGTCCACTTGACCACCCGAGAGCTTGCTTCTCTACCGCAGCATCAGCCGTACCCAGGCGATTCTTCCGGCATAAACATATCAGAATGGCTTTCCTCTTTAGTCGTGGTCGTTCTCGCCAGCCCTCTGATCTGGTTAGATCGATAAAAGATCTGTTGCCGAGATTACCTGAGAATTTGCCCGATCCGTCAGTGCCCAACAAGGTGTGTTGACCATCATGTTTTCTTTTGTGTTTGTTTTTCTTTATTTGTTTGCCTGGAGCCAGAAGAGCCGACGATTTACTGACCTGCCTCTGCGAACAGGTTGCAGATGACTTATCGAGGCAGCTTTCCCAGGTGAAATTGATCGTTCAAGGAACCCAAGGTATGTGTAGTCGCGCCTGCATATGCTCCAACGCCCTCAATCCTAATCGGAGTTGTCTTTCTAGAGATCGAAGTTTCGCCCGAGCAGGTGCATGCGCTCGTCCAGGCAACACTACAAGAAGACTTACTTTTCGAGCTTTCCCGATACCTTCATCGCCTTCCATTCGAAGCCCGAAAAGACACGCAGACCATATTCTCGCATGTACTCCGTTTCAAACCCGCCCATGGGAACCATGCCGACCCTCCCGTTATCTCCTATATCGTCCACAATCGCCCTGAAATTATCATCGAGCTATGCAAGGGCTACGAATACAGTCCCAGTGCCATGCCGTGCGGCACGATTCTGAGGGAAGCGCTGAAGTTCGATGTGATTGCCGCCATCATCCTCTATGACCAGTCTCAAGAGGGCGACCCCGCCATCCGGCTCACGGAAGTACAGCCGGGCATCCCCCAAGGAGGAACGGGCATCTTTTGGAGGTTCTTCACATGGATTGATAGGGGAAGCTTTGAGCTGAGCGCTGATGCTTTTACGACTTTCCGGGTAAGCAGTGTTCATCATATATACCTTGTTGAGGAGACTAACACAGACACAGGAGATCCTGACCCGTCACAAGTCGCTCGTAACGGGATATCTTGCAACAAACTTCGACCGATTCTTTGGCATGTTCAACTCGACGCTGGTGCAGTCGGACTCGTATGTCACCAAGCGTCAAAGCATCAAGCTACTAGGGGAGATCCTGCTGGACCGAGCCAACTACAACGTGATGATGGCGTATGTGGAGAGCGGAGAGAACCTCAAACTCTGCATGAAGCTCCTGCGAGATGATCGCAAGATGGTCCAGTACGAGGGATTTCACGTGTTCAAGGTATGTGTGTCCCGGAGGAGAAATGATGTGCGATTCCGATCTGACCGGGAATGCGACGTAGGTGTTTGTGGCCAATCCCAACAAATCGGTGGCGGTGCAGCGGATTTTGATCAACAACCGGGACCGCCTGCTGAAGTTCTTGCCCAAATTCCTCGAGGACCGCACGGACGATGACCAATTCACCGACGAGAAGAGTTTCCTGGTGCGTCAGATCGAGCTGTTGCCGAAAGAACCCATCGAACCGGTACGTTCGGCCCGTGAGCCATCTCGACCGGCGGCGGCTGTGTCTTGAAGATCTCCTAAGGGGATTTCTTTGGCATCTTGGTTACTTTATTATCGTTCTCATTGTTTTCTATTGTTCGAGTCCCATGATCGTCATGACAATCTGTACAGTGATGCGGCCGAGTGGTATGGTCTATATATACGTGCGCCGTGTCTTCGGAATTCTCGTTCGCATTGAGGGACTGCTGGTATCGGACCTTCTTGGAGTTGCGGCGTCTGTCGATAACTAGTTATTCGGAGAATTTCTTTGTGTTTTGATGCGGTTTACTTTTGCGTTGCTATGGGCAGTGGTCAAGGGCCATTCAAGGCAGGGAAAAAGCCTGATGGAAGACGAACATGGAAAAGGGAAACCCCCAAACAAAGCCCTTGCATTCGGGGATGTAGATAGAGACCGAAGTGGATCAGAATCTGCAATTCAAATTTCACCAGTGGACAAAAGCCCTGAATTTTGCGCCTGAAGAAGTCAGCCGGGCTATTAATAGGAGAAAAGTCGTCGACTTCATCCATGGGACGTGAGGGCACAAGGGTGGAGGCTCGATTTTTGGTTCCCCGGGAATGCTTTTTGTTTTTTTATTTTTTATTTTTTTTTGGTTCACTGTTTTTCCTTCTGGAATATTTTTCTTTCTGTCTTCTGATCTCAGCTTCAGGCAGTGCAAAGACTCCAAGGCTCAGTCGACTCCGCCTGTCCTACCGTCTTCAACGGGGTCAACGAACTATACGGGGGGGACTCCATAGAATCTATAATTATTCAACGACCGAGTAAATTGGCCCCTCCTTCTCCTTCTCCGATCCACATGCTGCGTGGCCCCGACCGATGAAACTGGTTTAGCGGGCCTGTTAGTGATATGAAAGCCCTCCCGTGTGGATCGCAGGCCCCCTTCGCGATCCCTGCTTGCGCTGAAGGCCGTTCCATGGACGCCCTTCACGCCGCGCTTCTCTTTGGCTTTTTTTTCTTCGTCTTCTTCTCCAGTCCCCGAGTCGTCTGTCTGCGATCGACTGATCTGATCTCTGAGCCAGTGTCACCGTCAGGAACCACCACCATCTTGCCATTGGGAACGCTGCAAAAGACTCCCTAGAAGCGAACCGTGGAGAAGCTTGTCGTTGCCAAGGCCTCCTAGACATCAATCAGTCAATCACCAACCACTCTCCTTCACGCTCCATCGGACCTCAACCTTCCCCTGTCGCTACTTCGCTTCGCCTCATCAAGCGCCGTTTTGGGGGCGGTCATGTTCGATTGCGCCGGTGCCTTTTCCCCCCTCGCCATCTTGCATTCTCCCGTCCTTCCTTCGGCGATCCTCCCCGTTGCGCTACATACTCGGCCATAGACCCAATTTCTCTCCCCTCTCCCTCTCCCTCTCCCTCTCTTCCTCTCTCGTCTCCTCTCTCTTCCTCCCACACGCCTCCCTTGATTTCGCTCTTTCTTTCCCTTTCGTCCTCACCACCGCTCGTCTGAGGGAACCCAACAAAGGAAGGGAGACAATCAGATCCTCTAAGGGAGGAAGAACCGATTGCCATTGCCGATCAGCTAGGCAAACGGGAAAAAGAAAAAAAAAAATAGCATCCATTGCACGAACTAATTTCACAGGAGACTTCTTTCGCCCTCCTCCCCCCTCTCCTCAAGTCATGCCCGAATAATGGGTGAAATGCGATCCGCTTCTGTATCCGGTGCCGTGATGACCGACTCGGGCGCATCCCTCCACGCCGTTCCCTATGAAGATACGACCCGATCCGCCTCCTTGCCAGGCCCGGGGGACCTGACCCTGTGTCCCCAAGATACTTGCACCACCACCGCCTCGTCCAACGATCAGGGGCCGTCCCCGTCGCATGCGAATGGCACCCGCGAATCGAGGAGTCGGGCGGTCCCGTCAGAACATACACACTCCGTGGTGAGTTTGCGCTCGCTGCGGAGTATCCCCAGCATTGTGGTCAACGATGGGGGATCTCGCCCCAGCTCTCGTCCGGGGTCGCGTCCCGGATCGCGATGGTCGGAGCGGAAATGGGGTGGGCTGAGGGGTAGAAAATCGACCGAACTGGATAGAGACTCACCGCCTCCTGTGCCTCAGATCGAGTCTCCCTTCAATGGGATCGCGTTGGATATCCCGGCACCTTCTCTGGACGGACTGGGCCCACAGTCGATGCGGTTCTCCAAGCGCGGCAGTCTGATCACCGAGGAGGAACGACAGAAACTCCAGCGTCAGATCCACGAGCAGGAATTGCGCCAGAAGGAGGGACGACCCTCGACCGACATCCGAGGCTCGGAGAAAGAACCCCCACCGCAGCAGCAGCAGCAGCAACCCGTGACGGAAACACCGCCTTTACCTCCCGCCCCGACTGACCCAGATGACTCGGAGCCTGAGATTTCGGAAATGCCACCCAGGCGCCCGAAACCAGCGTCGTCGCTTCGTGTCCGGCAAAGTGCCATTGCAAATCGAGCCATCTCGGCAGATGAGGATATGTTGTCGCGTCGGGTCAGATTGATGTATGAAAAGGGGGACGATAATGTGTCGGACACCGAGGTGGCCAAGTCGTTGGCCATGGAGAACGGGGTTCTGTGGGAAGAAGCCGGCGCGACCAGTACAGACACGTCTCGTCTCTCGGGGCCGAGCATGTCTGGGGCCGAAACCAAGAGCATCGTATCGTCGGTCGGCCCTGAGAATCCATCGAACCACAAGAAGGAGGCTCATGAGCTCGCGGGCGGTATTGAATATTGGCAGGACATCAGAGCCGGAGATGTAGACCGCTACGGCTTTATACGCTCCCCAACATCCAACTCCAACGAGGGCATGGATCCCTCTCCAATTCAACGGGTCTCTACCAGTCTGCTGCTTGCCTCGACTACGCCACGGCGCAAACTGTCCATTCGGCCGCCATCTGCTCTAGGCAGTAACCGCTCCCTTACCGGCCGCTCACCTGCGCGGAAGATGATTTCTGAGCCGTCCGTCCGTCCGTCATCGTCGCAAAGCACGTATAGCGCGCCGCTACGACGATCAACGTCGAAATTCCGACAGGCCACCAATTTTCTCCCCCACAACCGGGATCGTCGATTCAAAGACGAGGCAGGAGACATGCTCACCCTCCCGACCGATACGACTCCCAAGGGCAGAGCCGAGACGGCTGCTGCCCGTGCTGCGCGTAAGAAAGAATGGGAGCGAGAAGACAAGTGGACAAAAATGGCCAAGCCAGTCCGGCGGGGAACCCACGGGGGTGGCATGTCCTTCGAATTCGACACGCAGAGCTCCAAACTCATCGAACGCACATGGAAGGGAATACCGGACCGGTGGCGCGCCAGTGCGTGGTATGCCTTTCTCGAGGCGAGCGCCAAACGACACAGCGACAGCCCCGGGATAGAGGAGCTCATCGAAGCGTACAATAACTATCAGCTGGTCTCGTCCCCGGACGATGTGCAGATCGACATCGACGTTCCGCGAACCATCACGAGTCACATAATGTTTCGCCGTCGGTACCGTGGTGGGCAACGGTTGTTGTTTCGGGTGCTGCATGCCATGTCGTTGTACTTCCCCGATACGGGCTATGTTCAAGGCATGGCGGCGCTTGCTGCGACGCTCCTCGCGTACTATGACGAGGAGCATGCTTTTATTATGCTTGTGCGACTATGGCAACTGCGTGGCTTGGAGGCATTGTACCGGTCTGGGTTTGCGGGTCTCATGGAAGCACTCGGTGATTTCGAGCGAGAATGGTTAGGAAAGGGGGAAGTTGCTGCGAAGCTGGTAGGTTAACAAGTTATTAGTCACGGTATGCTTCTGATTCACTGACACTTGCGATACAGGAAGAACTAGGGATTCCACCGACAGCGTACGGCACCCGATGGTATCTCACATTATTCAATTATTCGATCCCATTTCCCGCCCAACTACGCGTGTGGGATGTTTTCATGCTCCTAGGCGATGCCGAAGAGCCGAATGCTCCTGCGACTCCAGCCAAAGGGACGGAAGCCGGTGAGAACTGCACGGGGATCTTTGGCAAGGGACTGGACGTCCTACACGCCAGTTCGGCCGCCCTGATCGACGGTATGCGCGAAATCGTCCTCGAATCGGACTTCGAGAACGGCATGAAAGTCCTCACCAGCTGGGTTCCCATCAAAGACGTGGAGCTCTTCATGCGTGTTGCAAAAGCGGAATGGAAGGTCCACCGTCGAAAGAAGTCCGCCCAAGGCTGATCAGCTCTCTTAGCCCTTCATATGGGGGCGCTCAATGCTGCGACGTGACCCGATGACCCGGTAGACGCACATTCTACACCAAAGGCATTCATTACCTTCTAATTATAGCCTTTTCTTGGGCTGCCACATAATACTTACTGTCTCTCTTTCTTGGCCCTTTCGAGACTCATACATATCCCCACGGTTCGGGGGAGAGTTTTTTAACGGACATTTCAACCCAACGATTGTTGATGAATTCAACCTGAAAAGTCGGTTTATTTTGTTCATGAACGACTATTATTAATATCTGATTGATTACTACCATCTTTTATCATTTTACGGCTGTCACATCACGAACCCATTATTCCGGCCGTTCGCCTCGCATCTCAATTGAGTCTATATCTAATACAAGCATTGGAGAGTGGTCCCCCTCCCCCGGTTGACTGCCTCCAATGAAGAAAGACAAAAGACAATCAAGCGCAGGCGACCACTTATCTATATCGGCCCTAATCTTCCTATACCAATTACTAATATCATACCCATCGTCCCGGACATCATCCATCGTTTTCCTACTTTTTTTTTTGTTGATACGACATTAATATCCACCCTATACTGCATCCCCATGTTCGAGTCCATCAATTACCTTGACCTGGTCTAACTGTCGCTTATCATTCATTCATTATTGGCACCTTACCTACCATACATATTCATATATCATCAATCATATCATACATAATCCTTGATCTGAGTCGTCCATCATGACGATGGCGGTCGATCTCCCCTCCCTCCGTGCAAAACCAGCACATGTTATTTCCTAACATCATACCAGACCAGATACTCTGCTTTCCTTGTTTACTTGTTCCTCCTTCCTTCCTTACCTTCCCTAACTATCATTGTCTATCTCTATCCATCGATTTCCTATCTCTTTATGTTTCACTTTCATCCTTGCCTCCCTCTCTCCCTCTCTCTCTTATCTTATCGTTTCCCTCTTTTTTGTCCTATCTCATGTCTCTATAATCAATCAACACCTCATATATTCCTTTCCTTTCATCCACTCACTCACTCACTCACTCCGTTGGGACGAAATCCAATCCAATCCAATCCGATGAGTGAAGCGAGCAAGCCAAAAAGAACTGAACTGAATCAAACCAGATACCCCTTTTTTTTCCTGTTAGTTGCTTGGTTGAATTGTTTGGTTGGTACTTGTTAGGTCGCTGTTCTTGTCCTGCTCTGTGTTCTATTTATCTACCTGTTTCCTTGTTTTAGTTGTGGATGGATGTATCTATCTATTGATATATCTACATATAGTATACATCAATTGATTGAAATTTACATGCAAACTGTCTGTCTTGTGTCGGGTGGATTTGGCTCCGTAAAAAAAAAAGCTGTCTAATGAATTCTGCTGCCGTTGAGTTCATGGAGATGAGTACATAAGCCTGGTAAAGTGCATAGTTAGAACAGTCATCAGACTAGACATTGGACACACCATTCTACACAAGACAGACAAAAGAACTACGAATAAAATACCTACGAATTAACATACCCCCTCCAAAATAGAGATGAATGAATGAATGAATGACAAGAAATCAAATTGGTATCGATCTATATACGACCACACCATCATCAAACCAAGACTGAAAAGCCATGACCACAACCATGCCAATGCCAATGCTACCGATTGAACACACAGAATGAAAATGACCCGTATAATTAGAAAACATATCAACCCGGAACGCCTCGCCAAGAAATCAACTCTTTTTCTCGCTAAATACTCTTCTTGCGAGCTTTCCTTTCCAAGGCGTAGCCCTACCCGCGCACCCGGCCGGCATCAGACCTTGGTAAGGAAGTCCAGCTACCATACCAGATGAGCAACTGGAAGGATACATTTATAGACAAATAAAGGGGTAGTGGTAATAAAAATAACAGGAGAAGAAGACATAAGGAACCGCAAAGGGGAGAGTCTGTATGTAGCCAGTAGGCAAAGTCAGTAAATCAGGTGAATTCGGATCGAGCCATTTTAATTGGCAGATAAATATACAGTGATCCATTGATGGATGAACATCCACTTGGTGTAGATGTGCAACTATGACGGACAGATTGAAGATGTCTGTCAGATATGGTTACACTAGAGGTCGTCTACACGACTCTAGCACCGTGGACTCTGGCATGTACTGTTAGTCTGAATGCTGGCATCAACTCGTGCCGTCGAGCTACTGTCTTCGCGGGGATGCATCAGACCGCCTTAACCGGCGAGAAAGCCCCGTCCGAGGAGAATGACCAGGACTACTATCTTCGTCAGAATCAGGAGGTGCCGTACCAGCGCTAGAAGCGTAAGGGCCTTGGGACGCCCGATGGGAATAATTGGCGTGGCTCTCGAATCGAGACGGATACTCGCTGCGGTCCTGGTCCTCTGTGCGACTGTAGCCCCTCTCCGAGCTGGTTTCCTCCGCCGATGTCCTCGTTCGTATCGCAGGCCGCGTCACACTGGCTCGCCTACTGGTCGACTCGGGGCCTTGATGATCAGTCATGCGGATATCGTACGGGTTCGACGCATCACTCCGTTTACGAGTGTGTGAAGACTGCTCTGCCGGCCGCGCAGTCATGGGAGACCCTGAGCGGGAATTCTGAGAGGAACCAGGAAAAGTGTCCGACGGACGCGAGGACGGCAGTGGAGCTTGTTGGTGAGGGCCCGGCGCCTTTCTTTTGCGACCCGGCGAGCTCTGGTAGTCGGCTCGACGGGGAGCTTGCGAGGTCCCGGGGGATTCCTGTCGGTTTCTGCCCGACGGAGTATTGGGATGCGATTGCGCTGGAGGGACCCAGTGGTGGAAATACAGAGACGGCGGCGACGGACGCGGTTGCGAATCGGATTTTCCGGCCGCAGGTTGCGAGAGCGGTACCGAAGAGCCCGGGGCATAATGTACGTTGCTCAGGTTGATTGCAGGTTGTTGATGGGAACCCTGCGACTCACCGGGGTTGAGCCGGGACATGCTCGGGGCTACACGGGGGTCTGAGGACCTGCTCAACGACGGCGGCGTCGACGAGGGGGCTGAGGCATGCAACGGTTGTGAGAGAAGCACTCCGGGTCCAGCCACCGGCTGTTGCGTCGACGTCACGTACGGATAGGAAGAAGAAGCAGAGGAAGAGGGGATAGAACGAGAGTCTCGACGGACATGAGGCCCTCGCCGTTGTGACGAGTGCGACGGGCCGGGCATCGAGGGGGCTGCCGGGGGTCCCCGCGGCGGAGGGATAGCGGATTGTGTTATGTACTGCTGGGTCACTTCCAGGACGGATTGAGGCACGCCGCCTTGACTGATGCCGGCGAAGATGAGCGGGATCATATGCGGCGGGACGCCAGCATGCAGGGAATCCCGCAACATACTCTGTTCGATCCGGCGCTGCTCCAGGCGCAAGGTTTCCTGACGGGTCTTCTCCTCCTCCTGCTTCCGGCGGTCTTCCTCGGCCTTGGCTTCGAGCCAAGAGTAATAGGAGGCATCCGAATCCTGCCGTTGAGGGGGCGGAGGGGGCGGAAGGGGTTGTTGATGTGGTTGATTCATAGGGTTCGCGGCGGCGAAAGCAACGTCGGGCGGCGGCAGGGTCAAGGCAGAGGGAGGCGGCAATCCTCTCCGCGAGGACTCCATGCTCTGTGTCTGGGGTTCCGAGACCGCCGGGGGCGGAGAGGACCGTGGGGCGGCAGGAATGGACTGACGAACGATGGCGTAGTCATGGGGAGGCCCTTTCACTCCGTTCTGGGAGGAAGGTTTCAGGGTAAGCAGCATCCTCGATAGGGAGCGGACAGCTTGGGAGGGGGGAAGGACCGCGGAGGGAAGGAAAAGAAGGGGAAATGGGGGGGAGGGGAGGAAAGAAGAACGAAAGGGGAAAGCAGAAAAGGGAAAAGGGAAAAAGAAAAGAAAAAAAGGTGAACGGTGAACGGTGGGGACTCAATTCCAGATAGGGCTGTTCGACAGATAGGCAGAAAGATATTGAAGACACGCGGGGAAAGGAAAACAAAGACGGCGGGATGGGTCGATGGGAGTCCCACCATTTCCGCCGGAGGAAAAGAGTCAATGCATGTCGGAGGGAGCAGATGTTGATGAGGAGGAGGATGATGATGATGAAGATCCAGAAAATCAGAAAAGGAGAGACGGGGAGAGAGGGAAGAAGAGAAGAGAGGCAGGAGAAGCATACAAAAGACTCAGAAAAGACCCCGGATCGCCCGATGAGGGAACCGCCCAATGAGGAAAGACCAGTTTTCCCAAAGTGGCCAGCTCCGTTGGCGCTAACCCGTTCGGGAAACAGGCCTGACTGCCTCAGGTTCCCCCTGTGCCTGAGTGTCTGGGGGCCTGGGTGCCTGGGAAGATGCCTTACCGAAGGGCCCTTGGGAAGACACGCCGTCTCGGCTGCGTCGACTTGGAGTCTCCTAAGTCTTAAAGAACAACTGACCGAAAAGACAGAAAGAAAGAAGAAGAATGACTTCAGTGGAAGTCGAGTGGATCGGCAGGCTTGGCGGCGGCCACTAGAGCATCCTTGCGTACTCGACAGCCCTGCTGCGTGCTGACGGCCAGCCCGTAAGGCTAGTAGTGCGACAAAGTCTTGGAAGTCTGTCTCGTTTCTTTTCTTTTTCCAACTGCCCCTCGAACGGCTCGGTCCGTTCAACCACGTCGAGAGAGAGAGAACACAGTCAGAAATCAGAATGAAATTCACAGAATCAGATCAGACTTAAATCACTTCTGCAGGAACTCTCCCGCCTTATAAGAAGCCCTCCTCCACGAACCCCCCCGAGCACAAAAAGGAAGACCAGACAACCCACGGGAATCAACGGGGCCCGCGGGAACCAATAAGGCCCCCAAAAAGGCTTGAATTAAAATTAATCCAAGACGAAATGTCGATGCCTGGCACTCTGCTGCCCTTTTTCGGCCGGGGGGGAACCGTTTGGAGCCACTTTGCTGCTGGTCGCCAGACGAGGCGGTTTCATCTTGATCTCGCCGGACGCCGGATGGAGTAAGCCCAATGAACATCGCCATCTGCTGGAGATTGCCTCCTTTTTTTTTTTTTTTTTTTTTATCTACAGTGGACTCCTTCTACTCCTACTACTCCGTACGTCGGAACTACAGAGGATGCCCTCGGCCACAAAAATCCTATATACTCGAATTGAAAAGAATCATCCGACTGAACGGGGGGTATATCACACAACGGCCATCCTCGCCTTGCCCGCTTCTCTCCTCTCCTCCTCCACCTCGTTCTTCCTCCTGCCACTCTACACCGTACTTCTCCCTTCCCTTGTCTAATTGTTTTTTCTAACTATCACGATCAAATCGACTCAAAACCTCCGGTGGCACGGTCGGAATATACTTGCGTGCTCGTTCACGATTCGTCCCGCCCCATCCCGCTCCGTAGCTGATCAACATGTCCGTGCTGGTAGGTAACGAGAAGGGCAGCGTCAACGACGGATCCAAAAAGATGCCGTTGGCTCCGTTGCGATCGTCCATACGCGACGCGTTAGTCGATGCCGGCGAGGCTATCGACGTCGACGTTCGTCCCGACCGCTCGGGGGTGCCGGGCGCCTCGGACGTGCGCGGCGTCGCTTGGTCGGCGCGGGGTGTCCCAGGGCGCTCGTCGGCGGAGGCGGATCCGGCCGCCGGCGTGCTGTGCGCCTGCTGTATCTTGGCCTGCTCCCGGTGCAGCAGGTCCGGGTCGCGCTGCAACTCGATCAAGAACTTCATCGCCGGTTTGGTCAGTCCCTTCTCCCCGACCTCGGGTCGATACGACTTGACCGCGTGAAGCAGTTGCGCTGGCGTCAGTTGTTGCAGTTGAAGCAACGTCGTCACCAGCGACTCGAAGTCGTCCCCGAGCGACGAGAAGCATTGCAGCCACTGGAGCAGTTGGATGACGGGCGCCATGTGCCGGCGCGCCGCCTCCATGGTGCTTTCACCCGTACAGCTGGTGGACCCGTTCTCGTAGTGCTCCGGCTGCCGGTTGTTGTTGCGAGCCCAGTCCTCTAGGGTCGACATGTTCATGCGGATCTGCATCGCCTTGGTGCGCGCCAGATATCGCTTGGTGGTCATGATGCGGTTGAAGATCTCGGCCCCCACCCAGTAGAGGAGCTGCGAGATGATCTGCGTAGTGATGACGGAGTGGACGTCGTAGAGGTCAAGGACAAATAGGGTCGACGACAGTAGGGAGGTAATGTTGCGTGGTGAGATCTGCGCTCGCCGGCGGGGAGAGGGCGGCCGAAAGCGCTTCTCGGCGGGTTCGGGGGCTTTGGCTTTGGATTTCGAGCGGAAGAGTTTCCACTCGTTCTGAAAATGGACATCTTCCAGCCCCGGAATCGTCTCGTGGTCCAGCATCGCGGAGTCCAACACTTTGTTCATGCGGCGCTCCGCGTCGCGAATGATCAGGATGAAGATCTCGTTGACCAGTTCGGCCAGGTGTAGCTGAAACTCCACCGTAGATTCTAACAGGCCGCCGTCCTTCTTCAAGTAATGTAGCAGAAGAGTGGCGTTGGACATCCAGAATGCCAGGATCGTCATATCCCATTGGTGGCGTTCGACCACGTCGTTGATCTTCTCCGTCGCCGACACCAAGAGCTGGGCCAGCAGTTCGGGGCTGGCGTGGTAATGCGCATACCGCGCACTGAGGAAAAGTAGGTTGGCAGGCACAGGTTTTTGCGAGGGGGAGCGTTGCGGAGTCATGTTGGTGATGATGATGTCCAAAATTCGTTCCAACTCGTGGTCCTGGAAGACAAACATCTGGTCATTCAGACATCGGTCCCAGACAAACTCCTGCTGTTCTTCTTCGAGGTCCTCTTCTTCAAATGACTACCAGTCCAACAACGGTCAGCACTGCAAAGAACAAGAATAATCAAGAACCTGGCCAGACACGTACGTCGAATTTCTCGTCGAGCCCCAGGCTCGACAAATCAACTTCCAGGTTGATCGCACTCTCCTCCATCATCATGCGCCGCTTCATCTCATTCTCTGCAAACTCCTCCTCGAAGCGACCATGTGCAAATCCGGAGTCGTAGAAATCGTCCTCGATCGCACTCGGCCCAAAGTTGTACCCATTCTCATGCAGATATTCCGAGATCTCGCTGCCCGGCTGAGCGAAGTCAAACGCCGTGCCGCCCGACGAGGACTTGATATCCGGCGACGCCCCGTGGTCCAGAAGAATTTTCGCGATCGTTTTATGTCGGTTGGTCATCGCCCACATCAAAGCGCTCCACTGATTGCGATCCTGCTGGTCGACCTTAGCACCTGCATCGAGCAGTGCCGAGACCACGTCTTGGTGTCCCTAGAATCCCAGTCAGCCCAGCACACAACTAATCCCGAGAATCGAGCCTCGCCACACGGAGACTCAACCGCAAAAGAAAAGAAGCGGGGGGGATGCACGCACAAAACAACTCGCATAAATCAACGGCACCGTGCCCTCCTCATCCGGCATATTCACATCGATATAATCCTTCGCCTTGCCCTGCACCAGTTTATGCACGCGATCCACGTCGCCATTGCTAGCCGCCATATTAAGCCCCCGCTGCAGGATCTCCCGCTTCTCGGAATCCTTCAGTTTCTCGTCGGTCGCGATGGCGTCCTCGTCCGCGCCCAGCGAGTCCACCTCCCGATGGGCCGCCTGGGCCGCCAGCATCTCCATCAACCGGGCGTCGCTGTCCTCGAGACGAGCGGTGGAGGTCGACTCGTTGTCGTCGTCCGCGGCGGAGGCCAGTCCGCGCCCGTACTGCGCCTGGAGGCTGTGTTCGTCGTCGTGCGAGTGGTCGTCCAGCGCGAGGCTGAAGCTCAACGGTTTCGCCGCCACGGGGGTTGTCAGGAATTGGGATTGGCCTGTATATGCATGAAACCGACGCGGGCGGGGGTCTCGGAGTCAGCGATCCACTGATTCTTTTTTATTGATTTCCTTTGGCATGCACGATCGGTATCACCAGGCATGAAATATCTCAGATCGCCCGAGTAATCCTGCAACCGCATGGGTACAATAGTGGGGGGAGGGAGGGGAGGGGGAATGCGAACCTTGCCAGGCATCGTACATCTCGGTCTCTTGGGGAACGACGTGCACAGAGCGACGGTCATCCAAAGATTTGGGTAAATCGACCGGAAGACCTCCGGGAGGGAGAGTATCGACCAGGTCCGGATCACTGCCATTGCGACCGTCGAGGTCGTCGGAGGAGCCGCGGGGAGAAGCGGTCGCCTCCATTGTTGTCGGGATTGGAATGGAATTAGGCGGGGAATGTCAGGAAGTTGTAGGAAAGGGAGGAAGGTCGGACGGCTAACTCCATGGAGGAAGAGAGACCGAGTGACGATAAGATTCGAAGGAATACCACCTCTTTTCTTGTCGAGAGAAAGGAGGTGTGTGGTGTGGGGGAAGAAGAAGAGGAGGGAGTAAGATGAAGAGGGAAAGTGAAGGCGGGAGAGAGATTGACGTTCCGACGAGACTACGTAGTTCAAGAGTGCCGGGGGATGCAGCTTTCTTGTAAATCCCAAACAGCCCCTGGCTCCACTTCTGCCCGTTGGGCACTGGAAGGAATCATTATAATTACGGAGTAATAGGAATCAAAAAGCAGAGGAGATCTCCTGTAGAAACAATGTTTGTACCCTGACTGAGCATACTGAAGTATGAAGTCATTCCTCCCAATCAAATGGCAACGCTACCACCGGATGAAGATTCCAAATGCCCAAGAAAAAAGAACAAAACTCGCCTTCCAAATGCTAAATCCAAAGCCAAATAACACAAACACGCAGATGCAAATGCTAAATTTAATATACAACCAATATATCTCATAGTCACGACGTAATCATCTCGTCCACGATGTCCATCACGTCGAACAGAAAACGCTCAGGATATCATCCAGGGGTATTATGATGTATTAGAAATCCAGACAAGAACCACCCAACTCCGATGTTGCAAAACGGGTTTCTTCCCTTCCCTCTTTTTTTTTTTTTTTTTCTCTCTTTTTTTTGGAATTTTGTAATCCCTTCGTTGCTGTAGTACTTCGCCTCGCAGGGTCAAGACTAGGCAAGTTGTTTGCTGCGGGTTTGAATCTCTTCTTCCGAAAGTGAGGCGATCCAAAGACACCGCTCAATGATGCCCTGTACTGGCTCGAATTTATATTTCGTGCTCGCATCAATCAATCGCAACAGGTTCTTCACGATCTTGGCTGTCGTGCGATACCGCTCGAAGTTGATCAGCGGCTCCCCGTCCCGCGCCGCCACTTGGGCGGGCTTCTGTGCATTGTAGGTAAGATCATGGACATACAGACCTGTTCACCGAGTTAGATTTCATTTTCATTATCAACTTCAAATGTCCTTCTGCAAGGTGCAAAAGGGAGGGCGAGAACCTACCAACAAACGGAATGCAGCCCTCCTGGGCATTCGCAGTCTCCATCTCCACGCGAAGGTCGTGGAAATTGCGAACCGGCTGAATGAGCAATTCCATGTCCTTCAGGAGCCGGCGGTCTCCGGGTGGAACGCAGGCCCACGTGCTCTGGAGTCGGGAGCAGTCGGTTGACGACAAGGCAATGGCGATCTGGAGCATGGTCGCATAGTTACACATGCGGCGGGCATGTGCAGCCGTGTGGATGAACTTGATTATGGTGCGAGCGCGCTCGTGGATGTCGCGCGTGAGGATGACCTCGGACAGAGCCCATTTCACCATGAGATTAAACCGTCCCACCACCATGTCGATGCCGCGACGCTCCTCTTCTAGAAGGAATTGCACCCAGCTGACGGTGGCAGGGGAGCCGGTGCTCCATTTCATGTCAACCAGATCCTTCCAGTCCACTTCGCTAAGGGCAGCCATCTCCAGCAAGGTCAGCTGCTGGGCAAGAATCTGGGATTCGCAAGACAGCACGAAGGGCACATGGTCGGGCCCCGAAGGGACTTTCTGGGGTTCTTGACGCCGGCGATCCTTTTCGGATCGGGAAAGGATGTCGCCCGAAGCTTGCTGCATTGCGATGGTACGTGCGTAAGCCTGTTCGGCATTTCTATTCCTCGGCGATGGGTCTGGCGTCAAGGGCTGCGACTGGTAGAGGACCGGGTTGAGGGGCGTTGCGCAGGATTCCACGGATCGAGGGTGTTGTATGGTCATAGGGGGAGAAGGTGGGTGCGCCAGAGGATGAGGTGGGATTCCCAGAGACGATCTGCCCAGGCTCCTTGTATCGACAGATAAACGATGCTGCTCCATCGCTTCCTGGGATTCAATGAGGTCCATCGAAATTTCGGACGAGAGGCCTGAACGCCGGGCCGAGCGGGTTCTCAAGGGCCTGGGAACGGCCACTGGAAGCGTCGATCCGTGGGGAATGCGCTTGATGCTCTCCGTTTCCTTCACGATATCAATGGACGGATGCGATGATTCGACGTCGGAAACGTCCCGTTGAGAGGCGTCACTCAGGTGCAGTCGAGGGGCCACAACGGGGTGAGACGTCGTGCGGTGCATCCCGGGGGGTTTCATTGACTCATCACTAAGCCCTCGCTCAAGAAGCGGGATGGAGCTGAACGAATCTTCAGATTCGGCGATGGAGTCGGAATAAGGTCTTCGCGGCATCAGTCGACTGCGGACTTGCGAGTAGGTCAGGTGATCCCCAGCAGCGCTTTGGTGTCTCTGATGATGACCTTGGTAGAACAGTTCTCGCTCACGGGCGCTGCCAGGCGTGTGAGCAGCCTGTTCGTGGGACGGACCGGTGGGCGTCTCGGGGACATCCCACTTGCCTTCGAGCTTCAGCAGTGTGGACTCGATTCCCCCATCGTCATCATCAGGAATCTGAGCAAAGCGTGCAATCGCCGCCTCAAACGAGCCCCGCATGTTCTTCGATGAATGGTTCTGGATCAGCGATAGTCGCGGATTAGGCGGTACAAGGCTAGTCTGGGGCCTGGATGCATTATCCCTGGAACGAGTGGCCGTACTCTCCGCAATAGAACTACCGTCAGTGGTGTCATATACATATGACCCCGAACTTGTGCGTTTTGGAAACCCAGGGCCGTTGCGCATTTGACGCAGATCACCTCCCGGTCTCCTGCGAAGCATCGGGCCGGCATTTCTTTCAATGTTCTCCTGGGACTGTCGGTCAACATCCCTCTCTTTGCCTGCGATCCCAAAATGCTTCGAGATCCCGCTTTGGAAAGAGGCATATTTTCGAAGACGAAGCGACGGTGACGTTCCCTTCCAGGACCCCGACCCACGCTCCACAGAGGTCGATCGCCGTATAGCGGAAAGCCTGGGCGGGCGCAGGAATTGCGAGCTTCGACGCACCGAGTTCGATTCCCCGTCATCGTAGAAGATGGGCAGTGAATATTCGTCTGCCGCCACAGTCGATCTTTGACTCACAGAGCGAAACGAGGAGGCTCGGGGCGTTAGGAGAGAACTTTCGGCGTCGAGGAATCGAGGGGAATGCTCCAGTCCCATAGAGGAGTCCGGGATTGCACCGGACATCATATGATTCCCCATACCAGTGTCATCCACAATGACGATCGATTGACTCCCTGCGGTAAACTGACTTTTCGTTCGGATCCGGTCGAGCGCGGTATTGTGAAGATTGGAGGTCGTTGACTGGTTAGATCCCCGGTGACTGTGTTTCCCTTGCGGCGCAGCACCTATCTGGAATGATTCACCCTCTCTAGGCTGGGGCGAGCCGGAGGCAGCATTATGATATAAGCGGAAAGACATGTCACAGAGAACGTCAATTCTGACCGGCTTCTTAGCAGCAGCCGTCGCCTTTCTATCCCGATAAGCATCCGACCCAAACGCAACGTTGGTAGGCAGAGCAGATGTTTTCGGTCGCGATGATGGACCGAAGTGTCCGCCAGGGTGGCGCGAAGAGACACTATGGCCCCCATGTCTGCTGTTGAGCGCTCGACGTATGGAGCCAATGATTGTTTTGACGCCTGAACTCGACGATGGTGGTTTAGAGGCCATGTCAGAATTACTTCGTTGGCCCAGCCCGGGCATCCCGGTGGGAGAAGGTAACGGGGGTGATGGTGGTGCCAGCATTGTCATATACGACTCTGCCGGGGCGAATAGTTCGCCCCGGATGAGGCCTCCAAGATTCAATGCTGCCTGGGTTGGAAAAGTCCCCTGGTTGTCGATCTTCAGGAGTGGGAGGGGCGCTCGGCCGTCCCGGACCGAGTCAGAAAAGCTACCACTGCGTTTGTGGGCATGAGTATGGAAGGGGAATCGTCGAGAAATGACCGGTGACAAGGCCGGCGCATCGAGGGAAGGACACAGTTGGTGCGTAGGAATCAGAGGCACCGGATGAGGACCCTTGGTTTCGGCATAGGACATGGAAAGGCGTTTTGGGGATTTGGGACGTAGCGAGCAAGAGGTTGGCTGAACGCTCGGGTCACTTTCTGATGATACCGGCATACTCTTTGCCGTGGTTGCAGAATTTGTGCGGTCATGGTGGGTTATATGAGGACGTTTTTCGCCGTCGCGAGTCTCGCCCACCTGGCTGCTGGTGGTTCGGACAATGCTCAATTGATTCTCGTCAGGATTACTGAGATCGGATTGGTTATCACCACCAGGCTCGATGATGTGGTCCGGGCTTTGATAGGCAATATGTTGATCGGAGAAATCCCAATAAGCGGAGCATTTGCCATACCAGCAGCGCTTCAGATCGATGAGAATCTTCAGATCGCTCATGCCGCCCCCATGTCGGGCCTTAACGTTATCGTACAGGGTGTTGATAGTGTCGCAGAAACGGACACGGAGGTCGTAGTCAGGGATAAAATCATCAACAAAGTAATTTAAGATCCAGTGCCGGAGGGCTGCAAACGTGCGAATGCGAATAATCCGCCCGTCATCTTGTAGACGATTGATGGCCCACTGCAGTCGCGCCAGTAAGAGAGCAAGAAGGCTGCCGGTAGAGAGGTAGGAGCGAAAAGTGAGGAAGAAATCCGATACGAGTTCATAGTCCATGAAGGATTCGGACGATATTTGCGCAACGATGCGCGCCGGCGTCGCCGCACTGATGTCCTTACTGCCTGGCACATAGCGCACAACCGATTCATCATCCATCTCGGCCACCAAGGTTTCAAAGATAGTCGGCTCGATGGGCTCCTTGAGATCGTAGAATACCGGATTCCCCGTCGTGGAGGACCGTTGAGTAAGCTCGATGGCAGCTGCGCCAGAGAACATCGACGCGGCAAAAGAAGGCCGGGCTGGATCAGAGTACACATCCAGCATCGGCGCAGCGTCCCAGTTGTGTCTCAGGAACCGTGAGGCCCGAAAATTGTCCGACGTGGACGTTCGCGAGTAAATTGAGCTTTGCAACGGCGTGATCCCAACATTCAGTCGCGGCATATCCATGCGATACCGGGGGATCGGGATCTCCAGGGTCGGGCGTAACGATCCATCTGCAGACTTGGGCCGGTCATCTGGCCGGTCAACGAAAAGATGAAAGTCCCCGTATTGCCCTACCCGCGAGGCGGATCGCTGCTCTGAAATAGTTGAGAAGGAGTGTGCTCTCTGACGGGGCCGAGGCCGCGAGCGATGATATCCCGAGCGCGACGACTCTGTATGGACCGATTCGCCGTCATCGCAACTTTCTTCCGGTATAAGCTCTGGGCGTAGCTCGGACAGTTGGGAATTCGACCATCGCGAAGGATCGTTCTCAGCGTGGCTGCGGTGTGCATAGGGGTGAAGGTATTCCTCTCCGGATTGGTTGACCGGGGCCAAAGGTGGAGGACAAGATTCCTGGCGCGACGCATTTCGAATCGGCCTGCGATATGATAGGACCGGTTAGCTTCTCTCTCTCTTTTTCTTCTTGTCCACAGACCACAGCTTGTGATACCCACGTTTTCCCTTCAGTAGAACAGGGAGCGAAGAAGGGAAAGGCAACCCTACCTGAGAAATATCTTGCCGTTCTGTCCAACATTGCCCACCGTGAAGTGGTTTGCTTCGCGCGCTCCTGCAAGTGTATCACGCAGGGGAGGGAAAGCATCGAGGCGCTTAGAAGACCGCTTCCGAAGTAACTCATGGCTGTCCTTGACCCGTAGGAACGAAGTGGCCACTCTTTCCTTCGCCGTTCTAAAGCCCAAGCTCGTTTTCTCGCCCATATTCCTCCCTTGTGCTACCGTGTGCGCGCGACGCAGATGGGACGTCGCATACTGAATCTCGGTGGTATTCGAGACATTCGCGTTGGAGTGTCGTTCAAATCCTGGTTGTGATTGGTTTGGCGTCCTAGACAAGTCGCTGGCGGCCAACGAGGGCGATTCCATGGCGCCAGAATAATGGAAAAAATAATAAAAGGAGAAAAAAGAAAGGAAGAATGAAAGAAGTAGAGAAGAGAGAAAAGATCACACACAAAGCCTCCCTTGTATTCCTATTATTGCTGTTTATTTCGTTCTTCTCCCCCCACACGACGCGGAGAAACCAAGAAGACTTCAGTGGGAAATCAAAAGGCCCTTCTCCTTCACCCGAATACCGAGAGGGAGATCAAGAGGAAGAGGGATGCAGGGGCAGCCCAGGCTGGGATCGCAGTCCGTGCTTGCGACACGACATGACCAGACCCGGCGTGAGGATGGTTAGGAAGTGTGAGAGCGACGAAGATCCGGCATGAAACGGATAATCGGTATACTCCGGAGACGACGACGAAGCCTTGGAGATCGGGGAATAACCAGGAAGAATGGGTCAATGGGAGAGAGGGTTCTCGGGTTTAGTGTGTCGGATCGTAGGGATACGATCAAGAGAAATATCGTCCCGATGAAGCGAGCGATGGGAACGGCGATCGATGACGACGATGAGCGACAATCATAACAATGGCATAATAATAATAATTAGAGAAATGATAATAATCCGGATCCAACAGCTAAATAAGAATCATAACAACAGGGCGAGTGGAGGCCTCGCGTGGTGGAAACAAAAAAAGAGCAGCGAGTGAGACGCGCAGGTCGAGAGGCTGCTAGAGGAATTAGTTTGGTTTTAGTTCTGGCAGGAACCGGGCTAAGCAGAATTGGGGCATTAAATGAAATTAAATGAGCAAAAGGACAAGAGCTGGACGTGGAGCCCGACGAGGAGGCGGTTCCAGCAGGGCGGAACCAGCAACGCAGGAGAACAAAGACGGTGATTTCTCATTTGATTTCTCCGTCCATGGACAGCCGGTTTGACACTTTTGACAGGAATATAATGAGGAGCCTCTCTCTCTCTCTTTCTCTCCCTCAGCCGCAGTCGGGCAGTCAAAAAGAGTCGGTCAGCTGCAAGCAACACACTGAGGACACACTATTGGTTACGGAGTACACCGTCCAGAGTAATCAACCAGATCTACAGCTCCAGATCGTGGACCTCCTCCGTTCAGCACGACGCTAGTGTGAGGGGGGAACGATGCATCTTCCCTTTGGTGGCAATCAGGCCATATTATTAGCATCGAGTCTCGAGTCTAGTCTACGAGATAATATCGAAAAAAAGGCCCCCTTTTTTCTATCTCTCCCTTTCATCCACTATCCTGCTTGCAGACCAGCCCTCACCTTCTCAGCTCTCCTCTCCGCTATTAATAAATCCTTCGCACCGCGGAGGATGGAGGATTCAGTCTGGGCATCGACCCGATCGACCAGGTCGCGTCCACTAGATCTTACACTCGACAGCTGATGACACCATCCAACCTGCAGGCGTTGCAGCTGGCACACCGTATATCAAGTGTCAACTCTCACCATCCTTGAAGAAGGGGGGGGATCTCCATTCCATTATCAACAGTATCCAGATTTTTGCCCGGTTCGGGAGGGTCCCTGAGTCTGCAGTAGAGGGAAAGTTGGGTAAAAAAAAAAAGAAAAGAAAAGAAAAGTGGATCGACTTGAAAATTGGGAAGTAAGAAAGAAGGATGAGGATACATCAACTGATCGGCCTCAGTTCTCCCTATTGCCTATGACTCCTTAGGAGGTCCTTCGTTTGAACCGTCCCTTTTCAGAGCATCATGATCTTCCACCCTGAAACCGAGGGAGTCCCAGAGAAGGGGGAGAAGGGGAAAGGGAAAGGGAAAATGATCAAAATAACCAGAAATAAAAAAGGGAGAAGTGTGAAAGCCTAAGACAGAAAAGGGGGCCTGGTGAGTGGGAGAGGACTCCGTAAGGTCTGGTAGACTCAAAAAACCGTCGGGAACCGTTAAATGCCAGGGAAAGGATAAACCCTCAACATTTCCTTTTCTTACTCCGAGTAGGTTTCCTTTCCTTCTTCGCCGATGAACCATGACCCTCATCTTGTCCAGGCTGGGCAATCCTGCGCGCTGATCCTTTCCTGCCTTCCCAGGGGCCGCGGCTCGTCGTTGGCCAGCGACCGTTGTGGCGGGTCTTAATTTTTCCTCCTCTCTCCCACTCTCTTTGTCGTTAAGGCCGATCGTTTTTAATCTGGTGAGGACTATGACTATTAGTATGACTCCGTACTACCTTATAATAGTTAATCCTACTATTGGATTGGACAAAGGCGCAAGAAGAGTCTCCATCTGCTGAAATTAGGGCTTCCCGCTACTTTCCGCTGCCCACCTGCTTGCTGACTCTCGCTTTCGAATCTCGTCTCTCCAGTCTCTGCCCATGACTCTCTCTACCTACCTACGGAGTAGGTACGACGGCTGAGAAACAGGTTATCAGGATGCACAGGGCCATTGGGCAACAATCCTGGCCTCGCGGCAACATTCCGATCTTCCGTCCCGTGCTGTGATCCGGTCTTCACTGACGATTGGCTGCCCTCCCCAAGCAGGGGGGGCCACGAGAATGTTATACATCATTAATGATTAATGCCCCGTGTGTCGCTCGGTTTGATACGGTGTAGGACTGTGGATAAGTCGGTAAGTCGGTGGGTAGGAACTGGGTACTAAGTACTTGATACATCCAAAATGTTTACACTCTATTCAGTCCGCCGGAATAGACGGTCTGTCTGCTGGGTGGATGGTTTGCTGTCGATGTTTGATCCAGATCAACCTTGGATTCACTCGGTAGAATATGATTCATTTAGAGATGCAATGCTCTGTACTACGTCATATTGCATTGTCCTATTTTACTCGAATTTATGCCACTACATGTGCAAGTGCACCTGCAAGTTTCTACTGTACCACAATATCTACGTCTTAAGGTAAGCAAAGGGGATTTGAATATCCAGTGTCCATTGATTTGAATGGCGTCAAGCGGATACCCCGGTCAACTCCTCGGAAGGACAATATCGTAAGATCGCAATGCGAGATCAGGTTAACGCCATGAAATTAGGGTAGTCGTGGAAATTAGTCTGCTGCCTCGTGGCCCGCTACCAGAGCTTGCACACGGGCTCCTTATCCTTGCACTTGAAAGCTTCCTTGAACTCCAGGGAATTCGCCATCGTCCCCTACAATGGCTGTCATTAGTCACAGTTCATATTCATGGATGATACCATGGTCAGGGGAAGTTTAAAGCTGGCAGAAAAAATTGAGACACTCACAATAATGCGTGCCGGTTTGGGGGCATGGGGATCGTTATAGATGGCCTCCCGTGCGGCCTCCAGCGTAGTCTTGCTACACCACCAGTTGGCATATGAGATGAAGAACAGTTGCTCCTTGCTGAATTCGGATAGACCTGGTAGGTTAGGGTCGGAGGATTTCTCGTCACGCTTCTTCCACGAATGGTATGACGCTGAGAGACCCCCGGCGTCGGCAATATTCTCCCCAAGCGTCAGGCGTCCATTCACATGGAGAGGCTCCGAGTCCTCCCCGGGAACGATGAAGTTGGAATACTGGTCGACGAAGCACTGGGCCCGTTTCTCAAACCCTTCCACGGTCTTATCATCCCACCAATCCGTGTAATTGCCATTCTCGTCGTAGTGTCGGCCGGCCGAGTCGAACGCTGCAGAGCAAAGTCAACAAGAGTTCCATGTCTCCAGTAAAAAAGGCCATTCAGAAAAAAAAAGGATTACTTACCGTGTGAGAGTTCATGCCCACTGACCGCCCCGAACGCTCCATACGCCAGGTATAGAGGGGCAGCAGGACCGTAGAAGGCCGGGGGCTGCATGATTCCCGCAGGGAAAACGATTTCGTTTCCAGGAGGATTGTAGTATGCATTGACCGTCGGTGCCGTCATGCCCCATTCATTGCGATCCGTTGGCTTTCCCAATTTGGACCATTGCTGGTGAAGATCGAACTTCGCCACGGCCAAAGAGTTTTCAAACAGGGTTTCGTTGGATACTTTCAGGTCCGCATAAAACTTCTCCACATCCGCCGGATCCATGACGTTGGGGCTCTTGGTCGGATAACCAATCTTCTGGACAATGTTTCCCACCTTCTGAATGCCCAGTTTCCTCACTTCGGGGGACATCCATTCGGTCTGGTGCAGCGTAAAAATGAAGCGCTCTTTGATGTCGGATATGATCTGGTCACCGAGTTTCTTCGACTCTTCCGAGAAGGCGTTGAGGACATAGAACCGGCTGAGTATCCAACCCAGGTCCTCATCCAAAACATCGATACACTTGCGCCATCGGTCTTGAGTGGCCTGTGGGTTTTTGCCTGCAAGCTTGTTGTTTAGCTCGCGCAGGGGCTTGATCTTTGGGTCCTCAATGTCGTCTCCGTATGCTTGGATAAGCTTCCATTTGAAGAACAGCTGAACGGTCTCCCTGGAAGTGTCGCTCAGGATCTTCGACAATGACTTCATGTACGAAGGAGACCCCACGATCAACCGATCAGTCCTGAAGTCCGAAGGTGCCAGATTAGAGATGATGTCCGAAAACGATATTTGCGGCAGAAGTGACTGCGTGTCCTTGATGCTCAGCGGGTTGTAGTATTTCGTCACGTCTTCCTGAGATGCCGTGTCCGGGGTAGCATCAGCCAACTTTTTCTCCAATGCAACAACATCATTCAGACCATGGGCAGATTCGCCCCCGACGAAACCGGCAAGGACCTTCTCCACTACTTGGGTGTATTCAGCCACAAGCTTGGTGTTGTTGTAGTACTCTCTGGCCGGAAGTCCGATCTCGAGCAGCGGGCTGATAAAGATAGCGATCGAGTCCGGATCACGGTCATCGGGCTATAGCTGATTAGCACATAGTTCTTCAAGCCCAGAGCGGTTGCTAAATACCATAATAAGCGGTGACACCAAGGCTTCAACACCCGACCCGATGAGATACAGGAAAGCGTCCGTGATGTTTACATCGGAGCCTTTAGATGCTGATGCTAGAGAATAGACGTTGTCCAATCCGGACAGCAGGTCCTGCAGCGGCTTCACGCCACGCTTGTTGACGGTCGATTCATCCATGCATGCAGCGTAGGCCGCCTTCAATTTGTCAAAGTTCTTGGAATCGGCCGGATCCGAGGCCTTAGGTGACTCAAGGATATGACGAAGCTGTGACTGGGCCGCTTCACTCATATAAGTCCCGGCAAAGATGGATCCTTGGTCCGGACGCATGTCATGTCGCTCACGCCAGCCTCCACAGACATACTGATCAAAGTCGGTGCAGGGATCGATTTTCGCACGGTTTGGGTCCAAGTTGTAAAGGATTTCAGAGGCCGCGTGCACACATTCAGGCGTTTCGCAGACTGAAGCTGCCACTGGGTGGGGGGCAATATTGTCGGATGGGGTTTCCGCTACATGCACGCGATGCCAGGTTAGTAGGTGAAAGTGGGTGAACGGAGCGACCGAAGGAAGCAGTGAAGTCATACCGGGCAAGCTGGACCAGAGATAGTAGGAGACTGAGAGGAAAGAGATGATGGCAAATGGATGCAACATCCTGAACCGCTTCATACCAAGCCCTATGGAAGGAGATGGTTTATCAAAGCTCATGGTTCATGTCGAGCGGTGTCAGTGACATCTAATTAACATCCATGACATGGCTAACTAACTAACGAAGAGGTGAGGAAGCTTAGATAAGCCCGGGGTAAAAAAGCGTTGGACAGGCGCTAAATCTGAGGCGCTAATTGGACGTTCTAGGCCTTAGCGGTTGCCTGAGCCATGGATCACGATTTACGAAGTTGTCAGAACGCAGAAGTTACAACTACATGGATTGTTGGGTTGCTCTGCCTGCATGATGTGTCTCCCTACGTTCTATACATAACACGTCTTCTATCTATCGTGCTTATCAGCTCTCTACAAGCATGCGTTCTCACTAATTAGAGTTACCGCTAACATGGATTTCCAACTAAGCTATAACCAAATGTTGGACCTATCGGGATTTCTTTAGTTCGCTGGGTGGCATAGACCGTCCCGGACTCTATTCTCTATTGATCATTGTACAGGGATTTATAGCATAAAACCTAACCCGTGCCACCCACCCTGAGGGAACGCTTTTGTGGCATGTTCCTTCGCATAAGCTTTCGTTTCTGAACGCTTCCATAAAACTTATCAGGTACTATGAGGAGGTTCCCATAGAAACTGAATCTAGGCAGTGACATTTATTTCAGGATGTGGTCAAACCTAGTCCTCATGCGAGTCCTGCCAGCTAGTTACTGATCAACAAGCTGGCTATTTTCTCGGTTAAGAGAGAAAGGTGAAGAAAACAGACCATGATGTAGTCATCTTCTAGGGGTCTAGGTGTGCGGTAACCAAGCGACGATACTCTATTTGGTACTAGGCCGCATGGTATACCGAGTGTGCGAAGGTTTACAATAAGTCTACCATCATATAACGTACTTTTAATGTACTGTAGTACAGACTGTCCTGCAGGTCTCGGTTTTTAGTCGGCCGCAGCAACAATGGCCGGTTAGCTCCTGCTGTATCACCTAACTGCCGAGGCATACATTCGGGATTTCTAATGTCTTTAACGTAGGAGAATGCTAGTTGTTACTTGGAGAATTATGAGGTCTCTTCCACTGCTTAGGAATAGAAGATGGTTCAAGCAACACAACATGAGAGGTGATGATGAGATACATGCTCTCTCGGGATACCTAAGTTGTCATTCGTGCACGTTCTATATATCCCATGGGAGGTGCTCAGAGAGGGCTATCGCCACTCACTGGCCGGGCCTTAATTAATACTACTACTACTAAGTTGCTATTCGACAATGAACTGTGTTGGACCCACAACTTAGAGGTAGCATTGACCAGGTCACTTAAAACATGAAATGGGTGAGCCCTTCGTAGCAACTCTTAAGTCACTCACACAACAATGATCGGTATTTGCAACTCAAACTTCCTCGATATGAATTCAAAAATCTTCTTGTGCTTCACTCGGAGCTTCTTCCATAAGCATGCGCTGAACAAATATATCTATATGATATATGGTAATTGTCTTCAATGTTCATGTATGTACATACATACTTAAGCAACTCTGCATTGTTATAATGGTACCTGTTTCTGAGCCCTTGATACAGATACTATCCAATGGGATAACCTCCTACAGATTGTATCCAGGCCATACCAAAAGCTTGTGTACAGCATCTGGCTTCTATCTATTCGGATTCAACATTAATGCACGTTGAATTATACTGGCTGCTGATGGTAAGCAATCCTCGCTTCTAAGGCTCACATTCAGTAGGGCCTATATACCGGAATAGCATGTAGATATATGGTCTGCAGACAAATATACGTAGATTCCTGAGAACCAGCTGGTTTATTAACATGAAGTCATGCTATCATCTTTTACGTACGAATGTCAAAAACTAGTTGTCTATAGTTATTTAGTCCTGCGCGTGTTCCATATGGTGTATTCGTCAAGGTTTACGGTTTAATTAATTATTTACATGTCAATTCCACTATTGTTCGGCGCGCAACTATAAACAATAATAGCACAAATTTCCTCATTCTACGGAGTATATTGATAAAGTGCAGTAAACCCACTCGGGAGACCTACTCAAACAGGCCAGGGGAGCCGAGATCCCTAGCATGATAGTCATGCGAATAACCACCACTCACTCCAACCGCGAGGTTGACATACCCAACTCCCATGATTCGGCAAAACCCGATGCAAGAAACCGCACCTTATCCGAGCCCGTCCATGTCTGCAAGGCCTCTAGCTCCTCTCCCTACCTTAGCAGAACCGGATCTCGCATACCTAGCATGCCGGGCCGGCCGCGTACAGGACGACGAACAAAAATAGCAACTAATAGTTCGGCACAGTCGGCATCCGGCATGAGCCGTATGTCGATCAGTCCAGCATGACACCTCAAAGCAATGAGTATCAGGTGATGATCATGATAAAAACCACGGAGTCCACATGTGGTGATGTTTCCTGTTCGGTCACCCCCTCAACGCCCAAAACAGGTTGAATGTCCGGAGAACAATGACGGTTACCTAACTACATACATAGGTAATGACGTTATCAATTTTTCAGGGGGAAAGGCCGGGTTGGTCTTGAAGGATTCACCTCAACAATCTTCCAGTTATCTGGGCGCCAACGGCTGAGGATTCAAGCCAGGATGACTAGCTTTCCTCTTGCCTCTCCATAGCAGCACACTCGTTCAATCGTGTGGGGACTGGGAACTCTGGCATCCAAGTTCATGGGACGCAGGGGAGCTCGCCCGAGCTATAACAGTACGGAATATTTATATGCAATAATACTAACTAATAGTCAGGCATCGGCCACTAATGGGGCTGCAACATCGGGGTAAATAGACTAATCACCGGATTAGACGCGTCATCTTCTACAGAGGGTCTATGCTCGACAATCTGATTTCTCCAACATGCATGGCATTTATTAGTACAGAGCGCCTTTGAGTCTATAACAGCGGTATTTCACCCTTTTACAGGTACATACATACTTTGTAATTCAGAATCCGTATCATACGAAGTAGTGATTATTCCTGTTCTGCTTCCTGTTTGGAGAGTGGAGACGGAGTGGACTTTATTAACTCTTGGTGAAACATGCTAGCTTAAGGATCAACCGTACGGTACTGGAGCTGGCAAAACGGGCTCAAGAAAAGAAAAGAACAAAAAAAAACACGTGGTTACGGACACCTCCCTAAGAACCTGTGCAGACTCCGGAAAAACTCCGTGGGCTGATTCTTCACTGATGGCGCGTCTGCGTAGTACAAGCATGAGTCAAGCACCAACGTCAATTGGTAGCTCTATACATCATGCCTAGAAAATGACCTATTGAATTTCGAGGATCATGCCTTCGGGTACGAGAGTTCGGCGCAGCTGGAAGAACTCCGATTTAAACTATAATTAATTGACCAAAACTCAGTATTGGGTCGCAGAAATCTATATAAGGTTTAATCCGTAATTTATTGATATTAAATGCCCGGACAGTTGGTGGTCATGTGAAGGGAAAATAACGAGTACGGCGTCGACAATAATACTTCTTCAGAGAGGAGTGGGCCTGCTAAAGGGCGGCCAGAGCTTCAGTAGGGCACAATCATTATCTGATGAGTTTGGCTTAGGCCTTGACTTTGTTTAGTTAAATAGAGTCCATCTTAGTTTATAGCTCGGCCAGCTAACTGCGGGCTAGGCTTTGATTTTAAACACTGTGGAGTAGATAGATGATAGAAAACAAAAATACAAAAAAATAAGGCGTGAACCCGACCGGATTTGAACCGATAACCTTTCGATCTGGAGTCGCTGTTTGAATTGTTAGTATATGATGTTTGAGCCAGATTCTCATTGGTTCACTTACAACGCGCTACCGTTGCGCCACAGGTCCTGGGTGAGAAAACGTGTCGGATTATTGATTATTGAATCAGGGAGCTTCTGACCCGGAATGTGAAGAGAAAAAGCAAAAAAGAAGGCGTGAACCCGACCGGATTTGAACCGATAACCTTTCGATCTGGAGTCGCTATTGGAATTGTTAGAATATGATGTTTGAGATAGATTCTCATTGGTTCACTTACAACGCGCTACCGTTGCGCCACAGGTCCTGGGATGATCTTCAGTCGAGATTTTAGGTATTATAAGCAGATAGGGTTATCTTCAAGCAGGCTCTTTTAATGCTGCCTGCGGATTATCTTCAATTGACGGATGGAATTGTAGGTATTATACCATGAAGCGTCGGGCACAGTATATTTGTAATTTACAATTAGCTAAGGTGTTTATTTCTGACAGCTTACTCTAATGCAAGAGATGCTATCTGCCCTTGACCAGCTTTTCTGGTGTTCTAACACATTCTAGGCCGGACCATGTTCATATTGTTCAAGTCCAATATGCAACACCTAATGGAGCGTGTACGTTTTATCGACCCTCTTGCTTGCTCAGGACAAGACTCTTTGAGGCCTGGCACTTTGCGTCTTTTCCGTTGGTGAGTTCCATCTCCTCTAGACTATCCAGAAGATCAACCACGTAATCCTGGCAATTATAGCCCGTGTATGGGTTGTGAATCGGTGCCTCCGCCGCCGCTTGGTCGATAGCACCGATGCTGGAAAGAGGCACCTCACAGAGGGGAATCAACCCCACGATTCCGTCGGTAGTTAGAGCATTTTCGAGCTTTCTATCGAAGCGAAATCTGTTCGTAGAACCCTCGACTTGCAAGTCTATCTTTTGCTCGGCTGTGGGCCCGTCGATGAAGAGACCCCAGTGTTTGTATACTCCTCCTTCATTATTGTAAATCGCGACTCTAAGCTCGACAGTCGATGCCATGGTATATATGTTGTGGGTATTTCCAGTCAGTATATATTGTCAACTCCCATAGATGTGTAGTCTTGCTGAGCCCGGTTGGTCGGCGTGGGTGATCCTGATCGGGTGGACATTGGCCATGGTTTTATAGATACCTGTCATGTGACCTACTTGTCCTCTTTATTCTCGATCGGATGGCATTTTCTAAGATCTGTCTGGAGCCCTTGTTCTCGGCTTTGGACCGCTTTGTGGAGTAACAATGTCTGGTGGTTTATTTTTGAGTGTATCCTGGAGATTGTATAACCTGAATCAGACAATTGGGTCACTCTTCTAGAGACAGTATGGGAGGTATGTTGAAAGAAGGAAGACAAGGGCCAGGGACTTGCGCTCACTGCGGAAAACAAAAGGGGCTGGGGTGATAAAGAAAGCGGCAGTGGACGGTCACCTGGTGTGGGTTTTATTAACTTGCCTTTCAGTGCGCTGTGTGGTGAGCACATGCTTCTGGAATCAAGGACCATGGGCAGCCCCAAGCTTAACCCATTTCGCCGTCGCTCTCCATGGTTGTTCTCTGGTTTCGGTGGAAGCCTGGCGAGATCGGATAGGAAAGTAGTTATGGTATGTTGGGGCATATAATCAATGGAGTAAGTGTGGGGGTTAAAGGGATGCAACCCTGGCAGAATAGAATATATTTCACCACCAGGCATGTCAGAATATATACGCTTAGTAGAGCACAACTCTACACGCATAGGACAGCCCCCAAAAGTCAGGTAAGGGGATAAATACATGCATTACATGAATTAGTAGTATCCTCCGACATTCAGAGGTCAGAAGAAATAATCCACCAAACCAGGAAGTGAATATAGGTAGTTATGTGGTAGAAGCAGGTCTATTGCTGTAGAATAACGGACGGATGATAAAGGAATATCCTCATGGATAACAAAATAAAGCTCAGCCTATCATCCAATTGGGGACCTGTGGCGCAACGGTAGCGCGTTGTAAGTTAACCGAAAAGAATTCATTTCAAACATCATATCCTAACAATTCCAATAGCGACTCCAGATCGAAAGGTTATCGGTTCAAATCCGGTCGGGTTCACGCCTTCTTTTTTTTTTTTTTTTCCTTTTTATATCCTACCACCGAATACTACATAGCTGCTGGCTATGGAACACAAAGACAAGCATCCTTCCTATCTTTTCTTTTTATTTTTGTTTCTTACTCATCCACATCCATGCTTTCGCAGCACCCAACACCACCACCACCACTGCCTCGTACCAACAACCACGCACAGACATGCAATTTCTGTTGTCATGTTGGGACTATCCCCTGATTAGCGTTGACTGATCGACACAGCACTGTATCACTATCAGCTACGTAGCCTTGTTCTAGTCGATAATAGTTATCTCCTGCCTCATTATTAGATTTCCTCATTTTATGGTCTGTTATTATGCAATAGGACCGGTTGGCATATGATCTATCGGACAGGGATGCTTTGCACTGCGCCTACGCCGCAAGTTGTGGATCCTAGGTAGGTGGGAGTCTGGGACACCTGTCGTGTAATTTATTCCTGATGATTTGATGTGTAACCACCGCGTATGTATCCCGAGTCTGGAGCTCCATGTTTTCGACTTACTGTCAGTACGGGCCACACACATATAAAGGGATGGGATGGGGATGGAGCTTTTGACGGCCTGGAATGGGCTGCCCCTGCCTTAGTGCCACGACGGCGTTTGGTTCGTTGCAAAGCTGAAACCGGAGGTGTGGAATCCGACCTGGAGCAGGGCCCACTCTACTTTCCGAGGATGCGCAAAAAAAAAAAAAGTTCGAGTTCCATTCTTCTTCTTCGTCCTCTTCCTTAATAATGTTCCACTTATCTCCATTGTTTACCTGTGCGAGAGTGACAGTGACAGTGACAGTGACACAGACATCCCGGGTGGTCGATATGATAGATGTCACTGAAACCGTCATTAAACTTCCGCGGATGCAGGAAACCCAACGCTATGAGTTATACGGACGGTCTAAGCACAGCGCCCGATCTGGGCGTGGTTAATCTGTATCGTATACAGAGCCATATTAATAAACCCAGAAGATGCCAAGGTTGGTTTGGGATGATTGGATCCCTCGGGGAACCAAAACGCGCATCGAGTTTGGTAGGCTAAAATCCAGGCCGTAAATTCCAATGGAGACCAGATCCAGCATGATTCAAGAAGAACCCTGACAACGGTTTTGATTACGATCCTACACCCGCAGGATTACGATTACTATTAGACCTATCCACCCATGCAGTACGGGTGTACACAAATGGTCGTGTAATTAATTAATAAGTACGAAAGCTTGACGGGAAGCCCGGGTACGCGCATGGGCAATCTTACTCCTTATCACGCCCTTTTAAGGGAGGGAGAGGGTGGTAAGCGAGCATGCCGGTTGCGATGATGCAGGGTGCCGAATTGTTTAATCTCGTTAGCAAAAACGATATAAATGGTAACTGCGTAGCGAGATTACTACTTATAATTAGGTAGGGTATTATTTTTAAATCCATCGAACACCAGGGTCATTGATTGGTAGACTTCCTCTGAGGCTTTCTTCCTTCGGGATCTCGGTATAACGAATCACAGGAGAGAAAAAAAAGCAAAAACGCAAAGGGATTTTCTTTTTTCTTTTCACATAAACAAGCTCAGAGATGATGTGTCCGACTAGCGACGGAGATAATGCCCGATTATTAGCTGGAGTGGGTACCAGTACCATTCAGCTTTTGTCGTCTGCTCCGAGAAAAAGCCAGACAGGTAGACCAACAATTGCTCCAAGCAAATAAATATCCGTCGATCCGTGCATGCCAATGCGTCGAATGCGTGCCTCGTGGCGTTGTTCGGTTGCAGTGCTTGGCAGGGAATGGGGAGGTGTGGACACTTGACTTTGGGGGGGACCCGTTCGTGTTCGGCGGTTGGCAGACGGGCAGACGGTCAGACAATTACGGAGTGAACGGACTGACGGACTATGTATGGAAGATCGATCATTATATTCTGATGCTAAGGTATGCGGGAAAAGAAAAGGTTTATATCCAAAATTAGACGGTATGGGGTAATCCTTTAGAGTCATGGGGGAGTCGTTTCACTGCAGGGTCATCAAATTGGGGGAGGGGGCTATGGTCAGCATAAATGAAACCGGAATGAATGTGGTACAACTGGAAGACGGTACTTTTGATCTATACATACGGTATCATGTTCCTCCTTCCTTTTTCTTTGTGTCTGCTGGACGGTTGGATGGCAGTCTTCAAGGTTGTGTCTCTCCGCATGGGTGGAATGTATCGTCTTTTGACGGCATTGGATAATTGATTGCAGGGATATTTGAATGAATATTCTCAGTCTCACACACCACCAGCATGACCCCGTCAGCCCCTACGCAGCATACCCCTAGTATGTACGTAGCATACGGAGGAATAGGACTCAGTATTCTACGGTTCCTCCCAACCTAACCTTACGGTTATTACCTTATATCGGGCAGCTCCAATCGGCTCGAACGAGAGCCACAGGCACAAGAATGAACGAAGAATCCTGAATGGATCTCGGAAGTGGATCGACGGGCGCTTCCTCTACCATTCAGACATACCCGCCTGGCTAGCCACGGACTACGGACACACTAGGGCTGGCACTAACGCCCTTGGTTTGGACTCTGTAATTCCATGCCGGACTAAAAGTCCACTGCAGGACTAGCGGCTGACCCGCGCTGCCACAATGGCCCCCCTCTCTCTCCGATCGGCCTTGATTGATTACAACCTGGCGAATTGCGCGACGCCATTGTTGCTTATAGAGACTACGGAGCACCTTACCTCACCTCTCACGCTCTCCGGACTTGCTGCGACCTTACTGCTTCGTCTTCCCTCTGACCCCCTCTCTCTTTTTCTTCTCCCCCCCCCCCTCCCCGCGTTTGGCTCCCCTTCCGCGTGTCTTTGGCTGTTGTGGAACGACAGACATGTACCACGTCCCTTCATCTTCATACTGACACCGGATCATTTTGCCCTTTTATTTCCTCGCTCTCTCCGTCCTCTCCGGGTGTTCTCCTCGACCTACCTCCATCGCACCACCCGTCGACCCGCCTGTCGAGCTCCGAATCCGCTCTGAGAGCGGCAAATACCCACCTTTCGTAAAGAGACTCACTTTCTCCCTTTCTTTTTTCTTCTTTCTTTCTTTTCATTTTCTTTTCCTTCCATCTTTCTTGAACCTCTGTTCACGTTCGCCCGTCGATTCGCCCATAGCTCCTGCCTGAAGCTGTCCGAACTGCCGAATTTTCGAGGTCCCGATCTCCGCAACGCCGTCCGGTTCCAATAGATAACTCTCCGCAAATCCCTCCTTTGCTCCAACCTTTCGGTCCGTTGATTCGACCTTAGCTCGCAGCGACAGAGCTTATACCCTCTTACCGGCCACGGAAGGTGTTCTCTGGTTCACCGCGGGAACCTGAAGTGGAGAAGTTTCGAAGGTCGCGAGAAATCACATCCGTCCAACGGTGTTTAAATTCGAGGTCTGGCTACCGGGAAGTCTGGATGGTCTTGTTTCACCCGTCGAGAAGTTGCGACATACCACCCTCCGCGAACACCAACACGAATTAATCTCAATCGTTGAATAATCTTGTATTTTTATAATCGGTTAGTCTTCCCCCCCGAGAACAAAGGACCCATGAACCTCGTATTAGGAGCTCGAGGTCAACACCTGTTTCGAGAACCGCCGCTTGAGTGGTCACCTGCTGCCGGGCGAATGCATCCCTGATTCAGCTCGGCAACCACTCGGCGCGTTAAACTCCTGATCCAGACGCATTATGCACCGAGTATTTTCTCCGGGCAGCTGCGGCCTTTCAAACGGTCTTTGCTGACATCTTTCTTCCTTCCGACTGTAACAGTGATATTTGCGATCCTTACTGTACAACATGGGTTGCATGAGCTCGAAGCCAGTTAATGCAGACGATAAAGATGCCGTCCAGCAAAATGCCAAAATAGACAAGGTGTTGAAGAATGACAAGAAAGTGATGGATAGAACGATCAAGATACTCCTTCTTGGTATGTGTTATCTGATGTCGCAATTATCGAATTTTTGGATACATAGGATTTTTAGTCGCATCTCTCGACACTGGGAGACGGGAGCGAAGCTCGAGATATGTGCTAACAATTTCCCTCTACAGGTGCTGGTGAGTCAGGAAAGTCGACCATCATTAAGCAAATGCGCATCATCCACTCCGGGGGCTTCCCTGAAGATGAGCGCCGCCAAACACGTGCAGTGATTTATTCGAACATCGTCATTGCTTTCAAAGTCTTGCTGGAAATCATGCGCGCAGAGAGCATCGAGTTTCAGCACGACGGCACGAAAGTATGCATATCCTGCCCTTCTCTGTTTCCCGACATTGTTTTTCTAACGAAAAATTTCTTGAATTAGCCGCTGGCAGATCTTGTCGACCACTTAGAGCCGGATGTAGGGTCCGACGAAGCTTTCTCAGATCTCAAAGTTCGCGACGCCATGAGAGATATGTGGGACGACAGTGGCGTTCAGAAAGCCGTTGCCCGAGGGCACGAGTTTGCTCTTCATGATAACCTTCATTAGTGAGTGCGCGCGGATAACCACTGGGAACTGCCCATGCTGATTAATATCTAGCTTCTACAACTCGCTCGATCGGATATTTACCAGCGGATGGCTTCCCGACAACCAGGACATGCTGCAAGCCCGCTTGCGAACCACCGGAATTACAGAAACGCTGTTTGAATTAGGTCAAATGAATTTCCGCATGATGGATGTTGGTGGACAGCGGTCCGAGCGAAAGAAATGGATTCACTGTTTCGAGGGTGTCCAGTGTCTACTTTTCATGGTCGCTTTATCAGGGTACGACCAATGTTTAGTTGAAGACCAGAATGCGGTAAGTGTCCAGTGACCCCATTTCACTTCGTTACGCCATTCCATTCAAGACCGGACCGACTAATCTGTTACCTTTAGAACCAAATGCACGAAGCAATGATGCTATTCGAGTCGCTAGTTAATGGCGAATGGTTCAAGCGAAAACCCATCATCTTGTTCTTGAACAAAATCGATCTCTTCAAGGGAAAACTCGACATCTCACCCGTTTCCAAACATTTCCCGGATTTCAACGGCTCGAACAACGACTTTGATGCTGCAGCCAGATATTTCGCAGACAGATTCCGAGGAATCAACCGCATTCCGGACCGAGAAATTTACATCCACTACACCAATGCTACCGATACGACGTTGCTGAAAGCAACCATGGACTCGGTGCAGGACATGATTATCCAGAAGAACCTTCATACTCTCATACTATAGAATGCCGACTAGTAATGGTTGGCCTAACGACGTTTTCCGCGAGCATGAGATGCAAAAATTCACCCTTCTACCTATCATTTCGCGTTGCACTTATTGAGCGATTTCTTCTCATTCCTTTCATTCCTCTCGCCACACCTGGAGCTTTCAATTCTTCTGTCATCTTTTATATATCCTTCTCTCGGTTCTCCTTGACGCCACGGTATAGCGTTCTTGGTTGAATTCCTCTTGCCATGTTTGATTGCATTAAAAGCCATTAATTCCTGGTGATCTTTTCTCCCCCTTTTTCCATTCTTCTACTTTTCATCCGGTTCAGCGATGGGTCTTTTCTTATATAGTCCAGATTGATACCATCTCTATTTTTTCATCCTGTATCTGACGATTCCTTTTGTTTTACCCCCAACTTTTATTCCCCAGTGGATATTTTTTCTGTATTAATCTTCATTTTCGTCACCTCTTTTGTCTGTCACGAGCTGAATACGTCTCAAATCTCAAGTGTTGTCTTGCGCCTGAGCTTGAGGCGGTGAGAAGTCGGTGCTTTCAGTTCTCTTACATGTGTTGGCAGAGAGCGACAGGTGCTTGAGTGCTCGACACTGCACTTACTGGCCACTGAGACCCCTCATCACTTGGCGTACATACATTGATTCTTGGGGTGTATGCTTGTACGGATCTTTGGGATTACGAGCAGTACATAGTTAATTCAATTGATACCAAAGAAGCCAACTGCACCGTAAGAAATGGAGTTCTACATCAATTCCCGGAGTAATGCGAAACTGGTAAACAAGAACTGATGATGCTTCATGTGACCCTCGTCCGTCTTGGCCTGACGGAATCACCTGATCCGACCCTCGGTGTTGCCTGAGGCGCAACACGCGGACTAAACCCAATCGGGCTTCCGCCTGATCGGCTCAACTTCGATTTCGCCTCAGACGACTTTCTCCGGCTTTGTTCCCGACATCTTCGTCATCCCAGTCCCTGGGCCCTCTCGACGGAAAAAATGCTGTCGTCCTCATTACGCCGGGCTGCATGGGCTCCTATTGTGCCCATCTCCGGCATATCTCGTTCGTCTAGTCAAGGTCTTACTGCCTCTTCCAACGGCCTCCTCGGCGCAACACAGCAGGTGCGTCAACGTCGATACTCCTCTTCTTCTTCGAAACCCAGCGATGGCTCCCGAAATGTCGACGCTTCTTCCCAGACTCCTGCGAAAGGTGTGAACTCGGCGGAGAAGCGTGAGGGCAAGGCTTCCAAGCGGAGGGGGAAGGAGAACAACGGCCGCAACGGTTCTAAGTCAAACCAGCATACAGCCTTCTCGAGATTGCCGAGCGTTCCTTCGACTCAGCACCTCCAGCCGCATGGTAAGTTTTTCTCGATCAGATCTCGCCACGTCGAAAAAGACACACTTTCCGCCATCTCTCTGCCAATCCTCAACTAATTGAGAAAAATTTTTAATAACTGTGATCGATACAGATGTCCACGTTGCGTCGTTCTTTTCTATCCACCGGCCCATCTCCGTCTCTACCACCGTCCCTCCCACCTCATCCTCCGAAGCCTTCGATGCGCTATTCACCGCGAAGAGATCGTTGAAACACGAAGCGGACGATGTCATGTTCACTTTGTCCTCGACCGTCGACTCCATGGAGAACGCGGCCCTCCACGCCGACCAGGAAGGACCCGTGAGCAGCTTCGAAATGGAGGGTGGTCACCCGGACGGCATGAACATGGCAGACGTGAAGATTTCCATCGAGGAGCTCACGAAAAGTCTCCGTCCCTTCCACCCGCCCCCGCCGCCGGTGCCCTTTGACGAGGCGTCGGCCGCCACCGCCACCGCCGAGTCGGAAGGCCACGAGACGTCCAGCTACTCGACCGTCCTGACCATCCACGAGTCCACGCACGCCGACGGCCGGAAGACCTACGAGGCTCATACCGGTCCGTTCCTTCGCAACGCCGACGAGATGGACGCCCCCGGCGCCACGGACAGCGATGCCATCATCGACGTTCCCGCCAACCACTCCGAGACCACGTACATCGAGCGTGTCCGTAACAACCGATCAATGCACGCCCTCAGCACCAAGAGACGTCGTCGCTTGAAGATGAAGAAGCACAAGTTCAAGAAGCTATTGCGGAGGACGAGAACGCTGCGACGGAAGCTTGAGAAGGCCTAATCGGAACAGTTTCATATTTTTGCAGCCTTTTCTTTGTCTCCCATAGTCATCTCATTGTTACTTTTTTGTCCATATCTTTCCCCTTAACTCTCTATCTCCCACCCTACCTTTTTATTCAATGCATGGAAAGGAAGAGAGAGAAAATAATCATCTCTCCTTCTCTCTCCCCTTTGATATCATGTTTGTTTGCTTGACCGGGTAGACTTAGGAAGGAACCTTATGTATTATTCTTGAGTTGGGTTTCTTTAGTTCCATCGCTGCTTGTTTTTTTTTTTTTTTTTCTTATCTTTTGCTGGTCCCTCATATCATATGCGTTTTATATCTTGCATAATTTTCTTATGTATTGTTTCCTCTCCATAGACAATATTATTTATCTTTTACATGTCTCTTTTTCTTTACTGGTGCCATAACTATAACTCTTGACTTCGTACCCATTCGTCTTGCAATTTATCCATTTGTTCATGGCCCTCTCGTTTTTGAAATTGTTCATATGCTAAATCTGAAGTACTGTCAAGCAAGATATCAACGTTGATAGAATGGACGTGACACAAAATCAGGATTTTCTCCGTGAAAGAGACCCGTAGACACCTTAGTGCGAAATAGGTAAATACCTACCAAGATATCTCCGTACGTAACCTCGAAAATGATACCAAGGAAAAGAAAAGATAGATATATAGCGAATATACGATCAATTCAGCAACACAAGAACACAGGCACAGGCACAAAAAGAAAAGGATAAGAAAAAGAAAAGACCGTTTCAGCATTGCAAATAGAAAAGATCCCAAAAGATAAAAAAAAGAGTTTAGGATCACAAAGCGACTCCCATAAAATACAGTTCAGCGCAGTCCTCGGGCGATGCAATTGTATCTACCTTCCTTCTCCTTTCTCCTTCAACCTCTCCAATCTCTGCAGCCCCATTTCTCCCTCTCTCTCGTAACATTCTTTCTACCGAATGTCCTAGGGACCTAGTCTACAAAGCCTAGGCTAGTACATCGGTATGAAAGGAGATTCAATTGTCCAAAGTCAAAAATCATTTTTCTTTCCGTTCGACTCGTTCGTTTCCCTTTCGCATATCGGCCCTGTAGAGATAAAGGTATTATCCCCACAGGTCGAATAAAAATCCAAGATATCCCATGTCAATCACAGTGGGATACCAACCACCCACACTCCGTCTCTATATACTCCATACAAAGTTTGATTCTCGCTCGGCGGTTGTTACCATTGCATGGAGACACCGAGATGGGGTCGCTTAACAAGACGTTTCGATGGTGGAGCGAGAGTTCATCAGAAGAGCGACAATGAGACCGTAAAGACCTGCGAGAGAAAGGGCACGATTGTGGTTAGAATCGGGATAAAATAGAATAGAACAGCGTTTCACGCTATTGGAGGTGAAGACTTACCCAAGACTTCAGCGAAAATGAGAATCAAGATCATTCCAACGTAGAGTCTGGGTTGCTGTGCTGTTCCTCGGACACCAGCATCACCGACAATACCAATGGCAAAACTGGAGAAAGAAAGATCGCAGTTAGCTTCGAAAGAATACAACATCCACTCGACATCCCCGCGGTGAAGGTGAAACATACCCAGCTGCCATACCGGCCAGACCGACAGCGAGACCTGCTCCCAGCTGAATGAACCCCGTGTACAGGGCAACCTTCTGTTGCAAGTCGTTTGCAATCAAGACCGACACGACCAACCCGTAGATGCCAATGATACCCGCCATGACAATGGGGACAATGTCTAAGAAGCGATCATGTTAGAACCATCGTTCGATCCACGAGAGGGAATCTGGAGCTTTAGGGAAAGAGCAGATTCAGGAAGTCGACAAACGTACTCTTGACGATCAGGTCGGGACGCAGGACGGCCATTCCACAGACTCCGACACCAGCCTTGGCGGTTCCATAGGCAGCTCCGAAGCAGGTGAAGACGATAGCTGAGGTGCAACCCAGCGCGCCGAAGAAGGGCTAAAAGTCGCAGTATTAGCCATCAAGAGTGTGAATAAAGATGGAGGTCTTTCGGGGAAGGTCAAGGTATCCTAGGTCGACGTGACGGTGACGGATTCGATCCATGGGTAATAGAGCTTGGTTATGGTGAACAGCGAAGGGACGCGACATGACATACCGCATAGACGGGACTATGAGAGCAGAAAGTCAGCATGAGAAGCTTCAGCAGCAGCCCAGATGCCGCAAGGATAAGAATCCATGGCGGCCAGAGGTCGTGGGCACAAGGAAAAGGAGTCAAGTCGGGGATTACGTACCAAAGTTCAGTGGCCATTTTGAAGAGATCAAAAGATCTTAATGGGATAAATTGAGGATAGAGCTATGGAGACAGCCGAGATAAGCAGTATCAGAGCAAGGGAACGCCCGCGAAGAGAGCCGTTGCGATGATGCGAAGGATTGCAGGTGCGAGACGGAGATGGGGATTGAGGCGAACACGCTGGTGGTTGCTTCGGGGAGGCTGACGGACCTCATGTGCTCCCACGTGACCCGGTGCTTGGCACCCGGCCGCCATCGGATTACGACTACAGTAGATCTACATTTTACGGTTTGGCCAGTTACTGTAGACATGGATGCACGACAGTAGAAATACAAAGTGGTGGATAATTCATTACATGGAAGCTTTTGCGTCTGAGTTATCTTACTCAAGGACAAGCGAGATCCGAGCCCCAGGCATATTGAGCTTAGTGCCAGTTTCGAGGACCTCTCCTTCTAAACTGGCCGGGGTGACGGGCTGCAGATAAGTGACAGCCTTCTCCGACAGAGCCCCAAATCGATTCGGCACATGAATCAAATTCTTTTGCTCCGAAGCAGTGTTCGACGGTGGCAAGGGGCTTTCACTATCAGTGACGACACCGAAATGATACGAAGGAGTTTCTTCCGGAGCTAGCGATCCGCTCTGGTCATGCTCCGGGAGGATTGAAACAAAAAATTGAATATAGTCACCCGCACGGGCAACCTGTGAGAGAGATGATAGATCATCGATGATGACTCGTTGGTCGAGAGATGGCAATCGATCTGGCAGCGAGCCCCCGGCCTGGGGAGAAAAGAGCCCGTTCATGCCCACAGGCTCCCCGTCATCCGATGGCACTAAGAAGCTGATCTCAGGGTCCAAGGATAAGAGGCCTTGCTTTTTGCCCCATCCACCACCGCCGCTCATGACATGGTGTAGTTTACCACCCGCCTGAATCGCCTTGGTGAGATCATCTGGGGTTCTGTCTGCACCATCTTTGTCGGGGCTTTCAATGAGAGCCCACACCGATACTCTCTGGTCGAGAATGTTGTGTTCTTCGATATAGCAAGGAAGTTCTTTTTCCAGCTCAGCCGAGGCTGGCATCGGTTCCATTGATTGACCATCGGCATGTTTTGTGATCTGGCGTAGAATATTCCCCATGCTGGTTACAACCTTTCTTCGCCGGCCGACCGGATATAGCGGGAGGCCGAGAGAACTGGAAATGGACTCTGTATTCGACGTAATTAAACAGCGAGATAAGTCGACGGTCTGGCCCAGACTAAAACTGGACGAGGAAGCGTCGTAGGCCCAGCGGGTTCCAAAAAGGGTGTTTTCCTTGCCATTGAGAAAAATGGTATTGGCGAGACGCAAACCAACTTCATGGATAGGCTGACGAAGAGCTTCACCAGCGGCGTGGGGGGTATTCGTTTGGACAGAGAACACAAGAGCTGCTTCTGGAGCGTCCGTGGCTCGGAGTCGGCGCGGCGCGGCAACTTTTCCTTGTATGTTCTCTGCTCTTGATAGCATAACCGAAATGCCCTCGTATTCTTCGATATCCTCCTCTGGTGCATTGTTTGACTTGCGACTGGTATCGGGTAGTTTATCAACAATCGCTACAAAGGCATGCGCAGAGCCATGGGATCCCTCGGAAGGTTGATTCCGGTACAGGCGATTGATCCATTGCTCAAGGAAAGTATGGGAAGGATCGATCCACGATGCAAAGCTGGGCGTGACAAGGATGATAGGGATCGGGTTTGATACTAGTCGCGAGCTCGGAATAGAGGGAAGGCTTGAAAGAACGTCATCTGGAGTCTCTTGAAGAATTAGCAAGGCAAGCCATGGGAAGAACTGCAGAAACCACCGAGAAACCTACAATCTCTCCAGGGGTGCGTGTCAGCCAGGTATAAGCCAAGGGATGATTGTTCGCGGTGCGTTTCGTCTGCGTTGCTAGACACCTGCGTGCGGCATATTGGCCTCGATAAGATGGGCCTCGTCGCCTCTGCAGGCCACGAAGCTCAAATACCTGCCGAGCGCACCCTGGTTTGGCGGCCGGTCGTGCTGGCAAGGTGAGCATCAACGACATATAAGCATGGAGGTCGACAATGATAGTCGAGAATGTCTAGCGGTGCTAAAGCATTGCGAGGGAGTTTCGGAAGCAAAGAACGGAATGGCTGCCAAGACCCACTGCAGCTTGACTGATTACCCGCAGTGGCTTTAGAAGCTGTCTCTAGTTTTTCCTACGAGTATTCCCTGGGCTCAATTTCTTCGAGTTCATTGTTGCTGAACCGACAATGTATTTTTACCCTAATGTTTATTTATTTTCTTTAGAAGAACCACCTATTAATCTATTCAAGTAATATGAATTAGGTGGGAGTGAAAGTATCGTCCAGAATACCTCATGACCATACTCCGTAAATGATGCCAATGCTCACCCAAGACTTTTGCCGGCCACTTAGCCAACCCAGGGTCAAACAGCAGGTGTACTCCGTACTCCGTAGGCAGAAACCTTGAATTCTAGAAGAAGGCTAGAATGCGACTTGATAAGTGTGGCGTTGGCAAACTAAGAATAGAATGGGCGCTCAGTGAACCTGGGCTCGTACGGGGTATCATGCTTGCCTATCCAGCGAGCCACTTGTCCGCGGACAAGAAGTCAATGATCGCAACGCACATGTATGAGTCCACAGGTGTAGGAAGCATATGACAAGCATGACGTCGAGAGGCGTTGGCAGATGTGGCGGTGCAGTACCGCCACCGTGCCAAGTCCCGAGGGCGTTCCAGGGTCAAGGAAGGTACACAGTTACGGAGCATGCAATCATAATTAAAACAGCCAACGAAATAAGAGCCCGGGTCTACCTTCTGCCCTCATTCGCTGCACGTTTGAAGATGGAGCGTTTCTTATCTTAATTTTGTGGGTTTCGTATGGTCGGAGTTCGGGATGACGTCGATTTCCAGATGCATGGCTGCGCAACGATGGTACGATCTATGGCCTCGAGAAGATCGACAAGGAAAACGTGTTGCCTCACCGTGAATGATATCAGATTCCAAGAAAGTCGAAACCATGCTATGACGAGTGGAGACAAACGGAGAGTGTCAGGAAATTACATAGGTAGAAGCCAAGGGAATAGGGCTGGACTCCATAGGGCTGTGGTCCACTCCTGCAAGTGCAAAAGAGGTGGATGTCTGGATGACGGGCTAAAAAAGTAAGCATGGGGGTTTTCCTGTGAGAAGGGTGGTTATTCCGGAGTCTGATGGAGAATAAAACGAGCAATTGACAGGTGCATAAATATAGAAATCAGGACCTGATCAGATCGATTTCGATGAATAGTACATTGAATAGCGAGGGTCAGGGGCAAAGAAGGGCGCCAAGCTTTTCTTCAGGCAACCAGATAATTGTTAGACTCCTTGCTGGGAAACGAGGAAAACTCTGCCAAGTAGGTCGCAACGTAGGTTGACGCAAAAGTCAGCCGACAAATGCCTGATGGGAAAGTCTAGGCAGCGGGAAATTGGATGTTCATCACTCCGCCTGGGCCAATGAAGACGGCGTGCGTCAAACCCGAGCCACAGTTGGCGGTGGAAGCATGACGTATGATGAAATCCTGACTAAGGCACTAACAGAAAGGGAACCTGATCCCCTTACGGAGACGGGCAGAGAGGCCGGTGTCAAGGTCAACTCGAACCTTTGCCGCCCAGGATTTAAGAGCCCGTGGATCCGCTCCCGACCGCCCGGCCTTGTTCTTTCTTCCCAACTCTTTCAGACTTGTCATCCCATCTCGATCAATTATCATCTCCTGCTCATAGATCCCTCTTTGGCTTCTACTCGATCAACCACTACTCACAATGCCTTTCACTGCCTCGTAAGTGCCCTTGTCGTCATCCCCTCGTTCTCCTTGCCTTCGTCCGGCTCGCTCGGTCGGTCCCTTCGCAGTGCTGTCCGAGCACCCAATGCCGTGGATGAGAGGCTGGAGAGCTTGGAGAGGTGCGAGGAAAACAGCGGCTAACGATTCTGTTTGTACAGCGACATCTGCAAGATCCTTTTTGCGATCATCCTCCCTCCCCTCGGTGTCTTCCTTGAGCGAGGATGTGGAGCTGATCTGCTCATCAACATCTGTTTGACCATCCTGGGTTGGATTCCCGGCATCATCCACGCTCTGTACGTGCTACCCTCCGATCTGGATTCCTCGGACCTCCAGCTAACAATGCCCTTCCAGGTACATTATTTTCAAGTACTAGACACTGCCTATATCCCCCAAACTGTCCGCCCGATTCGATCCAAGTCCTTCCTCGATCGAAGATTTGCATCGTTCCGCCGTTCTCTCCTAGATCCCTTAATTTGAAATCGAACGGGCGATCGTGTTGTTGTTCGCGTATTCCGCGCGACTCCGACCGAGACTCGACTAATGTAACCCCGCCACTTGGCAGTCCATATCCTGTGGATTTGAGGCGAGGACTGATCGGTGGTTATATCACACGTATCCTGTGATGGGGCTCGAGTGTTCTTGTTACTATTAATCTCTCGCGATTCCCCTGTTTGTGATGTTTCTATGTTCTTTTTGGCTTCGCTTCGGATGATACCAGCTCATTTGTCATACTGGGCTTTTTGTTTTGCTCTTTGTCAGTGATTACTTTTAATGATTGATGGCAATAACAAGATCTTAATATTCCCTGAATTCCCTGCAGCTGCTCCCACCTTTGCTCTAGGTATAGTAGCTGTTTGTCGGTTGTGGTACGACAAGAACCAGCAACTCTTCGCGCCACGCGAATTTAAGCTAAAATAGAGTTCTTCCAGGCTGAATTATTTCTCAGCTGGGTGGAATTACCTGGATCTCGATAGTTCATCCCCGGGGCACTTGGCTTTCTTCAGCTTTCTTCAGCTCTTGACGCCCGTTCATCTCCGAAGCGCCCGGGCGTCTGGAATCAGCTGACCTGACATCATGATGACTCCGGTGCAGCGCCGGCGCCAACCCCGGCGCGTAGTCAACTACTCATCTCGTCTGCGCTCTTGCCCACACCCAGCGCCTACAGTTGTCGACCTGCTTCTCGACTACGTGGCTCTCGTTGGCTAGACTGCGTTTTGCATTTCATCAGGGCGCCTACAGGAGGCGCAGTTTCATGGTGATTGTCTCAGATGCAGGCGTCTCCCACGAGCAGCCAGTCAGCGTCATGGCGAAAACAAGAGATCTTCTCGTTGACGCCGGCAATGGCGGGTTGGGCTCGAACGCGCCGCGTCTTATTATCATGTCCTTCTCACCGTGCCCCTCAGTTCTCTGGAACAATTCTGTCGTTAGAAAATATAGGCGGCTTAGAGTGACATTGTACAACAATATTGCCTCTATTCATTTCTTTGATCCATTCACATAGAATGGTTGTCTGTGTGCACCTATGACTCTAGGGGTTGATGCTCCTTTGTGTTGATATAGGGTAGGTAAGTCATTTGGACGCTCTAAACTTCGCTCATTACTTTTGGATACATTTACATCATCCACAGTTGTAAAATGGACCAGGGGGAATCCTTGACTAACTAGCGGAGAATTGACAGATTGTCACAATATGTTATCACATCTCCGACTCCTCTTTGTCCTTTCGTCGTTAATATCATCTTGCCTTGCACTCAGCGCCAACGAGCCACAGCCGACAGGAGCGGTCGCTTCGCCAGTCGATCGTGTTCCAAATTGCGCTGCAGACTGTACTAGAGAATTCATTCGGACGGACTATCCCAACAATGCATGCTCGCAAGGATTGGATCTCGAATGTCTTTGCAGGACGAATACGAACAGTGGATATACTTTGGGAGAGGCTGCCTTGCGCTGTAGCCTCGCTTATTGCGTTTTGGAGACGGTGTTGCACTCAACGGTCTACAGTATCTGTGATGTGGTAGTAGGCGCTTTACCACGGACGCATGCTACTATCACTGCTACAATAGTGACCACGACAACGACGTCTCTGACGAGTACGACAGCCGCTCACACAGAGACACCTTCTGACCTAGGTACTCTCAGCACCTCCCTCAACACCAGCTCAACTACCAGTTCAACTACTTCAGCACCCTCACAGTCAACTACGACCCACATATCCACCACTCTCACTCCTTTCGAGAGTCCTATATCAATCACCCACACCACCCTGCACTCTAGTACTACGAATGATCAGACACCCTCCACGAGTGCGGCATCCTCTAACGAGAGTCATTTGAAACCCAGTGCAGTTATAGGGGTCTCTGTGGCTTCGGGGGTGTCGGGGTTTTTAATCATTGGGGTTATCATATTTTGTTGCTGCCGGAAGGCCAGACGAAGGAATCAGCAGGCCAAAGACAACAACTTCTTCGAGATTGGCGGTGTCATGTCAGAACCCCACGACTTTTCTTCGCCACCGAGACGACCAATTCCAGGGCCTAGCAACCCGTCATCTCGTACAATAAATGAGGACTCACGTCCTGCGAGGCTGATGTCCCCGTTCGAATACCGGAATGAGAACCCAGCGGTTGTTGTTACTGGACCAGACGGCGATCGTAACAACCGCCACTCGAGAAGAATTAGCCCTAGCAAGATTGGATTTGCATTTTCTTCAAATTCTGAAAATGAGGCCTCGCCGAGCCAGTCCTCACAGCGGACCATCTCCGACTTGCTGCCAGAGAAGCCTGCATACGATCTTTACCCCCAACCTCTGCGATGGAGTCAACAGAAAACCCCCAGGCCCGCTAGTGGCGCGACACTGTTCGAGGAAGACGTCGTCAGGCCGAGAGGGGGTCCCAGCGCCCCAACTCCGTTCATGAATTCCTCTGCCTTGCCAGCTCGATATAATTCCTCGCGACAGTACAATGGGGCTCCGATAGCAGGGCTGCCTGATAACCCGCGTGCCATGATGCATGGATTTGAGGGACGGCATAATGGTACCTTAACCCCACGGAATTCTGCCTCTCGGAAAAAGCCTATATATGCCGACTCTGGTGCTGGGGTCCACCATCCACGCCAGGCTGACATATATGACGCCTCGTCGTATCATACCAAATGTGATGACCTCATGTATCATGACAATTATGTTGACAATTATTGGCAACAACCCGATCATGGATACTTGGGTGGTGCAGGCATGCCGTCGCCCCGCAACATGAAGCGCCGCTCACTGCCGCAGTCAAGCAGCATCCCAGTGAGCAAGCCGAGCGGCGAGTTTGAGACGATCAACATCAATGAAAATTCGGGAAGCCGCCGGACCTCGCGTCACTCGGGGAGCTTCAGGCCACTTTCCCCTCTAAAAGAAGTCCGAACACCCACCAATATCCCACCCAAGCGTGATTACTTTCTTGGTGACGCACCTGTCAATGAGTCTGAGGGTTCGCGCTCTACGGCTGCCGGCCCAGCCCATGAGATAGTTTCTCGGCCCCGGATTGTGCGGCAGGATGATATAAAAAGGGTTCAGGTTCGTCGAGGCAAGCCACAGCCTACCGGACAGACTGTCCCGAACGACTACTGGCACGAAAATGATCGTGGTATCCTAATACCCGAGCCCAACTCTCACGGTCTAGTGAGCGATTCTCGCTATCCGATCGAGAGGATGGGTCGGACATCGACGATAAGAGCCGTGCCAACCGAACGCAACTTGACACCGTCCAGACATGGCACCGATCTGATACTCCGCGTGGATTGAGAGCGAGGCAGGTTTCTCGCTTTCCTTCTTGGGCCAGCCCAGATCATATTCCTTTCTCTTTTGTAATATATTAATATGGGACCATGTGCGTCCGGTACATTGCACTTTCTTCTATGTATATTTATTTGCTATCTTGGCCCCTGCAGATGCTTCCGTCTGCGAACTGTACCTATATATACAATATTTGCTACATACTGTACCTCTAGAATATTAGTAACCGAGTCACGATAATTCCCCGGAACCAGGTTGTACAGTCGTTCAGTTCCCAGCCAGTCGTTGACTGTTCCATCTTCCGCCAGGGAAAAAAAGTTTGACAAGACATTCCTGGGACGGAAACAGCCTTCGTGGTGGTGGTAGACGCTGGTTCTGACAGGTTCACCGAGTGAGAGACTTCGAATCACATGTCACCAGGCTGAGAGTGCACAACGACGGTGGCTGCAGGACCGGAAAGGTTACACTGCGTGGTTTCCACGTCCCTTTCCCCTCCTTCCTCGCTCGGCTTGCATGTTGGTGTTGGTTCCAGGTGCGGCATTAAACAACACGCCCTGGTTGGCTTCAGATCCCAACTAGTGGGTGAGATGGGTTCCCTAGCCTCTTGAGAATCCGAGATACATACCAGGTGGTTGCGAGCTAGGGCTCGGCGCCTTGTTCGGACGGTGTAGACACCATCCGCCATCTGGCCTGAGGATTGGTTGCTCCTGGACGTGCCTGCACCATTGACGAACTACTCTGGGCTGTCTGGCTGACGGGCTGCCCGGGAGGTGACCGGATGAACTGAGAAGAGCGAGGACTGGAGAGGAATAGCCAGAGGGAAGGAGACCGGAGAGAGTGGATGACTAAGGAAGGCGGGCCGTGCAGGGGACATCCCGCCATGACGTCACGGTGCTTGCCTCGACTTCTTCTCGGTCAACTGCCTCACTCGTCGGGCCCCGTCTTTGATCCCTGGGAGTAAAATGTGATATCACTATCAGTCGACGAAGCAATCCATGCGTCTTGAAATGACAGACAGATACGGAGTACTTGAATGTATTTTCGCGAGGATTGAACGTTAGTGGGACTTCCCTACACCCGCCCTCGAAATCACAGAATAATTTGATTGTTGCTAAGTCGACCAACGTTTGGACCGTGGCATGGGTGACGAATCAACGTGTCTGCCTCATCGATTCCACGGCCCAGGATGAATCACCGCGGTAGAGACGACGTCGACGTTGCCTTTGCATGGCGCGAAGAGGAACGGCGGCAAACCTTCGGCTCGGTGGAGTCACGGCAACCAGCGCTTGCCAGCCAGCCAAAGTCCATTGCAAGCATTCTCCAAAGTCCAAACGTTGTCGATGACGGGGCCACGGGCTAACATCATCCATGGGCAAGCATGAGTCCTAATTTCTAAGGCTCCGCGCCTCTGGCGCTGACCCTCCATTATCCGGTCGATGTGTTTCAGCGTTGTATATGAATGGCTCCATTTTCCTCCCCAAACCCACACTCGATCTTTCCTCCACTCTACCTCGATCATCATTCCATCACTCTTCTCTTCGACATTGATCAGGGATTACCTCATAGCTGGCTAGACTGCTTCTTACAGGCCCTCGTGCGTGAACGGTCTCTTCATCTCGATTGCGTTTTGTGCGGCCGTATTGGAGCCCCCTTTTCCCTCACAAAGGTTCTTTCTTATCTTCCATTCTAGATAATCAATTTCATTTCTTTGGGTTCCCTTTGGACACTCTCTAATTTTTTTTAATTTTTTTTTTTTTGGCTGTCTTACCCTTTACTTTTTTTTGGAGTGATCGACCGCCGTTGTCGTTCCCTTCCCGGCTGTCTTTTTTTGGGTCTTCTACTGGGTCCGCTCCACTTTGGCAAATCGTCTAAGCCATCGTCGCCCCTACTATACGTCAGTAGGATTACAACGCGTCCCCACATTCACAGGAACAAGGAAAAGAACGATGACTGCCGCAGACGGTCTCGGAACCCGAGTTGACCGGCTGTCCAGCCTGGACGCCAGTCGGGCCGACCTTTATGGCGGTCCCAATGTCGTCCTCCCTCCTCAACATCTTATGGCCTCCAGTGCTCACGACACCGCGATGGGAATGGAAATGGCTAAACAACACCTCGAAGACGAGATATCCTCTGAAGATGGATCGCCCCGTGTGGCCTCACCTACCTCTAGACCTGCGCAGACTACCACCGACGACTTTGCCTTGGCCTTCGATATCGATGGAGTTCTACTGAAAGGTGGCGACCCCATTCCTGCGGCCATTGATGCCCTGAAATATATCAACGGGGACAATCCTTATGGAATGACAATGTAAGATATTTTCTCCTTCGTTGAATCCATACCAAAACCAAGGCTTTGTTTCTGACGCCTATCTGTTCAATCAGTCCGTACATCTTTGTGACGAACGGCGGGGGCAAGTCGGAGGAGGAACGATGTCTAGACCTTAGTCGGCAATTAGAGCTGGAAGTCTCCCCCGGCCAGTTTATCTGCGGGCACACGCCGATGCGCGATATGGCTGAGCGATACAACACCGTTCTTGTCGTGGGCGGCGTGGGCGAGAAGTGTCGATTGGTTGCCGAAATGTACGGCTTCAAGGACGTCATCACCCCCGGCGATATCATCAAATCGCGCAAGGATACCACTCCCTTCCGGAGCCTGACCGATGACGAGTTTGAGAATTCTCGCGCGCGAGATCTTAAGAATACCAAGATCGACGCCATCTTCGTTTTCGCCGACAGCCGGGATTGGGCCGGAGACCAGCAAATCATCCTGGATGTCCTGATGTCGAAGGAAGGACATCTAGGAACCCGTTCGGAGGTCTTCAACGAGGGGCCTCCCCTGTTCTTCTCCCACAACGACGTCGTATGGGCCACCTCTCATGAACACACCCGCATCGGTATGGGCGCACTTCGTGCCTCACTGGAGGCACTCTACAAAGCCGTCACTGGGAAGGAGTTGTCGACTATTGCCTTCGGAAAGCCCCAACTAGGCACGTATCAGTTCGCCACCCGGCTCCTTCGCCAGTGGCGCAAGGACACCCATGGCATTAACAACCCCCCACGCACCGTCTACTTCGTCGGCGACACCCCCGAGTCCGACGTCCAAGGGACCAACGAATTTGACAAAATCAGCGACATCGAATGGTTCTCGATTCTAGTCAAGACCGGTGTCTACCGGGATGGCATGATTCCTCGCTACCCACCCAAGAAAACGTGTGAGAACGTCCTGGAAGCCGTCAAATTCGCCATGCAGCGTGAGATCTCCAAGGACATGAACGGCACGGACTTGAAGGAGTCAAAGTATGCGGGCATACGAAATTGATCGGCCCTGCTTTTTCACCGACCATGTGGGATTATTTGCGCATAGTCATGCACATGATTTCCCCTCCCCCCACCTTCAATTAGATCGTCTAGATCATTCCTTGTCATTCGTTTTCACATATACCATACACATGATTCAAGATTTTGGCTATTTTGGTTTTCTAGTTTCTACATACTTATGATTCCCTAGGATATAACAATTCTATTTTCTTATTTTTACAAAGAAAGATTTTCTATCTACTACTGTGTGTTTCTGTTCTGGTGGAAGCGCCGTTTGGACATCTTCCTTGAATTCTACAGGTTTCTTGTGTGATCAGGGCAAGGGCATTCCAGTCCTCTTTTCATAGATGATTAATATTTGTTGATGCTGCTGATTGTTATTGTGCTGACTTGGATTGAGTTCTACACACGTCACAGGGCACTATGCCCCTCTATGCTATATTTTACTACACTGCAGTACAACACAGACTCTAGGAGAGAAACTGGCGAGGTCTTACACTTACTCAGCTCTACCTTCCAACTAACAAGAGACGTGATGGATCGATGATCCCTGCCGTGTACTGCCTCTCAGTAGGTATCTATTTGTTAATCGAATACCCCAAGACCACAGTATCTACGTAGCATCCACATCGTACGCAGATAGATCCGTCCCCTAAAGTCACAAGATCCTAGAATAGAGGCTGTCCGCGAGAAACACACCAACTGACATAGGCCATAGGATAGACCGGCCGGCCGGGAGTAACTAACTAGGTAATCCCGGGGATTTTTTTCCCTTTAAAGTTGTTGGTTTAAATATACTTACGTTGGCCAAGTATCTAGCTACTAGGTATACAGTCATCTATCTGATGACGTGCACGGCAGACGTCACGGGCAGATTAGATCCAGGTGTGGGTGGGGTTAGGGGATTCGGCGGTTCATATTGGAGTGGTTGATCTATCTATCTGACTGTTTGTCTATCTATGTACATAGTAACTGTATAAGCCGTCTAGGTTTACATATCCTATCTATTTGGTTCGTTTCCCCGCGTGCCAAGAAACTGGGGTAAAGGCTGCGGCTTGTTAGGGGTGGGGGGTTCATTCCCGGTATGGAGTATGCACTGCATATGTCATATTGCAGGTCCCATGTGGTGGATGATGGCCGGAGGAGGGGGAGAGGGAGAGGGAGTATGTGAGTCACTACACCGTGGGTACAGTAGCTACTGGGACACTCTGGTAGGTAGTAAGTACGCCGACTACTGCAGTATGACCCGCCAGCTCAACCCCGATTGATTCCCATGCCATGTGTTCCTTCCCGTGGGGAGGATTTTCCAACTTGCGTCTCCCGCATATTCATGCAAGATTTTTGTTCGATTTTTCCCATTTCGGGGATACCGCGCATGACGGGCGGCTGGGGGGGGAAAATCAGATCTCGAACTCAGTATCGAGCCAATGTTTGATCACGACAGGAGCCTCGTCGAATCCCTTCTTCGGCACGCGTCTGATGATCGCGGCATGGCTGTGTCGATGATTGTGGATGTAGACCGGATACTTGCGGAAACCTACGGCATTGAGGGATTTGATGATGGACATCTGAAGGGGGGTGAGAGCGAGCGTGGGATATGCTTGACTATCGCCGGGAGGATCTGGTGTGTGCGTTTCCGTGACACTGGTCTCCTCTTCGTGGATGGCCACGCTCGATTTGTCCGGGTCGGTGGGGGCTGAGAAGCTTGTTGTCGTGGTCGGCCGCTTTCTGAGTTGGCTTGCGCCTGCATGGCGGTCGGTGGCGGATAGGTACTCGGCATCCTGTCGCGAGGCGGCGCGTTCAAAGGCCTTCCCTACCGCGTTCTGGGCTTCTTTGATCAGAAGAGGTATGCGGTAGTGTCCGAAGGAGGCGCCGTTTTTGCCCTCCTCGTGTAGCTGGATCCGTTGTCGACTGCGGGACGTCTGGATGACTGAGTTCACGAGGAAGATGGGGAGGGCGATGGAGATCAGGGAGGTGAAGAAGAGCCACGTCGACAGGTCGGTGAAGAGTTTCTTCGCTTGTTGCTGTATCCGCGATGACCACGGCAGATGGTCGTCCTTGACCCCGGGCCGTGCAAAATACACGTCGGGGTCGATGATCACGGGTTCATAGCCGGCGACATACTTGATGTGGGCACGTTCCAGATCCTGTTGAAATGGATCGGACAGTGAGATGGCGGTGGTATAGAAGACGGTCGAGCGATCGTTCACCACGTTCGCATAGACGCAGCGGTGTTTGAACTTGGCCAGCGCGCGCATGAAGACACTGTCGGGATCAGCTAGGAGGCCGAGCAGCGGCTTCCCAGAGTCCCGGAACGAGTCCACCAAGAACAGCTGTCTCCCCGAAACGGAGATCGTGCGCGGACCCAGGTAGTTCCACAAGAGACTGCGGAGGCCCGTGAGGGGAATCCGCACCCCGACATGCGGCGACACGAAGGTGGTGAAATTCACGGGCTCGATCCGGTCGAACCATCCTCGCGCGTAAAGGAGCCCCAGAGCATATCTAGCCACTAGTCCCCCCAGGGAATACCCGACAATACTGAGCTTTCTGACCCGAGACCCGCGGGCCTCCAGCGAGTCCAGTGTTTCTTCGATCTCGAGCGCCAGTCGCTCGCCTCCGAGTTCGATCCCATCGTAGGTGTGGGTACCGGCGTTGCGTTGGGCGGCGAGGATATGGAAGGTTTTACTCGGATAGTGTTCTCGCAACGACGTGGCTATGAAGTCCATGTGAGAAGGGTTTCCCCAGAGTCTGTCGCATGCAATAATGGCTGTTAGCAACGACCCAAACAAACACGTGGATATCAGCAGGGGAGTGGTATGTTCTCCCTACCCATGGACCAAGACACACAGATGATGTGCATCAGGCGAGTGACTCCCATTGGGATCCATGGTTTCACACAGAGAGAAGAAGATAGGGAAGCTCTCGAGAGTCCATTCGGGTTGGTTACTTGCTGCCTGAATTATTAGTTAGGTAGTTAGTTAACTAATTAGTTAACTATTAGTTAACTAGTTAGGACACTGTAGAGGATGACTCATCATCCGTGACCTCCGGAGTCAGGCATCTACTCGGAGTCCGTAAGGCAGGAAACTATCAGGGTCCCAACAAACAATCATCCATTCAACTACAATTCGGTCCCACCAGTAAACTCTGACTTGACTATTTTTTGAAAATTGGACATCAATGTACCATACGGTCCCGATTGTGTTGATGGCGCAGATTGGAGTGCATCACCAAGTTGGCTACAGACTAGCGGGGAAAAACGACTATCTACAGCAGCGCCACCACACTTGCCGCCTGTACTCATTAGCACATCCCTCTTTTTTGCTTTTTGTTGGACATTGCGTACCTTGAACTGCTGTAAGTTCTTCGAAGAGTATTCCAGGTTGTACGTCTGATATGTAGAACGTGCCGATATCCTGACAGATATTTAGCCCGAAGCCTATCAATCTCTTCTCCAGGGAACTCACAACTGTGCCCCCCCCAAAATCACACAAGGAGGCCATCGTTAACCTAAGTCAGTGTTAGTGCGTACGATGAACAGTATGCAGCAGATTGGACAAACTTCAAGGCGCGGGGCAAAGGTTTTGACAACGGTCAGAGCGGCGGCTTCAGCTTCTGATACCATGTGTATCTGATCGGCTGGCTTAACCTTGAACCCAGCCTCTTCCGCCACTTGAATCAGCAGGCCCTTCGTCTCGTCGCGCCAATGGGCTGGCATCCCCAGCCAGTACTCGATCGGCGTAATATCGAAATCGATCCCATTGTGTTTGAGAAAACCCCGGATGTACTGGTTCAGCTTTTCCAATAGGTGGCCACCACTGTCTTTGCCTGTACCCCGGAAGGTAACTGTATGATTTGACTGCGAGTTAGGGTGTTCAGAACCGGGTCGGTAAATTCGTTTGGGTTGACGTCCTGGTCCAGCAAAGGCTTAGTCCAAGCGTACGTGACCAATTCATCTTGTGCTTCGAATCCCCATAAAATTCGGTGAGGAGTCTCCGCCTCAGAAATCGATAAAAGGGATGGAACCTTGCCGGCATTCTTGCCGGGCCACTGAAGTATTCCCCTTATCGCTCCCAGATCTCCATCGGAGCGAACAAAGGCAGCTCCTGCGCAACTGGTGAGTTCGGGTGGCTAAATTAAGAGGACTGCTTACCTGTCGAGGTACATTCATAATCGATCCCCACGATGAGCTTGGTGTCCAAATTCATTATGAAAACTCCCAAATCTAAAGGGATTTGCAACAATAAGAAGATGAAGACGATGAAGACGATGAGGATGATGAGGATGATGAGGATGATGAAGAGAAGAGTATAGTGGCGATTGCAGATAAGTAGAATGGCTCAGAAAAACTGCGAGATAGAGGGAAATGCCTGTTCTTTTCATGTCGGCCTGATCGGGGTCCTAATGATGACTAGGTTGTGGGAATTCGGACCTTCACCAAATTAATGTCTCGGGAAGCTACAGTGAGCATATTGATTTGATTTGGGGATTGGGGAATTTTTTTTTTTCCTTTTTTTTTTTTTTAAAAAAAAAATCTTTTTTAAATTTCAGTTTGATCAATTCGATAGCAAAAAAGACCGCAGTCTTCAAATTTCACGGTAACAAAGAACAGCGACTGCGCGTCCAGATACCCCCCTCGGCTTATTCGCGCTAGACATCTTCGCAAAGTCTTGAAAGAAAAAGAGAAGAAAGAAAGAAATCAAAAGGACAAGAGATAAAAAGGCTAGTGACGCCCCTACTCGCGTTTCCTTCTCAATCTTCCATCCCTCCTTGATCTGGATACTGCACATCAAGGTTTTCACCCGCAATCAAACAAAGGCTCAGGTGGAAGTGCTTCTCACGATGATCTCTAGTACTCTGGCAATATGCTAACGTGTATCTAGAAAAGCCGAGCAACGTCTCCAGTGTCGAAAGAGGGGAACAGGGTCGAGAAACCTGTGGCCCAGGACAAGAAAAGTCCCCCGGACATGAACATAAGCGAGCGGTCTCACCCGTGATAGAGAGCATTCGCCGCCAAATTGAGTCTAAATGGATTCTGATCAATGCCGGTGCTGACACGCAATGTATAGAGGATCCCAAACACATCGCATAATTGTTTGACCTCCTGCGCTATGCCGTGGAGAAATGGGTCATGCAATATGCGGCATCGGAACCGTCGGATCTGGCCCGCTTGTCGAAGGAGCAGAAATCCACCATCATCAGCCACTTAGACGGACTTTGTGTACAGGAAAGCTGGGATACTTTGGTCGGAAAAGTTCCTGCAATGAGGGACGGGCTCGCGGCAGAGGTTTTCCTCACGGCATTGATCTTTCAGGACCTGCACAGCATGATGATAGAGCATCCGTTCTGGTACCTTGACGGAAAGAATGCCCGGGATCAAACCGAGAACGATACTTTTGGCGAACGGCTGGAATACCTTTACGAAAGGTTTCTAGAAAGTAGGCACAACCTTCCTGGAGTTGTCTAGGTCCATTGATCCTGAGTTATGGTTCACCCTGTGCAGCAAATCCAATCATGGCTGAGTGTTGGAGAAGAGAGACAGTTCGGCTCTCTAACTTGTTGAACCCTGTTCAAGCCCCTGACGACACATTTGGTCGACACAACCAAAAGCGTCGCAAGGCTGCCGCGGAATAGCTGGCAGATGATCTTCTAGCCAGTTTGCCGGTACTGTCATTGCTAAAGACTCCGGCCAGCGATGAGGTCGAGAAAAAGCGCCGAAATGAGCTGGTGGGAATTTACACAGGAGCTAGCCATGCTGCAGTCTGCAACGACCAATGCTCGGGGCAAACAGAATTTTCGCAGCTGGCCGATATTGATCCAACCTACCATTCGAGCTCCGCTGAGCTGTCAGCACATGATTGTCATGGCGTGCTTCCTGGCGACACCAGGCTCGATGGACACCGAATTCTGTTGGTCCTTCGTCCAGCAATGCGCCACAAATTGAGCCAGATGTCTTCTGAGCTCATGATTTGGCTGCCCGCAGTTGTCATGGTGGAAGATAATCTAGTCGACTGAGACACTTTTGATTGAGGATGCGGTGGCTGCGGTCTCTTTTTGGATTTGTTACCTGATTTATGTTCATTTCTGCTCAACTGTAGTGTTTGTGGGGTGCGACTCTGCAGAACTTTGGTTGTCTTAGACTGTTGTTCCCGGAGCGATCGCTAGAAATTTCTCCAGCCCCGTATGCTATGGATACTCTAGAAATATCTTAGCCGCTAGATTATTGAGACCGCTTCATGACGACGTCTAAGTCCAAAAACTGCTACGTAGGCACGTCGCCCCCCTTCCCGTAGGAAAATGTCTAATTCTAGCTTCAGCATGATATTTTATCGAATTATTATCAGCTTACGGTACAGCAGATGAGCAATCAAGTTACGATCAGCCAAAAGAGCAAACGCCAGCCCGCGTCGTGCTCCGAAACTTGGTCTGAAGGAGGACCAGCCGCATACTGACAAGCCACGAAGGGCCACCAGAGCGGCTCTCTGCAGTGTCTTGGGATACCAGCGTCGAATGACAGTCCGGTTTGCTAGATGATAGACAGCCAAACCTGAGTCCAGCTTGCGAAGCTGCAATGGTTGCTGTCTCCGTCGGACACAGCGCCGGACTTAGGGCTGGCGGCGTTCCTGTTCCTGTTGATGCCTGAGAATGGGGGCAAGTGTTTGCATTGTTTGGCTGTCACCCTCCGCTCTCCACTGTCTTTTCTCCCTCCTGTCTCTCCCTTAACATCGATTCTAGGTTGGCTTCATTCTCGATATTCGGACAACAGATTACAATCCACCGTGATGTCTAAAATGATCGACGTGGCTATACACCTCTTCTCCTGACCTCTTGACTTGGTCCATGCCATTGAGCTAGTGTCTCTGCTTCATTCTCATCCTACGGAAGTGAGCATGTTACAAAGGAACCAACCTTCGACTCAATGGCCACAAACAAAAGTTCCACCTCCATCGTCAGTCTGACCATACTTTTTACATGTTGTGGTCAACGAATATAGTTACAGGCCTCAAGACGGGAGAGAATAATACATGCGACAATCTACACTATCTTGTCAATACCTTACCCACCATATATCCCGTCCGTTCATACATACCTCACTTCTCAACCATTATGTTTCCTCCACTTGGTTTATTCAGAGACATTCCTTGTCCGCAGGGCGAGCAATGCTCTCTGCTGGCATGCCTCTTCTCTCATCCACCCTCCAACACCAATTCGGGCGATCAAAAGAATCCGATCGCTCTGGATGTCAACACCACGCATGAGGAATCACCTGTCCAGGACACACCGGCCCCCAAGAAGGCTAGATTGCAAACAACGATCGAACCCAGCCAGGCCGCTCGGGGATCTCTGTCGTCGTCCAGGACCCAACCCACAGCCCAGGGAACTCCATTAGCGAACGCAGCGCGTAAGCCATCTCAACCGACAGGCCAAAAGCCCAGTCAGCTTCAATCTGTCGCTAGGCAAGTCTCGCCGCCGCCGCCACCACCATCAAAGTCCAAATCGACATCAAACCCGCGAGATGTGCCTTCCGCTGAGAAGCCGAAGGCAGGTTTTCCACCAAGGCACGCTCCGCGCGAAAGCCTCAACCCTCGCATGCTCACCAAATCCCCTGCGTCGCATGGAGTTCGCTTAGCAATCCTGAAGAAGCTTCACGCCACCATGTCTTCCTTGAATAACAAGATGACTAGGCAGAAAGAGGGCCCAGAGGATTATTTAGTGCTGAGCCCAAACGAGCTGATCACGATGGCATTGGACGAGGAGGAAAATGTGGCGAAAGACAACGCAAGTATATACTCAAATGTTATCAAACTTCGGATCTTGAAGCTGTCGAAGATGAGCCAGGACGACTGGATCAAGGAGGTCAAGTCTCATCTGAACCAGCGATACTACAAGATCCCGTCAAACACATCAGAGCATAAGAAACCCAAGACCCTCACTACAGGATTGCGTATCCCGGAAGAAATCGCACTTGCTAAAAAGCTCGTGAAGTCTCTGGAAGGCCTTGAGGGATTTGGATACGTGACTAAAGCACCCACGACCGAGGAAGTCGAGAATGCCAGAAAGGGTGTCGTCGAGTCGAAAGGCTGGGAGAAATGTGACCGGTGTAGCGGGCGCTTTCAGGTGTTTCCCGGTCGCCGCGAGGATGGCTCCTTAACAACCGGTGGAAATTGCACATATCACTCTGGAAAACCCTTCTATCCACCGAAAAGACCGACTGATCATATCACGGGGCCTAGAGAGGCCTACTTTTCCTGCTGCAACGAAACCATAGGGACATCTTCCGGCTGCACCAAAGGCCAAACGCATGTCTACAAGGTGACGGAAAGCAAAAGACTCGCATCAATTCTTCAATTCGAAAACACGCCCTCTCAGCCCGAGAGAGGGCCCCAATCGCCCGTGTCTTTTGATTGTGAGATGGGTTATACCACGTTGGGACTGGAGCTGATCCGGATGACCGCTGTCAGTTGGCCCGAAGGCAAGCAGCTCCTCGATGTCCTCGTCCGGCCGATGGGTGAGGTGCTGGACTTGAATTCGCGCTTCTCCGGTGTCTTTCCCGAGCATTACACCCAAGCGATCCCATACGGCACTTTGCCTCCCAAAACGGACTCTGCTACAAGAGAGGAGGGGGAAGTCGAGCCGGCGCCCCTACAGGTTGTGGAGTCCCCGGCAGCAGCACGAGCCTTATTGTTCCAGTTTATCCAGCCCGACACGCCACTCATCGGGCATGCCATCGATAACGATCTGAATGCATGTCGCATCATCCACCCGACGGTCATCGACACTGTCCTTCTCTACCCACATCCGCGGGGCTTGCCTATCCGCATGAGTCTCAAGGTATTATGCAAGAGGCATCTCGATCGGGATATCCAGACGGGAGGAGATCAAGGTCATGATTCCAAGGAGGACGCGGTTGCCACGGGCGATCTCGTTCGGGTCAAAGCTGCAGACACCTGGACATTACTCAAATCCAAAGGGTGGGTCTTCAAAGATGATCGCCTTGTTCCTCCACCGGGTACGCCAGAAGATGCTGCAGGAGATCTGAAACTTGGCCGAGGAGCCGGGCAGAAAAGAACCAGTTCAGGTTAGAATATTCCGAAGCTACATGGAGCCTACTTTGTCGGCTTCTATTCAATATGTGGCACTCAAGAGGCCGTGGAACAAATACCGAGGTGCTGTGAATTGCTTACGAGCGCAACGATGTCAGAGTAATAAAGGCTCAATTCATGATCTACCATTCGTAACGTCATGGAGTAGAACTAACGACACCGGCCGACCACCGCAACGAGCAGACATGCTAGGATCGAAAGACCACCACCTTTTCAGGCTGAGACAATCCCCCGCAGAACCTAACACCTTGCTCCGTCACAAGAGCAGCCAGCCGTGCCATACAACCGAGCACATCCATCCTCCGGACAACCATGAACCAGGTCCACGGTACCAACTCCCAACTCATGAAGAAACTTGGTCCCGTCTTGTGTTGAAAACAATGAAGAACAACCCCCCAAGCGGTGCGGTTCGCGCACCGAAAACCCAGTCCAAAGCCAGAAAACCTTTTCGCTTTTTTTATTTGTTGTTCATGATCCCGTGGTCAGAAGGAATTTACTCCTCCTCCTCGTCGCCCTCCTCGTTGACGACGTTGTAGAAGCGGAGCTCGTAGACACCCTTGGAGGTGGAGACGACACGGAGCCAGTCACGGAGCTGCTGCTTCTTGAGGTACTTCTTGGTCCTGTGGGGAGAGGGGAACTGGGGTTAGCAAATCCGCTTGCAAGATACTCTGCAGAGTAATGACGGGCGCAAAGCCGGGGAATGGAAGACGTACAGGTACTTGAGGTAGCGACCGGAGAAGGGGATGTGGGCAACGACTTCGATCTTGCCCTCGCCGGACTGGGAGATGACGATCTTGTCACCGAGGTTGCCGACGCGGCCCTCAACCTTGATGCGGTCGTGGAGGAACTTCTCGAAAGCGGAGAGGTCGAAGATCTTGTCGTTCACGGGCTGAGAAGCGTTGATGACGAACTGCAGGCGAAGATATTAGTACAAATTGGGAAAGCTATAGTCAATGCGATCCATCCACGTACCTTCTTGGTGACCTTCTGGGCCTTGCGACCACGAGCCTATTCATCGGGGAAAATTGATCGATTAGCCTACTGTTCCATAGTAAGGTCGAAATCCCCGAGAGGTTGTCAGAACCGATGATAACACACTAATTGCCATCATGGATCGAACGAGCCTCTCAAGGGGGAACAGCAAAGCAGTTTGTGGATTGGAAACATACAGAAACAGCGGGAGCCATTGTGACTGGAATGGGAGATTTGAAGGGGGGGTTGAGGGGATAGGGAGTTGTCGCAAAGAAGTGAGTATCCTGCGCTTGGAGAAAAAACTGAAGCGAAAAGGCTGCCGAGTGGAATTAGCGATAACGCATGGAGCCCGGATCGGCTTAGTCAGTAGAGAGAACCTCCTCTTCCCGTGCGAGTCGCTAGACCTATTCTGGTAGGCAGTTAGGGTTGCACCCCGTTAGCCAATCGTAGCGGGGCTTTCTCGCTGAGTCACTCCTCGCTTGCAGCCTGCGCCCGGGACGCTACTGGCTAGCGCCGCACGGGCCACCCATGGGCTGGCTTAAATACTGCGCGCCGCCCGCCTCCGTTTATTCTTTTTCTTTTCTTCTCCAGCTCTCTTTGCCTTTTGGCTTAGATCAAGTGTAGTATCTGTTCTTTTCAGTTTAATCTCTGAAAGTGTTCTAAGGAACACAACTTTGATTAATCTCATTTTTGGATCTCGTGGCTGGGCCTCTGTGCTTGCGCATGTCTGGCCACACAGTGTCATCGGGCTTACACTATCCCCGATCGACGCGAACCTCTTTTTTCATCAAATTGGTTGGTATATCCAGCTGCTTGGAGAAGAAACATTGTAGAATAGCCTACCCGACGAACACGCTTCAAGCTTGAAATGAAGTTCGCTCTTAAGTAAATCCTAAAAGCTTTCCCTTCAGTTGTTGACGTTGGAGTTTTATTCTTTCGTGCTGTCTGTTGTCTGTAGAAATCACAAACATCACGTTCACGTGACATCAAAGAGACTCATCTGCGCAGACACCAGCCGCGTCCACCCTGATCACTTCAACCTTCCTATACTTGATCTCCCGCCAGCCGTCGCCATGGGTTCCGTCGTCCTGCCCCATTTGCATACTGCATGGCACGTTGACCAGGCCATCCTCAGCGAGGAAGATCGCCTTGTGGTATGTCTCGACTAATCTATCCATTCACGAGCCAGCGAGTCCGCTAATACGGAATATTCCTACAGGTCATTCGATTCGGTCGAGACCATGACGTCGACTGTGAGATCTTCCCTGTCCTAAAAGTGTCGGTCTTGAAATCTAACGATGCGATACAGGCATGCGCCAAGATGAAGTCCTCTTCAAGATCGCCGAGCGAGTCAAGAGTAAGTCTTGCGCTTCCTTACGTCTCTACCGTTCCAGCTCGGCGAATGAGACCTGGCTAGCAGGGAGGGCCTTACAATTCACATCTACTAATTACTGCGCAGACTTCGCCGTGATTTACCTCTGCGATATCGACGAGGTGCCTGAATTCAACACCATGTACGAACTGTTCGATCCGATGACCATCATGTTCTTCTACCGGTGAGTTCCGTCTCCCCTCCTCTGTCTGCGTTTACCGCTGCAGTTCCCGCTGACCCTCGACGTAGAAACAAACATATGATGTGTGATTTCGGAACCGGAAACAACAATAAATTAAACTGGGTGCTCGAAGACAAGCAGGAGCTGATCGATATCATTGAGACGATCTACAAGGGTGCCAAGAAGGGACGTGGTCTGGTCGTTAGTCCGAAGGGTGAGTATTTGATCTCCATCTTTCCCTTGTTTTGGAGGGGATTTCCGGAAGCTAATCAAGGTGTAGATTATTCGACGAGGTATCGCTACTAGGATGGTGACTTTCTGCGGGCGCGGTGGTGATTTGATGTCTGGCATGAATTATGAGGCTGAAACGGTCAAGGACTTGCAGGCCCTTGGGGTCGTTCTTTTGCTCTATTTGAGCCGCTTGGCTGTTTGAGAGAATGACTTTGTTAGAAAAAAAATAAAGACGGATTTCTTGCTTCATTTCAATACCATATTTAAATACTAATCTACTGGTATTCATACGATGTCCCTCCAACACAACTATCCTAGAATCCTATGGGGGAAAATAACAATAAATCAAAACAAAAAGTCCAGAACTCTCTAGATCAATCTCGTTCACCCAAATTTCCCTGTTCGCGGTGGTGGCAGCAAACGCCTGTACAAAACGCGATGCCCAAGGCAGAACATCCAGGCCCCGCAATTTTCTTCACTTTTCCTCTTCCCTTCCTTGACGTAACTTCACCAATCATTCCCCCCTCTAACTACCTCGCGACGCACCGCATCCAGTCCTCACCAAAGTCGAATCATTCCAAGACAAAAGCGCAATAAAAGGGGTAAAAATGATTGACCACGCCATTTTCGAAAACCTCCAGACCAAGATCGATGAGGAGGCTGCAGTCCGCGATGTAAGTCGGCGTGAGTTCCGCGCCAAGAAAACAGAGAAGCCGAGCTGCCGTTGACGCGGGATGTTCTTCTTCATTATCTAGGAGCTTCATGAGATCGTTCAGACGCTAGCGAGGAAGGGTATGGCTTCCATTCCAACGTGCTTGTTTGTTGTTTTCGGCAGTTCTTACTACCGGTGACTGTGTTGTCACGATTCTAACCATCGATCAAATAGGTCGATCTACGCAGGCGATTCTGTCTAGAGCGCATTCAACGCCCGCCGAACAATGTGAGATTTCTCCTGCTTTCATTTCTACTTTTCTTTACACTTGGGATCATACATTGTTCCTGGGTTCAACTTCGTTGGTTGGGTGTCCGCGAAAGCTAAATTGACCTACTTGATCGATCAGTGAAACCCGTCCTTGACGACGCAACCAAGGAGATCCTCGCTCAGCGCGAGGAAGTCACCCGGTTGAAGGGCGTCGCTGACAAGCATCCCTTTTACAAGTACAATGGCTTGTGGACTCGCGAGCTTCAGAACCTGGTTAGTCCGGCTCGATTCTCTTCTATCCATCTTCGCCTCTCCCACTGTGAACGAGAAAGAAGCGACGGATGAAGCTAATAATTATCGTCAGGTCTCATCGATCGAGCTCTGCGCCTGGCTCGGTGGGTTTGAGGAGTACAAGAGCTCCAGCTCGACTTCGTTCTTGACCATTGAGGAGGTTGGCAAGTTCTTGGATGGTATGTTGGATAACGACTTCATGCCTAGTATATTCTACTTCGGAGTTGGTAGCTAATTAGTCCCGGTTTTCTTTTAATCAAGTCCCCGTGAACCTGAAGGAGCAGGATGCGTTCCATCTGACTATCGAGGAGTATCTGCTTGCGTTGATCTCGATGGTTGAGGAGCTGGTTTGTTTTCTCCTTTCTTCGTTTCCCTACTTCCTTGCTTTTCTGCTTTTGTCTCTGTCTCTGTCTCAACTGGTCCGGTGCTTCTAACCAGAACTGTCACTTCAGGCTCGCTTGGCCGTCAACTCCGTTACTCTCGGAGATTATACCCGTCCGTTGCAGATTGGCAACTTCATCAAGGACCTATTTGCTGGGTTCCAGCTCTTGAATCTGAAGAACGATATTCTACGCAAGAGGAGCGATGGGATCAAGTACAGCGTAAGTTCTTTGGGGGTGGGTATGTTAAAGAATGAAACAGGATTATTGACATTTTCTGCAGGTCAAAAAGGTGGAAGACGTGGTTTACGATCTTTCGTTGCGCAATTTGATTCCCAAAGGCGGTGCTGCGGCTTAATTGGAAAACAGATTAAATCCACCTTTGTCTCTACGAGTAGAGTCATGAGAGGGGGAGAAAAGATATTAATGTTCTCGATGAGCATATAGCGTATCACGGCATAATGGAAGATCTCTCGCCCTCAGTCACTCACATATTATACATAATTGCAGACAAAACGTAAGAATATTTGCAACTTGGAAACAACAAAACACACGTATCCCTCACTCCACAGAAAACAAAATCTAGGACAGCTTCGCCTGCTCACCCGTTTCACCACCCGCACCCGCAGCCACCGACGCCAAAGTACCCTCCTTCTTCCCCTTCTCGATCTCCTTCACAATAGTATCCTCCAAGGACTCAGGCTTGGTGAGACTCGCCCACCGCCCCACCACCTTCCCGTCAGCCGAGATGAGAAACTTCTCGAAGTTCCACTTGACGCGCTTCAGCCCCAGCACGCCGGGCTGCTGCTCCTTCATCCAGGTCCACACGGGGGCCGCCTGATCGCCGTTAACGTCCAACTTGCCCAGCACGGGGAAGGTGACGCCGTAGTTGAGCTGGCAGAAGGACTGGATGTCGTCGTTGGAGCCGGGGTCTTGGCTGCCGAACTGGTTGCAGGGGAAGCCGATGATGAGGAAGTCGTCGGGGTATTTGCCCTTGAGGTTCTGGTAGAGGGTCTCGAGGCCTTGGAATTGGGGCGTGAAGCCGCATTTGGAGGCTGTGTTCACGACGAGCACGACTTTGCCTTTGAGGCTGGTGAGGGGGTAGGGGCTTCCCTTCTCTGTTTTGGGTGGATCATATGGTTAGAGAGTGTGTTTCTTTTGCCCCTTGGGTTTTTCTAGGGTGGAAATGGGAAAGCGAAGGGGATATGATGGGAGAGAAGACGCACTATCCACCGGCTCGAAATCGTAAAAGCTAGTTGCGGAAGACATGGTTTGGGTGGTATGGATGGATCTCACGAAGATGGGCGAGATGGTAGTTGCAGCACGGAGCACGGAATTCTTCTGCGAGATGGTAGTGAACAGAGATGAAGCAAGTCTGCGGGAGGCGATCGAGGGCAATATAAGCATACTACTCGGTCTGATGAGCAGGAAGAGCGGACCGAGGCAAAGGTTCGATGGCAGGATTTATGAACAAGCGACGAAGGAATGAATGGCGGGACGAAGGCGGCCGGCGATGTCATCATCAGGTGCGGGGAGATTGCCTGATTCGGCAGGCCAGCAGGTCCGCCCGTTGTGGCTTTATGCAGGGTTTGTCAGCAGTACATGGGCATAGTCATCCTGCCGTATAAATTATGAGCATTCTCCAGCAGAATTCCAAATACTTTGTGTCGTCCCCACTTGTGCTTGGTAATACGACGAGCCTGGACGGGTACACCGCAGAGGATTATCTGCATTTTTGGCAGGACAACTATATTGGAGACCAACGCTCGGGCTGGTTGCTTATGCAGCAGGGCTTGTCTAGATCGCTCGCTGACTGGTTCCAGTCGCAGCCAAGCCGGGTCCGTTCTTCTTCGTCTGCAGGCTCCGAGTGTGGCTCAGTCTCCGATCTAACGTTTCTAGAACCCAGGTGGATTTGGTAAATCGATCGATGTTTAGCACGAATCATTTAGAACTCCCCGAGACCCGGAATGTTGCCCTTCCGGTGAGGTTGGCCGTCGGAGCTTTGGATTGAGAGTACAATTTAGTGGAGAGAAGATGTGTACCCATGGTCTCATGCGACTGAAGACGATCAGAAAGCGGCTCTTTAACGAAATTACTGAGTCAGTATCAGTAGTATCCTCTGATCTATGGTCATTTTTCTTATTCCACAGCGACCTGGATCGTGGTGAAGGGTATGGCCATTATACGGTCCAGGAAGTTTGAATATACATAATATTGAAATGTTTGTCTTGTCCATCATCTATTCTACTCCCCCTATCACTACACTGCAGAGCATTGCCGCTTCTTGCCACTATGTACTTTTTTATCCACCCCATTCTTCTCCCGGATGACCTCAATGGGTGTTCAGTAGAAATTCCGAACCCCCCTGTACGTTTGTCGCGCATCGTCCTATTCGAGGGAAACTTGGCCATTCCCTTGGCCCTTACACCTCAGGCCATGGCAAGAGAGCCGTCTTTGTCATGAGCAGATAATGTGCACTCACCTGGATTCCCCTATGCAATACCAGGTTGGGAGGGGGGGGCGGGGGCTTATAGTGGACTGTCGGGATAAATATCGACAACATCTTTGAAGACGAGTGTTGAGGCCTTCTTATAATTCCTTATTCGCTTCCCTGATGAAAGGTTAATAAGTATACAGTATGCACTGCACTTCCGTGGACACAGGATTCCAGCGTGTGGTGGTTATGTTATTTGAGATTGTGACCCGAGTCAATGATAGAAGGCATTTATTTACCTCCACTTACCTATAGGAACATGAAGAGCTTGCCCTCCCTGAAAACGAGATATTAGGCTGCCCTCTTGGTGCAAGATCTCAGAGCCATCGTAATGGCTTGGCAAAGCTTAGTACCACTTTGACTCTGCTAGCTCTTGAAGCTATGCCCACTCGCCTTGTCTTACCTTTATTGCAGCAAATCACGAAGGCCAATGAACGATATATGAAGTTATGATATATTATTTACAGTTATATAACACTATTTTAAAAGCGGTTTCAACAACAGCGCCTGGCTAGCTCAATCGGTAGAGCGTGTGACTCTTAATCACAAGGCTGCGGGTTCGAGCCCCGCGTTGGGCTGTTCTTTTTGCTTTTCTTTTTTCTGCTCGTTGGACAGGCAGAAAGAACCTGCGTGATTAGTTAGAAGTTAGTTAGCTGATCTGATGATCTTTTTTTTTTTCTTTTTTCCCCCACTTTTCCATTGACAATCTCATCTAAATAGCTGCATGCTCCCTTTTGTGCTTCTCTTCTCCCTCGAGTTCAGTTATATCCCCATATACCCAGACGCAGCAACGGATTCTATTAAATCCACAAGACATTCATTCCTAGTATAAATCATTAGTCGTGTATTATCTTTCTAATCTATGAAGTATCTTTAAGTCTATCTCTCGACAGTGGTGGAAGATAGCCTCATTCACTTTAGCACATATAGCCTGCCTCGACCAGACCCGATCACCCCAGCACCAGAACTTGATCCTAATGCCCTATGCGCAGCGTCACCTTTCCTCCCCGGACGCAGTATCGCCCTTCTTCAGACCATCGGTGTCACTTTGAAGTACCCGTCTATGCGGATTCAGACAACCGATCAATCAATATCCAGTATAGCAACCAAGCAACCAACCCCTTGTGTTGTGGTGCGATGCGTCCGAGACACAGTCCGTGTCTGTTGATATGCTTGTAACCAAGGAGTAGTACCTAGAATCGGTAGGTAGGTGCCGTAAATCATTCATCCCCTTCCCCTCTGTCTTGGGGAGTATCCGTATCCCGAATTATTTCCTCCCTTTTAGACTTTTCAAAGGCAATTGCCGACAAGACCTCATCCCTCATTTCTTCTCCTCGCCCTCCTCGGCTTCCAGAACATCCACATCTAACTCTTCCATTACACCCAATATGACACCCAAACTCTCCATGAACCCGTTCACCGCCACCCGCAGCATCCGGTTCGTAGTCGCGTGGTACGTCGTCTCCAGGACCGCGGGGGCTTCGGGGTCCAGTTTGGATTCAGACTTTGGCGAAGGAGATGTGATGGCCAGGTCGCGGCGCACGAAGGGCGAAAGCTCGGTGTCAACTTCTAGGGTGCGCAGAGCCGACGAAGCAAGGCGTGTCGTTGGGAGGGGGAGGGAGATTGTTCTGGTGGAGGTGGGTTAGTGGGGTTGATTTTATGTATGCGTGGTGAGAACTTACAGGCTGTAGGGGAATTCGGTGTCGGACATTTTCGTTTCTTTTTTTTTTAGACCAAGGAGACTGAGCGGGAGAAGGAGAGGGATGAGTGGTGGTAGTTGAGGGGTTTGTTTCTTGGGGTTGATTAACTTTTTGTTCTGCGCATCGCGGGGAATTCTTTGGTGGGGGTAGTTAACTAACTACTGGTGATGAGTCAGCTTTTTTTTGTAATAGTTAGTTAACTAACTATGAAGTTATGACGGTTGATGAATTTGTTCGTGTTGGATTCTTGGTGTCTCTACTTTCATGGTTAATTATTTTAGATATATGCTTTATTAATTTATTAGCGAATCTAGAAATATTGATGTTCATGTTGTAGGACACAATAGTGTTGTGTATTTTGTTGGCGGGACCCTAGTAACTGCCACGAATACACAGACATACTAATAAACATATTCAATGAGATTGTTTGAGTGATAAGTACCTTATACAAGTAATAAAAAGCCTTCAGAACCTAATAGATCCCTCAATAGCCTGTGGGAAGGACATGTTGATGTTGAAAGAAGACTCGGACGTGACCTCCAGCAATTTACAGCAAGATTCCCAGGAGAGAACCGACAGCGGGGATGTTGTCTGAGATCTCATTAGCTCTGTACGTCCTCAATATGTCCAAAGATGACTTACTCGATTGAACCAGACTAAGGACATTCTGAAGTCCAGCAGCATCAAGATCGCCTGTAAATGTTAGTCTAAGAGCACTAAGACAACACTGTCTGCCTACCGTCCTGGATTTTCTGCAGGAGTCCCCTAGAGAGAGTCTCGAGCTGGTCGGTCTGGCGCTTGACACCGGCAGCTATCAAGCTGGGTTAGTTATGCTACACTTCCTATCAGAATGTGATCGAAACGTACAGTCGGCAGCGCCCTTCACGGTTTCAGCTGCCTCGCCGGCCTTGTTGGTCACAGGCTCCGCGGCAGTCTCGACGGTGCTCTCGAGATTGCGCTGGCTGTGGGAGCTGGAACACTGGCTCAACTGAACCTTAACATTTTGAAGCTCTGACAGGTTGGGTCCATTAGTTTGTGGTCAATGGAATGAGATCTATGCATGGATAGCAGGCTCACCACTCTTGATTTCGACCAAGTTCTCGGTAGGAGCGCCACCGAGGAGATTGCCTAGGACAGACTCGAGGCTGCCCAGGGTGCCGTCGAGTCTGGTAACAATGCCGTTGATGGGGTCAGAGGGGATGGCGGCAGCGGATGTAGTACCCGCAATAGCGAGGGAGGCAACGATTCCAGTGAGCTTCATTGTGTTGTGATTCTATAGGTATATAAGATGAAAGATTGACAAGCGTTTAGTTAGAAAAGAATGAATATATGGGTGTTTGATGTAGGGAAAGAATGACTGAAAAGAATGGAATTGACTGATGAGAGAAAACAGAAACTTGACCAAAGCCAGGATGCATTGCTGTTAAATACAGAGCAGAAGGTAGCGAACGCAGACTTCCTTTGAATTGCATAGATGTAGATCAGGGGCAATGGACGGAGAGATCCTGGAAACAACCATTGCCTGCTCTCTTTTCCCCGGCCGCCGAAAATATAGGGATCGACAAAGACACCGTTGCTTCCTTCGCACCGCCATTGCTCATGAACACAAGATTATTGGACCATCGATAAACTCGCGGGAGCCGAGTTCCACGAGACCCCGGGAAAGGGACCAAGCTTAAGGAAAGGAAGCTTTCGATGAAGGGCATGGCTTCCAATAAATAGCACAGTGCGGTCTCTTCACGCTTGGGAGAGCATGTCACTGCATGCATATTCGCTGAATGATATGAGCGCACCTTAGCCTGTCATTTGATATCGGCACCATTTCGTATTTGACCAGTGCTCTCTGTACCTTTCTTGGGACAGTGCTTTGAGAGTGTTCGAATACAAGCCCCACACTGCGACAATCACCATAAGGCCAGTCGAGCGTTGAAACTTGAAACAGCCCGTGTGGAACTCAGGAACGCTCCCCTCCACCATGATGGATGGTGGGTTCAAGACCCATTCAACTCGTCTTTCAGTCCGATGATCTGATCAGAATCCAAACGTCATTTGGAGTGCTGAGCAGCCTGAGCCAAACTTTAAATGGGGATGGTCGGTAACTAGTTGGACGATCGTCGGTTGCTCCTCGTTGGCAACACCGATAGCTTGAAGCACTGGACCTTGGTACTCTCGCGCTTGCCGGAACACTGCAAAGTGCGCAGGTGGAATCGGACCAGAACAAAATTAAATTGAAAGAAAGGGAATTGGTGTAATTATGATGGCCGGGTCTGGATTATTGCGTGGCAGAAAGCAGATCAGGGATACTTCTTACCACAAGTATCCCGGTACCTCTCCATCCCTGCCGATCTGATCCACCTGCCACTCCTCAAGAGAAAACAAATTGGTTTAGCTGGAGGGCCAGTTGGAATGGCCATGCAGACAGAACGGGTTGTCTGCACAATTGCGCTTTTGAACCCACTGATGGCCACACAAGTGATTTCGGAGTTCTGGGGCGCAAGCGCCTATTACGGGCACTCGGGCAGGGAGGTGGTTATGGGGTTTCGCCAAGTAGGATGGGGTTTAATAACGGCTATACTCCGTAGTGACAGTGCGTTTGGAAATCCAGAAAAGTATCTGAGTAAGAAAGCTGATCCTCGGGTGAGAATATCTTCGATTCCCCGGCGCTGTCAAGCGATTTTTCAGTAATGGAGCTAAAGCGTTGGGATTTAAATGATATAGCAAAACGGAAGTAATGCCCCGCGTGAACGGGGGATCTGAAGGATGCCATAGATGCTCACGTGGGTTAGTTTGAGTTGGCTATACTCCGTACTGTACGGAGAAGATACAGGGTGATGTAATTTCTTGTTAGAGTGCGATCCTGGATAGACAGTTTTGACGTCATTGAAGGAGCCCTAGGAGGCCGGTGGTCCATGATAGCGTGCCCTCGTTCTTATCTCGTGCCTTTGCGGATTGGTCCCTTGCGGCTAGACATACGCAGTGACTGTGTTGTTATGATGCTTGGTCATTCGCACACCGGCGGACATTCTTCGTTTCAGTCAAGCTGCGCACAAGGAGGAGCATTAGTATTGGATGTCTGGTGTTTACGGAGTAGAGCAATTGCTACTGCGATTGTGAGCCATCCGCGAGAAAAGAGAGAGCATTGAGCTGTCGTGTTGAGTAACGCAGTTCTGTCTGCTTTTGGATAATAGTTGATCGTAGTAAGTATATAGCTTGAGTGCATTTGTTCGAGAGATTGAGCATAGATGGGGATGGGGATGAGTCGGGGTTCCTGGTCTGGCTGGTATGGAGGAGGGGGAAAAACAACAGATGCCTCGTGACTGTGGCTGGTCCAGCGGGTGGCACAGGCGTGGCGGAGGTTTGCAGTGTTTGCCGGGCGTGTTGTTTGGGGGCGATGACCCAAGCAGCCGATGTTTTGGTCCACAGGCGGGTTGGTGCCTGGGGGACCTGAGGCAGCCAGGGGTTGTCCTGTCAACGACCCGCGCTAAACCGCAACGGGGCAACCACAACATAACAGCAGCCAGCTAGCGTGCATCGCAGCTGCCCCAAACGGTCTCATCGGCCTCGAGGTCTTCTCTCGTGCCTATCTTTTTCTTTCTTCCCCTCCTCTCTCCTCCTTCACCACCGCCGACCCAGTATCTTGTATATCTTTCCCCTGCTCCCCCTCCTCTCCTCCTTCCTCTACTTAATTGTGTCTTCGTTGCCTTTGCGAACGCATATCCTTACTCTCATCCGCACTTCGGGCTCGGCAACAAGTTCGTCTGTTTTGATCTCAACAGACTGGACTATGCTTGTTTAGCTTCGATCTGTTGTTATTGTTTTCACTTCCAGTGTGTTATCTGACTGCAAGAAACCGCCATCATTCACCTACGGTGTTATTCTTCCTCGACACACGCTTCCGCCATCTTTCGCCTCCTAATTGTTTGTTTTGCTGCCATTCCAACATCAATTTACCACTGTTGTCCGTGACACTTCGTTACTATCAAGATGGCTGGTAACATTGGCGGCTACGGCCAGGTGATTGAATACATTCAAGGTTAGTGGCCTTGTTTATTTTGATGCTTGATGTTTCACGACCGCTCTGGGCGGCGGCTCGAGCATTGGCGCCAGACAGCCCCGGAATGAATATGAAGACTAACTTGTCCTTCCAATGAACCAGACCGCTTATACCTTGCCTCTTACGATAACCCACCGGATTCGAGAACTCCATTCCCCTACCCGCTTGAGCAGCCAAAATCTCCCAGCAAGCGCTCACGGGCTCAGCCGAGTACACCCAGCAGCAAGAAGCGAAGTCCCGTGTACTTCACCGTTGACGATGTCCTTCTATACAACTCTTTCCATGCAGATTTTGGTCCTCTGCACATAGGACATCTGTACCGGTTTGCAGTCCAGTTCCATGAGATCCTCGGTGATCCTGCAAATGGCGACCGTGCGGTTGTGTTCTACTCAAAGACCGACTCCCGAAGCCGGGCCAATGCCGCGTGCCTGGTCGCTTGCTATATGGTTTTGATTCAGTCCTGGCCCCCCCATCTGGCCCTGGCACCTATCGCCCAGGCGGATCCCCCCTACATGCCGTTCCGGGATGCCGGTTATAGCCAGGCAGACTATATTCTGAACATCCAGGATGTCGTGTACGGAGTCTGGAAAGCCAAAGAGCAGTCTCTCTGTGGACTGAGAGACTTCAGTCTCGAAGAGTATGTCATGATCGTCGCACATCGTTGATACCATCTGACTAATGGCGTGTTTAGATATGAGAAGTTCGAACGGGTAGACATGGGCGATTTCAACTGGTTGACGCCTCATTTCCTGGCTTTCGCCTCTCCCCAGCATGAACCGGTTGAGCCAATTCCTGCCAACACCCCTGAATACGATGCGCTGCCCTCGAAGGTTTCCGAAATTTTTGCCACAAAACTACCCACGCCCTTTAAGAATGTCCTTGCCCACTTTGCGTCGCGTAACGTGGGATTGGTTGTCCGATTGAACTCGGAACTGTACTGTCCCTCATACTTCACCGCTCTGGGCATCAACCATATCGACATGATCTTTGAAGACGGCACGTGTCCGCCTTTGCCTTTGGTGCGAAGATTCATCAAGATGGCGCATGAAATGATCACAGTGAAGAACAGGGGAATTGCCGTCCATTGCAAGGCTGGCCTGGGACGAACTGGGTGCCTGATTGGGGCGTATCTCATCTATCGCTATGGATTCACTGCCAACGAAATTATTGCCTTTATGCGATTTATGCGCCCGGGAATGGTGGTCGGCCCCCAGCAACACTGGCTGCACTTGAACCAGGGCTCGTTCCGTGAATGGTGGTTCGAGGATACTATGAAGGAGAAACTGGCTCAAATGCAAATGCAAGCGGCTCCGATTACGCCGGGTCGCCCGTCAACCAAGCAACGCGTCAACAATGGCCCAGTTGCCACACCGCCCAACAATGGTCACTCGAAGCGTGCCGCTCTTGGAGAGATCGATCACAACGAGGGTGCCGGTGCTCAGGCTGAAGAGAATCTTCCAGCACCTACTCCCGGTCAACCTCGCAAATCTTACCGCAAGGACTCCCGCCATCACCCTTATGCGCGTACTCCATCTGGGACTCTTCTTGCCGAAAAAGAGTCGAATAAGCGCAGTGAAAATTCCAGCCACAAGAGTCACCGACTCAGCAACGACAGCAGTGAAAGTGACGAGGAGATTCAACTTCGTATGCTGGCGAAGCGTTCATCCAAGTCCCCCATGGCATCTCCGGGCAGTCGTTCGGTCAGCTATTCGGCCACTTTGACTGCTAGCTACACCTTGAATGACGATATTCACGAGGACAGGGAGAATTGGGCTGATGCCACGCACGCTGCGCCGAAGACCCCCGTGAGCACCAAGACTGGCCATAGCGCAATTTCCATGACCAAAGTTCGCACAAGCCCTCGTCGAGTGACAACAGAAAGCCGAAGCGAGTCCAGGGGTGTTCGGAAAGCTAGTGGTCGGATTGGTAGCGCAGGCAGTCCTACGCGGGTCAAAACAAGCGCCTAGACTGGACTCTGCCGCTCCTTTCCCCTTTTCTACCTCTTTCTCTTCTTAAGATACCTTTTAAGCCTCCTACAGATATCCTTCGTGTGTTACATTTTACCTGATTAATTTGTCTATTGTTTCCTTCGTGTTGCTGAACTATAGTATCGCATCCTTTTTGCAACTGTCTTTGATTACCCATTTGCGCGAGTTCTCTTCTTGCTTCTGCTTCCTTTGCTTTTTCGCTTCAATTCTGTTTTATGGGTGTTCTTCTGGTTTCTGGTTCAAAATCGACGGGCTGGGGAGTGTGTGTTCTGGAGTACGGTTACACTGTTTATGATCGAACGACCTAGAAGGTTACATTGACTGCATCGGGGTTTTATGACTGGTAGAAGATGTCTGTGATTGTCTAGATGCCAGATCTTAGGGCTAGGAGATGATGCTTTTTGTTGATTAAATTGTGTCTTTGTACGTATACGATCTACGTCCTGCATGGCAAATTGGTTGATATTCAAGAATTGCCCTTCTGTAGCCGCTTGAGACTTGTAATAGATGTTGGTAGTAGGTGTTTGAACTACTATAGTTCTACTCAGATGCAGCAACTCGCTGGCTATGATTTTCCTCCCATGGTACTACTAATCAATCTCAATTCGCCATAGCCTGTTCTTCCAAATGGGCCACTATCAACAGCGAATATTCTCGTGCTCGAGGCGTAGAGTCCTCGATGCCCGGAACCTTGGCCGCATCATCCCAACGCCGCAGCGCCACCATCTCATCACGAAGAGGGTCCTGATCGAAAGCCGCCAACTCAGCCCCGGTAAATGGGCCCCCTTGAAACTCCAGCGACTTCTTCGAAGCATCCGACAAAGATGCATGGTACGATTTGTCCACGGCCGTCAAAAACCTGTTTCAATTGTCTTGTTATCAAAGAGAGAGTCCAGTCCTCAACCATCTAGGTATGTATGCGCATAACTGAATGGAGGATTAGAAAAAAACCTACCGCTTCGCCGCAACATGACTCTCCACAAGTCGACAGACATTCCGACCAAACCCTAGCGAACGTAGATACTCCGCGCCGATCGATTCGTGCGCCACGCGGCCGACATCTTCATTGCCGCTGGTTCCGTTCCTGTCCCTGCTGTTCTGGATACTCATGCGTGCTTCTTTCCGTGCGTCGAGAGGAATGATTTGTCCGATGTCGTGGAGTAGGGCTGCGATTATGAGATCGGGTCGTGCTCCTTTTTTATATGAGGTTTTGAGTTAGCGTGGTTCGTTTCTGTCCTTGCTTTCGTATTTTATCGGGACCTAGGGGCTAGCTAGGTAGGTTCATGTGTTAAACAGATGCTAGGCCACGTACCGGATTTCTGGGCCTGATGGGCCGCTTGGAGACAGTGCTCTAGTTGACTGATTGATTCGCCGATGTAGTCGCCTTGGCCGTGGAGTTCGAGGCATTGGATGAGATCTGAGGCTTTGGATTGCGGGGATTGGGATACCATGGTTGTTGGATCTTTTTGTAGGATCTATTGGGGGTGTAGATAGATGATTGGTTGGTTGGGATGGGGTAGTAAGTAGTAAGAAGGAGGAATCGAAGGCGATGGAGAGCGGAGGGGTCTGTCTGTCTTTTTATAAGAAGACGAGGAGGATATAGCACGTGCCGGGGAATTTTCGTTCGGAGAAGATCTATTTGGTATTTGACCATTTGAAGAAGATTGGAGGTTTTTTTGGTCTTATTTGGTTAGGGTGGGTTTACGGTACTGATTTTTTCTTTCTCCGGTGGAAAGATCGTTAACTATGCTCCATGCATATACCCTCTCGTATGAAAAAAGTTGTCTACACATCTTTTCTACAACTCGCATGACATTATTATTTGGTTAATATCTACGCAGCTGCCTGCGCCTTCCCTCCAATGGTAAGCATCGGAGAACCATATCCGTATCTCAATCTCCCCTCCTCATACGCCTCCCCGTCCTTTCGCATATGCGTCGCAGGCCAGAGCTTTCTTCGATCTTCATAATATTGATCATGGAGATCCCCCTCGGCTTTACAGTTATACGTGGCATAGATGGCTCGCCGATCCTTCGAGCTGATATTGGCCCCGCTGCGATGCGCAATATAGGACCCGAATACTAGGATGTCGCCTAATTATGCCCGAGAGGATTGTTAGAGCTGTTCCCAAACAGGGGACAGGAACAATATGGTACTGACCCGGTTGCAAGTCGCATGCACTCCACTTGTGGCTGTCGACCCACGAGGGATCGATGCAGCGGTCACTGCCCAGGGGAATGGACATGAGATGGCTTCCGTCGACGACGTCGAGCCCGCCGTTTTGCGAGTTCATTTCATCGACGGCCGCGAGAACGGTCAGGTGTTTGATGTTTTTGACGTGGGTGTATGCGTTGGCGTCGATGTGTGGGGAGAACCCCCCTATTTTGTAGATATTGTATTAGGGGACTGATTGGATGAGAGTTACTGAGGAAGCAGAAACGTACCGCTGCCCGCAAGTTTGTAATTGATCTTCTCCTTGAAGAGAAGCATCTCCTCTGCGGCGAGCTGTTTCAGTACGCTCAGAACTCGCTGACCCCGGAGAAAGCTGTCAAAGCCTGCATGGCTGTTGGCGTAGTTCTCAGTGCGACAGAGGACCCTCTGGCCTTGAGAATTCACTTCCTGCCCTGCTTGTTAGTATATAACATATGTTCTTAGGGGTACTGATTGGTCGCATGGCAAGGATTCTCACCTCGTAGGGCATGTACGATGCATCAGGTGTTCGGGGCAAATCGTGTACTTCCTGAGTCCATTGTTGAAGACGCTCCGTCTCGACCTTGTTAAGGAAGCTTGGGATAAGAAGATATCCTTTCTCTTGGAAGAATTTCACTTGGTCCTCGGACAGGGGGAAATGATTGTTCTCCATGGTTCTGCCGGGTTAAGCTCGCTGATAGCCTATGCAAGGAACGGAAGTGGTAGAGCACATGTTTCAATCCCTGATGGTGATGGGACACTCGAGCTCATAAATCCCTGAGCGCATAAACTTTCATCGGCTGTACCTCTGCATTCTGGTCGCTGGAATTCCTGAGACCCTTTGAGCTCGTGAAATACGACCCCAAAGCGGGGAATGGCATATTGCAGTGGAGACGATGGGCGATGGAGATAAGGAGAGATCGAGATACCCGCCGCCAGTGACAGCCTCGGAGAGGGCCCATGTGCTGCCAGTTAGGGCCGCGACTCTCGTTAAGCGAGGCGGGCTCTTCCGACAGGGTCCGCTAGTTAGTAGACTAGGTAATAGTTGCATACTCTACTTTACGTATATCCGGGCGATTGATTTGCCGACTACGCAATTGACGATCTTTTGAGCTACAAACTATGCGAGTTGTAGCTCGGCTATCCGTAGTATTTCCTCGTGCACAAGTCTTCGACCATGATTGGCCATGCTATAGTTGATCGAGAGGCGAGAGTTCGACCTCGACTCTATCGGAACGAAATCCAGGTGTTACTATATAGTAGACCGAATGTTGTTCATGTGGTTGGGGATGCAGTTTGATCTTTGGCATTCTGGCCTTTGCATCATTGCTGTCTACCATATGACCTGATGGCCTTACAGGCAGATTCGTCAACCAAAGGTGCACAAATGGTGGTCCACCCTGAGAGTAATTCTCAGGATGAAAGTCATATAGCGCGAGAAGATGGTGGTATCGAAGCGCAGACTCAAAAAGGTTCAGGAGTACTTAACGTCGTGATTTCTGGACTGGCTTTATTCAGTGATGGCTACAATGCACAGATTAGTAAGTCTTCAAGCCCAACCTCCTGGACTCAAAAGAAACAATTACATGGATAGCTGACGACTTGCGCTGTGATTTAGTCGGTTATATGGAGCCGCTGTTCTCTGTCCTGTACGTGCGATAACACAAGCTTTGTGGCCAAGAGGGCTTGCACTAATTAGACTCTTGGTATTTCCAGATACAAAAGCACGATGTCTGTAACCATAAAATCTCGCCTGTCAAACTCCTTTCTGATCGGAGAAATATTCGGAATGGTTTTCTTTGGAGCCTTGATTGATCGGGTGGGCCGACGAACGGGTGTTGTTGCAGCCACATCGTTTTTGGTTTTAGGCATCGCTTTGGCAGCAGCAGCGCATGGGACATCCGAGCTGGGGTGAGTGCTGAAGTCTATACACCTATAAGAAAGGGAGATCCTGATGAGAACGACAGTATGTTTTGGATGATGATAGTTGCCCGTGGCGTGGCTGGCTTTGGGGCCGGTGGTGAATATCCGGTTTGCGCTACCAGTGCAACGGAGGCAGCGGACGAGACAGCCAGTCTGCGGCGAAAAAGAGGGTTTCTGGTGGCATCGACGACCGATTTTGCAATTGACCTGGTACTACATTCGTGATGTGACAGCTGGGACTGAGTTGGCTAAATCACTATATTAGGGTTTTGTTTCCGCTGGTATCGTCGCTCTGATCGTCCTTGCTTGCTATCAGCAAGAGGTCCGGGGAGGAGTATGGCGAGTGTGTTTTGGAATTGGGTTTGTGGTAAGTGTTAGGCCAAAGGACATTAAGGAGAAGTTCACTGATATATTTTCCCTATCAGCTTCCGCTTGTTATTTGCTTCTTTCGGATTCGTATGATCAATTCAACCCAGTACCGGAAACACGCGATCAAATCACAATATCCGTACTGGCTTATCTTGAAAAGATATTGGAAGCCGATGCTTGGAACCTGTGAGTATGAGAAATTAGACACACCAACCGATCTCCGCTGACAGCCTAGCCCTTGCCTGGTTTTTCTACGACTTTGTCACCTATCCGTTCGGGATCTTCTCGTCGACCATCATCTCCCAGTTGATGGCGGACAATTCGACGGTCCAGAATATTGGGTACGGGGTAAATGCAAAGACATATCCTCTTTCCGTGAACCAAATAACGCTAATTTTAGATGGGAAGACCGTAATCAACTGCTTCAACCTTCCTGGTTGTCTCCTGGGCGGACTGCTCATGGATAGAATTGGCCGCAAGCAAAACATGACCCTGGGATTCTTGATCTGGGCTATTTGGGGTTTTATCCTCGGCAGCGCTCTGCGTCCCATCCAGAGCGTCTTCCCGCTATTCGTCGTGATGTACGGCATCTTCATGGCCCTAGGCGAGATGGGCCCCGGGGTCTCAACATTCCTCTGTGCCGCGGAGTCCTTCCCTACGCCTCTGCGAGGCCATTTCCTGGGTCTGGCCGCCGCAGTGGGCAAAGCCGGAGCGTCAATCGGAACCGAAGTTTTTACTCCAATTCAAAACTCCTTCGACTCGACGGCCAAGGGCCAACAAGCAGTGTTTCTGATCGGTTCTGCATTCGCCTTGGTGGGCGGACTCATCGCGTGGTTCTTAATCCCCGATATGTCCCGAGAATTGGAGACCGAGGATGCTAGATTCAAGGCTTATTTGGAGGAGAATGGGTACGATATTGGTCACTATGGGGATGCTTTGCAGGTAGACCGGAAGAGTGAACTCTGAGCGATCTGATCTTTTTCGAAAGCACGAGAATAAAAGAGATCGAGCGAAAGAAGGAAAGAAAGAAGATAAATAATAAAGAAGACTACCGTAGGGACCAGCACTAACCATGTCGAGTTAGACTTGCGGACCAAAAGGACTTCCACCGCCATCGATCATTCCATTCCATTCACCCCATTCAACGCCATATTGATGATCTCTATCCATGGCTTGCCGAACGCGTCTCCCTTCCGATAGGTGTCATGTAAATTAAAATGACTGACCAAAGTGCCCAGTCGGCCGCGCTTCGTCGGAATGGCACGCTGCAGTCCTGCGAGCCTTGCCGCAAATCCAAATTGCGCTGCGACCATGGAAGACCTGTCTGCGGGCGATGTAAAACGAAGAACATCGCTGCTCGTTGTTTCTATCATCCTGCGCCCATGACAAAGCGAACGGTCTCGAGCCGTGCAAGTCCTATCCCGGCGACGGGAAGACTGATCAGTCAGTCCAGCTCGAAGTAAGCAACCGTGATAGAAGAAGCGCTGCATCCATCATAACGGCGTCTTAGTGCTTCGAGTCCGGGATCTGCTATAGATGGCCCTCGACTTCGCGCGACGGTGGAATCCCCGGCAACCCTCCCTGGCTATCTCGGATCGACCAGCTTTTCGGCGGTTCTCGCAGAACATCCGAGTGAGCTGTCGTTTGAACTACCGGCCAACAACGTTGCCTCAGGGTCGTCCACCCGAGTCGTGGACCCCATCCGATTCCAATCGGGCATTGACATCCTCAAGCTCCTCAGCGAGCTCTCGATTTGTGACTCGCTCATACGGAAGTACTATTCGCGAAAGTTTTGCGTAGTCATCCCGGTCGTGATGATTGAGGCGATCATGCGGTCGGTCCGAGGCATTCTAGGCGGTTTAGATTTCACCGGTGCGATGGATAGGCAGATTCACGACCTGGTCCACCAGATTTTCCAAAATACTACCCGACCAGTGACGGTGAATGCTGCCATGACCGTCGACGACTATTGTGCCTTGTTCACGGGGCGAAACCTTCGATGGGAGGCCGTGGGGATTATTTTCGCAACCTCGGGCATCGCGTTGATGTCCACCCCTGAGACAGACCCAGACGTCGCTCAGGTGGCAGCTGACAGCCGGGCGAGAGATCGACTGCGGGCACAAATTGTCGATGCGAGCTCTACATGTCTCAGTTTCTGTGATCAGGTAGCGTCGGTCAGTGAGCTGTTGGGGTTTTGCCAGTACAATGATGTGATGCTGAGGACGCAGCAATTTGGCGATTCCAGTAAGAAAGGATGGATGTCGAAAACTAGCCCTGAGCAGCTATATGTTGACTATCAGTCTAGGCTATCTAGCATGGCGTCGCCTGGGCGACTTATCCGCGACCGTGTACGCTGCCGGAGTTCACCAAGACAGTGGTCAGTCCGACGACAGCCCCTTCTTCCTGCGCCAATGGAGAAGAATATTCTTTGCGTCGGCATTCTATGCAGATAAAGCTATCGCAACATTTGTGGGGAGGCCTCCCTTGATCAACTACCGATATTGCACCCTGACACCTCCGCTGGACCTCAACGAGGATATACTCATCGCCGGGGGAGACAATCTCACCCGCGCAATCTCGGAACTAGATATCAACGGATGGGGATCGCACAGAATTAGTTACCGAGCTGCGGTAATCAGACTTCGATTTTTACTAGCAACGTTCCGAGAGGAGGCTCTTGAGATTGCTCTGGGCACCTACGACCATTGGGATCTTGTGCAAAAGTCTAAGTAAGTTGTAATGAAAGCGAGGGGTTTTTTTTTTTTTTTTTTTTTTTTTTTGGGAAAGAAAGTGTTGCTGATACTCGAAAAGTCAGATTATCGAGAAAGCACGAGCGACCTGGGAAGCAGCCCCGGCGTATCTACGATTTGATGCCCAGGCGAATGATTCCGATGCCGAGGCTTTCCCGGCGTCTTTCTCAATTCTGAATATGTACCTGGACTATCTGTATTCCGTTTTCCTTCTCCAGAGATCACTGGTCAAACGCACAAACACCGGACAGGAAGCGTTGTTGGAAACGTCTCGACGGGTTTTATCTATCATCATCACCGTCACCGCCGACCGAGACCCTATGTCGGATATGAGCAGGCATTATTCCTGGCTGGTATGCTCGTCAATTCCCATCCTTCCTGTTGACGCAGATGCTGAAATCTCATAGATCCTCTACTACGGACTCCCCAGTGCCAGCGTCCTCACGTTAGAGCTCCTTCATCAGACCCAGGACGCGGGACCCAGCTCCATCAAGCTGCCACGCGCTGAGCTCATCCGGAATTTGAGTGTCTTCGTGTCCTGTCTTTCTTGGGTATCACGTCCCAGTCATGGTAACTATCAAACGTGTAAGGAGGCCGAAAAGAAACTGTCGCACATTCTTGATCAGATTCTTGACCCGCAACCGATCCAGCAAGATATCTTCAACGATGCGACATCCGGGTTGTATAATTTTCTAGACTGGTACAACCCTGGAAACTGGGATTTCAACTCGGAGTATCTACCCTCAGCCGATGGTTTTGTTCTTTGATGAGGATTCGATAAAGAGTTTCGTCGTGGGTCGTGATCGGTCAACCGGGTATGTGTAGCCCTGGCGGAAATCGCCCTGTCAAGGGGCTTATAAAATCCGGGGTTCTCGCAAAGCAAGACCAGGAAGGTAAATCAGATTCAGAAGCAAAAAAAGACAGCAAAAATATGAAGACCGGAAAGAGAAAAGCAACAACGCCGGATCCACCACGCTACCAAAATCACGCTCCAAAAAACACGGCAAAGACATCAAAGACATCAGTCATATATATCATACCATCCATACAAAATCATTACTGGGATGGGTCTCTTGAATATAATAGGCCCGGTGGCAGAGAGGGCAGTTGAAATGGTCTTGCAAGTACCATTTCTCCAGACACTCCTTGTGGAAAACATGCAGGCATTTGAGTTCGCGGATCTCTTGGGAACGTAGCACCGACTCGAGGCAGACAACGCTGGCTCAGGCATCTTCAGTTAGTCAAGGGGGTGGCTTACGGTCCCCTGCGACCGGGATCACTCACCACATAAATTGTCCGTCGACACAGTCGGAGGGAAGTAGCGGTCCTTTCGCCTTGGACCACCATTCTTCCAGCGTGCGCGTGGGCGAGACGGCGTCGAGCTTGCGCAGCTTGTCATTTGAGTCGCTTTTGCTCTTCGAGGGTCGCCGCTCTCGGCGGTTGACGAAGATGGTTAATCTGTAGGTTATGTATACGTCAACGATGCGGATCTCACCCACCGATTGCGCGGGAAAATAAAAACCACAAAAAAAGAGAGGAATGCGCACAGCAAACACATGATAATTAATGATACTACACCTAGTCCGATTCCCAAGACAATGGCCATATGATTATGATTGTTGAAGGCTCTTTTGACCGACGACAACCCCATATCTTCCGACGGGCAGTCGCCGGGCGCAGGGCGAGAGGAGGAAGGAGGAGGAGGAGGAGGAGGGAGGAAGGGAGAGGGAGGAAGAGAGAGAGAGAAGAATCAGAAAAAGCAAGGAAAGAAGAGACCAGGAAGAAGCAGAAGAGAAGAGGTGAGCTGGACTGCGCCACTCGTGATCGCCCTCAATGAGATAATCCGGCAGTTGATCGCTGGGCGGGGTCTGCGCCAAAACTTTCGACTTGACGCTTTTCTTACTTTCTGGAGACTTGAATCGATCTTGACTTTGACCTTCTTTCTTTATGGCCCGGTCGGCCCCGGGTCTGGTTGGTTCGCGGACGGAGTCGGTTCTATGGTTTGACGATTCTGCGACTATCATGATGTTATGACCGTCCACATTCGCCCACGGATCCGACTGAGACCAGACCTTTTTCTGACCTGACAGCAGAGACAGCAACGACTAGCCGGGGTTTAATGGCGGGGAGACTAACTTCCTTGGCGGAGGGAAAGGATGAATCGCTGATCGTGTGAGCTTCCTTAGTGTCATGCCATGTCATGCCACGGACTTGTTTTGCATTCTCTCTCGCTCTCATCATCATTATCATTGCATGATCAACACTACCCTATCTCCTACTAATCTACCTTTCGATCGCGTGGATTTTTCCCTCTTCACCTTATGCCGCTAACAACCCAGCCACTTCCTCCGCCAACAGGTCATGGTCATGCATCGGCGAAGTGGGATGCAAACTATTAATCCAAAGATACTCGTCCGCCGCATAATCGCATTCGTCTAATTTGGTGTCGATTTCCGGCGTGCCACTGCCACCCTGGATTAGCACCTTGGACATACGCAAGGAGGGGCACAAGAAAAACAAACGCGACAACAGATAACACGATCGGACAAAATAACTCACTTTTGATACGCCGAGCAGTACGAAGTCGTATCCTTGTATCCCTTAGTCTGCTCGAACTGCGATGCATCGTCGATGACTTTGTCGAACAACGAGTACGTATCGTAGAGGAACACCGTCACGTCATCATAATTCCCCCGGAGATCCTTCTGGAGCGCTTCCACTCGGCTATTATAATCCTTGACGGCTGTCCGCTCGATCGGAATACGTTCCTCAGCAGCACTGGACCCGGTGGGGCACGCTCGAGCGGCGGCACGTTAAGAAGCAGGAATGACCTTGCGCCAAGGTCGTACAGATCGCCGACCAGTTCGCGATACCGCTCGAAGACCAGCGGATGAATGGATTTATTCTGCGCGAGGTACGATTTGTTGATGTCATTGATGCCGACCCAGATGGCGAAGAGCGTCGAGTCAGTCTCCCAGACAGAATCAAAGTCCGAGCTTGAGTTTGCATAGTATGGGACGAAATATTCGGAGATCTCCCGGGCGACGTCAAGCCCTGACTCGACGATCGAGGTGTCGAGGGTGGCACCGCTGGCGCCGAAGTTGTAAGTGAGCAGCGACGAGGCGTTGTATTTCACTGTGAGAAGGTCCATCCAGTTGGGGCCGTTGGCGCTCGTGCGGCCGGGATACGCAGAGCTTGAGGGCTGAGTGTCGCTGGGATCAAATCCCGTTCGGGAATAAGAGTCGCCGCTGACGAGTTAGAGTTGACGGACAACTTACAAGACGAAGAGAGACTTGAGCTTCGCGAATCCAGGATAATGGGATGACGCTCGCAACGTCAATGGTGCTGTCTGAGCACTGCCTACCAAGGTGGAGGCGAGAGAAACCACCAGAGTGCAAGTGAAATGCATTTCGAAGACGAAAAGAGGATTCGGGGTGAGATTTCTCGCTTGGTTTGGATGATTATTTCCACCAGTGCGACTGCGGCAATATATAGTTCCCCAGATGGCTCATCCATTGATGCCCTTGGTGGAAATCCAGCTGGACGATGCCGGATGAACGGCGCAGGACCAGAACTCACACTACAACATCAGGGTCGAAGGAAGAAAGTCAGAGCAAAAGCAGATACCAAACCTCGACCTACCACCGAAGTAAAGCATTCCTGACAAGAACGCATTCGGCACAAACCTCTCTCTTGGCAGACCCATGCATTCACTCAACGGTTTCTCCACAAACCGGGGTATATCGCTCGGCGGCCGCTGCATCGTTCGTCCGAACTAGGAGCGAAAATATATTAAAAACACGTCCTCTGGGGCCATCCTTCTGACCGAGACGGACATTCGCGTAAGCTGCAGAGCAAAGGGCCGGTGTTGATGGTTCTATCCGCTTTTTAATGGGATAGTGATCGATCAGTTCCCCGATGTCACTGACTGCAAGGGCGGTATGCTCATGTATGTACGAATAGGAGAGCAGCTTCCTTCTCTCTGCAGGGAATGTCATTGCTCCTACATGTGATGATTCATTTGCGGATTGGGAATATTGACCGGTTCTTAGAATTCTAGAGCGTACCTGGAGAAATTGGGAAGTCATCTCAAAATAATATTGATCATCACTCGGATTCAGAATTCATAACTCGATCAAGACACTAAGTGGACCACCTCCAGGATCTCCACCGCATTCCCTTGTCCCCCCAGCGAGAACCAAATCTACTCATCACCCGTCGCATACTCCCCTTCCTCGATCTTTCTGCTCAGCTCCTCATTCGGCGTGAAGTATTCCTCGAGATCGTCCCGCTTCTCCAATAGCAGATCCGCTACCAGACGTCCAAACACCGTCTCTCCAGCGGTATTCAGATGAGTACTGTCACCATCACTCAGATCATACGTGTGCGCATTCTCCTCGCCGATGGCGTTGACGTAGTCGGTGCTGGCGCGGTTGAGATCTAGATACTGGATGCCGACGGCCTCGGCGGCCTCAATCGCTTTCGCGGAATGATCAGCCAGGTTCTCGATGACTTTACCGCCCTCGAAACTTCGTCTAGTCAACGAGGTGATGATGATCTGGAGATACAACGAAGTGTGTCAGCAAAAGTAGACCCAGAGAGAAGAGGAACAACGAGTAGTTATTCAAACTCACCGGCGTCCCACCCGCCTCGATCACCTCATTTGCCAAATTCTGCAAATTCTCGCCAAACTGCTCCAGCGAGATGCCCGAGGTGCTTTTCTGATCGTTGTGCCCGAACTGGATAGTCACGATGGGTTCGTAGTCGGCCTTGTGGTCCGCGATGCCGCTCAGCACGGCGTCCCATCTGCCATTGGCGCGGAAGGACACCGTCGTGGCGCCGCTCTTGCCGCTATTGATGCCGTCGGCAGGATCGGCGAGGAAGGACAGGAAGCCGTCGCCCCAGCCGCCGTTGACAGCGACGGTGGAGTCGCCGGTGAGGATGAAGTAGGGGGGTTGGGCGGCCGAGGAAGTCGAGAAGGAGGAGAAGATTAGGGCTAACGTAGTCAGGAGGGACGGGGTTCGCATTTTGGCTTATATTTTTTCCACTTCACTTCAGCTCAACTCAACCGTGTTATGATTATCTAGGTAAGAGGAAAAAGAACACCGGACAGGAATTGATTGACACCCCCTCCCCTCATTCTTATAGACAATCACCCCCATCACTTCATTTCCGGACATTGTGAAGCAATTAATCTATACCCCTGCAAAACCCCGACCATCACTTACTCCACCGGGTAAAACTACCCCGGATCGACACCCTCACTTACCCCATTGAGGCCCGATACCGAGACGCTTTCGATATCGTCAGAAGCAGTCGCTCGTCACACATGCAGAATGCAAGAATTGCCCCCCACGCTATGACCCAATAAGACGCCACGGACGACAGGAACGGCCGCCCAGAGGCGGGGAAAGTTAGGCGTCTCGCGACATCATTGCGCCGACGTGCAGGATTTTAGGGCGGATGGCGTGTTCCTGGTCTCGAGTCCGTGATGGACAGAGAGGTATCCTTTTTGTCTTTGACGATCTGGTGGCTGGTTCCTGAACTTTTTGGACGGTCCGCCGGAGTATTTCCTCTGGCGAGAACCGGAGATTTTATTCCGTTCGCAATTCACGACTGACGATATTTTCCTGGGGTGGTGTTTGACCGACAATCCTCCATAGCCCATTTTCTTGAATATGTGTCGATCATGCGTGTCTCTGTTGGTCGTGGAATTCGGTTGAAAGGAAATGAAGACAGTCTGCCATGTTGCGTCTAGCCCACCAACAGGGGAGCGGGCAGTGAGATGATGATACACGGCACGGGAATCATGAATATGAGATGATTCGACACGCATTGCTAAAAGGGATTGTGGCAATCCGCATTGTCAGAGGTAGATGAAGACGAAGACGAAGACCCTTTTCTCTTTCCCTATGATGGTCCGAAGCACGCTGGACCACAACGGACTGGATAAAAATATCCCTGGGTTCTCCGATGTTCCACTCCAATGGCATCTCATCAATCGATCTCATTAATGAAAGCAGCCATCATGCATCTCCTAACGTCGCTCATAACGACAACGGTCAATCTCATTGCGGTTCCCGTGCAAACCCAATTCTCGGGCTTCGTCCAGCGAAAACCGTCCTAAAACACTTAAACTCGAACAAAAGATCCACCCGACCCGTCGTCTACTACGATTGTGCCGCCAAAGTCATCTTCTACGACATCGCCCTCGAAGACATCTACTTGTAGACACTGAGGATGGCGCGCATGGAGATGGCGGATGCTTAGTGCATGGTGACGGCGACGACGAGAAACAAACGAGTCAACAGACGACAGTGGTGACGAGTACTTCTATTCCGTGAGTTATCTTCTCCTCTCGAGATATGTTACAATATCTCTCTCTGTTCGGTTGTCTTAGACCTCGATCTTAGTTCTATACTGCGTGAATAAGAGAAAGACGTAATCCTCGAAGAATTGCAGACTGCTGACTTGACCGGGTTTGAAATATTCAAGGAAGCATCATATGCAACATCCACGATGGAAAACGATCATGAGAGTCGGCTTGATCTTGTAAAGAACGCGGAGAATATTATCCCAATATTCACGGACTTTGGGGGGCTCATAAAATAGACACTCTATAATTAGGGGCGACGAGTCCCATCTCTCCTTTGCCAACACGTTAATATTTTATTTCACGTTCTGCCGCGCCATATGCTCGCACCTGCACAGTCACTATTCCCACCTCGCTCAGTTCCAAAGGAGCCAAATAGAAATGGACAAAGCCGTCGAATTGCGGAGCATCCTGAAGAGAATGCCTGAAAAGGCGCGAATGGCGTCTAAGCCCATCGGAGTGCAGTTGAAAGAATTTCTGATCGATCCACACCTTGACGTCGCCATCATTGAAGACAAGGACCCGAGTGACTGGCATTTTGCAGTGCCGGCTGTTCCGACGAGTTTCTTTCCCGGGTTGGAGCCTAAGAGCGCGTGTCTTTTGTTGACGACGCATGTGAAGCGGGATGTGCCTGTGGCTGTGTCTGGACCTGTTGCTACGGGTGTTTAGGGCTTTTGACTCAGTCTTCTTTTGAGAAGGAGTGGCTCGAATGGAGGAGGTTGGGGTGAGGATTTTCATAAAGGAGGTTTATGGATTATGTCAGGTGAAAACAAAATTAGAGATGGGGTGATTGTACGTGGTAATATAGAGAGTTCAGGTAGGGGCTCTTGCTTATCTTGATATTACTTTCTTTTTGTTGCCGAGAAGAGTGGTTTGTTCTTGTATGTAGGATGAAATAACGTTCATTGACAAGGGAATATCTCCGGAGCCATCTGGCAAACCCACACCTACTATCTGCCAGACAATGACAGATGATAATTACATGACCCTTTCACACCTTACTATGTTCCACATTAGCAGTCGACACCTCCGTCTCGGCCATTTCAAGATTTCCCTTCGCAGTGACATCCTCAGGCAAGCTGCCTAGGGCGCGTCCACCAAAGAGAAGATCGATTTCCTCAAGAGACTTTTGCTTGGTCTCTTTAAAGAAGAAGTAGACTGTCGGGAGGGTTATGCCGAGATCTAATAGCAGGTCGTTAGTAAGGTTTGTGTTGTGTGCACGTGGGAGGAGAGGACGTACTCCATATGATGAATATAAGGTAGAACTTCCACTGGATTTTCTCCAGTGCGATCGGAGATACTTGGTTCCAAATGGTACTGACGGTCCAGTTTCCAATTCCGGTGGCGAAGGCGTTTCCTTTACCTCGGATCTGCATTGGCATAACTTCAGCCATATAGGTCCTGGGGTGTGGTTAATTTATTGGTTGGAGAGGAGTGGCTAAAGGGTGAAGGACTTACCAGCTGCAGGGACCAAAGGATAAAGAGAAAATGACTGTGATGCAGAAGATGAAGAAGACACCGCCGATACTGTACCCACGCTTCGCTCCGTCTTCGTTATGTGAGTGTAATCCAGTATAGCAGATCAAGACGATGCCGATCGCAGCCGCGCCGAACATCATGGGCTTGCGGCGTCCTACGCGGTCGAGTAGGAAGATGATGAAGAATAAGTTTGTGATTGGACCCACACAGTTGTAGATTCCTGCCACCAGGATGTTGCGGCTACCGGTAATTCCTAAAGCGTTGTAGATGATGGTTTGGTAGTATCCGATCACGTTGACGCCGGTCATTTGGGTGAAGACTTGAACGAGGACACCGTGTCTAAGATAGGAAAATACTTTGGTTAGAGATATCAATGATTGGGGTCATAAGATCAAGGGCCACTCACAAGAGTCGGGTACGCCATTGCGGAACTTTGAACATGACGAGCCAGCCAGACACCATGACTGACTTCTCAGCCTGGATGGTAGTCTTGATCTCATTATACTCCGTTTGGATCCAGTCCTCGTTTGTGCCGTCGTAGTGCAATTTCTTAAGGATCTTCAGCGCTTCATCATACTTTTCTTTTTCAACTAAGAATCGAGGAGACTCGGGCATGAAGAACATCCCCACCGCCAGGAGAAGTGCTGGAACGGCTTGGAATGCGAGAGGAAATCGCCATTGGAACTCGCTTGTCTCGGGAGCATGAAGGGATCCGAATCCAACCCATCTAACCAAGTCAGTGTCGAGCGTGCAGGCCGTTAGGATGACGGAAACTTACGTGCTAACAATGAACCCAATACCAATCATCTGCTGTGCAAGACCAATAATGAACCCACGGGAGCGAGGATGCGCACATTCTGCTTGGTATACCGGCACCGACATGGACATGAGACCGACCGCCCATCCGGCGAGGATACGACCAACAAGGATCATGGAAAGGTTCTTGGCAGAGGCTTGGAGAATGGCACCAACAAGACAGATGACCGCTCCCATTTGGATGGTAAATTTACGCCCGAATCGATCCATCGTAAGACCTCCCTGGAGGGAGCCAATGGCGGCTACGGTTCATTTAAGATTAGCAAAGACATGGCGAGGATCGAAGGCGAAAGAAATAAAGCCCAAGAATGACATACCTCCCCCAGAGAATGTACTGTTAATAGCTCCGATGATAGACGATGTTTGCGTAGTATTGAAGTATGCGAGAAAATTCTTCGACTCAATCACATCGGTCATCACACCACTGTCATATCCAAACAAGAACGATCCTGTGGCCGCAAAGGCAGCGAGCCCGATGGTGAAAGCTCGCCCCATCCTGACAGAGGTAGGAAGAAACCTCTAGGGAGACGAAAGACCTGCGCAAAATAGCTTATAAGGTTAAGTGGAGGGGTGGAAAGAGCGAAGAGCAAACATGTGGGACCAGGGATGGGAGCATCGTCTATATAAATTGAAAATCGCCATGGACCCAATGGACAGTTCCAAGGCGTGTCAATGCTGCGACCCCGGCTGACCTGGCATGGACTGACCGGTGGCCAAAAAAACGACAGGAATCGCTGAATGGCGGGGTATGGTTTGATTCGAGGGAAACCTATGAAAATCCGGGGTGGACGAGCGAGCCGAGACTAAAAACTACGCCGTCTCTTCTTTGAAAGTTTGTCGGGATCGTGATTGGCGTGGCCGAGACAGGGAGCAAAGCTCGAGAGCCCGAGAACTTCGTCCTGCCGTCGTCTTATTTGACCGAAAAAGCAATGTCTAAGAAAATCATACTCCTTTGTATGGACGGATTCTGCCTCAATAACGGCTAAAAGGGAATTTCTCCGTGTAATTTATTTGGCTGACAGCCAACGGGGGTTTTCAACTTGGCGCCAAACATTTCTGAGTGGTCACAATTGGTTCCAGCCAAACAGAAATCGGCCCAGCGGCCACGGCAGCCGACCCGGACATGTTTTGGACAGGATCTAGATTGTCTTGACAGGTCAGAATCATGAGATATAAATGGCCCTGGGGGCGTGCAATCGGGGGCTTGAAATGAAAATGCGATCCTGTGACATTGACACATGGGGAGAGATTCCTGGAGCCGTACTTTTGGGTCTTCCGTAGAGGGATCTAGCGCACAATAAGCGACAGGGGTCCTCCCGCTTCTCTCGAGATTGAGAGTAATGAGCACCGCTCGTTGAGCAGTGAAAGTCGAGAAGGTCGGCGAGACGAAAGTCTGGGGATTCCCACTTGGGCACGGACCCCCTGACTCCGCTCCTCATCACGTGTAGATAAGATCGATCTGATAACAGATCATGTGTATGCCCAGGCGTTGACGAAGAGACTGACATACATCCACTCGACCCGCGTCAACTAGTAGCTGGCAGCTGCATCCAATTGTCCTTGCATAATGTCTTCCTGGGTGACTCGAGCGAACTCCATCCCGCATTTCTCCGCACCTTCATCGCCCGCTCAGTCTGAGCCTCTACAGCCACGAAGGCCCATTCTCTCACGCGAGGGTGAGCTTCTGTCGACGCGCGGGCAGTCCCTGGCAGCACTTATCCGTCGACGGTCTTTGTCTATTTCAAGCCCGGATGGACTCGAGGGTGGGCTCTACCAAGATGAGGCGATTATGCCATGGGAGCGCATGGATAAGGTTCCTCTAGACAGAGCCAGACGGTTGATTGGAAATATCAAACCGATGTACAATTGGTACGCGTCGAGTAACACGCGACGCGTATACGTCTTTGGATTGATGCTGAAACCTTCTCCATAGGCAATGGTACTATCGAGACCCGGAAACGTTGAAAAACCTACCCAAGAATCTGTACGCAATACTTGTAACCTTGTTCAACTCTGCTGGGACGGCATGCTGACTCTTTAGACGGGAATACTACGAGCGCAACAATCAACTCATCGCGCAGTATGTCTTTATCGATCGCCTGTTCGACTCGGCCTTGCCTCACAGGTTGATTGAAGACTATCATCGTCATCAACCCAACCAATCCTCAGAAGACGCGGCCGAAAGCCAAACACATGACGCAAGATACGTGAATAACCACAGTGGAGCGGAAACATCTACCAAGATCAAGCGCACGCCTCGAAACCTTTATCGGATTCCCGATGAAAGCTCGCCTCTCTTGCCTTCCTCAGCAGATGACAATTCCCGTCCGTCTCCTGCCGTCTTGCCTCAGCAAGAGGAATCAGTGGATAGCGACAATCGCATCGTCACTATTGCCATATACATTAACTTCATCGCCAACGTAGTCTTACTCGCGGCCAAAATCGCTGTTATGTCTATGACGAACTCGCTGTCGGTGCTGGCAAGCTTGGTCGACGCTGTGCTGGACTTTCTCAGCACGGCCATCGTCTGGGCGACGACGATGCTCATCAAGAATGACGACCGCTCTCGATTCCCCATCAGCAGACGCCGTCTCGAACCGTTGAGTATCCTCGTCTTCGCAGTAATCATGATGACCTCTTTTGTCCAGGTCGCCCTGACCTCGCTCAGTCGGCTCATCTCCACCGAACACACCCTTGTCGAACTCTCGGTGCCCTCAACCGCAGTCATGGCCAGCACCGTTCTCGTCAAACTGGCCTGTTGGTTTTGGTGCCGTCTTATCAAGAACTCTAGCGTGCAGGCCCTCGCACAAGACGCCATGACCGATGTCGTCTTCAATCTCTTTAGTATCTTATTCCCTCTACGTATGCACCTCTCCCAACCCCCATAACAACCAAGCAAACAACAAGCTTACCTCCAACTCTTCTCCAGTCGGCTCCTTCACCAAATCCTGGTTTGTCGATCCTCTCGGCGGCCTGCTTCTCTCTCTCTACATCATCTGGAACTGGGGCGGTACTGCAGCCGAACACATCGGCCACTTAACCGGCACCGCCGCGTCAGGGGAAGACCACAGCATCTTACTCTACATGACGATGCGGTTCTCCAAGGCGATTCTCAACATCCAGGACCTGAAGGCTTACTACGCCGGGGACCGGCTGAACGTCGAAGTGGACATTGTCTTTGAGGCCAAGACCAGTCTGCGTGATAGTCATGATATCGGTGAGAGTCTGCAGTATATGATTGAGAGTGTGCCGACGGTGGACCGGGCTTTTGTGCATTCGGATTATGATCCGTGGAATATCCCGAGCCATTTGAACCAGAGAGAATCCTAAGACCTGGGTCGTGCTATATGGCAAGTTAATGGATGTGGAAGCTGTGCTGCTGCTTGACCACGGCAAAATAGATGTTCGTCAAAAGGTCTGTATATATACATCTATTTTAGGTAGCACGGCTAATGTGCGCACTACAAGTGGCATTTAAGGGCCTCTATTCTATGTGAAGAACTGCGAGATCTCATACTTAAAACAGGACCAGCCGCTGACCCGAGGAGCGAACAACGTCCGGCCATTGCAACGACCGTTCCTGTCCACCCCTCCCGCTCGTCCAAATTGAATCGGCAATAGATTTCGCGACTTGGAACGACGGAAGTCCAGTGTTCCGAAAACAGTCTGTAAACCACCCTCGATAATAATCCTGCAGATCCGAACCCAGTGCCTCACAGGCAGCGATGAAGCCAGGCCAGATCATGTAAACATTATGACTGGCCGTCTTCGAAGTAAGCAGGAGGTCCCGAACCTCTCGGACTGCCTGCTGGAGAGTAGTTGTCTGCACATCGTAGAAGCGTCTGTAAAAGAAAATCAACAACGCCTTTTGCATCGCAAGCATCATGGGTAGGTTTTGACTGCTACTATCTGGATCCTGGGCGGGATCCCAGCGGCAGATGTGTTCTTCGACTAGTTTGGCGCGCAGGAGGAAATCACGGGTGTTTGGAGAACGGCCGTCTAGGCGACCGCTCATGAGCAAGTCGCGCTCGTTGCCGAGACGGGTGACGTGTGACATTAGACTTAGGAAGGATTCGGGGATGCCGAAGATCTCCGGATACATAGTTAGGTCCCAACGGGCGGGATGCTCGAGGTGAAGATCGTGATGTCCTAGTTCCATGGACTTGACTGTCGTGAGGGCGAAGTCCGGGGTATCTGACCAGCGCGAAATCCGGAATCGAGGGGACTTCGCAGTGGAAACGGGATCCAGTGCCACGCCCAGGTCGTGGAATGGGTCTGTGGACACGTCGGAGAGAATGACAGATTCGTTGAATATTCTTAGATAGGCGTAGCAGTGATGGAGAAGCCGATTTTTCCGTGACAAAGATGGTTTGCTCAACCCTTTCCTGCTGATGTACTTCTCCGTGACTAGCAGACAAGCAAGCAGAGAGTCGACATCGGCGTCAAATACCTATTTAATTGCAAATTAGTTAACAGAGACTTGGTGAAGGAACCGTTGCTAAATGACTTACGTTCAGGACAGCCATTGATAAAAGAGCCATCAGGATATCCTTATATTTTGCTTTCTTGACTCGCGACGATGCCTCCTCCTGCAAACAGCGCCTCAAGTCATGCCGAGCTCGTTGTTTGTAATAATGCGCAGTGAGATTCCACGAGTCCTCCGGAGAAGTAAAAGACGATAGCTGTATGTGAGAAGCACTGGTGGCCAACAATGTATGCAAGAGAGCAGACCGAGCATGACTCGTAGTTCCTCCCATTGTCATCTCTGCCATTGTATTCATCGCACAAGGGAGGACCAAATGATGCCAAGGTGACTTTGCAGAGAGATTTAGGGGGCTTAGCAAAGGAACCACCTTGTCGCGATAGTTAGCCAGAAGTAGCCACGAATCACCCGGGAACCGTGAAATCTGTGGATTTGGAAAGAGGAAGCTATGGAACGGAATAGGCCCATCTAGTGCATCAAAATGGGTGTTCTCGTAGTTTTCATAAAGACGAGTCACCGAGTCTTCCGAACCGATGTCGTGCAACAGCAGCGAGCCTGCCAAGGATATGGGGTCATGATCTAAGACTGTCGAGTCCTCGAGGGCATCGTCTACACCCAATTCAAAAGTAGCGGGATCGAGAATGCTCCCTGTTTCTCCCGCATCTGCTAGGGCGGGGTCGACCAGGTGATTCATCAATGCTTGCGAGTCGGTTACTGGAGTAGTGTCTGTGCTAATAGAGGTCGGAGAATCGTTAAGATTGGTGGTTTGTACTGGGAAGACACCGAATGGGCCGCGAGAGAGCGGATAGTCTGCAGGTTGCGCTTCTATCGTCTGCTCATCCAGCTCCGACAGAGCGTGCCCAGGGTCGACATTACGCAAGGAGCGAACCAGCGACGAATTTAGACCCTTTCGCTGGGACTCTGTGATGTCATCAGGATTCGACCGGCAATGTCAGAAAAAAGTCCAGGGAGACTAACCGGTAAATAACGGTCTCCGGAATCGGGACGTGTTTTCCATAGCGGCGGGCTCCGTCTCTCCCTGGTAGACAAACTGCAGGCGGATATCATAGCCAGTGCAAGTTAGTCGGGATAAGAGGCACACATTGCAGACTGGGCGTGCCTCGTCACATTTCGTATGGCGAGATCGGCAGGTCCCACAGCCGCCGAGAGAACGATCGCGGGTAGGCTGGACCATAACGTGGAGGGATAGTGGTTGAAAATGAGGCCGATGGATGATGCAAGGAAAGTTGAAGAAAGGGAACAAGGAAGAGGAGAAAGATAAAGGTGGGAAACACTGTGGGGTACCTGTGGCACTTGTTGGAGCCTTGGAGGGGGCAGCCCCACCGATAAGTGCTGTACAGGCCTCGGGGTCTCACCAGGATAAGCAGCATAAAACCTGTTCCGTACAGTTCCTACTCGCTCCATACCCCTTGAAATACTTGAATGATTGCACAACACAGACTACAGATGAGCCATTGTGGAGCCAAAGCCCTTGAATGCTCCCCAGTACACCCACATATCCCTTTCGTTCTTTTGTATGACCCAACATCCATACGGTCGCGGTGGTAGCATCTCGAGGGCACGTAGGCAAGGCAAAAGTCATAAAACCTATCGCAGGATAGTATCTCTTGACCGAGCAAAAACCAGCTGCTCTCTCGGATGACCTTGTGTTTGAGAATCAAACTAATACAGCGATGCCAGTCTCTGATCAAGGTGGAAGAACGAAAGTCATCATAATCGAGCGTATCGGTATCTCTGTTCAATATCTGGCCCCAATGATATGACCGCTACTGCGAGACCAGCTCAGCTTGCATCGATAATAGCAACCCAGTCGTACGTGGTCTGGGATACCTCCAAAATCTTTGACAAGGAAGTAGAATCCGACTTGGCCTGTAGGATCAATGCACTACGCACTGGTGGTGATGGTAGCTGCTGCAAGCTATGCAGAAAAAATGTTGTGAGGATCCTAGGCGCGGAAACGAGGTTCTATGGCTAGAAATATGAGGACCTAGAGAGTTCGACCTGTCATGAGAGATGATCTGAAAATGATCAAGAGCGATGGAATCTCTTAGGGTTTATGACAGAGACAGGGCCAAACCAAAGATATCGACGACATTGGGGGGCTAGAACGAGCTTGGACGCGATAAGGGAAGGTTATCCATTCGACTCGCATATTATCAAGTGGAGAAGTGGCGATGATGTTGGCCACGTTGCGAACAATGCGATGAGGATGATGGAAGGGAGAGAGACAGATGGGGAAAGCGATGGAGCGAGATGACTTGCCTTGCTAGTAGGACCCACTTTCATACTTCACGATTCACGAGAGGATAGAAGTGGCAAAGGAACCCACGGCGAAGACTTAATCAAATTGTTCAGTAAAGTAGCTGCCTGTATTCATGGGAATGTCAAGCCTGTTAGAGAAATGGGGAACGTAAAGCAAAAAATAAATAGAAATAAAAAGGAATACCCGCTCCAGGATTCGAACCTGGATCTCCGTAACAATACGGTTAAGAATAGTGAGGTGTGCTACCAAGCGGGCTAGTTTACATAGTGGAGAACCACCGGGAGGGTATCTGCTTGCTATTGGTGGGTCTGCCTGAGGCCTTACCCCATCTAGTTAGGTACCTATTTAGCGCCAAGACTCCGAATATAGGAAGTACGGAGTAGAGAGCTGGAGGATTTATTGATTTATACCAATTTGGTTTTCAGACACTCATAAGCAATTAGATATGTACATACACTGATCAACAGGTGCGCAATCAGCTCTATCTCAACCTCAGCATTCAACGGCAGCTCGGAACCGGCACGCAAGTTCGACACTAAACATAGCAGAATCCAAACAATATATTGAATTATCAAAAAGAGAGTAAAACTGACAAGCCTGACTCTATATAGATGTACTTTCTCATAAACAGGGTAGGCGTCGGCGATTTGGTGGAGGACCTTCCAAAACATCGGGGCATCAATTGGAAAGCCACCCCGTTGGGTGAACCGACAGCGAAACTACCCCACCAGCATAGATGATGTCGCACATGAGGGGTCATACAGTGCCTCCAATACATTCCTTATCTGCGTCTTATCAGGATCGACAGCGATGACCCTCAACACCCTCAGAGAAATAATTCTCACGTGACAGGGGTGACTTGCCCTAATTGTAATGGGGGTGATGTCTGGGTTCGTATATACATCACAGGTTATCCAGTCTTCGAAAGGACATCATGTTCGATAACTACTCGTGTATCTTCTGTGAATTTGCAACTTTCAGCATTCCGGACACACAATGACCATATCCAAAGTGAACGTTCTGCTCGTCGGCTGCGGTGGAATCGGGACCATCGCTGCACTGAATCTGCAAATTGGAGGAAGAGCCACAGTGACAGCAGTTTTGCGCTCTAACTATGACCATGTCAAGAATCATGGATTTCATATCAGATCTGTCGACCACGGACTAGTAGAGGGATTCCGCCCCGACACAAGTAACTCCATTCCCCTCAATAAACACATCCAGATCACCGAAAATCTAACAGACAAAACCAGTTATCAAGTCCATCCCAGATGTCGCCAAAGGAGGCATCCCAGCATACAAATACATTGTCTGCACGACAAAGAACGTGCCCGACAACCCGCCGACGCTGCTTGACCTGATCAAACCCGCCGTCACGCCAGGATACTCAGTTATTGTATTAATCCAAAACGGGCTAAACATCGAAAAGCCGATCGTGGAAGCGTTCCCTCAAAATGTTGTTCTCTCGGGCGTGAGCTTCTGTGGATCGCACCAGGTCGAGCTAGGAAAAATCATCCATGAAGACAACGACGACGTCGCCATTGGGCCGTTCGACAACCCGGCCCTCGATCGCGCGCAACAGGAGCAAGCTGCACGAGAATTCGTGGAGATCTACGGCGCAGGAGGAAAATGTCAGCCGGAATACAACCCGAACGTGGGCTGGGCTCGGTGGCGAAAACTCCTGTACAACGCGTGTCTTAATTCCATCTGCGCCGTTACCGACTTGGATACGGGGCGCATCCAGCTGGCGGACGGTGCTATTGATGGACTGGTTCGACCGGCGATGGAGGAAATTCGCGCCGGAGCGAAGGCGTGTGGACATGATCTGCCGGCTGAGCTGGTCGATAAGATGATCTCAATGGACCCCATTACCATGTATAATCCACCGAGTATGCAGGTGGATCTTCGGAAGGTGAGAAAATGCAAGAATCAGACTAGATTGCCATTGCTAATTGATTTGGCTTATAGGGGCGGTATTGTGAATACGAGAATATCGTTGGAGAGCCATTGAGGGAAGGCATCAAGCACGGCGTTCCGATGCCAACACTCACCGTCCTTTACAGCATCCTTCGCGCGATTCAATGGCGGACAAAGGAGAAAAATGGCCTTATTCCAATTCCGGAACCCGTGGATCACACTCATACTAGCTAGATGCTGGGTGGTGAACTTTTTTTCCAATTACATTGTTCTATTACAATTTGACTTGAGTATCATCGATTCCGGCATTGTAGACTTTAGTCCGATTTGTGAAGAGGTTATCTCTAAGTCATTCATTAAGTATAGATTGTTCTTAGGGTCGTGGTGCAATTCAGAATAGTTAAGAAACCAATTATCCCATCTACTCTACTTAATTGCTAATAGATATTTACACCTTGATGTGCATGGAGTATAATGTTCTTTTATCAACATTCTCTATCCTATCTATTATCAGTGATTTCGGAAATTGGACCTGAGCGAGAGAGTAATTCAATTGAAACCATTCAAGAAAAGCCTAAGATTACTAGTAATGCCGAGTGAGTTTAACATGTTGTCATCGCAGCCATCGAATGCAATGTAAAAATACAAAAGTTTAACACAATAAGAGCTAGCAACGGAGAAAAAAGGACAAACAAGAATAAATACACGCCCTAGAAGCCCTCAATATCTCATAATGTACAAATAGACTTCAGCAGTCCTGTGGCATTAGAAGAGATCAGTAATTCATGGGACATCCGTTACTGTTTGAGCGAAGTTATGCATCCCTTCGTGATTCCAGAATATATAACGAACGGAGAAGGACTGCAGAACCAAATATAATCGAGAATGAAGCGAATATTTGCATCCTCAAATAGCCAGTGGGACAGAAAATCTGGATAGCCTCTTTAATAAGGGGACCCGTCAAACAACTAGAGCGAAAGGAGTCAGCGAATGATCAATATGGGTCCAACTTCTCCTTATATATAATGTGCTAAGTTAGGAAGACCGACCTTATTGCCATGGCAAATTGGAGGGTGCCAAATCTTTGCCCAAGCGTCTCTACACTCCCAAAGCTGGCCACGTAGGGCATAAGCAGACTGATGAACCCTCCGCTGCAGAACCCATAGACCAGTGTGAACATAAATGTCCCCGTTTCTGACTGAGTATAATTTATTGGTACCAATAAGGTATATAGAGAAGCACCGAGTCCCAAGGAGCACAACATCAACACATCGAGATGCTTCAATCTATCTCCCAGGTGACCCAAGATTACATGACCCGGGATAGATGCTGTACTTGAAGGAAGCGTAAGCACTAGAATTATATTCGATGATGAGGTGCCTGTGTATACCTCATGCTAGGGAACAGAAGTAGGGCAAACAAGGGCGGAGACCCAGAACCAAGAGCGTGTTGCATGATGTAGTCTATCGGGGCCCAATAACCCCACCTGGGCCAACTCGTCAGCATGCGAAAGACGATAAAGTGGGTGAATATGCAAATTATTGGGGTAATTACATAGTCAAGAATGATCCGACAATAAAGTAAGGGTAATGTCTTTGGCGAAACGGAGTCAGGTCGAACCACTTTGCGTTGCGATCCCATCCGGTAATCGGCAGGCGTCCCTTGACCAGAAAAAGAGCTGGGATGAGAGCAATACCAATCAGAAGGGCTGTATATTGCATGGCAATCTCGAAGCTGGCCTGTTTCATCGCCCATTGTAAAAGAATAGGATAGAAGATGCCTCCCAGACTACTGCCACAAGCGGCAATACCGGCGACCAGTCCTAGACGTCTATCGAACCATTGGCCCATGCTGAGCAAAGCTGCCGTGTACACTCCCCCTGCTGCTATGCCGAATAGAATCCCTTGAGTCATCATTATGTACCAGTACTCTTGGTCCAGACTCATAGCAAACACCTCAACAACACATGTGCCAACAAGCGGCCAGATGATCACTCCTGGGCCGTACATATCAAACAACCTTCCGTATAGGGGACCAAAGGCCCAGAAACAGGCTCGCTGGACGGAAAATATCCACGATAGATGGAAAGAAGTGTAATTGGGGAATAATTTGTACCTGTAGATCCACCGGAAGCAGCCCACGCTATATTAATTTGCGTCAACAGGGATGTACTGTACAAGAGACTGCTGTGACATACCAATTCAAAAATCCCATGGTTGCGAAAAGGCAACAGAAAGCGCCAAAGGTGCACCATGATGCGCGCCGAGTCTCTGCTGTCGACTGGGTCGGCGACTTTTCCGGAGACTTCTTCTGCACGTCAGCCTCGAGGTCCATATTGTGTTGCAAGATCTGTTGTGTGGTTTAATTGAGTATAGTAGTTATAAGAACTGAGTGTAAAAGTCGACGTTAAGTAATTAGTAAATTGTGCTTTTGGTTTGTTAAGCTTGGATGCTCCGACCGAGTACTTTCGAATGACGGCCGAATCTCATAGGCAGTGCGCAGCTGTGGAAGGAGCCATGGTATGCAGCATCGTCATAATTTGGTAAATGCCAGTTGAAGTCTGAAGTGCTTGATCACTAAATAACCTTTCTTCGGTCGGCTACCTAGAGCATCATGCAACAAATCACCAGAGTATATAGCTCTTTATAAAGCCCTCTGGGGGCCAGCTTACCAAATGAACCTCTTGCCACCAAGCCATACGTAAGGCATAGGCGCGCAGTTATTGGTTTGTGAGCTACAGTGTCTGCAAGAATTGCCCTCTAGGATCTTGTTTTGCGTGGAAAAGCGCTGGAGTGCGTGCGCTTAGTTAACTGGTCAATTTGTCATGTATTAGTTATAGTTAGTTAGATCTCTCTTAGCATTACATATCCTTTATACCCTATAGGAGGTTTTTTAAACCGAAGAGGGTAATATTAGGCACAGCAAGAAAGAAGGAAGAAAATCATTCAAAAGACAAAGAGGATGGTTCCTCAGAGATAAGAGAAGGCAATTTGGGCAAGTCTCCCCCACTCACGTGCCGGGGTCACCTTCACTTTTGGTGTCAACGAGAAGCTTGCAGGAACAGCAAGTCACCGAGCATGCAGAGAGTTTATCGCAGCTTGCTGTTCTTTATCTACATACAAGATGGCATATACGGTTCGGGGAGATCCTGTCAATCCATATAAATTAAAGGTGACAACCTCTGAACATTAAGGTCATTTCCTCTTCTTTGAAAGACATCTACCCCAAAATGCCGGACGCCCAAAGCTCTCCTCACTCCGACATCCTCACGATACATGACCTGGCCAAGGAAGCTGAAAAAGCACTTCCTTGGGCCCATGCTCGTAAGAACCACCACTGTCATCGTCTCGGCTTATCTGACTCTTCTTAACTCCTATAGAGTACTATAATGGAGGTGCCGGAGATATGTCAACGTTTGTACTTTCTTACCAAAGTTTGCCTTCCTCGAAACTAACAGGCCTTCTCAGGCTGCGCGACAACGAAGATGTATATAACCGGTATAAGTTGCGTCCCCGGGTTTTGAGGAATGTGAAAGAAGTCGACATGAGCTCTGAGATATTTGGCGTCAAGGTAAGATGCTTGATGTATCTTTCTGTTGGGACCCAATCCCCAGCATTCAAATACTAAATCTACTCTTTCAGGTCCCGTCCCCCCTTGGCTTCTCCCCGACTGCCGCCCATAAGCTCGCCACGCCGGCGGGTGAAATCGCAACTTCCCGAGCGGCTGCAAAGAATGGAATACCAATGTGTTTATCTACCTGGTCAACGACCCCATTGGAGGACGTGATTGCACAAGGGACCGGGAACCCCTACGCTATGCAGGTATCGTTTTTCGCGGATCTTGTAGTAACAGAGCGAATTATTAGAAAGGCCGAGAGTAAGCTTGCTAGCACAACTAGCTTGAGTTGAAATGTTAGACTTGGATGCTAATATCGGTCCTATAACAGAGGCTGGCTACAAGGCTCTGTTTGTGAGCGTTGACCTTCCGGTCTTGGGCAATCGAGTCAGCGAGGCACGGATGAAGTTCTCATTTCCGTCCCACCTCAGTTTCCCCAACATTCAAGAAAAAGACGGTGATCTCATGGCCATATACGGCGCTGGCTATGGTGAGTTTATGCTATGACGTTTTATGGGAATTCCCCTGATCCAGAACAGATCCCTCGATTCATTGGGAGAAGTCAATTGCGTGGCTCCGGAACAACACAAAAATGCAAATCTGGCTCAAAGGAAGTACGTCCTTAGTATCGGACCTGTTTTCTTTTTGTGCATTTGACACATTCTAACATAATATAGTCGTGACGCCGGAGGACGTTCAACTCGCCATTGATTACGGCCTCGATGGCGTGGTGATATCCAACCATGGAGGCCGACAGCTTGATGGACAACCGTCGACGCTCGATGCGTTGCGCGAGTGCGGACCTGTGGCCCGCGGAAAGATTCCACTTGCGGTTGACGGTGGCATTCGACGCGGAGCCGATATGTTCAAAGCCATTGCTATGGGAGCGAGCATGTGCTTCGTGGGACGTATTCAGATCTGGGGACTAGCGGTAAGAACCTTACCCTTTGCAATTAACATATGAAACCGACGCCTGATATGTGCGATGTGCAGTATGCTGGAGAGTCTGGCGTCAAGCACGCCATTAAGATTATTCTTCAAGAATTCAAGCACACTATGATGTTTATGGGGTATGCTGGCTTCCCCTTATTTGATGAATACGTACTGTGCTTGAAGTTAACAAAATTAGATGTCGGACTATTGCTGATATCACGCCTCAACACCTATCGGTTCTTCATGAGAACGGTATTTTGTCCAAGCTATGAGAATCCAGAAGCTACTATAAATGGGCTCGTTTTAGAGCCAGGGAATGCATGAGTGGCGTCGATCTCATTTTTATTGTATTTTGATTCCAGATTGAGCTCTTGGCGAGAATATTCAGAGTTTCCTTTGATTGAAGCGTTTATGAAATTTCATAGTAGACATGACTTCCAATAAAGTCTTGCGCCAGAAAGAACTCCAAGCTCATGGATCGGAGTTTTGATGCCTAGGACTTAATGCGCAATCTGTCGACCACCAAATATTTGCTCCTACCCTTTCCATGGCCAAATACAGGCCCTTAAATGCATTGCGTTTTGGATCGTTTCGGAAATCTTTTGCTTGATAAAAGAGCATTATACCCCATGCACATCAAGACATGAAAATCGTCAAACATAATAACACATATACACCAAAAGCAAACACCGCAATATCATCATCGTATCGCATCGTCACTCGTTTAGGTGCCCCCGGCTGAATGTCAATTGAGATACACCTTGGCCGGTCGTCTTACAGAGCGAGGCGGCTTTTCGACATACTCAACATATGACGGACTCCTTCGTCGTCGACGCCGATGACGAGTCTCTGTTCCACCTCCACCTCCACCCCTGCCACTGACATACCCATAATCAGGCTCGCCACCATCTCGGGCTCCAGGCAATGCGCAGACTTTAATTAGCCAGAGGATCAATAAGGTCCCTGCAATAGATCCGATGACGATTCCGGCAATTCCGCCCCCCGATATCGTACTCGGGCAACTATCCGATCCACCGGAGGACGATTCTTGACGGGTCTGGAAGATATTCAATGGGGCCTGGATATTGATCACTTGGTCAGCTGAATTCTGTTTGTTTTCTCTCCCCCAAGACTGTGGTTCGGTCATTTCGGGCCGGGGCGGAGTGAAAGTGATGATCCACGGACAAGCAAACCAACTTACCATGACAATGAATTGATAGATAGTGGATTTATCGTCAGGCTATAAATTTCGAATTGGCCCTGATATACGGACCAAGATGTCCTCGAACTAGATCTTATACTTCTTCAATATCCCCGCGCCTCGAACATCCCGCCTCATCACACTGACGTCAATCGCACGGCTTGTCGAAGCCCTAATCTAGCAGCGATCACCGACTTCGACTTCTTGAACCAGCTTCTGAACCAGGTTTGCCCTTGATTCTCAAAGAACGCCTCCTAGGCCAGTTAGGCGTTCTCATTCGCTGAGCCTAGGGTTAGTTTGAGCAGGATTTCTCATATGCAGGACTTTCCCCTCCATGTGGTGATTGCGTACATCGTGCTGTTTTTTCTGCGACCCACAATTCTTCCGCGCGAGGAGGGGTTCTATTCGATCGGGTTTGTATGACTGTGCTGCTTGGACATTTATCTTGCATATATTTTCACTGCAAGCAATCATGATTTCTGTGTTGATTGAATGATGCGCTATGCCGAGGTCCTTGGACGCCTGGGTGAACTTGAGAGTGACGCAGACATGCATCCTGCTATGTAGTTAGCGCTTACTTCAGAAGAATGGGTTAAATCATGCAGGGACTGCAATGGTTGGAGGAGTGGGATTACCCAGGTAAGCTCGCAAGACGTGCGCGGTGATTTTTATCATTGGTTAAAGCTGGTCTTGAAGAGCGGTGGTTTGTTGGGCGGGGACCAGACGTGCTTATCTTGTTCATTTTATGCAGGAATCTAGATGGGAATTTAAATGGGGATATTCGTAGAAATTGGCATAGTTATAGTTCATATTCCTCGTAAATACCTTCTCGAGGAAGATCGGGGGGATTTCGGTTCTCAATTTGGTGCATTGTCCGCTAGGTGAGGGCCTTTCTTGATCTGCACTCAATGTCTACTCCGGAGTACAGAAAGCCTACGAGAGTCATAATTTGCAATGCTATGCTCTTGAATATAGATTGAGAAACCAGTGCATAGGACAAAGCACGCACGAGGAGTAAAGGGAAGGCCTGCAAGTTGATCACTATCACTAGGATTTACACTGTACATCTCTATAGGCACGGGAATATTCTGGATCGTGCTGAGCTCTCAAGGTACTCCGTCCTCTGCAATTGAAAAATGACCGGATCGGCAGAAAGCGGGGCCACGCAGCAGTGGGGCCTTTGTCATTACGTAAGACACACTGCGCACTGCCATTCGCCCAACCACGTGAGGGACCTCCGATTTCGTCCCGGTGGCCTTCCTGAGGCAGCCACCGCCCGCCCCCCACCATGGCTCATCCCCCCTCGTCCCTTCGACTCCATTTTTCTCTTCTCTCTTCATTCCCTTCTTCCTCTCTTTCTCTTCTTCTCTCCATCCATCTTCATTGCCTCTTTCCTTGACCTTTCCCCCTTCATCCTCACATCAACCTTTCACAATGGCCACCTACGCTCTGTCGCCGGCCCACCGGGACGTGAGTATCTCTTCGTCAAGCTTTTTTTCGGGGTACGGACGATCACTGACTCATTGTGCAGCAAATGGAGAAGACTCTCATCGAGACTGATCCTGAGATCGCTCAGATCATGGTACGTTTTCTAGAACCGCTTTCTTTATATCTGGGCAGATTCTTACGGTATTACTTCCTATAGGAAAAAGAGATCCAGCGTCAGCGTGAATCCATCGTCCTGATCGCCTCGGAGAACTTCACCTCCCATGCTGTCTTCAACGCCCTGGGATCTCCCATGTCAAACAAGTACTCTGAGGGTTACCCCGGTGCTCGTTACTATGGTGGCAACCAGCACATCGATGCCATTGAGCTCACCTGCCAGGCTCGTGCCCTGAAGGCGTTCAACCTCGACTCCGAGAAGTGGGGCGTCAACGTCCAGTGCCTGAGTGGCAGCCCTGCCAACCTGCAGGTCTACCAGGCCCTTATGCGCCCTCACGACCGCCTGATGGGTCTCGACCTCCCCCACGGTGGCCATCTGAGCCACGGCTACCAGACTCCCTCCCGCAAGTAGGTGCTCCCACTCAATGGCGGTAGAATCTCCCCAGAGTGCTAATCCTCGAACCTCCACAGGATCTCCGCTGTCTCTACCTACTTCGAGACTTTCCCCTACCGTGTCAACCTTGAGACCGGTATCATCGACTACGACCAGCTGGAGGCCAACGCTGAGCTCTACCGCCCCAAGATCCTGGTCGCCGGTACCTCCGCTTACTGCCGTCTGATTGACTACGAGCGTATGCGCAAGATCGCCGACAAGGTTGGCGCTTACCTCGTTGTCGACATGGCTCACATCTCTGGTCTGATCGCCGCCGGCGTCATCCCCTCTCCCTTCGAGTACGCCGACGTTGTGACCACTACCACCCACAAGTCCCTCCGTGGCCCCCGTGGTGCCATGATCTTCTTCCGCAAGGGTGTCCGCAGCACCAACCCCAAGACCGGCCAGGACATCCTGTACGACCTTGAGGGTCCCATCAACTTCTCCGTCTTCCCTGGTCACCAGGGTGGTCCCCACAACCACACCATCACCGCTCTTGCTGTTGCCCTCAAGCAGGTCGACACCCCCGAGTTCAAGCAGTACCAGGAGCAGGTCATCAAGAACGCCAAGGCCCTGGAGGCTGAGTTCAAGCAGCTTGGCCACAAGCTCGTCTCGGACGGTACCGACAGCCACATGGTCCTTGTTGACCTCCGTAACAAGAGCCTGGACGGTGCTCGTGTTGAGGCTGTTCTCGAGCAGATCAACATTGCTTGCAACAAGAACTCCATCCCCGGTGACAAGTCCGCTCTGACCCCCTGCGGTATCCGTATCGGTGCTCCCGCCATGACCACCCGTGGTATGAGTGAGGATGACTTCAAGCGCATCGCTCGCTACATCGACCAGACCATTGTCATCTGCAAGGCGGTCCAGGGTGAGCTGCCCAAGGAGGCCAACAAGCTCAAGGACTTCAAGGCCAAGGTTGCCTCCGAGACCGTTCCCGAGATCCTGGCTCTCCGCAAGGAGGTTGCCGAGTGGGCCAGCACCTTCCCTCTGCCCGTTTAAATGCATCCTCCCTCGGGATGTGAGCTTTGATACCAAAATCTTCTTTTTCCGTATATCTTGCATTTGATTTTTCTTTTTTCTTTGCGCGTTCAACATAATTGCGTATAAATGGGTGTGCGTTTTTTGGGGTTACATACAGGACTGCTTTTTCAACCTTACGCGGGTCATGGGATATGGATATGCATGAGCATGTGAATGACTTTTTCAACACTTCTTCAACACAAAAGTTCAGGGGACCGTCCAGTGTCGACGGTCCAGGGGTCTGTCTCATTTGGCTTAACCTGCCAGACTTGAGCTATCTAGAAACCAATCAATTAATGAATGACTTCATGGACACGTCCATGAGAGTGATCTTTCACGTCATTTCTTTTCCGATTCCTGTGTATATGCATGTTTCTGTGCTATACTTGTAGATGTATTTGTAGGTGCATTGCTAAATGATAACATGATCGGGCAAATTCCCTCAAGTAAGAGTCATACTATATTAACAGGGATTTTAAAACTGGTTTAAAGCCACGATAAATGAATTCCATCGCTAAACTCGCTTCAGGTGTTATTAAAAAGGTGCAAAGCACGCGTGCTCGTACGAACGAGTTACAAAAAGAGCGAATCGGTGTTACAACTCTCCCCTGGATTTCCCGTCCGACACTGGTTCACCCCGCTTGTGCAGTGCCTCTTCCTCCCGCCATGACTGCGACATGAGGGCAGCTACATTCTTGCCCATGTGTGCGCTTGTTTCCATTGTTGAGATGAAACTCTCGATGCCACCTGTGTACCACAGGTGTGGAGAGATGAGGGTTTCCTCGAAGGTAACCCTGGAATGAAGGAATGGGTACGGATTCCAGATCTTTTCGTAGTACCAGCTGATGTCCTTCTTAGGAAGATCTCCGATGGTCGTGTTGTCTGCTGCCGATGCATCATTCGGGTGTTGTAGACCCAGGATGTCTCTCATGAACTCAGCATTAGGTCGCTCTGGAGAGAATATCTTGTAGACGTAATGTGTCTCTCCAGGTTGATCTTCAGATAGTACTGTTTGGAGGGTACTGATGCTCCAGAAGTTGGCTGGACCGACACCCTTTTCATTGGAGCCGAGGTCTACGCCTCGAGGGAGGGTAGTTAGAATGGTCTCGGGGGCACGAGCGTCGGATCCTTGCAGATTGAAATATTTGGGTGACAGCTGATGCGGGGATGAGAAGAGGGTCACGTATAGTTGCACGTAGGGAATCTTGTCTGGGGCGTGCTCGGGTGTAGGAGAAATGGAGATATCAGAATACTGCATTGGACCAGCAATGACAACCTCGTCGAAAGTGAGCTTCTCCTGCGCCGAATTATCGTTATTGTCGCTGTATGCAACAGTCAGCGTGCCGTCCTCATTTTGTTCAACAGACGCCACTGTATGGTTCAGCCGGACATCAGCTCGGGACGCCTTCAGCATAGCCTCGAACAGCCGCCAATTCCCCCCTTGGATAGCCATAGCCCCATCTGTAGCCATACAGACCATAGCCTCGAGGCCATGAATCAATCCCAAATTCTGACCGTAGTTCACGCGTGTCGATGCTTGAATGATATCTCGCGAGAAGTCAGCGGACACATGATTGATGTTGAGAAATTCGGATCCACGAGTTGCAGTTGTGTTCAGCAACCCAACTCTCACTGCAGCCGCAGTGAGGGACTTGAAAGGGAATACAGGCTCTTCGTAGAGCTGGAGAAACTTGTTAACAGTAGCCTTCATGAGATTCTGGGTTCGGACCGGGGCCCATCCATATTGCCAAATCAACTTCGCGACGTTCCACCAGCTATATGTGTCCTGCATCCGGAATACGAATTCCTTCCCATCCCATACCCCGAGGACATCCTCCGACTCCCTGGGTCGAGACTGACTGGCACTCGATACTTCAAGACCCAGGTCCCTGGAGGCGTTGACAAGATTATAGTTGACCTGAACGAAGATAGATGCTCCCAACTCAACAGGGTACGCAGGGTTGCCAAAGACATTAACTGTCGTTGAGCGGCCCCCGATATATGACGCGCGCTCAAAGACCGTGATATCGACTGGCGTGGATGACGCATCCGCATATTTGCGCAAGGAATAAGCGGTGTTAGATCCTGCAGCCCCGGCTCCTAGAGAATTTGTCAACACTGGATACGCTTCTTCAGATGGACGGACTAACCAATTACAGCAACGCGTCTTGGGGGTTTCGAAAAATGACCCAATGGCACTTGTCCATCTCCGGCGACAAACGGGACTATAAGTAGAGCTAGCACAGAATAAACTATCCAGAGTTTAGGATGAAGATGATTCGAATTCATGTAGGCGATGGCAGCGATCAACGCTGACCGACAACAGACTAAAGACGGGCTGAGAAGCAGACTGTTAAGAACTATAAAAAGAGCACTATGTCTCAATTACCGAGCCAGGTAAAGCCTGGAATCTGTAGGCTCATGGATGTACAAGAAAGAGGCCAGTGAGATGAGTCTTCAGAGATGATGGATGAATACGATGGGATGATGCCGGAGGAAGAGGAAGGCGAGGATCACGAATGACGACGGGACGATGTACAGTAACACGCTAAGCCATAACCAGACTAGCGTCCTCCGTATCGCTTATCGGCGCCTGATCGATTCTATTCCTTTTTTTTCCTTCCCTTTTTCTGCTATAATTGATTGACTGAACAATAGACAATTGAACGTCACGCCTCACTAAATATACTTTGAAAAAAGCTCGGAGCCGTGATTCCTATCACGACTAGGTCAATTTTCCAATCCCGGTGATACAAACTGCACCTTGCCGACATGGATCCCTATGACAGCGACTCTTCGTTTGACGATGAGGGGGACCTCACAGACACTGGCGTGCTCCTAGGATACGCCTCTGAGGAGTTGATCGAAGACACAATCAGCCACATTGGAGGCAGACCGGTAAATATAACCCATCTTGGTTTTAATATATCTCGTGTGCTGACTTGCGACACTTTTAGACCTGGATTGATGATGCTACCCCACCTCCCGGCGAATTCGCCAATTGCAAAGTCTGCAACAGTCCCATGCTTCTTCTACTCGAGCTACACGGCGATCTCCCCGACCATTTCCCCGATAACGAACGACGACTGTACATCTTCGGCTGCCCGAGAAAGCCCTGCAACAAGAAGCCCGGCAGCATTCGAGCCCTGCGCGCCTCGAAGAAGCTGAAGAGCCAGCCCGCGGCTCGAAAGGTCGAAAAGCCCGAGCCCCCGAAGGAGGAAAAGAAGCCTGAAGCCCCCAAGCAGGATCTTGGAGCGAGCCTTTTCGGCTCTACCTCTCTCACCGGAAGCGTTTCTGCCAACACCAATCCCTTCTCGTCGTCCTCCGCCTCGGCGCAAACCAGCAGCAACCCGTTCGCTGTCCCTGCTTCGACTCCCACAGCCCCGGCCGCTGAACTGAACAAGCCTGCGCCCGACCAATCTGCGACGGAAAACACACTCTCGGAGTCCTTCGCGGATAAAGTTCGCGTTTCCTCCCCGCCTCCAACACTCAAGGCCCCCGAGGCCTCGGGACCTTCCGCCCCCTGGCCTGCCGAGTCTGCTTTCCCCAAACCCTTCAAGCACTTCTACCTAGACGCAGAGTACGAAGCCCTCTCGCGACCATCCACACCGACCATCCCGGACAATGTCACCATCGACAACACCGAGGAGGAAACCGGCGGCGGATCCTCCGGCGAGCTGAAAGACGCCTTGGAGTCCCAGTTGGATAAGGCGTTTATGAAGTTCTCCACCCGACTAGCCCACAACCCCGAGCAGATCCTACGATATGAGTTCCGTGGAACTCCCATCCTCTACTCGCACAATGACGCGGTTGGCAAAATCCTTCATGATCCCAAGAACACCGCTCCGGGACATGTGACGGTTGCCGGAAACGGGGCCCTCCGTATCCCCCGCTGCGAGTACTGCGGTAGCGCGCGGGTTTTCGAGGTGCAGCTGGTGCCTCACGCTATCAGTGTCTTGGAAGAAGACCGCGAAGTCGGTATGGGAGACAAAGACGACGGTGGTATGGAATGGGGGACGATCATTCTGGGTGTGTGCGGCAAAGACTGCACTCCGGAAGACGTGGGTGTCACGGGCTGGCGTGAGGAATGGGCCGGTGTCCAGTGGGAAGAATTGATGAAATAGATATACAAAAAGAGGAATAATGATGATGCCTGGTTAATGTTGATGATTTATAGAGCAATATCCGAGTTGTGAATAATTCCATGCATATATAACTCATTACGAGAATAGACCCTTTAATATGAGTAAAACAAATATCGAGAACTGTTACATATACATATATGAAGAAAAAGAAACTAGATAGATCCTCAGAGAGATCCTTAGTTTGCTTCGTTATTCTAGGGATATCTTAGAATAGTAGATGAAGAAGAGGTTGTTTTTCACACGTGGTAAATGACGATGATGATAAACAGCGAAGCAAACTCAAAACGCCAAATGCGCCGGTCCTGACTTCCCAACCCTCTTCATGCTGGTCTATCCCCGTCATCATCATCTTGGGCTCCGAACTCGTTTCGTCGGTAAGGGTTCAAGTGAACATAGTCCTTTTTTGCTGCTTTTCTTTTTGCGTTGTGGGAGTCTTGCGAAAAGGCATGTAAAGATTCCATGGATATAATCGAATCTTCCAAGAGGAAGGAGGAATAAAGAGAAAAAGAAAAAGAAGTATTAGCAAGAAAAGACATAATTTTTCAGTCTATTTTCGGTCACGCAAGTCGCCAATCTAGGCAGCCTGCTCGAATCCTCGGCGGATGACACGGCCGAACATGTCAATGTCGACGCGCTCGCTCTTGACTTCGCTGCGGACCTCGTTCTCCTTGTTCGTGGGCACCTTGATGACGGTGCTGGAGCCGGACTTGTCGACGACCCAGCTGCAGACTTCAGTGACGAACTTCTCGAGGGCCTCGCGGTTGGGGAGGTCGAGCCATTGCTCCAGAACGTCGGCGTTGATCTCACGGAAAGCCTTGCCAACCTCGACGGCGATACGGATGCGGACAAGCTCCTCGAAGCCGGCAACGTCGGCAACCAGGTCGGCGTACAGATCATCCGAGTTCAGGGTGGACCAGAACTGGGAGTATTGGGCAGATTCAAGTAGCGTAGAGAGGCGCGCAAGCTTCTGAACCGACTCGACGAAGTCGGAGGTCTGGGAAGCAGCCTGGGCTTCGGCGTTGTTGGAAGGGAAGGGCTGAGTGTGGGCGGGAAGCAAGGCAAGGCAGAGGGAGAAAGTGGGAGAGGGGAAAACGGTGAGGGCCTTGACGAGGATGTTGGTGACGGTCTCGGGCTGGAGGAGGTGAGGGTTGAACTGGTAGCTGTCGCGGTAGAAAGGGAGACAGTCAGCACACATGGAATCGAGAAGCAATGTAACCATGATTAGAGATGATCAAAGAGCCTTTTCAGAAGAATTTTCGGTCTCAACACCACCCAATAGAGTGTTTCAGGTAATAGGAAACGTGATGAAAGAAAGGTTTCTTCATCATTGAAGCCCGCAGGAGGTCTCAAGGAGATTTGAGGGATGAATGTAGGGCGCAAGCACTCACAGCTTCAACAGGGCAAGACTGGCATAGCAGTCGAATGTCCGGTCCTCACACTGCTGGGCCACATAGTCCTGGAATACCGTGGTCGTCTCGGGGTTGTATCGGTCGAGGCCGTTCAGGATGGAATCAATGTTGGTCGGTCGGGTCTCGCACTTATCGAACGCGACGACCATCTTGGCGGATATGATTGGGGGAGGAGAGAAATAAAGGGTGTCGATTGGATGCGGAGAGAGAGGAAGGAAAAGGCGGACGTGGATGGAGCGAGCGACAGGCGAGGCGGGCTGGTTCTGATCGGATTGCGGGATGTCTTTTTCGCGTGGGATTTTTCGATTGTGTCGATGTGCGGGCGTCGGACGGTCGGACCCCCAATGCGGACAGTTTCTCCGATAGGCCCGATCGAAGTATATCTGCGTCTGGCGGCAAGGGGGGCCTCTCCTTCTCTCGTTACTCTGCATTCTGTCAACCCTAGGCACCTGCCCATTAATAAATCCTCTTCTGCTCTTCTGCTTTTCTTCCCCTCATCTGCTGACAATATGTCGGCCTCGCAACTTGCATTATGACTTTCCACCTCCATCAGACACTGAGTCTCCTAACGCTCGGCTTGCTGTTCCGCCTGTCGTTAGTACTTGCCTCCCCCACGAGTCAGATCGACTATTCTCAATATGTGAACGTATTTATGGGATCGGAAGGCCCATTCCCCGGCCAAAGCTACGGAGGTGGAGACATCTTCATCGGCGGTGCTCGCCCGTTCGGAGTGACTAAAGTCGGAATCGACACGACGGCTGCCAATTGGAGCACTGCGGTGCTCAACGGAGGGTGGACTCCAGATGGGAATGTTACGGCTATCAGTAGGTGTCTTTTCCTCTGTCGTGGATCAAATGCCACTTCCAAAATTCTGAACTCTTTCAAGCTATGATGCACGAAAGCGGCACTGGAGGAGCTCCCAAGTACGGCATCATCTCACAGATGCCCTTGACCAATGTCGCCTCTCCCGTAAACATACTAGACAACACTACATATAGCCAGCCAAGGGTAGGTGAGCATGTTGTACAGTCATGGTTTCGTGGTAGACTGACGACTTCATAGAATGGCAACGATACAGGCAGTGTCGGGTATTTTAAAACGCATCTCCAGAATGGGGTCGAAGCAGAATTATCTGCATCTCGACACGCTGCAATTATCCAATACAATTTCTCTAAAGGCGAGAAATATATTCTCGTCGATGTGTCTCATGTAGGCATTCGGATGGTGCGCATACAGATGCTTGAATATCTCTAACTAAGCCTGTTCGTAGTACCTACCGGGCTCACCACAAGATCCTAATAGTCAATTCTATATTGGCGGAGGTATTCAGCTTGAAGAGAATGGCCGAAGATATACCGGACATGGGACCTACGGTGGCGGTTGGAATAACGGTTAGTGTTCCTTTCGTGACGATCCAGTGTTACTCACAAAGATAGGCGCACCTTTCACGGTTTTCTTCTACGGTGAATTTTCGACGGCTCCCCATGAAGCGCGCGCATTTACCGGAAAGGATGCAGATTCAGATAATGATGGCCCAAGCTACCCAGCATGGACCGACCAGTCCGATAAAGCGACATCGGGCCCTATGAACGACCGGGTTGGAGCGCTTTTCAGTTGGAAAGACGACAAGGCTTCTCAAATCATCTCTAGAATCGGTATTTCGTTTATATCTATCGATAAAGCTCGTTCATATGTTGCTGCTGAGATTCCGTCATGGAAGCTTGAAGATACGGTCATGTCTGCCGTGCAGGAATGGAACGAGAACGTGTTCAGCAAAATCCAAGTGCCCCTTGACGAAACTGCAAATACCACGCATGTTCGGCTACTGTATAGCTCGCTTTATTTTATACATCTAATGCCGTCTGACAGAACCGGCGAAAATCCTCTCTGGGTGTCGGACGAGCCGTACTGGGATGACTTTTATACCGTTTGTATGCTGAACTTCTTCTTTTGCCTTTTCGTCATACTGACTTGATCGAAGGGGATATCTTTCGCTGCACGGTTAGCTTCTATCACATCTTTCAGCCTGTATACTACGAGTCTATGATTCGAGGATTGATCGACATCTGGAGGTACGTGCTGCCTAAAAAGGTGCAAGAAGTCCACTCCACTGATTCTTCTAAACAGAAACGGAGGGTTCCTACCAGATGGGCGCTCCGGAAACTGGAACGGACTGGTTCAAGGGGGCTCTGACGCCGATAATATGTTAGCGGACGCATATGTGAAGGGACTGCGCGGGGGAATCAATTGGAGCGATGGCTACGCAGCCATGAAGACCGATGCCGAAATAGTCCCTGAAAATACTTTCGACGCGACCGACACTTCAGCAAGTACAAAAGAAGGCCGAGGGGCTCTCAAGGACTGGCTACAGCTAGGTTATGTGTCCCAGGACAGAAGCACTCGGTGCATTTCGAGGACTGTCGAATATAGTCTGAATGATTTCGCTCTTAGCCAGGTTGCGGTGGGCGAAGCACCCATCGATCAGGCAAAGTATCTTCGTCGGTCTGCGGGATGGCAAAAGATATGGAACCCCGATGTTGAGAGCTTGGGCTACACTGGATTTCTAGCACCGCGATTTTCCAATGGTTTATTCAATAATAGCGGCTATGACCCACGACTCTGTTATGAGTGCGGATGGCATTCTTATACCTACGAAGGTGTGCCATGGGGTAAGTCTTTGCTTTGTGAGCGCCCAGGCCAATACTGACGCCTTTTCAGAGTATTCCTTTGTCGCCCCCCATGATATGGAATCTCTCATTGATCATATGGGTGGCCCCGATACATTTGAGTCTCGGCTTGATATGATGGTCAGAAATCATTCCCACGGTGACTCCAGCTCTCGCTTACATCTGACATAGTTCAAACCCAACATGTCTACTCAGGACCTCGAAGCGAACGGTGCCGGAATCACCACAATAATGAACATTGGGTACGTATACAACAGGAGCAGGTCTCAACCACAGGGAACACTGACCCTTCAAAACAAAACAGAAACGAGCCCGACTTTGCAACACCCTATCTATACAACTACATCAACAAACAAGCAAAAAGCGTCGAGAAATCCCGCAATCTTGGACACCAGTAGTATGCATCTCACTATTATCCCCCCACATACGGACTCTAACATGGATGAACCACATAGCTTCAGGGATGCCGCCTACGGGGTTCCCGGAAACAGCGACGCAGGGGCAATGAACACCTGGCTCGTGTGGCAGATGCTTGGGATCTACCCTGTCGTCACACAGCCCGTCTATCTGATCGCTTCTCCCTGGTTTCCGGATCTGAACATGACAATCAATGGGAACCAAACGCTGCGGATCACGGCCACGGGGCTGGATCAAGGGTACTATGTGCAAAGTGTCAAGGTCAATGGAGAAACTTGGTCGAAGAATTGGTTTGAACATAATGATTTGATGGTGCAGGGTGGCACGGTTGAGTTTGAACTGGGCCCGGAGATGAGGCACTGGGATACGGGCAGCGTCCCGCCGTCACCCGGACATGTTGTGTTGTAGTCTGTCGAGCTTGATGTTTCCTCGAATTACATTGTTGAGGGACCACTGTTACGCGAACTATGGTTAGGTGAAGCATGCCAGGCTATCAAGCGAGCGCATTGGTTTTATCGAAGTAATCTGAAGCATCTGTATCTCGACTCTTTGACCACGACATCGACAAGCAAGCATATATATAGCCTCTGCATCCATATCCACGCCCACTGCATTCTTAACACCCTCTAGGCCCTACTGACTAAATCCTGGAACCATTCCAACCGCGCCCGCGCAGCTCGACGAGCGATCGGGGCATCAGGCACAAACACATCAAAAGCATGCCAGCAGCCCGGCCATACATGAAGCTCGGTCTGCACGCCACACTTCATCAGAGCATTGGCATACTCGATACTCTCGTCGCGGAACACATCCGCCGAACCCACGTCGATAAAGGCCGACGGCAAGCCATTGAGGTGATCCTTGGCGCGCGAAGGCACCGTGTAGATAGAAGCCCGCTCACGGTTCTTCCCCAATGCATAGTTGCAGGCCACGACACTAAAGTCCCTCGTCCACGGCTTGACGTGCCCAAACTGATGGATGGAAATGGTCTCATTGCTATCGTCTACCCATGGGTAAATGAGCAATTGGCCGAGGATCTCGGGACCGGATCGATCGCGCGCCAACAAGGCGACTCCCGCCGCGAGATTCCCGCCGGCCGACCCACCGGTGACGATCAGTTTGTGCGGATTGAACCCTAGCTCGGCGGCGTGCTCGCTCATCCATTTTAGGGCCGCGTAGCTGTCGTCGAGCTGTGCGGGTTGCGGATGTTCGGGCGTGAGTCGGTATTCGGCCGTCAGGCACACGGCGCCGAGTTCCGCGACCCATTCCAGCGGGGATTTGACGCCCATGAAGCGGTTTCCTGACACATGACCACCCATGTGGAAGTTGATGATCCCTGGGGTCTCAGCGACGGATGAGGCAGTGAAACCGGGCTTCGGTCGAAAAATCGTTGCACGCATTTGACCGGCCGGGCCTGGGATGTCGATATCTTCGTGGGATATCTTGTCTTGATATCCTCGGAGCACGTCCTCTAGTTTGAAGGCGAGGATTTGCCGGAGGCCTGCAAGCCCCTCCTCCGTGTCCAAGGGCGCACCCTCAGGCATATAATTCTGCACATCTGCCGTGTCGGGGTGTAGGGGTGCGCGAGGTAGGCTGTTGGAGCCCATGGTGAGGAAAATGTTTGAGTCTGTGGGTGCGGTAGAGGGAGTGGAACTCAGTTGTGGTGATGGATTATATGATAGAATGGATGGAAGTCGCAAAACGAAGGGACAAGTAGGGGTTTTTATGGCCTTCCCATTCCACCACCAAGAACAGCTGCTCCTATTTAATTTGCAGAAATGCGCTGATCAATGTAGAGTCGGCGGGGTAGAAGGCTGCGTAGCTACTACTTGATTGCTGTAGCATATTGCGCCTCCCCGTTATGAGCTAGTAATGCTAGTGGGGGCCGTTTCTCCAGTCGTCAGGGTGGTATCTTTAAAACGAAATGCCCTTATTGTCAGCCCTAGCATCAGGCAAGTCGCCGAGAGTCAGCCCGTATAGCCAGTATAGCCAGTAGTGTCGAAGGTGGCTGGACTCATCAGCGTGCAGGTAGTTTCCAAGACATTGGCCACGAGACTATCTGAGGCTAACGATTACCGAAATAACACAATTCTTTGTTCAGCGCGTTGAATAATGAGTCGCCGCTCACAGGTGAGTTAAGCCGTAGGAAGAGGCGGACGGAAGTGAAAGCATTGGTACAAAATTATATCATGTTTTTCTCAGGCACTAATCGACAGGTGAGGACCGCGGTGTCCTTGGAGGGGCTAACCTCCCGTTCAGAATCCCTCAGGACTCTTAAGCTTAAATCCCCTTTCCCATGCGCCTGACCTGCTAGTGTTCGAGAAAATAAACACGACCCGCCGAAACGTCCCTCACAGGCCGTTGAGAGACAGTCGTGCTGATGTCAGATTCGGTGATAGCCCGGACCTTGAAGTCGATAATCCTAACTAAAGAGTAATGCCAAGTCCCACGTTATTAGGCGTTCCATACACATCTGTGGACATGGTTGAGTTCCTGAGATGACTTGTCGGAATGGATTGAACTAGAGCGTCGCCTCGGTTGCTTTGTTCATGTGCGATTGTCGAACCATATCATATGCCCATGTATCATCCACCCAGCTTCCCAGTGAGTCTGGCATCTTTTCCCGATGTGCTGAGAGTTATAAAATCCTGATCCCCTCCTGGCTTAATCCGATAGCCGTTTGAGGAGCGTGGCCGGTTGGTAGCCCAGATATCCCAACTTCATTGTTTCAGGGCGCTTTGTTCTTTGGCTTCCTAGAGTGTTGAGGGGCGGCTCTCTTCCCGAAATCAGCGATGACAGATTTGAGTCGTGCAATGCGATCTTCAAGTTCCTCGATTTCCGCTTCCTGATCGGCCACAGATCGATCGACATCGGGCAATCCTTCCACGACCGCCTGCGCTTTCTGGACGCGAATCTTGATCGAGCTGATCTCGGTAGGCAGGCTCTTGATATCCAATGGCGGAGGCGCGTTCGAACTCAGAGCGGCGATTTCAGCGGCGGCCGCGGCGCTAACCGGTACGCCGGAAGAAACGGACGGCAACGCTCCATCATTCCCAGGACCAGCTTGCGACTGCTGCTGCTGGGACTGAGCCGCACCAGCGGGTGTGGAAGACGTTGCAGAAGGGCCAGCCGCTCCAGTCGGGTGTTCAGAGGGTCCCACACCGTTAGAGACTCCCCCGGTATTCGTTTCCGACGGCAAGAGTCGAAGGAGAAGGCCGTGTAAAGGCGGGATGATGTCGAATGTTTGTGGAGGAGGAAAAGGAACTGGTTGCGGCGCGGTCGCGGGTTCTTTCACCAGGGGCGTCTCGGGCGCGACCGAGGATTTGGGAAGCGGAGTGACGACGGTCGGAGATCTGGAGGCCATAGTGGAGTCTCCAGAGGGGAGAAATAGTGTCAAGTCAAGAAAATGCGGGATTTGAGACGGGGAAAGGGGAAGAAGAATTAAGACCGGGGCAAGAGTAGGAAAGAGTCGGAAGAGAAAGCGACGAGGAGAGACCGAACGAGAACGGCCCGTGACGTCGGAGATCCCAAAGCGTCACCGGAGAGAACAGCCCCTCCCCCTCCTGTTTTTTCTCCGGCTTTTCGCTCTCTCTTCCTCTTTCTCTTCCCACCACTCTACCGAACTTCTTTCTTTTTCCCTCTATTTCTTCCTTTCTGTGAGTCAATCTCTATTTCATTCTCCCTACTACTCTCCATTGAAGATTCGTCTACTAATTAACCGATATATAGGAGTTTCCCTCGCTCCACTATGGCCAAGGTTGATCAGAAGGTCGCCCTCAGTAAGCCCAATCCAATGCCATTTCTCCTCTACCGGACCGATTGTTAACGTCTTCCACTAGTCGTCATCGATGGCTGGGGTGTCTCCGGCCCCGACCCCAAGGCTGTCGGCGATGCCATCCACGCTGCGGAGACTCCCTACATGTCCGGCTTCGCCGAGGCCGACTCCAAGACGGCCCAGGGCTACACCGAGTTGGACGCCTCGTCGCTGGCCGTTGGTCTGCCCGAAGGTCTTATGGGTAACAGTGAAGTCGGTCACTTGAACATTGGTGCTGGCCGTGTCGTCTGGCAGGACAGTGTTCGCATTGACCAGACCCTCAAGAAGGGAGAGCTGAACAAGGTCGACAGCATCGTTGCCTCCTTCAAGCGCGCCAAGGAGGGTAACGGCCGTCTGCACTTGCTGGGACTGGTTTCTGATGGTGGCGTTCACTCCAACATCACCCACTTGATTGCCCTGCTGAAGGTCGCCAAGGAGATGGAAATCCCCCATGTCTTCATCCACTTCTTTGGTGATGGCCGTGACACCGACCCCAAGAGTGCTTCCACGTACATGCAGCAGCTTCTTGACCAGACCAAGGAAATCGGAACTGGTGAGATTGCCACGATCGTCGGACGCTACTGGGCTATGGACCGTGACAAGCGCTGGGATCGGGTTGAGCTCGCCATGAAGGGTATTGTTTCCGGAGAGGGCGAAGAGAGCTCCGACCCCGTCAAGATCATCGAGGAGCGCTACTCGAAGGGCGAGAACGATGAGTTCTTGAAGCCCATTATCGTTGGCGGCAAGGAACGCCGTGTCCAGGGTATGCTTTTTCCCATGTGCATCCGTCGATCTTGGACATTCGAAGGCTTACCCATTTATTTTCAGATGACGACACCCTGTTCTTCTTCAACTACCGCTCCGACCGTGTCCGTGAAATCACCCAGCTGCTCGGTGACTACGACCGCTCTCCCAAGGCCGAGTTCCCCTACCCCAAGAACATCCACATCACCACCATGACCCAGTACAAGACCGACTACACGTTCCCCGTTGCCTTCCCTCCTCAGAAGATGGGTAACGTGCTTGCCGAATGGCTCGGCAAGAAGGATGTCCAGCAGTGCCACGTCGCTGAGACCGAGAAGTACGCTCACGTTACTTTCTTCTTCAACGGTGGTGTTGAGAAGCAGTTCCCCGGTGAAGTCCGTGACATGATCCCCTCGCCCAAGGTCGCTACCTACGACCAGGACCCCAAGATGAGTGCTGCGGGAGTCGGCAAGAAGATGTCCGAGCGCATCGCTGAGGGCAAGTTTGAGTTCGTCATGAACAACTTCGCTCCCCCTGACATGGTGGGCCACACCGGTGTCTATGAGGCCGCCATCCAGGGTGTCGCCGCTACCGACAAGGCCATTGGTGAGGTCTACGAGGCCTGCAAGGCCAATGACTACGCTCTCTTCATCACGGCGGACCACGGGTAAGTTCTCACTCTTGATTTACTACCTGAATCAAACGAAGCAGAGACAGGAACACTGGCTGATCTGATGCTTTCTAGAAACGCCGAGGAGATGCTCAACGAGAAGGGCACCCCCAAGACCTCTCACACCACCAACAAGGTGCCTTTCATCCTGGCCAACGCCCCCAAGGGCTGGAAGCTCAAGGGCGACGGTGTCCTCGGAGACGTGGCCCCCACCGTGCTTGCTGCCATGGGTATCGAGCAGCCCGAGGAGATGACTGGACAGAGTCTCCTAGTCAAGGAATAGATATTTCGTATATAGACTTGCTGTCACGTGTTGTTTAGAGATGGGCTGGGTGGGTTTATGAAGACATGAGAATACGGAGTTTTTAATTGATACGCACATTGGATGTAGAACAAAGACAGATGATGATACGAGGGTTGAGATAAAAGTGAGCCGAACATAGCGCAAGAGCATAAAGACTTGATTTCGCAAATAATCCATCAATTGAGCTGGGCCGTAATTTTGAGAAACTCTACGATAGCATACCAATTCAACTTTGACATCTTAAAAAAGACAAGAATGTATGCTCGCTTCTGCTTTCACTGGGGTATTCTACAAAGTTTCACCCTATACTCATACTGTCGTTATTTTTTATCTCTCGGCCTCTATCTTGACTTATAGGAATCCCTAGAGCCCAAGATGTAGTAAGGTCGTAGTCTTTCTTGAATTCTCCCCGATTCAAGAATCGCTTTCCTCACAGTTCGCCTCATTAACCTAGTCGAAGCACATCGTTCGTCTTGCCACCGAATACGGTAGCTGGTTCAAGGACCTCGACGTCCATTCCATGCTGGATGTTATTCACTAACAGCCGTAGGTAGGATGACTGAAGGTCTATCTCGTAGTGTAGATTGGGGCACGAGAGCGTGTTCAAGCGGATGCAGACGCAGCGGCAGCCTGCTGCTGGACCTGGCTTTGGTATTGTAGGACCTGAACGCAATGGTTAGGGTGTGATCCATGCGCTAGGGCATGCAACTGCCTAAGAATCTCGGAAGGTCTCACCTCGGCTCGTTTCTTATCGCTCTTGTCTTGGTTGGCTTCGATTTCCTTCTCGATACGCTTGCTATAAAGTCCATCAGTCAGCTTCTTCGGATCAATCTAATGGCGTTAGAAAGCGACATGGACCATACATCTCCTTCTCGATGAACTCGAGACGTCCGTTGACCGCCATCAGGGCCTCCTGCTTGTCCTGCTTCAACAAAACCGGACCGACGAGCTTGTAGATGTTGGATTCGTCATCGAGCGAGTTGAACTCCTTTTGGACGCTCTCATTCTCCTGCTGTTGGGACTCGAGCTTCTGACGAGCGTCGACAAGTCCGTCCAGATCTAGAAATCGCGTATCCGATCAGCTTTCTGTTCTGTGCGCAATGATGCCATCGAGATTCATTCCCGCCAGAGTTGACGAGAGACCACCAACGTACCGGTCTGCAGTTTCTGGAACTCTTCCGAGAGCGCCTGCAATTGCTTCTGTGCGTCGGCCATGGCGAAGAATGCTGGAACGACAAGAGAGACGGAGAAGAGAGAGGTGATGATGGAACGAGAGAGGGGCGTTGGCGGGGAGAAGAATCAATGGAAAGCGGAGCGGCAGAAAACAAACGGCCGCCTTTCCGCATCCTCCATTCCTTCGGTCATTCCCCCTCATATCTCTCTCTGCTTCCTCATCATCATCTCTCCTCACTTGCCACTCATCCCCGTTCATTCTGCTCTCCGCCGCCGATTCTGCGAATTGAATGGATCGGTCCTGACCTGTATCTCCCCCATCACCCTTGTCTTGCTTTGTCCGGAGTTCCTTGCGCCGCCCCATCCCGACCAAAACAGGCTGCTATTATTCCCCGCCGTCGATTGCCCTCGTTGTGAACTACCACCAGCCAAGACGCCATCCGAGAGCCTCGTCCTTCAACATGAGCAACACGGACTTCCTAGGGCGGGCGATTGACACGGTCAAGAAGGCCATTGAGAACGACAATGAGGGCGAGTACGAAAAGGCCTATCAGCTGTACTACTCCTCCCTGGAGCTATTCATGCTGGCCTTGAAATGGGAGAAGAACCCAAAGTCCAAGGAAATGATCCGCGCAAAGACGGGCGAGTACATGGATCGCGCGGAGAAACTGAAGAACCATCTGGCCCAGTCGGACGGACGAAAGAAGCCGAGCGCAGTTAACGCTAACGGCAGCGTGGCGCAAGGCAGTGGAAAGGGCGGGTATGTGCTGAATATGACACCTTGCTGGATGACAACATAGTAACATGCGAGTCGCTTCTAGGAAAGAGGAAGAGGACGGCGAGGATGCCGATTCGAAGAAACTACGGTCCGCCCTTGCGGGCGCCATCTTGTCGGATAAACCCAATGTGCAGTGGGAGGATGTGGCGGGTCTCGAGAGCGCCAAGGAGGCCTTGAAGGAGGCGGTCATTCTACCGATCAAATTCCCGCACCTCTTTACGGGGAAGCGACAGCCGTGGAAGGGTATCCTGCTCTATGGACCTCCTGGTACCGGAAAGTCGTATCTCGCCAAGGCTGTCGCAACGGAGGCCAACAGCACGTTCTTCAGTGTGAGCAGTAGTGATTTGGTATCCAAATGGATGGGTGAAAGTGAACGGTATGCTCCTTTCTTTTTTACTATTTTGTGAATATCAGACAACTGACGAACATCCTACAGACTCGTGAAGCAGCTTTTCAACATGGCCCGAGAAAACAAGCCAGCCATTATCTTCATCGATGAAGTTGACGCCCTTTGTGGGCCCCGTGGCGAAGGAGAGTCCGAGGCGTCACGCCGAATCAAGACCGAACTGCTGGTGCAAATGGACGGTGTAGGCAAAGACTCCAAGGGCGTGCTAATTCTGGGCGCAACGAATATTCCATGGCAACTCGATGCTGCCATCCGACGTCGATTCCAGCGAAGAGTCCATATCAGTCTTCCCGATATCAACGCACGAATGAAGATGTTTATGTTAGCGGTGGGCTCAACGCCATGTGAAATGTCGCAAGGTGACTACCGCACTCTTGCGGAGATGAGTGAGGGATACTCTGGTAGCGATATCAGTATCGCTGTGCAAGATGCGTTGATGCAACCGATCCGCAAAATCCAAACAGCGACACATTACAAAAAGGTATTCACCCACCACATATCTGCGTCATTTCGGCTCTAGTGCATAGAAAGCAGCTGACACCTCCTCTAGGTCTTGTTCGAAGGCGCGGAAAAATTAACACCGTGCTCGCCAGGAGACCAGGGCGCCGTCGAGATGTCATGGATGAGTGTGGAAGCAGAAAAGCTGCTCGAACCACCTCTTCTGCTGAAGGACTTCATCAAGGCAGTTCGCAATTCCCGGCCGACGGTCAGTCACGAAGATCTCAAGAGAAACTCAGAATGGACCCAAGAGTTCGGCAGCGAGGGCGCTTAGTCCTTCCGCGAGTACGACTGTTCCTAAACCCTCTGTCAAAGTTGGAATCATGATCCTTCATCGCATATCATTGGCTGTCTGATATATTCGTTTGTTTCCTTGTCATTTTCTCACTGGGCATCCACCCTTGTCTGGTTAAACTCTTTCCTACTCTTCTTCCCCCTATTTATTTGTCTCTCGTCCCTTTTATCCATCTTATACATCTCCTCAAGCTCGGTGTTAGAAGCGTTATCGTTGTTAGGCGAGTCGAGGCGAGGCGTTGCAATTCTCTTACGAACCTAAATCTGTCTGTCTGTTCACTCATGTTGAATCAGAACCGATTCCACTCTCTCCTCCTTTGCAGGCTAAAACCGCCCGTTTCTGTGTCTATTTCATGAAGCATATCATTGAAGAACAAGATTTTATGAACTATATCCATCTTGCTGAATCGAATACCATGGTTGTCTCCTTTCTTAGTGTTTCTTTTTTGTCTCCCTTTTCCCATTGATTTGTCTGGTTTTTAGCCTTCTTGTGATGTTTGTCCTTGGGAGGTAAGAAGTGTCGGTCATTAAATACTGCCGGTATTGATTCCTTAAACCAATATATCAAGTTACAACGTCAATTTAACTCCTGTGTCTTATGACATCAAAAAACTTTTCAAAATTAAGTGAATCAGCTTCGACATTTGAGAAGACACCAGATAAATAAAAGTTGTAGAATATACGTATGCACCAAGGTCACAGCAATAACACCGCCAACCTCCCAATATAAGTAAAGTAAGTAGTAGCGTCAATTTCTCATGTCCAAAAAACCAAAACGCCTGGAGGACCCGATGGAATCGAAACACAGATTGATGCAATGGGTGATAGATAGATAAAGCATATTGGGGGAATCTCTTGGGGAAACAACAAACGTTCATAACAAGAAAAGAAGGAAGAAGAAAAGGGGGAAGATCGAACAACAAAGGCTATCACAAAATCAAATCGAAACATGAGGGGGTCGGGTCGCGTCATCTATTCCACTAGGCCTTTGCCAGAGCTATCTTTCCTCTTCAGCATTTCACCTTTGGCGCGTTTGAGGCCCTCGCCTAGCTTCCGGGTCTTCTTCCATTCCTGGCTCATTCGCTGCATGCGCACGACGGCCTTGACCATGGAGATGGCGGTTTTGAGCTTCTGGCGAGGATCGCGGAGCATGCTGCGGTCACGGGGCTTTACTCCCATCTCGGAGATCATTCGTAAGTCGGCGTCGTTGCTGTGAGAGAGAGAGTCAGTTCATGTTCATAGGAAACACCATATGGAGGGGGAAAGTTTGGCGCACCATGCAACCCGTACTCGCTCGCCGAGTTCCATCAATCCCTTACTCCAGGCCAAGTCACGACGGAATTTCTCCTCGCGCTTCAATCGTGCCCGAAGCCAGATGATCTCTTTTCCTAATCCCAGAAGCTCCTTGTCGTGTCGAGATTTGCTTTCCGTCCGAGACCCGATCTTTTCAACGGCCTGCTTATAACGTATTTCAAGAGCCTCGAGGTCTTTGAGGGCGGTCTCGGCCTTCCTCACACAGAAGGCGCGCTCCTCACGGATCCGGCGAACCTGGGATTTAAGCTCACTCACGCGTTCGTCTCGCTCTGAGACCTTGAGAGCCAACGACTCAGCTTCAAGAGTAGAAGATTTGAGCAGCTCATGGAAATCCCGGTGGTCTTCCTCTTTCATCGCAGCCCGCTCGAGCTCACGATTCTTGATCTTCAGGTCGCGTAAAGCTCGATGCGCTTCGGACAACTGCTTGCGTAGACTCCGCAATTCTTCATGGACTTTGTCGGAAGGTGATGATTGAGGGGAGCGGGATTCGAATTTCTTCATCATAGTTTCGTGGAGGTCCTTCTCAAGCTCAGCAATACGTGACTTGCAGTTACGAACAGCAGATTTCTGATCAGCCTCGCGCTGAAGCAATGTCTTCTCCCGCTTGCGAGCCTCATCCAAGTTATGGCGGAGCATGGAAACGTCTCCAGTCGCGGTTGAGGGCTCGTTCTCTACAGTGGCTTGTTGCTGTAGAAGAGACTCAAGGTCCTTGATACGCCTCTCAAGCCGCTGGATTTTACTCCTGGACAATGTGAGTTCCCTATCCCTTCCACCAGAGGCAGCATGCAGCCGGTCTTGGAGCTGGTCAACTTCGGCCGCGAGGCGATTCTCTTCCTCGGTGGCTCTTTCGATTTCGGCGCCCAGCTGTTTTTCGAGGGTTTCCTTTGCTTCCAACAAAGACGATCTATCCTCCTTCATTCTTTTAAGCTCGTTCTCAAGGCGAAGGGTAGATTTGCGCTGTTCGAGTTTCTCCCGGTCGAATCGCGTGGTATCGTCAACTGGATTTTGAGCTTGGTCCAATTGAGCTTGGAGTTCATCACGTTCCGTTTCCATTTCGCCCATGGCCGTACGAAGATCATGTAGCTCGACATGAGCATTAGCCAGCTGATCTCGAAGCTTCTGCTTGTCGGCAAGTAATTTCTGTAATTGGCCATCCTGGTTGGAAGAGCCCTGCTGCATCCGACCTTTCGCATATTCTTGTTCTTCCTCAAGGCTTGATTGCAGGACGACAACTTCATCTTCCAGAGCCTGCACTCTCTCCTTCAATGCTGCTTCCTCGCGTCCGGCGTGACGGAGCTGTTCCTTTATAGAAAGAAGCTCACCGCGTTGTTCGTCGATGATCTCTCTCTTTCCTGCAAGTTCGTCATTCAGTTCTTTGACTTGGCGGCTTAAAACGGCTTCCGAGTTGAAATGTCGTGCCTTCTCGCTATCAATGACTTCTTGCAGCTTTGTTTCTTTCCCGGAGAGACTATACTCCACTTGTTCAAGTTTCTCAATGGTGCGCTTGAATCCGGCCGCTTGATCTTCTGCTCTGTCCTTCTGAAGTTGTAAGGTGCGCTTGGCACTTTCCCACCGATCTTGTTCGAGCGCAAACTGGCCCTCCTTGTCTTCAATTTCATGATGAAGAGACTCGATCTCCTCTTGCAGTCTGTCGACTTCTTCTCGGTATTGCGTGCGAATGATGTCCACATCGTCCAGAGCCTGGTGCTTGCCCTGGTCCAGAACGTGCTGCAGTTCCCGCATGTGAGATTGCGTCCTCGCCAACTCCCGTTGCAAACCGCTGGATTCTTCTGTCAACGCGGTGTGTCGGGTCTGTAATAGTTCTTTTTCGTCGGCCTTGTGCTGAATTTCATCGAGAGCTTCTTGTAGCTGAGAAGATATCCTGTCACGTTCCTGTTGAGCGAGATCTCGTTCGCGTCGTGCTCGAGCAGCATCGTCATGTAGCCTATTATCCTCGTAGTTCATGGCCTGTTGGGCTTTGCGGTACTGCTCCTCAAGGTGGGCTTCATTGCGCGACTTCGCTTCGAGCTCCTCCTTCAGAGCATTGGCCTCACGTTGTAGCTCACGCAGCTCCTCCTCGAGCTTGCCTGATTTCTCTTCGAGTTGGCGGTTCAATCCCTTTGTAGTGAAAGACTTGTTGGCCATCTCGTCGTGAAGTTCCTGGAGGTTTCGTTCCGCCTCTTCTTTCTCTTGTGTTGCGTGACTTGCTTCGTCTTTCGCCTCCCTCGCCTCAGTCCGGGCTTGGTCGAGAGACTCTTGCAACTCCTCCATTTGTTCCCTGGCGCGTTGAAGTTCTGATTCGAGTTCGGAGAGGGCATCGTTCTCCTTATTGTCTCGGTCCTTGAGTTCCTCGATTTCCTCCTCGCGCGCGTCGATTGTACGGTCCTTGTCCCTGAGTGCGGCTTCCAAGTCCTCAACTTCATCGCGGAGTTTCTCGGTTTCTTCGGATTGTCTGTTTTTGGCGGTTCGTAGCTCCTCCTGAAGGTCCCTAACTTGAATTTCTCGCGACTCAAGCTCTTCCCGCATCATGTCCAATTCTCGTTGCACCGTTTCATCGGTCTGCTTTCTCCGAGTCTTTTCGCGAAATTCCTGGAATTGTACACGGTAAGATTCCAAATCACGCTCTGCTTGTTGGAGGCTCCTCTTGTATCGGGAAATGTCGCGTTGCATCGTTAACTTGGCCACCTTGAGTTCCGTATTTTCCTTGACGGCAGCTTGGTTGTACGACGGACCGGCCTTCTCGATTTGCTCTTGTAGGTAATGAATCTTCAATTTTAACCCGAAATTATCCTTGTCGAGTTTATCGATCATCTAGGGGAGTCAGCATGTCCCGTGTCACTCGAGACAAGAAACGCGAGGTCGAAGGAGAAGACATACCTTTTCCTGTTCCTTCAGTGTCATGTTTTGTCCGTCATTCAACATCCCATCCCTGCCCAAACCCGCTAGCGGGGTACTCTGGACACTGCTGCTCGCGACTTGCGGCAAAGGTGTCGGTTGGTCATCGGTCGCGTCTTCTTCCTCGTCGATATAAGTCATCTCTGGCGGTAACCCGGGAGTGTTCGCATTGCTTCGGTAGGTTTTGCTTAGGTAGGCTGGTGTTTTCATGCCGCCGGTTCCTCGCGCCGTCGACATGTTCCTCAAATAATTATTTCTCGTAGCGCTCTTCATCAACGGCGTGAATTCCCCGGCGGCGGGCGCGGCTGTAGGAAGGTGCTGTCGGTTGTTCAACGCGCTTTTTGTCGTCTTAGGACCGGAGCCTGCACGCGGTGTGCTCAGCTTGAACGAGCCTGACGTGCGTCTCCGGCCTTCGCCGATACCCTTGAGTACATCCTCATCTTTGGACGGCGTCTGAAAGGAGTTTTCGACCGAATCGAGAGCCGAAAGGTTGTGTCGTCCTACACTGCGAAACCCGTTGGTCAGGTAAGTCGCGTTCCCGTCGATTTCGGTGCGCGGGGTGTCGATATAAGGGAACGCCATTGTTGACGCGGAGGACGCGAAAAGGAGCTGGTGGCGATGAGGGACGACCAGACAGAGGCCATGCAATGGGCGACGCTTCTCAACGCCGGGCGTGGGAGGGAAGAAACAGCGAGCGAGGCCGATGGCAGTACCTGATCGGTTACCACTTACCAGACGTGTTTTGGGCGGTGAATCCCGGCCTTGTTGACATCTACCCTGATCCGGTTAGCCCTCAAAGTCACGGGGCGTCGGCCCGTAAACTGTGCGTTTCGATGAAGTCATCCGTATTTTTTCCCTCAGTCTTCTGTCGTGCTCTTCAATCGCCCTCCTTTTTGAACTCCGAACTCCCTCACAGCACCATGAATCCCATGTCCGAAGAGGACCTCGCGTGGTTCAAATCCACCTTCCGCCCGATCCCCAAACCCGAACTCCCCGACGACAGCATCGAGTATGCGCTGTACTACATCCCCTCGGACCCCGCCCCCGCCGTCGTCGATGAAGTCGCCGACACCAGAGCCCGATTAGTGGATGTGCAGCGCACAGCGGCAGAATTGAGCAAGAACCTTCTTAAGGACTACATCTGGCAGCGCGATGGGTTTCGCCTGGAGATCTCGAAAGACGATGGTACGCGATTTCATTGGTTTTACAACACACTGATCGGGGGCGATCCGGCTGAACTAGATTAATTAGGTCTTACCTCGTTGCGCGGGCGCACCAACTTCGGAGACTCGATTGAAGACGAATGGGTCATTGTGTATATGCTACGGGAATTGACAAAAAAGCACAAGGACATCTGGGCCTCCGTTGTGGATAGCGATGGCCAATTTCTGCTGGTCGAGGCCGCGGCTACTCTACCTGCTTGGTTGGAACCTGATATAGCAGACAATCGAGTGAGTATCTGTGTCTCATGTGATGCCAAATGTGTTTGTACTAGTATAATAATTCAATCTCAAGGTCTGGATTCACCAGGGACAACTTGTCATCATCAAACCGAAACACGCGAAAAAAGGCACGGTCACCGAGAAAATATCCCTTCCCGAATCCATGAAGATTATAAAACAAGAACCCGCGCGCCTCATGCGGTCCACCATGATCCAAGAAGAAGCATTCTACCGTTTGCGAAACTATCCTAAGCAGATCAGCGAGAACCTCCATTCGGCTCTAGTGACGATTCCGCGAAAAGTCGCCTACCTATTACACCAGAAGCCTGCCTACATCTCGGCAGCAGTAGAATCCTTCTACCTTCGGGATCCGATCGCTTTACGTCCGTTACGAACCAAGGATGCTAGCAGCTTCGTGTTTCCGCCCGAAGATCTAGTCACTGTCAGCGTACGATTCACAAGAGTTGGTTATGCGCAGCTCAAGAGCCAGGATTTTCCGGCTCCCAAGTCATGGATTCCCAAATTACCTACCAAGGACGAACAACCAGCCTATGACCGTGCAGAGATTGGCATGAAACTCTCCTGCGGGTTTGAAATGCTTCTGACCGACCCACAAAACCAAGACAAGCCACATGTGAGAGAGATTAAGCTCGTATTGGAGGATTTGGAGACAGGAGATGATAACTTGCCGACGGATGAGGAGATCAACAAATGGGAAAAGCGTGAAGATGATGAGAAATGGCTGGATATCAGCTTTGAGGACCTTGATAGGGAACTGAAAGGTAAAGAGAAAGGTGGCGCGAACAACGATGAAGGCGGCTTTGGCGATGCAAGTGCCCAAGAAAACCTCCAACGTATCGTGGCGCGCTTCGAAGAATTCCTCAATGATGACTCGGCTGGATTTGAAGGCGCTGATTTCGTTGATGATTACGGCTCCGACTCGGATAATGGCGGCGATAATGACGACGAAATGAGCAGCGAGGGTGAGGACAAGGAAGCCTCTTTTGACGAGGAGGAGTTCTCCAGGATGATGAAGGAAATGATGGGTCTGCCATCTCTGCCTGGCCTACCAGGACCCTCTAAGTCCTCAAAGCCCTCAACGTCGCGAAACAGAGTGCAAGAGCTAGGCGACGACTTAGAAGACGACACTGAACAAATTAAGCAACTGTCCAAGGAAATGGAAGCTGAATTGAAAGGCACGGGGGTTTTGAACCTGAATCGCCCCTCAGGCAAACAAGCCGTGTCGGATGAGACATCAAATGGTGCGCAGGCTGAGAGCAGCGGAAACAACGAGGATAACGAGGTGGATGAAGATATTGATATCAATCTTGCCAAAAACATACTGGAAAGCCTTCATGGTCAAGCCGGCAGTGCGGGGCCGGCGGGTAACATGATCTCGATGCTGAACTTGCAAATGCCTAAAGATGATCGCCACCGCTGACTGTGCAGCTTAGGCTGGACAAAACAGAGTCAAGCCTATCGATGTTACGTTCGTTGCAGACACTTTGATTGACGATCTATGATGCCTCCCCCATTGGTGAGACATCGAAACAGCATACTGTTCAGCATTCAGCTTTGCTTGCTGAATTACTCTCACGAACGAGTAGTAACTACCTAACCGCTACAAGCTACATCTAAAAGCCTCCATCGAATGATTCGACGCTGGGTACATCTAAGCCGCGCTGTCGAAAACGTACATTTGAGGCCTCTGCAAACCAGCTCATGGCTTTGGCGGTACTCAGTCAGCTCGAAGGCCGCCAAACTAGGATCAACCGCCATACGCAGAAATGTACTAGGGAAGGATTTATAGTGCCCTGTTGTGACGTCGCAAATTCAAAACAGCATCGACCTAATGGGAACAAAGTTGAACCCGAAGATATTGCTTCTATTGTCAAAATACCAACATCGTCTCAATCACTAAAAACTTTAAAAGAGTGAGGATTTCCAGCACAGAAATTACTATATGATAGACCAGATCATAATGCATACTCCGTACTCCAGGCCGTTTCTAGCCCCAATCATATCCCTATCGCAAAGGATCGGTCTTGGAAAGCGACATCATTTTTACTCCTCGCATTGGCAGTACCCACCAGCCCCACAAGCATATCCATTCGGATGTTTTGTTCTTAGGATCTGAGGCGAATAATCAGTGAATCAGAATCTTTAATAATCTATACCGGCTGAACTTCACTCCGCGGTTTCCACATTGAAATAGACATTAGTTCTTGGGGATTTTTCTGGCCCAAGGAAATTACCTAGGGCTTCCTTACCCCAATTTGGGGATATGACATTCCCTCAGATGCATGCGACACCACATCATGTCATTTATATATATCGTCGCAACCATAATTCTTAGGCATTATTGAGCCAGCTGTATCACATCCAGCGATCATCATGGCGCCAAAACAATGAAAGCCGTCCAAATCCAAGAATTCAACGAGCCTTATCATATCTCCGAAGTGCCCGTTCCCAGACCCAAACCACACCAGGTGCTTGTCCGCATCAAGGCCGCGGGGTTCTGCCATACAGATCTCATGGCATTGAACGGTGATTTCAGCTCAAAGTTGCCATTTATCGGTTCCCACGAGCCTGCCGGAATTATCGAGGGGATTGGGTCCCAGGTAACAGGGTTTACGGAGGGTGATAGAGTCGGATGTATCAATTTCGATACCGTTTGTGGTGAGTATTTGATCCTTAAATATGAGGGAAAATACTAATTGCCTTCTTGTAGGAAATTGTCCAGACTGCAAAGCAGGTTTTCCGATTTATTGCGATAGTCCGCCAATGAAGTGACTGACTGCTGACGGTGGCTGGGCAGAGTACATGGCTGCGTAAGTGAAGTCATTCTAAATGTCTCTTCTATCTGACCTAATTTGTGTCTATAGAGATGCTCGCTTCCTTGTCAAGCTCCCAGATGATATGGAGTTCAAGATTGCAGCTCCCTTGATGTGCGCAGGTATTAGTATCTATGGAGGGATCGTCCGAGCAGGCGTACACAAGGGAGGATCCATTGGGATTGTGGGGGTCGGTGGTCTCGGTCATATTGGTGCATAGGTGGCCAAATGCATGGTAAAACAGTTGTATATCCCTAAGCGATCTACATTCATCCGTTGACAAACCGGGACAGGGCTACAAAGTAGCAGCCATCGATGTAAAGCAGCCCGCTTTGGATGCAGTCGTATCTTATGCACACAGCCCTGATATTTCGATTCTGGCAACGGATCCTGTTGAAAAGTCACTGGACAAAATCAACACGGTGGTTTCCTCGGCTTATCCTGGCCTGGACGCAACCGTGCTTATCACGGATCATTCGTCGGCATTTGAGCTGGCAGCAGCCCTCACGCGCAAGCATGGCACCATGGTGCCTTTGGGTCAGCCTGAAAAGGGCATCACAATGTCTTATTCGACCACGATCTACAAGGACATCAAGCTGGTTGGGTCCTTAGTTGCCGACACGGCAGAGGCCCAGGAGCTGGTCACGCTCTTCCACCAAAACAAACTGCACGTCGAGGTCAAGGAATGTAGGCTGGAGGAAGCGGAACAGATGAAGCAGGAATATCTTTCAGGAATTTTGACGGGAAAGAATGTTGTTGTACTGGGGTAAATCTAGAAGTCTAGAGATGAGACGAGCAGATGGCGAATACGTCATGACTAAGACGCGGATTTCCCCGATCACGTGGCGAGTGAGGTAATCCGCAGCGCCTGCTCCTCTTCCTTGCTGCCTTCTTTCTCTCTCTTGATCTCCCCCTCTTCTTCCCCCGCTGCACCGCTGGTTTGGTTGGCTTCCCTTGGTTTAAACTGACTCCGTGGCTTCGGGTCTGCTCCAAGTAGTGACATCGCGGGCATTTTGCGCATGACAATCAGCTACAGCATCGGTCCAGTGACCCCCGTCAAATCCACTTGCTTTGTACAATCAACAGGGATCCTTTTGACCCGCCGTTCCCGCGTTTAGACAGTCTAAAGAATCAGAGGGGTAATCCGTTTCCTCTGCATCGCTCGGCTCTGTGACTGAACAACAACTCGGAGTCCTTGACAGTTCTTCGCTTATCCCAATACGCAACGTTAAAGGAAAGAATAACATGGCAAGCCCGGCCCAGTGCTACTTCTGTTTCGAAAGCCTCGCGGCGGCCTACGAAGATCAAGATCCTGTTAGCCTAGAGGTGGTAGAAGAGCTGTGGGAGCGACACGAGCAGTACAAGAGACTCGCCGCTCTCGAGGACAATGACGAGTCGGTTTCTCTGAGGGAGGAGGGCGACCAGCAGAATGTAGATGAAGAAACCGGCGATGATGACGATGCAGGCTCTCGGTCTAGGAAGAACCCACCCCAGAAGATCAAGCTACCCAGCGTGACGCGGCTGCAAAGTGACTCGAGTCGGTCGACCACGCCGTCCAGTGCATCGAACAATTCTTCCCGTTCCGTCCTGTCCAGCTCTACAAATGTAACCACGCCGGGTTCGCAGTCTACGCAGACGTCTCCAAAAGAACGGCGATACCCGTTGTTCGTGACTTGGAATACGTTGTCGAAGAGTGGTCGGAAGTCCCTCCGTGGGTGTATTGGTACATTCGAGGCGCAGGAACTTGCTGCGGGTCTGAAGTCCTACGCCCTTACTTCGTATGTATCCCTGTTATCCAGGAGCAGAGTTCACGCCCCACAGCCAGTCGCAAAAGGTTGGGTCCAGTTCCTATATCCAGATGCTAACGAACCGGCAGCGCATTCGATGACACTCGGTTTTCCCCAATTCCTGCATCTCTTCTTCCTTCCCTATCCTGTTCCTTAACCCTTCTAGGCACCTTCGAACCGTGCACCAACGCCCTGGACTGGGTTCTCGGCGTCCACGGGATCCGTATCTCTTTCATCCACCGCGGTCGACGCTACGGCGCAACCTACCTCCCCGACGTTCCCGTTGAGCAAGGCTGGACCAAAGAGCAGACCGTCAAGAGCCTCATGGACAAAGCTGGATGGTCGGGCTCCCCCGAAAGCACCGCCCGGAGGCTCCTCCGCGGCAGCAACATCTCCAGCAGCAACTCGAGCGCCAACAAGCCCTGGGAGCAGGTCTCTGACTTCCGAGCGGTCAAGTATCAGGGTCTCAAGGCGGCCGCCACCTACGCCGAGTGGCAAGAGTGGCGGGAGTGGGTTCTGTCTCTGGCAGATGGAAGCGAAAAGCTCCTCAATCCGCCCGTATAAGACTGCATGCGTGCACTTGCTGGTCATTTGTCTGTTTGCTATCGACCACGGGCATTTACACCTGTTCGCAGGTTTTTCACATTGTATAGATGGTGGTTTCGTTTAGCCCGGTGCCTTCGTAACCTCCAACGCGTATTTGATTTCTGGATGGCTCAGTTTATCCCAATAACGATGTGATTGATGGGGTCAACGAGAAGGCTGGCGTATTTTATCTTTTGTTATCATCTTCGGAGTCCAGTTCTCTCGGTCTGTATCATGCCACAACTTTCATCTAGCAGCTGTGGAATGAAGTTCTCAATTTTTTAAGCGTCTTAATAATATGTTAGGGTACAGGGTAAGGAATATGTATATCTTCGGGAGAGCAATTCTTAGCAGCACAATGAACGTTTGTTCAAAGAAAATCTTCATAAATCATTCCTATGCGTTGATATTTATACCGCTAACACAACCTATGTACACCATTCCAACCCAACCAATCAATCTTACCCACCCAAACCTGATAACCCTCGACCAACCACAATGTATACTACTCGAGATAGATAGATCAATAGACAAGTAGAAAGCTCATCTACTCATCTGCAGCACTCATTTCTTCACGGCAGACCGACTCCACAGCCCCGCGACGGTCTCCTTGACCCGTCTTTCCTGCGCCCGGATCTGCTCCTCCGTCTGACCACGCGCGTTCCCCCGGCTATCGATCTCCATGTTACCGTCGTGGCCGAGCGCCCGGCCCCCGCGCGCCGGCGGTTGCTGCGGCTCCTCCTCGATGATCTCGTTGCCGTTGACGTGCTCAGGCTTAGGATCGACGCTCATCATACCGTCCATCATTAGGCCGCCGCCCTCGCGCAGCTTGTTGATGGCGCGCACGGTGTCGATGGCCTTGTGCAGGGTGCGGCGTGCGTTGAAGTTCTTCTTGACCGTCGGCAGCAGGTCCTCGCCTGTACCGGCCTGGTCGGCCGTCGCGCCGTACGGCGGGTTCACCCAGACGTGCTGCAGGGCTTCGTGCGCGGTCATCCGCGCGTCCGGATCGACGGTGAGACAGCGCTTGATGAAGTCGCGGGCATTCTGCGATACGCCGCGCCAGTACTCCAGTGGCGTGAACGAGTAGTCGGCTGCAAGGATGGCCTGCATCTCTTCCAGGTTGGAGTCGCGGTCGAACGGCGTGTAGCCGCACAGGAGGAAGTAGGTGATAACGCCGATGGCCCAGATGTCTCTGCGTGATGGTATGTGGGTTAGATCCTGATGCTAACCATATTCTTCGATGGGGTGGAGACGATGGGGAGACGTACACTGGCTTTCCATGACCGCTCTTCTTGAAGATCTCCGGCGCCATATACCCCGGCGTACCGCAGGTTGTCGTGAGGACGTGGAACTGCTCCTCGTCCATGATGCGGGACAGCCCGAAATCAGCAATCAAGAGATCGGCGTTATCCTCCGGCGTGCGGAATAGCAGGTTCTCCGGCTTCAGGTCACGGTGCACGATGCCATGATCGTGCAGGTAGGCGACAGCCGACAGGATGGCGCGGATGAGATCCGCGGCGTCGGACTCAAAGTAGCTGCCTTTACGGCAGATGCGATCGAAGAGCTCTCCGCCCAGAGCGAGATCAGTAACGAGATATACTATCGAGACACGCAGCAATCGTCAGCATCCTTTTTCCGCCAGCAGATAAACCAACACAACAACGCCCATCCAGCAAACCGGCAGGACAGCAGGACATACAGTTATTCATCGTCTCGAAGTAATCTACCAAGGTCAGAATATTCTGATGACCCATCGACACCCGTTTCAAGATCGCGATCTCATTTCGAACCTATGACCACCACACCGAAGCCATTAGCCTCCACGCTGGGATAGCAGTCATGAAGATCGTAAATACCATGTGTTCCCGCCCCGCCATCAGCCGTTTGTTGATGACCTTAGCGGCATAGTAATGGCCGGTGTCGATGTGCACGCATTCCTTCACGACGGAATAGGAGCCGGCTCCTAGTGTCTTTCCGGTCTTGTATCGGCAGGGTTGGACCTTCGGTCGCTGGGCGGATTGCGCTTGGGACGCCATTTACGGAGGTGGACTGATGCCGAAGAAATCGGCAGATCTGCGATGGAAAAAGACTTGGTGTTAGAGATATGCGATGACATTTGGGGGTTTCTAGAGATAGTCACGAACGGAATAAGAAATAAAGTATCTGTATAATTTGCGAGAGGGTGGGCGCTCGCAATAGCGGCTGTTGATAATGCGGCGAAAAACGGGATGCGGGGTTGTCGGTGGGTGGTGGCTCTAGAATGGAGTATAGGTCTATAGGTGAGGGGTGAGGAAGAGAAGGGAGTAGCAGAACCAGGAGAGGGAGAGAGAAAGGAAAATGGAGGGAGGAAAGAGAAGGCAAGACAGCGACTAGGAGGACGAAGAGGGAGAGGAGAAGACGAAGGTGGTCTGGTCTGCGGTGGGTTTCACTTGCGCCCGAGGTGATTGGAGGCCTCAGGCGCGGAGATCTACTTCCATCGACACTGGCGACAGTCACTCAGATAATGTGATGATAATAATCAAAGCTTGTATTTATACTGGGATATAGAGCGCCCCAAAAACGCCCTTCGCCCGATGAGAATCCTAACAATACCTAATGCTGACAATAATCACAAACCATGAATGAGTACATACATTTACATGCGCCTAAGAACCTCCTCCACCACTCCCTGCAGTAATTTCAATCCGTGGAACTTCGCAGCGCTCTCCAACACGCGCAGTTTCTTTTCCATCTCCGCCCGGTCCATCGTGGCCACCCAGCTGCCGCTGCACGAGCAATGCTCCATGAAGTCGCTGACTTTCAGGCCCTTGCATTTCGAGCACTTGAGATCCTGCGTGTGCCACGCGACTATCATCCCCTGAACCTGACCGATCAGAATCTCCTCCTGCGCCAGTCGATCATATTCGGTCTGGCAGAAGGGGCAGCGCCAGGGCTTCGTGGCCGCCTTGCTCGGGTCGGATCCGGGGTCTGGAAGGACGTCTTCGTCGCGGCAAAGGTCAAGATCGCGGATCAGGCAGCAAGCACCGCAGGTGAGCTCCGGGAGTTTGAGACTGGCGGCCGGGTTCTCGAATCGGCCTTCTTTGCTAAATTCGCGCACCTCGAACAGGGCGAGAAGCTCTCGACGCAGAAGACGCGTTTCGAGGGTAGTGGTCTTGGACAGACTTAGAATCTGCATCAGGAGCTTGACCAGCTCCAACACAGGGTTGCGCTTCTCGTCGTTGGGGTCTGACAGAACCCCAGGAAGCATAGGGAATGCATAGTCAGACGCGAGTTCCGGGTGAAGCATTTCTTCACGCTGACGGCGAATAAGACCCGAAATTTGCTTCTTCATCGGCTTCGAGAATTTCTCGGCAAGGACAGCCGAAACTTCCTCACTGTCCTCATCGGTCGGGCGTGTAAGGGGAATCTGCGTTGGCCGAGGCGCGGAAGAGTTGTCGTTCTCTGGATGTTTGATGCCATGCATCAAGTCGATATACTCTACCACCCAATCATTGAAGATGGACTGCATTGGGGCTGGCAGGAAGCGACTGAGTTGCCAATGCATGACGGTTTCGAGCTCCTGCTCGTCCGCTCCGGTAACCTCCCGGCATCCCTTTCCACCGTAATTGTATTCATCATACCAGACAAGGTAGTCCCAGTACTCTTTAATCTCCAAGTCGATGAAGTGGAATGACGGATTTGCCCGAATGGATTTGAGCACGTACTGACTATACGCATAGGCATTACCGACCTCCGTTTTGGTCGTCTGAAGCAAAAGGCGGGTGGAGCTGGCGAACACAATATTCGAACCAACACGCCGGAATTCCACCATAAGTCGCTGGAAAGATTTGCGGGACAGCATTCGCACGTAGTGGTGCAGAGACCGATCGTAAAGACACGAAATTGGACTCTCGACCCATCGGATCAGATGCTGCACCATGATGTCGGCCATCGTGTTCCCCTCGCACGCCTCGGTCCACCAATGTTTGACCATCTCTCGTAAGACAACAGCACCAGCTGAGGTAAATGCCTTTTCGGAGTATAGAACGCCTGCGCCGTTAGTATCGGCGGGTGCATCAGAGCCCGCTAACAGCGTATCGGCTCCTTCCATTTCGCTGATGATGGAGGAAGTCAAGATCGTGTTGATTGACAAATTGCGCACTTCCAATTCAATACACACCGTGTCGTAAGCGCATGGGACATTGACGGACGGCATAGAGACCTTCTCCAATGGACCAGTGATGTCATCCTTCTCGTATCCTGCATGATCGGGTCTTGGACTTGGAGACCACCACAGAATAACATTGTTCTGCTGCAGTCGCCGGGCGTATGAGATATCGATGAGATACCGGGGATCATCACTCTCCAGATTGCAGAGAGGGACATCACCGTACCTGGCGAGCAGGGTCAAATGCTGAATCCAAGCAGAGAGATACAGGTAATGCGTGACCAGTCTCCTAGCTATGAAAGATTGCCAGCCCAACGGAGGAAGATCCATATCCGATACCTCAGGCTTCACAGGAAGAACAGGATAATCTTTGAGAATGGGGATATCGTGGCACAATCGGTTTCTCTGCTGCGATTGAATAACCAAAATAGATGGCTGGGTTTCATCGCTCTTGAGTTTTTTGACCAAGTCGCCGACTTCTAGATACGCCTTTCTTTTGGTCGTAACCTGGGTCGTCCTGAAGTGGATCTTGTCCTGGTATTCAAATGCCGCCTGAGCTTGATCCCCTTCCGTGTTCTGCTTCCTGCGCATTAACAGTTCCGAGTAGATCTTGTCCACATTGGGAAGTCCTTGGACATCTCTCGTCCGATTGAGAATGACGATATGCGCCTCGCTCTTGGCGGTGGAAAAGAGAGCAAAGATCTGTCTGTCTCCTGAGGTCACATGGTACAAGTAATGATAAACCAACGGCGTGTTCAGAAGATATGGTTGCTCGGAGGGGGTACGGCACAGCGTCGAAAGGTCGAATCCGCGGTCTAATCCTTCTCCAAGGACACCGCGCTGTTCTTCATCGAAAGTGCAAATGCTTCCGAGTTTCAGGACGGCGCGTACACTTAGCGGGATACCCTTTTCGTAAACACCCTCAACACTGGGATGTTGCAAAAGCAGGTCAATCTTGTCGGCCTCATGTATAAAGGTCTCCTCAGATAGTGTCAATCTGAACAGATGCACAGAAGGGTGTCCATTGGGTAATGTGTGGTTGACTTTCTCGACTTCGCAATCAGGGACGTCGACATCCGGAAGCGAGTCCTGCTTCAAATTGACATAGATCTGTCGGGGGACCTTGACGGTCAAGGCATGAACTTTTCGGTCGATCAGGACGAAAGCTCGCACAATGCCGGGTCTTGATGTTTCCGCCAGCTGGAGCACTTGCCATGTACTGATATAGAGCAATTCAGCTTGGTTTCTGAACAGGTGGCTCAATGCATCTGTGCCAGTATTGGCTCGTTCACCAAAGAGCTGACGACGACGAACACGGGCTTGCTTTTGAATCTTCCATTTCTGCTTTTGGTATCTCAAGAACCCGACATAATCATCCTCCATCGGTGGCATCTTTGCCGGGAGACTGGCGAAAGGATCAAGAGAGGTTTTCGTGTGACCCTCAGGAAGCTTTCTCTTCTGAGAAACCTTGTTGTTGGGTGATGACTTGGACTTTTGTGTCGAGTTTGCAATCGCCTCATCCATGTCACCTGGGTGCTGGACGCGGTGGTCAAGGATATTTGTCGAAATGTCCGAGAGCGGGTTCTTTTCGGACTTAACGAATAGATCGGTCATCTTTGTCTGCTTGAACCTGTCATCTTTCATGTTGATCCGGCGCTGAAGCCAGTCTGGATGAGCCACTCTCGGAACAGGGTTGCTGATCTTTTGGAGTGCAGCTGGAATCGTAATGAGCTTCTGCACCACAGAGCCCAGACGTTCAAGATAGTAGTCCCAGTCAATCACGCTTCGAGGGTCCATATCCCCAGGATCCTCCTTCAGCCACTTTCTCAAGAAATAGCGCTTCACATTTTCCTCGGCTGAAAATATGGTGACGGGTATAGCACGCTCAGTGACAGGTGTGTTACGAGGCCTCGAAGATATGATATACTTGCAGTTCAAGCCCTTATCCTTGACCATTTGCTCTCCCAAGAACTCCGCCAAACGTCGCGCAGTTGTGATGGAAGTTGACTTTTGGTTGCCATATTCCTCCAGGGTTTTCGTCATACTCCTGTTTTCCGAAATCAGATCGATGAGCTCCTCATCGGCCAAGGTCGATCCGTGCTCGTAAAGCACATCCAGCCATCGATCTGCTACCCGGGCCACGGCCCGGTATGTTTCCTCGAGAGTCTGCCCTTCTAAGAAGAATTTGAAGATCTGAGTTTGAAAAATCTTGATCAATTTCAACTCTCCTCGTCGTTTGACTTCGAATCCCTTCAATTCAGCAAGAGAGCCATCATGGTTGAATACGGCATAACGTTTCTTCAAATTCTTGTCCTCCTCCTTGGAAGTGGGTAGGATCATTGCCCTATAAGGCCCGTCAACTTCGAAGAAGATGGAGTTGTCGCTGTGCGTCTCGTAACGGAACGTTTTCGGGTCAACAAGAGTCTGGTATTGGTGGTTGGTATAGCTTCCGTGGACGAGGTGGTTCAACATGACACAGGGATACGAGATGCCCAATTTCTTTCCATTTTTGAGGGTGAACGAAAAGTTCTCGGGGAAGTTGCCTGGAAGCATACACCAAATTCCATCTGTGTCGAGTTCCAGTGGTCGTCCGATACGTTCAACGAGTTCTCGGGCCATTTGGATAATCCGAGCACCTGTTAAGCATGTCACACCGGCCATCTCCAAAGAGTACCATCGGGAACCCTTTCTCATGACGTAACCGTAGAAACTGTTCAGAATAACCTTGTGTGCAAGTTGGAGAGAGTCAAAGAGAATGATCATCTTCTTCGCTTCGTCCACCTCGGAGGTGGGAGCACCAGATGATTTAAGCGAGTCAGCTTTGCCCTTCCACACTTTTTGTTTGCCTTTGAAATCGTATCGTCGGTCTCGAAAGTTGCGAACGGTGTCGACATAGAACGGGTTCTCGCGCTGACAGATGATCGCCTCTCGCACCAGTGTCTTGCTGTCATGGATCTTGTGGTAAATCTTCTTGCTGTAATCTTGCAATCTTTTCTTCACGATTGCGGCCTGCTCTTCGATGCTCATTTCGCTGAAAAGTCGCATTGGGCTGTTCTTGTTCCTGCCTGGGAACCGCTCATTTGCAACTGCCTGCCGAATCATGTTGTACTCGTCACGCTTGGCTGGCAGGAATTCACCTCGCCATGCCCACGGCATTCGTCTATCACAAGTCTTTCCGGGTCGGTTGAAATCACAGGCGGCGCAATTTGATTCTTGGATCATGGAATCTGGTTGAAGTCGGTTTGTAACCATGATATTCGGATACATGGAAGCAACATCCAAATGGTAAATGAACGGCACTTCGTCTCGGACCGGGTTTTCTCGCAAATTAATCAAGCGCTCTGTAATTTGGCCCTTTACCTCGTCATAGTTGACGATGTCGTCCATCGACTTTTTCTCTTCTACTTCGATACTGAATTTCAAAGCTGCGTCGAGGTCGCGGAGAAGTTCGTCGACAGCCGTAGGGTCAACGCTAAAGCTGACGGGGATGTCGCTTCGGAATACGCCAGCCTCAAGACTCTCGACGTGACCACCCACATAAGTCTCTGACTCAAGTAGATGGCCTTCGTAGAAAGACTCCGGGCTATCCTTGTGTTTGTTCGGCAGAATGATTTCGCCCTTGTAGGCTTGCACCATGAGAAGCATCTCACAAAGCGTTCCAGTTCCCTTGCGTAGCGTGTCGTCAGGGTTGAGAGGAATAATTGTGCATAGAGAAAAGATGAACGGGTGGACGTATTTCATGTATAGGTAATATGTGGCCACGGCATCGGAGACTGAGTATTCGGCCAGAGTCTGCGGGCGTTCACTTGCATAGGGCGTCATCAATTCCGGGTCAAGCTCATCGGGATCATACCCAAGTTTAGCAACGGTGACAGCTTTCAAGCCACGACTGCCTTGGGGGAGGTAACTGTCACGGTTGACCCAAGCAAAACAATCCATGTGTACGCAGTTGTCACTCTGGTAGATGTCCTCGCTATTCTTGCGAAAGCCAATTTCCATGTACATGTCGATTCCCAATACACTGGCTCTTGCTTCAACAAACGGCCAATCGAAGAAGTCACCGTTGTAGGTCGCAATAACCGTTGGCTTGGCAATTTTGATGTGTTCGAAGAACCGCTCAAGGACGCCGCGCTCATCAGGTTCATTAAAAATTATGAAGGGTCCGCTGTACTCCGGCTTGGGCGTGTACTCGAAGTCGTTGATGTCCTCAGATACGATCTCGCGGTTGGTGATGAGAAACCCTTGGCCATCGATCATGTAAGAAATCATCATGACCTGATCAATGACGGAATCGGGAAATTTCAAAGGTAGTTTCGTTGTCTCAATATCGAAAGCGAGCACAACCGGATCAGCTCGCTGTAATCGCTCCTCAATGCAATTCAATGATATGACGCCATGTTTTGCCTCCACCGTGTACCATTTTCCTATTCGGATATCTAGAGACAACATGGTTAGCCACGAACGACGCATTCATAAGCAACAAGCATACCTTTATCAATCGCCACTCGAACATGGTAAGGAACATCGTATTCTCGAATATCAATTATAAAATCACTCGCTTGCGTATTTCCATTAGATCGTGCCTCATTAATTAGTTCGTCATCAAAGAGATCAAAGCCAACGTTGGCGCTGTTATCGTTCAATTAACACATCGACCCCGAATGGAAGATATAGGCAAGACCGAACAAACCTTGAAACCTCCACGTAAGTATCCATCACATTCACGTTCTTCTTATTCTTCTCCGCCAAAGGAAGAAGCGTCTTTCGCACATCCAACAAATGGCTGACATTCGAAAAGTTCAGCTGAAGGAAGGTTCTTCGGTGTCCCAGCAAATGATTCGGCAATTTGAGATCCTCTCTCTCGACTCGCGAGATCTTCTTGATCTCTCCCTCGAACATGCGGCGACACCATTCCTCCACCTCCATCTCATGTCCTTTTTTGACCGCAATGAGGAAATAAGGATCGTACTCGACGGTCGCCTTGAAACTTCCTCCATCGTCCTCCAGGAAATAGTAGTCCACACCGGCGCGGCCCCCGGGGACATTCGAGTCCTCTATTGAGGTGCTGTGCATGTTGATGAGCCATCCCACGCGCTTTTCGCCGGCTTCGAAGCGCGGGAAGCCCAGGGACTCGTCGATGCTGTTCGCCAGCCGGATCGCCTCGAATTTCTCATCCTGCGAGGTGGCTTCCGTCGACCGGAGGGAGGAGAACTCGACTGTTTTTGTTCGTTTCGGATTGAAGGACGCAGCACCGGACCGGAACTTGTTCCCGTACTTGCTAGGCTTTCTGACAGGCATTGCGACGACATACGCCCACCGGCCGGGGAGCTAAAGATCACTGCAAGACGACAGGAAGGACCTAGTTCAGCATGAGACGCGGGGGGAGGTGTATGTATTATTGCAGAACCGCGCTGGGCATAACTGGGTGAATTTCAAGGCTGTCTGGGGTGCAAGAATGGGGGGGATGGGCAAATTGGCGAGTCAATGGTAGTCCAGACAATTGGCGCTGTACATACCCAAAAGCCTGCTGAGAAACCCGGGTTGCGGGTGTCGCCGACGCGTTCGCGTTTCCACTATACGCGTGCCCTGTTCGGGTCTAGTCTGCGTATATCGGAAAAACTGCCCGTTCCTGACGCCAGCGGATATGGTCATGTGATCAAAAAGTACAAACAACCACCAATTTCACATGACTTTTTAGGCAGCTCAGCAGCTGTCACAGGCGGGGTATTTATTGCCGAAGGTAGGTAACTGCCGTTATAATGTACAATTTCCCTCCTATCACTTTTTGTTGTAACTATGAGTTCTCCTATCGACAGTTATCTTACAAGTGCTTTGAACGACGCCAGAAAGGATAATTCCGGAGAGCTTGCCAGCTATATCGATGTCTTGGCTACAGCGGACGACTCCAAATTGGCTGCGGCGCTGGCGACCGTAGACGGGAACCTATACTCCGTCGGGGATGTCAATCATGAATTCTCTATACAGTCCATTTCCAAAGCCTTCGTTTATGCTCTGGCCATTAAGGATGCCAACCTGTCACATGTCTTGAGTAAGATTGGGGTTGAACCATCCGGCGACTCATTTAACAAGTTGTCGTTACAACCTGGCACCAACCGGCCAATGAACCCCATGATCAATGCCGGTGCGATTGCCGCCCACACACTAGTCAGTGGGAATTCCATGGAGAAGAGAGTGGATCGCATATTGGGGGAATTGTCCAGATTGGCAGGCCGGGAGTTGCAAGTGGATGAAGAAGTCTACCAGGCCGAGCTCAAGGATGCCAATCGAAACATGGCAATCGGCTACATGCTCAAGGCAGCAGGAATCATTTCATGCGATCCCCAGGAGGCCGTGAGCGGCTATATTCGCCAATGTTCTATCAAAGTCAATGTGCGCGACCTGGCTATGATGGCAGCGACTCTGGCCAATCGCGGCATACGTCCCGATACCAAAGAGGAGATCATGCCATATGAAAGCGCCCGCCAGGTGCTGTCCGTCATGACCACCTGTGGCATGTACGATGCTACGGGTGACTGGATCTCTAGAGTCGGCATACCCGCAAAGAGTGGCGTATCCGGCGGTATCATTGGCACTCTTCCCGGTCAAGTCGGCATTGCCGTCTTCTCCCCTAGACTGGACCATCGTGGCAACAGTGTCCGAGGTCTCAGGATATTTGAGTATCTCTCATCCACGATGGACCTACACATGATGGATATCATCCAGGTTGCCAGAGCCAGCTTGCATACAAGCAAAGTGAACTCTGAGGGCGGCGCCATGCAAGACGTGCGCATCTTCAGTCTGCGAAGTGCAGTCCGTTTTGTGGGCTCTGAACGCCTTACACGTGCTATTATGAGCGAATTGAACCCGAGCCCTGTTGTCCCCGGTTTTGGACAGCACACAAACGCTTGTGCCATTATCCTCTCGTTTCAAGATGCTTATTCCCTCAACGCAATCGCGCACCAAATTATTAGTGACAATATACGCCTTCTTCTTGAGAATAAGAAGAATTTTGTGGTGATAGATCCTGGCAAGGTCCTAAAGATTGAGGGGAACCCTGCGTTTATCTCGAAATCTCCTGTTGTGGTCGAAAGTCAAGACGAGGCGTTTGGAAAAATTTGGGGTGAGAGCCACAAGGTTGTTGCTGGACACTAGGCGCTACCATATAGAGGAGGGTCAAATGCTTAGACTTATGAATAATGGCTAGGTTAATGTTCCTGTTGTCGCCCGTTAGCCTTTACCCACTGACGCCCAATAAGATGTCCTAGCAACGTGAGGTCAGGCATAAAGGTAAATCAGGGTGGGGATTCGCTCTATTAGGACCACTACCGTAGTCTACCTATCTTAATTGGCTCTGCATAGCATCAGGAATGCCTACACGGAGCAGTAACCGGCCATGAGGTACCAAAGAAGCATCATGGGAGTTCCTGCCCCAGTCAGAGAATAACTGGTTTTGTATGTATGGTAATGTTTGAATATAGGTAGTTGCCCCTATCAAAAGCGTGAGTCACTACATTAAAACCGATAAAGTGAGAAACAAATTTATAAGCTAGTTTGTGGTGGTTTTAGATCCAAGTTATCGCCTATATTTCGACCGCAAGAAGTGATTGAAGTTGTTACGGCTTGCTTTTGGTACTTTCGCGAGGTCGAGATTTCAGGAGGTCTGGTCGGCCCCTCGGAACACATAATAATCCGGCTCTGTTGCACCGTTTAGTTTCCCGCAAAGAGTCTGCCCGCCGGAGCAAAGCATACAAGTACAGTTCGATCTACGCGAAAACAGAATATCAAGAACAATTGACACCATGGCCGAAGACACGCGGGACTCGATGACCTCCGGACCCGGTCCAACCCCGAACGGAGAAACCACCAACATCGAAGATTCGCAACGCCCCAAACCGAAGTATGAGGCCAAATCGCAAGTCGGCAAGCTATGGGATGCGTTCGGGAACCCCGAGGAACCCGTGAACATGCTGCCCGGGGCAGGCTCTAAAGGCGGGAAGGGTTCAGATGCTACAGTCACCGATGCTATGAAGTCAATGTCTCTGAAAGACGCTACGTCATTCTATAAAGCGCCGTGCGCACGCGATTCGTTACTGCTGGGAATTGGAGCTGGGTTCGGTATTGGTGGGGTGAGGGGAGTATTAGGAGGTAAGGAGAGTCCTTATGTGTTGACTGCGTTGCCTCGAAGTTACTCGGTTGCTAATGCGAGGCGATTGCTCTAGGAATGCGCGCCATGTGGACAGCCTGTAATTGGGCTGTCGGAGCATTTGCTCTCACTTCCCTCGCGGCCCACGAGTTCTGCCAGCGCCGCCGGGTCCAGGAATTGGATGGAATGAAACAAGCCGTGGAGCTGATGAAGGAATTGAAGGAGAAGAAACAACGAGAGAAGGAGCAGAAGATCGAGCAAGCCGCACGGTTAGCGGAGGAAGAAAAGCAACGGAAGAGCTGGACCAATCTCTCAAATTACAAGTTCTGGTAGAACTTTTGCGCATCGCAAGGAGTCATGGAGTTCTACTGGGGTCTCATTATATCTGTCGCATGGCATGTAAAGTACATATTTCTATTTGGAGGGACTCCAGTCTGATTAAGCTTGTATAACCGAGTTTGTAAAACAATCGTCATCGCGTCATCATGCTCGCATGTCAATACCGGAAACGCCGCTTTCTAAACCATGCAAACTCCGTTGAATCGTGTATTTCCCCGATGTTAAACATCAAAATGCAAAAGGGGAACAGAGTACATTAATGGAAGGTGGAGAAGTAACAAAGGGAAAGAAAGAAAGAACAAAAGAAGATGAAACAGGAGGGAAATGGAAAAGACGAGATACCCCCCGGTTGAAAGATATCGATAAGCCATTAAACATCAAACTTGACCTTCTTCTGGATGGCACCCTTTTGAATAGTGCGCATTTTGTCAAGTTCGATGCCCTCTCGTTTCTCCCTTCGCCTTTCCCGTGCCTCGCGTGCCTCGCGACTCCTCCAATCGGCGACTTGTTTCTGCCTTCTCTGCGATCTGTTCCAAGCCATTGATGCCGTTGGCTTAAAGCCAAGGCCATTTATCCCATATCCATCGTCACTTGGGTCGGTGGGATTATGCCCGGTGATTTCAGAATCCTGCCATGTGAGAGGGTTTTTAGGCGCGCTGTGAGGGGGCGGTGGAGATCGTCTTTGACTGCGAGGTTTCGCAGCTGCCAACGGATTTCGTTTCTTGCGAGGGCTCGCAGACACAGATTTCTTCGGCGATCTGTTTGGTATAGTAGGATTTGCATTCGGGGTATTATCATCGTGGTGACGGTCATTGTGATCATTCTCGACCGTCGCCGCCGACAGCCCACCGGCCCAATCTTGACTGGGTGGTGCAGGATTGGACGCTGCCATCCCACGATAGTCGAGATCGGGCCAGGATGTATGCAGGGGCTGGGCCATTGGTGTTTGGTCGAAGCGGCCATGCGTAAATTGCGGTGTGGATAGAGGATCCGCTCGTATGGCCAATTCGCCTAGGCGACCAGCGACGGCGGCACGGGGACTATATCTCCCCAGATCCTCCTCCTCTCGAAGCCTGGCTTCTGGAAGACTGTGAATGGAGACATTTGAGGGAGAAGAAACGGATGCATTGTAGATGTCGGAATCTTCAGATGACGCTCGTTGACGTTGAGGTGAGCTGAACGTCATCGTTGGCACACTCGTGGGCATCATTGCGCGGGGCTAGCGGGGGCATGACATGGATAGCATTCGCTGGGTGTAGATAACGTCAAGACTGACTTGAAAAGGCTTTTAGTATTCGCCCTTGCAATAATAAGAAGCCATTATGATGACTGAGGGACTGCGGAGAACATGGGGAAAGGGCTCAGACCACCGAGCGGACTGGAAGTTGAAGGGGGGAAGAAGCACGCGGTTGGTTCATTCTTCAACGTTGAGGGGTTTGCGCCTTTGCGGCACTTCTTCTCCGCCCGTCCTTTTCTTTTTCCCCCCTTGGCCGCCCTGCGGTTCTGCACCCCCTTACATACTACTGTACAGTATCTTGTAGGTAGAAGAAGTTTGAACAAGCGAAAGCCGAATGACATTTTGAAAAGATTCTAGGAAAATAAAAGAGCTACAGACAAATTTTAGCACGACACAGGCCTCAATCGAATAATTTACAAATACCCAGCCCGTCAGGTCGTGAAAAGGAAAAGCACAAGAACATAGATGGCAACAAATCAAATCAAAATCAGCCCTACAACGCCGCGACAATGACGCCCTCATGTCCCAGGGAATGGTGCATTTAGACCTTCTTCTTCTTCTTGGACGGCTCGGCGTCGGTGTCGTGCTTCCGCTTCTTCTTCTCGGAGGAGTCCTCGCCGGCGTCCGACTTGCGCTTCTTCTTCTTCTCGTCCTTGTCGCTCTTCTTCTCCTTCTTTTCCTTCTTCTCCTTCTTCTCCTTCTTGTCCTTCTTCTCCTTCTTCTCCTTCTTCTCCTCCTTGCTCTCAGCATCGGCATCCTCCATCTCCTCGTCGCTCTGGTCGGCCTCGACGTCGATATCGGCCAGAAGAGCATCCATGGCATCCTTCTATGAGGGGATTAGCATTGAACAAGTTTTTTTTCTAGGGTTATTCGAGAAAAGAATCAACATACCATGGCGACCTCGTTCTTAGTAGGAGCAGCACCGGTGGCGTAGAAGTCCAGACGCTCCTCGACCTGCTTCTTCAAGGCCTCACCAAACTTAGTCGTAGGCTGCTCGGAGAAGTTATCCAGTCTCGAGGCGATCGAGCACTTGTTGGCAAGGAAACGGGAGATACGGCCCTTGTTCTTGGGTCCGGCGCGGCCGATGAAAGAGGAGTGGTACAGCAATCCGTACTTGGGCGTGTTACCCTTGGTCTTCAGGGCTCGGAAAAGGGCCTTCTCGGCACCGAGAATCTGCACGGTAGAGGCGGGGTACTTGGACAGGTTGGTCAAACTACCGGCGTGCGAAATCAGACGAGCACCGACAATTTCTCCGATCAGCGCGGCCAGGTTAGGCGCAACGACGCTCATCTTAGAGACCAGGTAGCTGTGGAGAGATTTGCGGTACTGGGCCAGGCTGACGACTCTCTGGGCGAAAGAAATGACGTTCTCCATGTCGGTCTCCGAGATATCCTGACCCATACTGTGCTTGGCAGCGTCGATGATGCTCTGGGCAACACCCTCGTCATCCTCCACCAGGGCGGCCAGATCGTGCAGCTTGTCGTCATCGAGTTCCTTCTTGTCCTTGACGAGCAGAGCAATTTGGGCGTAGCGCTGGTTGTCCGAAACAATCTTGATCAGTTCGGGGAAGTGCCATGAGTACCATTCGCGGACTCTCATGGAGAAAGTGTTGATAGCCTTGTCAAGCGAATCGAGGATAGCGATGGCCTGGATGATGTGGTTGTCGTCACGCTGAACGGAGAACTTGACCTTAGCACGGGAGTAGGCGTGACCTAGACCTAGTTGGGCGGTGTTCAAGTCACCCTCGCGAAGCTGCTTCAAGAGCTTGTGGGAGTGGAGTCTGACTCCACGGAGCATATCCTGAACGACTTCGCTGGTGTCACCGGTTTCGCAGTCGACGAAAGAAAAGGCCGACTTGATGCTACCAGCCAAGGTCTTATCGGTAACACCCAGAACAACTTTCTTCTTCTTGTTAGGCTTGGGAAGGTTCAATTCCAGGAAGTTGATGAGCGTGTCCGAAGCGACACCTTCCGAGATATCGTTGATTTCACTCAGGGCCTGCTTGTTGTTTCTGGAGCATCGTCAGTCGCGGCGCACAATCGGGACCGAGAGATCACAGAAATTGGAAAACCTACTCAAACGGCAAAAAACTGGCCAGGTCGACCATCTTGCCAAACTTGGCCAAGTCATCAACACCCTCCTGGACTTCCTTGAGGGAATTGCCCACGCTGTCGGCCTGGTGAGTGACCTTGAAAAGCGAGTAGCCGACAGGGCCCTCGAAAAGTAGAAAGTCAGCCATCGCGAAAATGGACCTGGGGCCGAAATTAAATAGTCGAAAAAAATATCAGCCACGAAGTAGACGCAGTTCGAGCCCTACTACTTCAGAATCCAGAAGTCCTGCGTTGGTAGACTTGCCGTGGATCGACGGGGGGACGTGGAAAAAAAAGGCTGGAGGCAGAATTCGAGCGTCGAGCCGTCGGAGCTTCTTTTTTTTCTCTCGCGGGCGGCGCTAGTGCGAACAGACCGAATGTGGGCGTTTTGCCAAAAACTCGCCCTCACCGCCTAGGCCGGCAAACACCACCAGTTTTGTAGCACGGCGGGCCTCTTCCTGTGGCTCGACAGCGCCGGCAAGCCTATTTTGCTCGACGGTTTCTCTTCTTTTCTTTGGATTTTCCTGCTGAACTTTTGTTCATCAGAGCTACACAAATGTCTGCGACACAGTTACTCAATCCTAAGGCCGAATCGAGGGTATGCAGTTATTACCCCCCCCCCCCCCCAGAAATAGCCCCTCAGTGATTCCACGCAGACTAACAAGCACACAGCGGAGAGGAGAGGCCTTGAAGGTGAACATCAGCGCTGGTGTGGGCCTTCAAGATGTCTTGAAATCGAACCTGGGTCCCTCGGGAACATTGAAGATGTACGTTTCCGACTGAAATTTGGCAATACTCAACTTATAGCTGACAAAATCCAGGTTGGTGGACGGTGCTGGCGGAGTATGAATATCCCCTAACAATCTCAACAGTTCGACATCTAACGAATCGATATAGATTAAATTGACGAAGGATGGAAATGTGCTGCTGCGAGAGATGGTTAGTGACCCCAATACCCATTGTGAAACACCCCAATAAAGCATGAAGCAATTACTGACTTCTCATATAGCAAATCCAAAACCCCACTGCCGTAAGCTACCTTCTATTTGATACGCCATCTTGAACCTCATAACTGACCTGGCAAAGGTCATGATTGCTCGGGCCGCTACCGCACAGGACGATATCACTGGTGATGGAACGACGTCCGTTGTCTTGATGGTGGGAGAGCTCTTGAAGCAGGCAGACCGACACATTTCCGAGGGTGTGCACCCTCGAGTGATCACTGATGGCTACGAGATCGCCAAGAATGAGGCCCTCAAGGTAGGCACGAGTCTGAGTCACGGAATGATGATCAACTTGCAGAAGCTAACTCGAGGTTGGAATGTAGTTCCTCGACCAATTCAAGATTGAGAAGCCAGTTGACCGTGAATTGCTGCTTTCTGTTGCCAGAACCTCGCTCAGCACCAAGCTCAACAGCGCCCTTGCCGAGAAGCTCACCCCCGATATCGTTGATGCCGTGCTCGCCATCCACAGAGCCCCTGAGAAGCCGGATCTGCACATGGTCGAAATCATGACCATGCAACATCGGTCGTCGTCTGACACGCAATTGATTCGTGGTCTGGCTTTGGACCACGGCGCGAGACACCCGGATATGCCCAAGCGAGTGGAGAACGCCTTCATCCTGACGCTCAACGTCAGTCTGGAGTATGAAAAGTCGGAGATCAACTCTGGCTTCTACTACTCTAGCGCCGAGCAGAGAGACAAGTTGGTGGAGAGTGAGCGAAAGTTCGTGGACGCTAAGTTGCAGAAGATTGTCGAGCTCAAGAAGGAGGTTTGCGGTAACGACCCGAAGAAGAGCTTTGTCGTCATCAACCAGAAGGGTATTGATCCTCTAAGCTTGGATGTTCTTACCAAGAACGGCATCCTGGCCCTCCGGAGAGCCAAGCGGAGGAACATGGAGCGTCTCCAGTTGATCTGCGGCGGTACTGCACAGAACAGTGTCGATGACCTTACGCCCGACGTTCTTGGCTGGGCCGGTCTGGTCTACGAACACCAGCTTGGAGAGGAGAAGTACACTTTCGTTGAGGAAGTCAAGGACCCCAAGTCGGTCACCATCCTCATCAAGGGTCCCAACCAGCACACCATCGCACAGGTCAAGGACGCCGTCCGCGACGGTCTGCGGTCCGTCTACAACTCTATCGTTGATGGCTGCGTGATCCCTGGTGCCGGTGCCTTCCAGGTTGCCTGCGCCGCCCACCTCACAGACAAGGTCAGCAAGACCGTCAAGGGTAAGGCCAAGTGGGGAGTTGGCGCCTTTGCCGATGCCTTGTTGATCATCCCGAAGACCCTTGCGGCCAACTCCGGCCATGATATCCAGGACTCCTTGGCTGCTCTGCAAGACGAGCAAACCGCCGGTAACACCGTTGGTCTGGACTTGAACACGGGAGAGCCGATGGATCCTGTCCAGGAGGGTGTCTTCGATTCTTTCCGCGTGCTGCGTAACCTGATCGCCTCGAGCACGGGTATCGCCTCTAACCTGCTCCTATGTGATGAACTTCTGAAGGCCCGCCAGATGGGTAAACAGGGCGGACCTGGTGGCATGGAGGAGTAATGCATTCGTGACGAATAGACCGCGGTGTAAAGCATTTTGGGAGAGGAATTGAATTCGGATATGAAGTTAAAAATAGTTTTACGCTTTAAAATGTACGCAATAAATGCAGATAGTCACGCCTACGGGCATTGACAGATGCTAATCTTACTCTGACTGGACACCTTCAACTTGGACTCCGTGGGTGATACTTATATTTAAGATAAACACGGATTGTGTGTCTGTACATCGCCCATATTCGAGGGCGCTTGATTATGAGTAGGTATCTAATAACTATTGGTACAAGACCTTATGTCATGAGACAGCAGGTTCCTCCGATTGAAAAAATCACCGAAACTACTCGTCCTCCTCCTCCACCTCGGTTCCTTTTCCTTCCTCCTCTTCGTCTCCATCTTCCTCTCCAGAATTCGGACTACCCTGTCTAATGCTCCTGGGTGCCCACTCCCCAACAAAACCATCGGCATTGATGGGATCATCCAAGGTCGTTTTATGAGCCTTCGCCCATTCCAGTATTTTAGATTTCCGTATGATGACCGCCTCGCTATCATCAGGGGCGTTGTCGATTGCCGTACGGGGCATTTTGCGCTTTTTAGATGGCGTCGCCGGCTCAACGGCCTCCATTCCTTTCAGCGCCGTGATCACATCCTCCGTCAGCATTCCTGTGGCTAAGCCGATATCCTGAACTGTCAGGATTTCATGGTGTGGTCGCTTGCGAGCGCCCTTGGAAGGCTTCTGCTTTTGCTGCGGCGAGTCCGGGGCATCTCCGGTCTGCGTATCCTGCAGGATGTGTCTCGCTATCCGTTCCTCCCAGAAGCGACTGTAACTGCGACTGCCCATTTCACTCAACGGTTTCTCCGGTCCGCCAATCAACCCGCGATCATGTTCCCAGCCGCTGAGTTTATAGCTGACCCCCATTAACAGCTTCCCGAGCTGCTTGTGCTGGTAAGGCGGAAAGACTAGGATACAGGCCAGATTGTTCGCGTCCCAGGAGAGTTTTTCTTTCGAAAAGAAGCCCAGGACATGATAGCTCGAGTCCTCGGGATCGGTGAAGACAAGGAGATAGTAAAGGAAGGAGAAGACGTCAAAGAAGACGGATTTATGGTCGAGGAACAATTTCGCGAAGAGCGACAGGTTTTGCGCATACAGCTTGTGATGTTCCCCGTCAACCTCCCACACCGAGTAGCCTCCGTGATCGTAGACTTTGGTCCCGGGGGGCGTCGCGCGGTGGAGGCAGGTTCGCGTGTGCTTCGCGTAAGCGTCGGCGTCGCACGAGTAGCGGAAGCACCAGCGACACACGTAGAGCCGATCCGTGTCTTTGCTCACCAGATCCTCCGGGTAGATGGACTGGTACCAGGTCTGGAAGAGCAGGTCACCTAGCACGACATGCTTGACGTTTCGGGTGACGGTGGGTGATTTCGCGTGGGACAGAGGGGTTTTAGGAGCCATTGAGCAATTTTTAAAAGGGGGACTGGGGGTAGAGAACCCCGGGCGATCCTGTTGATGAGCTTTGGGGGTGGATATCGTTTCTCCGAGAGTAGGCCATTGGCATCGCTAATATATGCTGTAGTCGGTGGTATGTTGCGCTGGCTTGTCGCGTCGAGGATCGTCGAGGATTAGGAAGGATTGAAAGGAATTAACGAGAGAAAGAAAATAAGGTCAGATACCCGAACCAGCCCCTAGGGGAGTGGGTGAATGTAGAATTGTATATATTATAAGGATGGGAGGAGAGGAAGAGAAGGATCACCCACAGCCATCACCGTCGCCCAAGCCAGCCCGCGGCATCCCAAATGAAGGCCTGAAAAGTCAGGACTTCCACAGAAACTGGGCTGAGTCAGCCCTGACTCAGCAGCTACGCACGGGGTCACTTGACAGCAGCTCCGAGCCAATCAGCCACGATCTGCGCGGGGTGAAGCTTCCATCCATCCATCTTTCTCTCTCTCTCTCTTATTTCTTTCCATCTCTTTCATCAAAGGATTCTTGTTGCCTGCATCACTTTGCCCCTCCCCGGTGACACCCCCCTTACCTCTTTGCCTCCCGGGATGGTTGTCGCCTGTGTCTCGCGGCTTATCATTGGCGCGTATTATTAAGTAGGTACGACGACTGTTGCCATCGGCGCCGCATTTCCCCCCATAGGCAACAGCATATCATATCGCTCAACTCCTTATCACCCTCCCGGTCCCTATTTTTTATCCTGCTTGATACGAGAGGCTCCATTTTATCTCCTCCGTCGCCTGGATATACCGCCTTTCCCCCTTATACTATTTCCCTTAACAGTTTCTTGCCGGTTGAAAGTGTTGGCTCTACTAGATAACATTTGCCTTCGACTTGTCGACCGGTCCAGAACTGTGCCTTTTTTTCGGGGCCTTTTTTCCACCGACACACCCGTCAAGATGTTGAAACCTTTCCAGATCAGGGATCTTCATCGGTGTCCCTCTTCCTCGCAGGACAATGGAGAGCCGAGCAGCGATATCCTCCAAGACATTCCGCCTAGTCCACACCGTCCGGGTATCGTCGCTATCTCGGCATCGCAGTACAACGACATAGCTTCTTCTCATCCCCACGCTCGCTTGACTTACATTGATGATGATGATGGAGAGCTTATCACGGTGAGTACTGCAGTAATTCGGTAGTCTTATGGTTTCTAATAGCCATCGTTAGGTTGGATCTTCTCTCGAACTTTCGCAACGTCTGGACGAGCCGGTTCCCGCCTCAACTGACCCATACCTAAACTCGCAACCCTCAGACCTCGATCCGATGCACATATTCGACATCCGGCGCTCGACCCCGGTAATCGAGTTGTGGAAAAAGCACGAATACAACCCCTTCAAGGAGAATGTCCCGGCCACAAACCATACTAGTGTGGCATCACCAACTAGCGAACCATCTCTTCCCGGCGTCGAGAATGACGGAGAGAGGACGCAAGGCGATAATGGAGCTACTGCTCCTAATGTGCGGGATGAAGCTGAACCACTCATGGCTGCATTCGAAGCCGAAATGGCCAAGATTCTCAGCGCCTCGGAGACGCTTAACGAGAACACTGCTCATCAAGAAGATATAGTCCCCTCGACGGAAGACCAGAACAGGACGACAGCCGACAGGCTCCAAATACCCACCGAAAGCTTCATCAATGCCATGCAGAACTTGGTTCATGGAGCCGAAACCCTGAGTTCTGGAGTTAGATCTAGACTGCCAGAGATCGAGCGACAGTTCCAAAATGCTCAAAGAGCGCTTCCAGGCCCCGTTGGCTCCTCCATGCAAGTGGCGCTCACAGCACTGGAAGGTCAAGCGAGAAATCTGGTCAGTGCAATTAATAATGCTTCGACTGCTGGAGGACAAAGTCCAGCAAACCTCTTCCCGAGAGAGTTGCCGACCGCCGCTAATACTGTGGAGAGTCTACGAAGTATGGCGTCCGAGCTTGGCCATATGGGACATACTTTGTTTGAAGCATTCGAAAACGAGCTTGGATGTAACACACAAGGATCTCAGAATCAAGCGCCATCTGCCGCGACCGCGTCGTCTGTGACCGATGCTGCGGGTCCAGCACTTGCAGATGACAATGATACCCGAACTGAGAATGCACCCAACGCAACCGATGCCAACCCTACCACCGCCCCTACAGTTGTGAACTTAGAAAATGAAAAGGAACCGACGAGCTCGGATAAAGCAGAGGTTTCACCGGAGCCTGTCCCTGCACAAGAGCCCGCAGACGCGGAGCCCGTTTCACAACCTCCGCATCACAACGAAGGCGCTCGCTCGCGCCAATCCGTACCACCCGGCGCATTCTCATCCCATTATAACGTGTGGTCATCTGCCCACGGCCCATTTGGCCCACCACCTCATCGACCGCGTGGACATCATCACATCCCCGGCGCTTTCCCACCGCATCCGCCGCCGCCGCCTCATTTCCCCCCTCCTGGGATGGGCTGGCCTTTCGTCGGTCCCTCACACGGCCACCCCAGGGCGCCTTTTGCTCCTCCTCCTCCTCCCCCTCCTTTCTCAGGCCCCCCTCGACCTCACAGGTCTTTGCATCAGTTCCCCTTTAATCCCCGGCCTTATAGAGCTTTTAGCGATCTGTACTCTGCGGCCCCTTCTCACGCAGAAACATCGAATCGTTCGTCGCCAGGTCGCTCTGCACAAACAGCATTGTTCATCGGCAATGTCGGGTTCAACGTTAATGACAAGATGATCCGCGATGTGTTTGCTGCAAAAGGATTTCTGGTTGATGTGTACCTTCCGTTGGACTCGGTCACGCAAAAGCATGCAGGTTTCGGTTATTTGCATTTCCCTTCGGTTCATGCAGCAAAGGCAGCATTACATGGCCTCCAGGGCACCCTGATCGACGGACATTCAATCAATCTTGAGTTCAGCGATCCGTCACCGTTTACGGTATTGAACGCAGCCAACGAACCTCAACAACCATCGGTTTCCCGCCATGCGCCAAGTCCCTCGGAGCTTCAAACCTCGCAACGAGTGGTGGAGCCCCCATCTGAGCAACGACCTGCCAACAATGGTAAGTCATTGCCTCTCAGTGTAGCAGATATGTGCTCTGTCAACGGCAACGCCCGGAACGAGTCGGCCAAGCCGAACGATTCGGACAGCTCTGAGCGACTCAACGCACTTTATCCTTCACTTGTGCCCCAGAGCGTCTCGCAACGCTCTGATACCAACGCTACTAAGTCTCCCTCGGACCTCATTCGACCAATGGAATGGGAGAGCCGATTCCCCCCTATCTCTCAGCTGGATGCACTTTTCTTGACTAAGCAGCGTCGAGAAGGAGACTCTACTCACAGCTCATTGTCTCGAACCGAACCGACTGCTAATCAAGGGCCCGTTGTTGGTCGGTCTGTATCTCCTAACATTCCGGGCGCCTTCCCAGAAGCTCAGAAGTCATCTTTGACGGCAGCCTCATCAACGAGCCCCCAGCAAACCAACAATCAGAACACAAGTGCCGAACCTCATTGCTCGCGTCGCTCAAAGACTGTGAGGACCCTCAACCCTTCTCGGAGACACTCTGGTCCCTGGGAGTCCATCGCGGAAGGACCATGCTCCGACAGATCGCTGAGACGGCGGGCCACTGAGCGTTCTTCGCTTCGTTCAGGCTGGTCCTCGCATCCCCATACTGGCAACGCCAGGCTGTCAAGTGTTCATCCCGCCCAGGCAGATGTGCCCCATCGGTTTGATGCTAGACAGCGCAGTATTGCGGACTGCGTTTCGACCTTAGCCAGACTAGGCTACGGAAGCTCCGAGGAGGGTGGGCTGCAGCGCATTGGCGTGTATGCAGCCGCCGCTGATGGCAGGGTCTCTGATGCAATCGATATGATTGAGGAGGAGCGCAAGGCGTATGCGCAGCGACGTCATTAGGTGTAGACTTTATGTTTTGAAATCTTCAGCGTTGAAATTTGAGCTTCTTTCTGGATTGGTTCCTGGTGTTCGGCAGCGATGGCGGTAATTTTCTTTCTCACTACTCTCATTCAGCTTAATTAGGCGATTATGGTGCTTCATATTGCTCTCCAGCGGTTTAATTTTTCTCTCTATCCCACATTTCTCTTCTGGCTCATCCGTATTGTTGTAGCATCCAGGCGAATCCGCTAGTTAGTCAAGGCGGAGGAGCTGAATCATCGGCGGAGGCCGCGAGACTGCGCCGGAATTCTTCCTCGGGCCCGCGATCCGATCATCAACATTTCACCTCCAGCGCCACGCAAGAGCTCGGTGCTGCTCTTCTTTTACGCGAGAGATGCAGACATGGCGAAGGGCTTTTGCTACGTCTGCTGCCAGACTTAAACACCGACCCTCGGGAAGCGCGGGACCGTCGCTGCTACGATGTGCGCAGGTGCTCCAGAAGGGCCACAACGGGTCCTCCAGTCTTGAGGATCAGGAGATCAAATTGAACGGCTTTGTCCGGTCGGTTCGCAAGCAGAAACGCTTTGCCTTCGCACAAATAACCGATGGATCGACCGTCGAGCCTGTGCAGGCCTTCTTGAAACCAGCGCAGGCGGCAGAGTACGTTGAGTGACCTTGCATCGCTTCCGAATTTAACGGCGCCGAGACCTAACAGACCCTCTTCTCTTTCTTCAGCTTGACTACAGGGACCGCTGTCGAGATATCAGGGGTCTGGAAAGCCTGTCCACCTGGCAAGGAGCAGAGCCATGAGCTGCAAACCACGACTGTGAATGTCGTCGGTGAGGCAGACCCCGAGGTAATCACCAGCTACTCCCTCTACCACGAGCTCTTCAAATGTACAAACACGACAAGCTAATCACCTATGATGCGCCCAGACATATCCCATCCAAAAGAAGTACCATACCCCCGAATTCCTACGCCAGGTTCCTCACCTCCGTCTTCGAACCCCGTTCAACTCCCTCCTCTCGCGTTTCCGCTCTGAATGCCTCTACCACCTCGGGAATACCTTTCGCGAAGCGCCCAATGGCGGGTTCGTCCAGGTCCACCCACCGCTGATTACATCGTCGGACTGCGAAGGTGCCGGGGAGACATTTACGGTCGTGCCTCGAGGGGAGGCGACGACGACGACAACGCAACCGGACAGCGAGCATTTCTTTCGGGCGCCGAAATACCTGACCGTGTCATCGCAGCTGCACCTGGAGGCCTACGCGGCGGAGCTCGGGAACGTCTGGACCATGTCGCCCATGTTCCGGGCAGAGAAGAGCGATACGCCGCGCCATCTCAGCGAGTTCTACATGTTGGAAGCGGAGATGAATTTCATGCCGGACCTGGACTCGCTGACCGACTCCGTGGAGCATATCCTACGCGACGTGACGCGACGGCTATACGATAGTCCTGTGGGCCAGGAGATCCTCTCGGCGAAGCGATCGGGCGAGCCAGGCCAGGCGCAGGAGCAGACGCAGACAGACGGAACCACCACCACCAGCCCGGCTCTACGACAGCGATGGCAAGATCTGATGGACGGGCCGAAATGGGCTCGCATGACCTACACGCAGGTGATCGAGCAGCTCCAAGACGCCGTCGCCAAGGGAACCGCGTCGTTCGAGTACGCGCCCATCTGGACCGACGGACTCCAGCTCGAGCACGAGAAGTACATCGTCGACGAGATCTGCGGCGGCCGTCCCGTCTTCGTCACTGACTACCCCAAGTCCGTGAAGCCTTTCTACATGGCACCGTCCGACATCACTACCACCAGCACCACTACCCCCAACGAAACCGTCGCCTGCTTCGACCTCCTCCTCCCAGAAGTCAGCGAAGTAGCCGGCGGCTCTCTCCGCGAGCACCGTCTGCCCAACCTCATCCAGAACATGCGCGAACACGGCCTCATCAAATCCGAGCAACCAGCAGCGGTAGCGTCGGAAACAGCCGGCACCACCGACCCAGCGGCGACAGACAAGCCTCTCTACCCTTATCTTCAGCCCGGCGAGGACCTCTCGCATCTTGAATGGTACGCTGACTTGCGACGGTGGGGCACAGCGCCTCACGGAGGCTTCGGAATGGGATTTGATCGCTTCTTGAGCTATTTGGCGGGTGTTTCCAGTGTTCGGGATGTGGTGGCGTTTCCGCGATACTTTGGCCGCGCGGATTGTTAAGAGTGGTTGCGTTGTATTGTATAGATAGGTTTTCCCATGGGATCATGGGAATGTGTATTTCTAGAAGACTATGGAGGGAATAAAAGGGGATGAATGACTCTTCTATATACTGCACGTCAGTAGATATGTATCCAGCACGGGTAGAACTGGCCTGTGGATGCAGTAGATTGGAAATCAATAATGCAAATCGCTTGCTATATATCAATGTATGCCCTCAAGTGATTTGTATAAAAAGAGCGCTATATCTGGATGCCCACTGAGTATCTATTTAGCCACCAATATGTATGTATGTATGTACACCACAAGTAAACCCCAACGAACTATCGAACGACGGAGCAACCATCTCTCTCATCCGCCTTCCACCCCTAACTCAAGGCAAAACATATCCCCCATCAATCAACACATCACTCCCCGTCATGTAGCTCGACGCCTCACTCGCCAAATACAAATACAACCCCTTAATCTCCTTCACATGGCCCTGTCGTCCCAGCACCGCCATGCGATACGCCTCGTTCACCGACTCCGGCCCCGCCCCCATCTTCGTATCGAAGAAGCCTGGCGAGACGATATTCACGCGCGCGAAATCCCGCCACTCGCGTGCCAGTGACTTCCCGAAGTGCGTGATGAACGCCTTCGTGCCGTTGTAGACGGGCTGGTCGGCGGGGACGTTGACGATGTGGGCGCTCATGCTGGACGTGATGATTAGGTTGCCGGTGCCTTGGCGTTGGAAGACTTCGCCGATATATTTGGATGCGAAGACCACGCCGTCGACTGGTTGGGTTGGATGGGGTTTAGTAGAGTGATTGATGGTTGATGGTTGCTTGTTGCTGGAAGGGAGTTCCTCACCATTCACGGACATTTGCTGCCGGTATTCGTCGAGAGTTTGCTCAAGGATGGGCTTCGAGATGGCCATTCCTGTGGGTGGTTTAGCTGTGTGAGGCCCATATCATGATCTAGGTAGGTGATGTGACGTGACTTGAGTCTTCACTTGTACATGTCTGTACAGGTACAAGTATGTACACACATACCAGCATTCGCAACAAAGACGTCAATCTTTCCAAAATCCTTCACAACGTCAAAAATGGCCTTCTGGATGGCCTCAGCGTTTGATACTGTGCTTCAGTTAGCATCCCTATACATAACCTGTTGATATCTACAACACAAAAAGAAAAAAAGCCAACTTGATCCAACCTACCGTCAACTTTATAAGCGCTCGTTTTCACACCATGCGTCTTCGCTAACGACTCTGCCTTTTGAACCGCGATGTCATTCCTATCCCAGAAAACATCCATCAGCCAATACCCTCCTCCCCCACCAATCCATCCATCCTCCTCTAAGAGATAAACCCAAAAGACACTCACGAATTATACCACAACGCAACATTCCCCCCAGCCTCGGCCATGGCCTCAGCAATCGCATAGCCTAGCCCGTCCGCAGACCCCGTCACGACGACGACCTTCCCGGCCATTTGGAATTGCTCGAGCACATTGGACGGCGTGTTGGGGAATGGTCGCGGGAAGCCGTCTCGTGGACGGCTGCTTTCGGAGATAGACATGGACATTTTGATTTGTATGCTTTGATGTATCTTTTGTTAGGCGGGAGGTAGATTCTGGTGGGTTGAGTGAGTTAAGGTAGGTGGATGAGGGGTGAAGGATGAATGAGGGGGCATAACTACGTAGGAACTCAGATGGTCGGAGCAAAGGCAGCCGATCAATTGAACCCCCCACGGGGTTGGAGGAGGGGGAGGGGCAGGGATGCGCATCCGGGGCCTTGTCTTCCGAGTCGGTCCCCGCATAGCTTATGTACAGAATGTGTACCGTTGACATGTATCGTGCTGCTTCCTGGAATTGGAAGGAGAATGGCACTTATGAGACAATCTACAGCAACATAAGGTTGAACATCCATGTAATCAATTGGTATCTGTGTCTGTACTGCATCGCACCAGTCCCTCAAATAAATGTAGCCGACTGGACGATGTATCAAGACCAAACTGGTCCTTAAATGCATGGTATGATATCAACATCAATGCGACGAACGGAATCCATCTCTTCGTCCGGTATTCAACAATCAAATAAGATAACATAGAACGATGGCCCCACCCATGCTGGAAATCGAGTCATGCACCTCTTGTACAACGCCGATCCGTAATCAATCAGAAAATAGGCAAATCAACTGAAACAAACAAAAAGGTAAAAATAATTCATCGTGAGCAAACATTCCATCAAGTCCGGTCCTCCCAAAGGAAGGCAAGACCAAGTCATTTATGCAGAAAAGCTAGTCAAAAAAAAAAGCAAAGGGTCAACCCCCAATTTCAAGATGAAAGAGAGTTCTTGAAGTGGTCGATTGAAAAAGAAGATATGTGGAGACCGAGATGCATAGGAAGAGGAAAATTCCTTTATGCAGTAAACACTCGGTCGAGTTGTCGGAGAGCGCGCATATCCTCGCCACCAAACCCGACCTTGTCGCTGGGGATGTCTCGCGGGCCTTCGGCGCGTCCGTTGGCTGGGGGAGGTACCGCAATGGATGGCAGAGAGCCGCGCGGCGGGCCTCCGTTCATCAGAGATCCAATGCTGGGTACCGTCGCACCGGGGCTGGTTTCGGCGAGTTTGGCCGCTACGTCTGGGGGAGGAGGGGCAGGAGGCTGGCTTAATAGGCGCGGACTCCGTGTCATGGCGGTCAAACCATTGGTGTGCGGAATGGAGTGGGCATGGGTGCGTGGCGACGCCCGTCGGAGGTCAGCAGGGGCCGGCCCGTACTCTGGAGGACTCCGCGGGTGAAGCTCATGCGCTTCCGTAACCAGTCGCGGTGACCGGCCGGCGATCACGGGTAGAGGAGCATGCTGCACCGTTGCATGGGGGACGGCTGGAGGCATAACAGCTTCCGCCGGATGAACTGCTCGCTCGTAAGGTGTCGGCAACCCGTGTTGTTGCGGTGGCGGTGGGGGCAGGCCCGCATGCGCTTGTTGAGGGTGGTGCCCATAGGCGGCGGCGACCTGGCCATTGCTCGTGGGGACGGGAGGGAGGTATCCCGGATAATGCACCGGGACCGTTGGCGGAGTGGCCAACGGAGTTGGAGGCCATGCGTAGGTGGGAGTATAGGGTTGCGGGTGGGTGGCTGCTGAGCGCGCATACGCTCCCATGGGATGGGGAGGCACCGGGTAGGCGGCTCCCTGCATAGGCCCGCGAGTCACGACTGGAAGATTCTGCTGGTCGTTCACCGTCGATTCGGGGTACAGACCCTTCTGCGGACGAACGTGACGCAAATTAGGATCTGATGACGGTTGTTGGAGGTTGGCTGCCGATGGATGCGATCTGGAGTAGTAGCTGATAAGGTGCAGGTGTTGTCCCGTCGAGGTTGTGATACTGAAAGACTGCTTCATGAGGCCGTCAGGCTTATATCGATATCCATCGGGGCCCTCATCAGGCCCGTCCGCCCGATCGTCGTCGCTGCCTCGCGTGCTTTCGGGTGTCTTTCCAGCTCGAGGAATGGTTGTTGAGGAGACACTGGTGCCCCCGCGCTTGCCTTCCATCTCGCGATAAGTGAGGAAACTGCCCGACACTCGACTGGCGCTCCACGACTTGCCATCCGTCCAACGGCGCATCCCCGCTTCTCGCTCATCCCACACAAAGACCGAGCCGGAACGGATCATCTGGCGTTCCTTTTCGGACAATCGTCGCTGGACGCGAGGGAGGAGGCCGATGCGACAGGCCTCAAAGAGGATGATAGCGTCCGCAGGGGTGCGGACATGACCGTGATACGTCTCCATCCACCTGCGATGATCGGAATAAGCACCCGTGGGGATGGTGGGTTTGAGCGCTAGAGGCGGCGGCTTCGTGTGGTGAGAAATGTTGATGGAAATGGAGCAGGAGAAGGTGACTAAGCAATCTTCTCCCTGCTCAACCTGAAATGTGTTTTATGGAATTATTTTGCTGCCTTGTGGTTGTTGGTGGGAAGCTTTTGGTTAGTGAAGCTGAAAGTCCCGGCAAGACTGAAAGCGTGGTGTATTTCCCGTTCAGGCAATGCAGGCGGCTAATAGGAAGGAAAGTCCAGTCCGAACCGGAAACGAGCCCAAAATTGAGAAATGAGGAATCTGAAGAACTGCGGCGGGCGTTAATGTTTCATGTACAGCAGAAGAAAGGACTCAAAAGCAGGGCAGGTAGGCCAAGAGAAGGAGGGGGATTGGAATGTGAAGAGATCCAGGCAGCAAGGAAGGGGAAGGGAAGCAGGGAGTGGGGATGGTCGATAGGAGAATAAAACGAAGAATGCAGGCGGACCGAGTCAAGGAAGTGCGGACAACGAGCTAAAAAGGGTGGTGCATGCGACATGACAGGGCATTCAAGGAACTTACCAGCTGGTTTACCCTAAGGGAGGAGGGATGAAGGCGACAGTGCAGGAGGGATGGATGAAGTTGAGAGAGAGTTGGAAGGAGGAAGAAGGTAGAAGGTAAGGTAAGGTAGATAGAGGGTTTGTAGTACGGAGTAGGAGTAGGTCAGTAATGAGTAAATAGTGTGGGCTAAGGTCGTAGTAGTAATAGGAAAATAAAATAAACCATAATCAAAATAATAATAATAATGATAATAATGAAAATCAAATAAAAAATAATAATAGGGTAGAAGAAACGAGACAAAGGGAAAGGGAGAAATTAAAGCATCAAGCAAAGACAGATTGAGTGGGGACGCAATCTGGACCCCACAGGGTCGTGTTTTGTTGTTTTTTTTTTTTTTTTTTTTTTTGTTTTTTTTTTTTTTTTTTTTTTTTTTTTTGTTTGTGTGAGTAAGGGTAGAGAGCCCGGGGGGTGGTGTGT